AGTGAGTTAAGCACCCCTAAATCTATACCTTCTCTAATTCGACGCTCGCTCATCGCCTCACTTCCTGTTGCGCCTCGTTTGTATACCGTTTCTCATGACCGGTCTACCATCAAGTGTGTCCAAACTTAGCTTAGGCTGGATTAGCTACTATACTAGTCTGGAAATGGAACTGGTCTGGTTTATTCGATGGTATTGTAGGCATCTGTATCCTACCCACTGTCTATTTAGCACTCAACTCATAATCTCCCCACACCTACCTCGTCTGGCTCGTCGCCTGCGGCCCCATTATCGCGTTCCTCGGTATCGTGTTCAACTATAATGCGCTGTTCAACCTGCTCAAGACCCCAATGGTCCTGCTATCGGTCGTGCTCATGCTGCTCTCTATCATCCTGTCAGACTGGCTGGGCTTGCTGCTGATAAGTCGATTAAATGAGAGGGCGGAGGGTAAGGTGATGGTGCATACGAGGGAGCGAGGTTTCGGATGAAAAGATTAACTCTTCGCAGTTTGGTGTATTTAGTGCTTGCCTCTGTCGTTAAATTGCGGCTCAAACCTGCGATTAGGCTGAGATGGGACTCCGGGCGAGCTAGCTTTGCTCGTGTTACTGGGACCACTCTCGGCCGCATTTACTGAGGCAGGTAAAGCGCGATTTATGACTCTTCCCGCAACGCCTGAAGCTAGCTAAGCATTGGAAAACGATGCGGCCCATCGACGGCGATCTCGAGTTGCGAAAGGAGTTGGTTGACACCACTTTTTAACTTCACCACCGTCCGACCTTTATGCAGCTTCGCAGAAAACCTAGTATGGTGTTGGATGACGGTATATTACTCGTTCGACGCACCTGCATGTGCATATTCCGTCTGCAGTCAACTTTTTTTTTTTGAGCGCCAGGCTGAGAGTTGTTGAGCACTTTGCGGCTGAGATGGGAAGAGTTCTTTCGATAAGAGAGCAGGCTTTTCCTACAGAGGATACATGAGGAGAAATTCAGTTGCAGGGAACTTAAACAGCTACCAGTCGCATCCCCTTTTTTTGTCCAAATGAGTGTACTGCATGCTCTGACCGTCTGTCCGACTGTCGAGCATCTATTTATCTCTATATACCTGTCGGTATCGACAGAAAAGGGGTCTGAAAAGGGGTGAATGGCAACGAGAGCAACTGCCGACGTTGCACCAGTGGGTAGAGAATGAAGGCTCTGCACTGTCTGAAACAAGTGGGCCTGTGGCGAGGCTGACATTGGATAGATATCCACAGTTAGTGCAACAGTGTTGTAATGGCACCCGATGACGTCCGATATTGACATATCCAGTCCAACACATGCTCCTCTCATGCTTCGAGTCCTCTGCAGACTGAGTGCCAAGGGTACACTTAATCGACTGATTACCACTATCGCCTTATTCTCCCTATCTAATCTAAGTTATCCTTAACAATGATAAGTCGTAGATGTCAGCGCTGCTCCTTTCGACAAGGCTCTATAATAAGGGTGTGGGGGGTATAGGTTAGGACGAGTGAACAGGACAAGGTTATGAACTGGATACTCAAGGATAACTCTGCGCGGGCTTGTGTCTTGCTTGCCTAGAATCACGGAATTGACTTGATTACCCAGAGAGAGGAGTTTCACATCGGTGGGCCGAGACAATTCTGTTAGATAGAGATATGCCGAACTTGATCGATATTCGGAGACGATGGCATCGAGGACGATAATACCTCCAGGGGCTAAGCTGAAATTGCTGGAGATCTTGCCATAGACATAGATCAACTCAGAGGTGCGAATGTCCAAGTCCGGTGTGGCAGAACGAATCCAAAGCCCGCTAGGACCAATAGCTGTTACTAGGCCTGTAACGTTGTAGACGTTCTAGTTGCGGCAGGGGGAGACGAATTTGTTGCCATTAATCTGAGCAATAGTCGGTGCTGATGCAAGCGAAAATGAAAGAGCGGCAGCGCCGACGCGCAAAAGACAGTCGACAAACTTCATGATGCAAAGTAAATGAGTGGACGGCCCAACTGCCAAGTGGACAGAGCTTGAATGAGTGGAAGGGCACGTGACGGCCAACAGAGGGCCCTTAAATATACTTGAGGGCTGGCTGCAGCGAGACCCCGGGCAAGATAGGAAATTGTATATGATGGCCCATGTAGGAGTGGGCTTCCTTCTGCGGCGGCTATGTGCAGCTCATGCGAGGTTGCGAGATGCTTTGGTGTAGCCGATGTAGGAATGGATAAGAGATCCATTCGTGTGGAATGGGGCGATGATTGGCCGGACTCGAGGCGTTTTGGTTGCGATTTGCGGCCGTCAAAGGGATGCCGCGAAATCTTCAACCGCCACTGCTGCTTTAGTCTCGGCACGTCATCCGCCTTTGAGGTCGGGCCAGACAAAGAACCCTATCAAAAGACATGACTGTATCGGTCCTTGACACGGAAGATCGTGACCGCCAGCTTCATCAAGTTGTCATACACCAATATCTTAACCAGGAATCCTACAACAACAACAGCCAAAAGCTTCATCGTCACGGCCAGCGCTATGGCGTATGCCTGAAATGCTTGCTCTCGGAGCGGTGTCTCTCGCAGCAGCCAGCGGGGACGATAAACGTAGACGTAGTATCTTGCGCAGGCGCTGAGCCCGTACGTGAGACGAGCAGCGGTGGGCAGAGTCAAACCCCAGTAGAAGCACTGGAATAATAGAGACTCTTGCTTGCTGAGCTGCATCTGACAGGTGAAGGAAATCACCTGCCACAGCATGTAAAGGATAACAATCCCAACAATCGCCAACATTGTAACAAAAGCCGTATTCCGCGGCGGTGTGGTGTCGACATCAGTGAGGTTGTTGTTGGCATTGCTGTCGTGAGGGACTGAGCCTAGATCGAGGGGCTTTCTGGCGCTTTCCTCGTGCTCCAACGTCTTATGTCTGGATTGGCAATCATCAGCAGCGACCAGATCTCATCTTTTTCGTCGACAAATTCGAGAATGTGGAGAGGGAATTCGCTCAAAAGAGGCGTCGCAATAACACAAAGAAAGTATTTGATGACTGGCCGCATATTTGCGAGGGTGAAGGTTGCTATTTCATCAGAGAGAAGAAGTTATCGCCCTCGACTTCCAAGGTTGCTGTTCTTTGTAAGGCGCTTGTTAGTCGCTGGGCCGGGCCTGGCCGGCTCTTCACCAACGAAACGCGACTAAGAGGTGGCGGCGCTTAATATGGCTTGGCACAGCATTGCCTCCCAAGCAGAGCCTCACTAGCCTATTCTAAGTTAGATGGCATGAGCTTGGAACTGCCACGGTCAAGCCACGGTCTGCCCAAAGCTGTCCCAAACCCAAGGCGCGGCGCCTGAGTATGTGCTGATATTGGTGCAGAGGGCGTTCTTAACGGTGCCATTTCCGGCTTAGTCGGGGGATTCGTTCAACAAGCCGCGGCCCCTAACGGCCCACCCACGCTTACGGCTGGAGTAAGCGAAACTTCCGTCTGTTCTACAGAGAAAGACGCGTTAGATGCAGTGATTTCGCTACTACAACAACAGGCCACTCAATTCGAGCAGATGAACTCGGCTTTGGGTTCGATCGCCCAAGAGCTCAGCGCCATCAAGATATCCATCGGTAGCGCGGTCAACCGTCAGGAGTTCATAACTGTGACCGTGGCTACCATCGAATGCGGGGAAACTGTCAGTCCTACCTCTGCTGGTACTTGTGATATTGCGCTGAACACTTGCTGAGCCGTCCCTCTGCAACAACGTTGTATGTTTTGCTAGAAATGAGCTTTTGTGTTGAACTGAGCACAGTTGTGGATGTATGAGTGTATTATTGTTCTATCTGCTTGTTTCCCCAAGTTCAGAGAGTGCTTCTCATTTGTATGTACTGTTCGGTCCCCACAGGAAGTGGTGCCTGACTGTCTAAAACCAACTCGAAGGAGGTCTGGAACCCTGTCTATAACCCTGTCTGTAGCAGCAAGTGCCTCCTTATGCCAACGTTTTGTCTCCCTGTAGATGTTTCTGAAGTCTAGTCTTGTACGTATTTCTAGCCTAGTTCTCTTTCGCCCTCGAATGAAAGATTAGTTGACACCAGAACTCCCTGTTACCTTTGGATTTGAAGTATTCCATCAGACACGGGAGCGGCATATGCCCACCGTGAAGTGGTTCGAGCGCGATGGTGCATCGAAGGGCCGGGCGAGTCTAAAAGCGGCGGCATCGCCCAGCCGACTTTGATGGCAGTTGGACTCGGAGTTCAAGGCCCACCTTAAACACTCCAAGGTCGAGATCTAATTCAAATAGCTGCACTCTTTAGCAGCCTCGAAATCATTCACTCACCGCAGAAGTCGTATCTTTAGTTTATATCCTGTAACGTCCGCCAAGAAAGACATGGGTGGATGGTGGAAGAAGAAAAGTGATCAAGTCCAGAAGAACAAGGCGCGTCTTGAGCACGTCGACGAAGCAGAGCGTGACATCACTCATCAGTCTTATTAGTTTCTCTTCACTTGTTCTTCCATCTCGTCCCAACGTCTGATTGATTTTGCCGTCTTGCGTCGAATTCATCTCCATTGTCACTGTTTAACTGAGTATGTCCGGCGTCAGATTAAGCCAAGCTTCCAAGCCTACCGTGAGCGTGACTGACCCTCCCAGAATCAGCACCGCCACCGGTGCAGCCTCAACTACAAATGTCGGCCTCCTTGTCGTGCAAGGCTGCTTTTCTTTATGCGACATTATTAAGTTAGGTCTCTTGAGCAGTGTTCATCAACGGCCGTGACCTCAGGAGACGACCTACCTGTCGGCTTCGTGTCTGTCAGTCCTGTGCGAGGCACGATGGAACTTGTGTGGGGTTGCACTTCACAATCATCCTTTGCACCTGGAACGTTCAGCATCTCTCAATCGCTTCTCCTACAAGTCGACATGGCGGGATATAGCCCGAAAGGTTAAGTGGGCCTTAATAACCATTATTGCCCCCAGAATATATACCTGGGATATACGACGCTGCTCGCACCCAGACTCAGAAGATGCAGAATCATGGATTTCGATGGTGGACAATGAAGCATTCGTTCTTCGGCGGCATGGGCGGATACGTATTGGAATACCAAAACGAGGGACGAATCATCATCAGACCGGCAGAAATTCGATGGCTAGCAAGCGAGAACTTGCCAGTGTTCCCAGAGATTGAATGCTCCGAGATCGACGGTGTGAGCAGGATGGACATCTTTCAAAAAGTTATCGCTACCACACAACTTATATGGTTCGCTCTTCAATTCATTGGCCGCGCCATCAAAGGGATGGAGTTCGCTCTCCCAGAAGTCACAACACTCGGCTTCATCACCTACGCGATTGTCATCCTGTTCTTTTGGTGGAAGAAGCCTAGTGGAGTTTCTACACGAACGAAGATCCGCTGCCCATCGATCAGTGATCAAGATATCGACAGAGTGCTCGTGGTCACAAAGGGTAAAAAGCAATCACAGAAACTGGAATTGCATTTACCTCAAACTGACTTCGGCGACGATGGCCTGAGTTGCTTTTTGTTGTGGTTGTCGTTGTGCCTGATTGCATCAGTTGGGGGATGGCACCTCGCTGCATGGAACTACTCGCTCCCCACCACAGTAGGGAGCATACTCTGGAGAGTGTCCAGCGTTTCCGTGGGTGTTGTGGTGATCGCTCTCTGTTTTCCATCTTTTTGGAACGAACCTGAGTCTTGGCTGTCAGATTGGACTTTGAATCTCTTGATACTTGCGTACGTGATAGCCCGTATGTTCCTCATTGTCGAGACAGTTATTTCGTTGCGTTCAGCGCCAGCAGGGATTTACGAGCGTGTTCGCTGGAGCGACTTTGTCCCTCATGTCTGAAAGGGTGTATATCGGTTTGGAGAACAGCTGGTGAGTTGGGCTTCTCCCTCGTTGCGTTGGTTGATATCCTAATGCCTACCGGACGTCTGTGACCCAAATATTATCACATACCTTTATCTTGAAGGTCACTGCTGTCCGAACTGTTTTTCCCCAACAACACGGAATCCATCAACACCCACCCTCGCTCTTTCTCTGCTCAGCCTTGACATGTCTTCAGTATCCTTTGCTGTTATTTGTCACAGTGTTGGGGCGCGCTGGTTCATACAAGCTTCAATGTCCACTGCATATTTGTTCGACTGGCGGCCCATTCCTACACTGTAATCTCCGCTATCTCCCGAGACAATGAAACATGTCCGTCACGGATTTGCTCAAAGTCACGAACTGTAGGTAATCCCACATCGACGATGCAGCAATACACTTGGACTGCCACGGAGCGAAAGATCGAATAACGGCTGGGGAGAAGCTGGAATATGAGGGTTGACTTTGTTCTGTGATGAATATACAGTCAAGGCTTAAAAAGCATTATCCTCTCCCTACTTCGCCAGAAATGCTTGAAAAGCTGAATGCTCAATAACAACATTGCCGACAGCTTTCAACTTCTTCCTCCCTTCCTTCTGCTTTTCCAACAACTTCATCCTCCTCGTTTTGTCCGCCGCGTGCAGCTTTGCAGTTACGTCCTTCCTGAACGGTTTCAACGTTTCCCGCGCAATGATCTGTCGACCTACGGCAGCTTGGATGATCACCTCGAACATTTGGCGATCGACATGTTCCTTAAATTTCTCCACCCATTGCTTTCCCACATGCCGGACTTGGGAGTGGTGCATAACGCGGGAGATGGCATCGACAGGCTCTTTATTAACCAGCAGTTGGAGCTTCACGATGTTGCTCACACGCCATTCGGCTTCTTCGTAATCAAGGGTGGCATACCCTTTCGTAGCCGACTTCAATTTCCCGAAGAAGTCGTCGACGAGGTGGGCCAGGGGCATCTCGTATTTCAGAATCACCTGAGAGGATGTGAAGTATTCCATGGACTTTTGTTCGCCTCGGTTGGCTTCGCAAAGCTCCATAACTTTTCCCAGATATTCTTCGGGGAAGGTCAGAGTTGCTAGAACGTAGGGTTCGCGAAGTTCTGCCACATTCTTGCGTGTTTCGTCGCCGTCTGGGAACTCGGCAGGATTCGTGATGACCTCTTCCTTGCCGTTCTTGTAGAGGACTTTGAATGGTACGGTAGGTGGGGTGATGATAATACTTGCCCCATGTTCTTGTCGAAGTCGGTCTTCAAAGACGGAGCAATGCAGCGTCCCCAGGAATCCCAGACGAAATCCAGCGCCGAGTGCCAGTGATGATTCCTTTTGGATAGTAACACTCCTATCGTTCAACAAGAGCTGGTTAATGCTATCTTCGAGGTGCTCGAATTCGCTTTGATCCACGGGAAATGCAGCAACAAAGACCATAGGTTTGGGTTCTTCGAAGCCCGGCAATGGCTTGACTTGCGTTTGGAATCCGACCTTCGTGTATGTATCTCCAATCTTGGCTTCGCTGCTCTTTCTCATCGAAGGATTGAAAAAGACATATCCAACTTGGCCAGCCCGAAGGACCTTTTGAGGTGTTTGATCTGGATACATAATACCGACCTCGCCCACAGTATACTTGAGGCCCGTCGCGAAAGAAAAGATCTGGTCTCCAGCACGAAGTTCGCCATCGAATATTCGCACCAGTAGAATGACTCCCTTGTAACTTGAATACCAGGAGTCTACCAGGAACAATCGCAGCGGTTTCGTGTGATCCCCGACGGGCCTGTCATAGTCAGCAAGGATGTTTGGACAAAGGCGCATCCTGCTACCTACGCTGGAATCTTTTCAATTACAGCTGGAAGGACGCTTTCCACGTTCAGGCCGGTCTTTGCTGAGACTAGGACAGCCGAGTCAGGGTCCAATTCGAAGGCATCATGCATCTGTTCCAAAGCCGTTGGAGGGTCGGCGTGAGGGAGGTCGACTTTATTGATGACCGGGATCAATGACAAGCCTTGTGCGAAAGCAAGATAGAAGTTGGCGACTGTCTGGGCTTGGACGCCTTGACTGGCATCCACCAGCAACAGAGCGCCTCCACAGCTAGCATAGCTTCGCGAGACTTCGGCACGAAAATCAACGTGGCCGGGAGTATCCACGAGATGAAGTAGATAATCCTCCCCTTTGTAGTTGTAAATCATGGAACATGTTTGAGCTTTTACTGTGATGCCCCGTTCTCTTTCCACATCCAGCTTGTCAAGAACTTGCTTGTTCGAGCCCGGTTGGATGGTGCCGGTCAGCTCTAGAAGTCGGTCGCTGAGTGTACTCTTGCCATGGTCAACATGCGCAACGATGCAAAAGTTACGATATCGCTCAATCGGGATGGCAGCGATACGAGTCTCGAGGTCGCCTGGAGGACTGTTATTTGACGCGGAGCAGAAAGCAGAGGTTGCAAAGGGCCGGATTCGGGGTCTATGCCGTGTTGAGGCAGAAGCGTTGCTTAACGCAGCTCTTCGCCGAGCAAAGATCTGCAGCCATGATCGCATGGGTCATAAGAATGAGGTGGTAACAGACATTGACCCTGACTGCGTGCTGGATCGTGCCCTCCATGCTGCGCTTGTGCTAGAAAAAAACTTGTCGTTCTCACGTGCAGAACCTGACTGCTGCCGATTATTGCCCGGTCAACAATCGGCACCAATACAAAACCTCCCAATTTTCGTCAACTGTGCCTTGCTCCGCAGTGAACACTCGACATGAGCAAGATGGCGGTCGAAAAGAAGGAGAAGTCGCAATTGCATAAAGTCGCTCTCAAAGGGAAGTTCGCATTGCCTGAAATGAGAATAACGTGCTAATGAATGTGCAGGGTCATCGAAGACAGTCGCGGAATTCGTAAGTGCATCCGGGTCGATCTCACCAGCGCCGAGGCTGAAAGAAAGCAGTTTGAATACTCGATAAACACGATACTGTGAGTTATGAAGTTGAAAATAGGGGGCCCATATACTGATATACCATAGATTCCAGAGAGGCGTATATCCTGCAGAAGATTTCACACCGTGAGCCGGATGGAAAGACCCGTGGGAAACATCTGACTGAGGATCGCAGGGTCAAAAAATATGGACTCAACATGCTCGTATCTTCGGACGATCAAGTCAAGGCATACATCAAGAAGATCATGTCACAGCTGAACAAATGGATGGTCGGAGGCAAGATCTCGAAGCTGGTGGTGGTCATCACCAGCAGAGAGACCGGTGAGCACGTTGAGAGGTGGCAGTTCGATGTCCAACTCTTGGGCAAGTTTTCGAAACAGCGATCCTCAAAAAAGGCGGTGGACAAGGAAAATGCAGCGCCCGAGTAAGCTACGCACAGAGAAGGCCGCAAGACAAGACTAACGAGGAAGCAGAGAGGTGGCAGCAGAGGAGACGGAACCCGAGAAGACCGAGGCCCAGATACAGGAAGAGATTCAGGCTATCTTCCGCCAGATCACAGCCTCTGTTACATTTTTACCGGTGTTGGATGGGAATTGCACATTCAACGTGTTGGTTTACGCTGATGCGGACTCGGATGTTCCTATTGAATGGGGAGACAGCGACGCCAAAGAGATCAAGAACGCGGAGAAAGTCCAACTACGCAGTTTCAGCACCAGCAATCATAAGGTGGACACTATGGTCAGCTACCGATTAGCAGAGTGAAAGTACCACGGTATTCTCGGGGAGGCATGGAGTTCCGGGGTCCTCTTGGAGCTGATGAGATTAATGATAGATGACAGAATAGGACTGGCAGCTTGAAGGATAAACAACCCAAATACTGATCTCGGTGCCACTCATGAGTCGAGCATGACTGATAATGGCCATGATTGACTCGGAGTGGCGAGGCTGCCCAGCCTTGTAGAGTGGGGTGAAAGTTGGAGAAACTTTTTGCGGTCGCCCACCATGGTTTCTCTACTCCTCCAGAAATGAGTGATTCACGCCGTCACATGCACTGCGCCTATCCTGCGCACGCACTATAAACATTCCGTCGCCATCGATCAGGGCTCATCTTATTGACCCAAGAAACAACGACCGCGCCGATGCCTGATCCTCCTTTGTGTTCCCTATTCCCACGTCGCTCACTTCGGTGATAGTGGAAGCAAGATGGCTGCAGCCACGCAGGTCCAGGATATCATCCTGGGAAAAGAGCAAGTGATAAATGACGTCCCCAAAGTGATCAAGGAACTTCAATTTGGCGTCTTGTAGGATCGACTGTGCCGAGAGTTGAAGAAAGATTCTAATGTCACTAGTTCTGATCAAGACATCATCAATCAGTCCGCCGTTGAACTCGTCGACCGCCGCTTATTCGATCTTGACAAGACACGCTCGGATGGAACACGTGCTATCGCTGAATATGGGCCCCTTGATAGGCGCATGGGAGTGTCGTCGAAGCAGAATACATGCGAGACTTGCGGAAAACATCTACAAGAATGCAACGGACACTTTGGACATGTCCGACTGGTCCTCCCGGTCTATCATGTCGGATATTTCAGAAAAGTCATCCAGATTTTACAGAGCATTTGCAAGGCAGGCACTGTGTTCAAACACATCGACACTAAGTACTGACCTTTTCAGGACTGTTCCTGCATTCTCCTCTCCGAAGCCGACCGCCGAAAATTCCTGAACGCGATCCGCAGATCACAGAATGATAGTCTGAAACAGACTGCTATTGTCAGACGGGTTGCGGACCAATGTAAAAAAACAAAGATTTGCTTTGAGTGCGGTGCTGTCAATGGCTTGGTTCGGAAAGCGACGACGAATTCCCTCAAGATAACTCACGACAAGTTCAGGTCTTATAACGCCTCCACTTCCGCCAAAAAGGTACCGCCGCCCGAGAAGGTAGCATTTGACAAATCCTTCGAGAGTGCAAAACTTGCAAATTCCGAACTCGAGAAGCATCTCAAGAAGGCAATGGACGACCTGACCCCTCTTCGAGCTTTCCGGCTGTTCCAACGAATCCGCCGCGCCGATCGTGAATTGCTCGGACTCTTCTCCGCGAGACCGGAATCTTTCCTTTGGACATATGTCCCTGCTCCTCCTGCGTGTATCCGGCCATCGGTAGGACAAGAGGCTTCAAGCACAGAAGACGATATCACCGCTAAGCTAGGAGACATCGTTGCTGCGAATGATGCATTACGCGAAACCCTTGAAAAGGGGTTACCCACCGTACAAATAATTGAGCACTGGGATTATTTGTCCCTGCAGCTGGCAATGTACATCAATAGTGACGTCCCTGGTCTGTCCAAAAATGACTCTGGCAAGCAGATCAGAGGGTTCGTCCAACGTCTTAAAGGAAAGCAAGGACGCTTTCGAGGCAACCTTTCTGGCAAACGTGTCGATTTCTCTGCACGAACTGTCATTTCCCCTGACCCAAATCTGCGCATTGATGAGGTCGCAGTCCCTGTATTGGTGGCAAAGAACATGACCTACCCGGAAGTGGTCAATGAGCTCAATATTGAAAAACTACGACAACGAGTACGCAATGGGCCTGATGTCTGGCCGGGAGCCAACCATGTGATTAAGAAGGAAGGATTTAAAAATTCTCTGAAGTTTGGCAATCTTCTCACCGCGAGTCATTTGAAAGAAGGTGATGTCGTTGAACGCCATCTCGAAGACGGAGATGTGGTCCTATTCAACCGCCAGCCGTCGCTGCACAAACTTAGCATCCTCAGCCATTTCGTCAAAGTTCGACCCCATCGGACCTTTCGGTTGAACGAATGTGTCTGCAACCCTTACAATGCCGATTTTGATGGGGATGAAATGAATCTCCACGTCCCTCAGAATGAAGAAGCTCGGACAGAAGCAATGCTTTTGATGGGTGTCAAGCACAACATCGTAACCCCTAAAAACGGTGAACCGATTATTTCGGCAATCCAAGACTTCATCACCGCGTCGTTCCTCCTGAGCAGCCTGGACCAATTCTTCGACAAAAAAACCTTTGTGACAATGTGTTGCGGGATGCTGGAACCTGAAACAAAGTTCCACCTGCCTCCACCTGCAATCATTAAGCCACAGACACTCTGGACAGGCAAGCAGGTTTTCAGTGTCTTGATGCGACCAAACAAGGAGTCGCATGTGAGGGTCAATCTTGATGCCGCTTGCCGAGATCACAACCAATACCACCCTGGCCTCCACCGAGACCTTCAAGATGACAGTTTCTTATGTGTCCGCAACTCAGAAGTGCTTTGTGGCAGGATGGACAAGTCGACGGTTGGATCGGGAAAGAAAAACTCGATCTTCTACATCCTCTATCGTGACTTCGGACCTGACGCCGCTGCCCAGGGGATGAATCGTTTGTCAAAACTCTGCGCTAGGTGGCTGGGCAATCAAGGTTTCACTGTTGGCATCAGTGATGTAACTCCGCCTGAAAAACTTGTCAAGGAAAAGGCCGATATGATAGCCAAAGTATTCGACGAGTGTAGCTCTTTCGCCCGCGATTCAAAGGCAGGCAAGCTGAAACGAAAGGCGGGCTTGGACAACGCAGGCACTCTCGAGGCCGAGCAGATCCGAGTGTTGAGTACGGTTCGAACCAACATTGCCGGGATTTTGACCTCTCAGCTCAGCAAACACAACACTCCGATGGTCATGGCAGTTTCGGGATCCAAAGGCTCAAACATCAATGTCGCTCAAATGGCGGCTCTGCTAGGACAACAAGATATTGAAGGGAAGCGTGTTGCCGATGGTTTTCAGGACCGTACCTTGCCGCATTTCCTGAAGCATGAACGATCACCTCCCTCGAAAGGCTTTGTTTCGAACAGCTTCTTCAGTGGCCTACTACCTTACGAGTTCTTGTTCCACGCTGTGGGTGGTCGAGTTGGCCTTGTGGACACTGCAGTTAAGACAGCAGAGACTGGTTACATGTCGAGACGACTGATGAAGTCTCTCGAAGATCTTTCTACTCACTATGATCGCACAGTCCGCAACTCGGCTTCCAACATCGTACAGTTTCGCTTCGGAGACGATGATCTCGATCCCGTCGATATGGAGGCAAGTGCGAAACCAGTCGATTTTGAACGCACCTATGCTCATGTTGAGGCGACCACATTCAATATGAAGGACGATGGTCTTAGAGATACCGAGATTTTTGGTGTCATGGAAGAAACTCTCTCGGCAAAGAGACGTCTGCTGACAAGACTCGAGCTCAATGGTGGTGAACTTCGTTATCATACTGATGACGACAGATTAGTCGACCAGCACGAGAGTAATCGAGCATTTTTACAGTCGATACATGATTTCGTCATGGTAAAGTCCCAGGCTTTCAACGAAGCGAGGGAGAAGAAGAAACAGTTTGCTTTACCACCCTCTGCAACAGGTTCTAAGGGAAAGCGAAAAGCTGCGGCTGGGCCGCATGAGGTGGGTGACGAAGAACCTGCGCCGAAACGACGTTTAGGGAAAAAAGGCGCCAATCCTACCGCATTGAAAGTTTCGAACAACCAAAAGCCCGTTTCAACAGACGAGCATGCACTGACCAAACCGCCTCCATCCACGAAAGATCGTTTTGAGCTCACGTCTAAGCTCTCTGAAAAGACATTGCAAGCTTTTGTCAATCTCTGCTTGGAGAAATATGAGCGGGCTCGCGTCGAACCTGGGCATGCAGTCGGGGCTGTCGGTGCACAGTCCATAGGAGAACCGGGAACCCAAATGACGCTGAAGACCTTTCACTTTGCCGGTGTTGCTGGCATGAGTTTGACCGCAGGTGTTCCTCGAATCAAGGAAATCATCAACGCCTCGAGGGAGATCAGTACGCCAGTCATCACTTGCCGACTGGAACGTAGAAGAGATCTATCAATACCTGAAGGCCTTGCCCGTATCGTCAAAGGCCGAATTGAAAACCTGTTTCTTGCAGACGTCACTTCCTGGATTGAAATACGCCACTCTTTGGATAAACCAAGTTGCATCTACCTCCAAATTTCATTAGATACGATTACAGAGCTCGGTCTAGATCTCACAATGGAGGACATCATAGTTGCTATCCAGAAACACCGACAACTCAAATCTGCTAAGCTGAGAATCCGGATCTCCAGGAAAGATGAGCTCAGAATCTCTACAGACTTTGCGATCAAGTCTACCAAGAGAGGATCAGCGGCAAAGGTTGACGAAGAAGGTCAGAGTGAGCGGCTCATTCGCCTTCAGACTCTCCGTCGCATACTGCCGCATGTACATGTTCTCGGCCATCCCCAAGCAACCAGGGCAGTGGTCATGGCGGAAGACGACCCACGATCAGATGAAATCAAGGCCATGCGGAGAGTCCTAGCAGAACAAGAGATGAAGACCGAGCAGCCACAATCAAGTACTGACGCGGAGGTCAAAGATGAGGCCACGAGCAAAAAAGCCACGGCTCCCTCAAAAGCATCCTCCTCAAAAGTTAAAGTCGAAGAGCCGACACCTTCCATCCCCCCAAGTTCCGCCCCTGAAAAAGACGCCGTGCCTGTCCAAATGCATAAAGTCATGGTCGAAGGCTACGGCCTCCGCTACTGTATGAACACCGAAGGCGTCGACCCCTACCATACCGAAACAAATTCCGTAATGGAAACCCTCCAGGTCCTCGGGGTCGAAGCCGCTCGCTCTAAAATCATCACTGAGATCCAGGAAGTCACGAAAGGTCTGTCAATCGATCCGCGTCACATGTACCTGTTGGCGGATGTGATGACATACAAAGGCGAGGTGTTGGGCATCACACGCTTCGGGTTAGCAAAAATGCGTGACTCCGTGCTACAGTTGGCCAGTTTTGAAAAGACGGCAGATCATGTCTTCGATGCCGGTGCCGCGGGCAAGGTGGACCGGATCGAGGGCGTCAGCGAGAGTGTGATTGTGGGCAAAACCATGGGCGTGGGCACCGGCAGTGTCGAGGTGGTGAGGTATTTGAATCTGAGTCGTGCCGTTGCCGCGGGCAAGATGGGAGGAGCGTTGAAGAAGAGAGAGTGTATTTTTGAGGAGAGTTGGGAGAGGGCGGTCAGGAAGGAAAAGAAGAGAAAGTGAGCACCGTGAGAATACGATTCGATGTCAATATCCCCTTTTTGAGGTGAAAAAGATGAATGGTTGTCGATATGATGATATGCAGTTGGAAAGCAACGTTGCGGTCTTCGCCAGATAGATACCTTGAGGGGAATAGGACTCGTCACCATGAGTTCGATGGACATGAACAAAAGATGGCGAAACATTGCAAGTGCAACAGATATCTCTTGCGGCTGAATCAGAAGAACATAGAATAACGCGAAGTGCACGAAGCGTCCTCCTGCAGTTGTTACAACCTTAGTCTTTTGTTCTTTCAAATGCCGGCGTTTGATATGTACAGAGCCGCCTCAAGCTTTTTCCCTCTCCTCTCCTAGCCTTGTCACATTGCTCACCCTCGAGGCCTCAACGCATTGCGCACTCCTAAGGTTACCGGTGTAGCTACGACAAAGTAGAGTCCTCTCCTTGGAAGTGACTCTCTGTCGACAATCCGCAGCCTCCCACGTCTTCTCCTAGCACAGCGCACGATGCGGCATCGAAGACTTAGAATCGCGTAAAGGCGTTTATTTAAAGCCTGCCTCCTTCGCCCTCTGGTCCTCGAGTCTTGCGTAGAGGTTGTCCCTCGCTCGTACGCGGGGTAGGTGGTAGCCATACCACCAGAGGTAGCCGAATGTTGTGCCGAGACCTATATATGTTTCAATCAGCGATATGCTCTGCGGTGGTTTCTGGTCCGGGAGCTTCGTCTTGCTTCTCCAAGGATTCACGGGTCTCAGATAGTTCGGCAGAGACGGAAGCAAAAGTTGATCATCGTTTGTGAGATCCATCTCTTGAAAACGTGAAAGAAGACTAAACCGATACTGCAAGACCGGAGGAAAAGCTCGAAGGGCAGATCATACCGAGCGCAATGCTGATATCCAAAACGAGACCTCGTCGAAGCATCTGCACAAGTTACCCTTTGTTAGCTTTGAAGCTCCGCATCAATTTCGAGGGCAATCCCAGATGTTTCGTTTCCTATTAAAGGAGGATGTGTGCCGGAGAAGGGCGGGGGGAAAGACGCACTCCTGTAATCGGTTTGATCGCCATTGTTCTGGTCTGGCTCTGCTCGAGCTCAGTTCTTCCTCTAAATGTTGGTAGGCCCCGACTCTGAGAGGCAATTCAAGGTGAGGATGAAGTTGGGAGACGAATAAAAAGGGGAGGAGTAGAAAGGTAGCTAAGCAGAGTGGTGGTCTGATACAAAGTAGCTTGTGAAGCTCCTTCAAGATCCGCAGTCCAATTGAGATTCTAGGGCCCGCTGGGCCTGAAAGCAGCCTTGGCACCTTATGTAATTCTCAGCCTCGTCGATTCACTTTCCCTCTTGAGTTCCTCTCGCAGTCAACTCCCTGCGCTGCCTTTCCCCATACCGGAAAGGGAGTTGATCGCGGGTTGTCGCGGGCAAAGGTGATACAGAACTGAGATCGCAGACCAAAAGCACGCCCTTTCCCGATCCTATATTCAATTATTCTGTTCTGAAATTCCTGGCCAATGTTCACCACCTCGCCAAAGAAGAAGATCCCATACCATCACCACCATGGCATGCGACACAAACATCAGACCGTGCCCACCTCGGAACCAGCGTTGCTAGCGCAAGAGGTGGTCGATGATTTACTCGTGCTGTCTATAAAGGCGATATGTGAAGAGGAGGCACAGAGGCAAGGCATCAAGAATCCGGTAATTGAGTCGGTGGCATTGGAATCCTTAGCAGCAGCCATGGACGAATGTAGGATACTCTACGTCACGGCAGCACGGCGTACATGCTGACTTACTTTGACAGTCATGCTCCAATTCCTGTCCAAGGTCCGACGCTCCATGACCGCAGCCCGGCGAATCTGTCCCATCGCCACCGATTTCGAGGCCGCAATCGATGTTCTCGACGTCCCTCGGCCCGACGACCAACTCGGCCCTTATGAGACTCAACCCTCCGTCAACCCCCCTTTACTACCGACGCCACCTCCTGAAGATGAATTCCACAATCTCGTTGAACTTCCAGCATCATTCCTCGGTCCCGGCTTGGACGGCCACGGCGAGTTGAAGAAATTCTCCTTCTCAACCAAGGGATTGCCCGAGCTGCCCTCTGCACATACCTACAAGGATACACCCGTCTACCCGGAACGACAGTCTGATAGTAGGAAGATGAGAGAATTGGCGACCCAGGAAGGGAAACTTGGTGAGCAAGCACTGCGGAAGTTGGCTGGGGCTGTTAAATTGGATGCTGCTCATCCACTCGAAGTGGAGGGGATATCTTCCAGGCAGAAACCTTCCACGATCATCCGGCGCAAGAGGTGGAAGACCGCAGTTGATCTATCGGAAGAGGCAGTTTTTGAAGAAACCCTGCGCGACTTGCTGGCGAAAGAGCCTGGCGGTTTTGAGCTAGGACCGATCGTCAATTGCGAGAAGGCGTATCGAATGCCGGAAGAAGTGATGGTGAAGAGGCGGGCACCGACCAACAAGTCCACCTCGGATAAGCGGAGCAGCTCAGGATTGGACGGAGGCGACGTGGTCATGCGACTGTGATTTCCAGCATTCTTGATGCTTTTGCAGCGTTGGCGTTTGGGCGGTCTTCCAGATTGGATGGGACGAAGTTGCATATGATACCCCAGGCAGAACAAATGGAATCACTTTTTGGGCCACAACGAGCTCCAATAGGTCGTGAGCACATTTTCCGACGACTCGCCCTCAGGAGGCTTTGCTTCGCTCTGCAGTGTCGGCTGTGGATTCGCCGGTGGTTTCCAAGCGTGTTGACCTTCCCACGCTGTTGTCTCGACATGGAACACCTTTCCACCCTGAACGCATCTACATAAAACAAGCTGTCAGCACCCCAGAGAATCGTCACTTCTCCCGTGTAGTCACGTACTTTCTAAACAGCCTCACAATGGGGAAACACTCCATCCTGGTGGACCCGGTTTCGCTCGCCAGTGCCCTTTCGTACTGCTGCTTGACCGTGGTGCAGCTGTACTGGACCAATTCCATCAACTCGCAATCCCGCTTGAGGTCGAAGTCCTGCGGCAGTTTGCGAGATTTTTCTTTGTAGTTGACGCTGTGCGAGCGGACGCGCTGGTCGAGTTCGGAAACGGGGAAAGGGTGTTCGGGCGGAGCCATTTTCTGAAGAACTTCCCAAGGATTTTTCCTTCGATAACTTTCGATCATCGACGAACTATCTCACACGCGCGTGTCTATCATGGCGGCGTCGTCATGTCAGCAGGACAATATGGAGCTCGCCTCCTCGAAGAGGTAAAGGAAGAGACTCTCGAGCAGGTAAATAATTTCAGCATCAAGCGAATCTTTTTGCAAAGCTCCGCTTCACCTTCCCTGCCCCATTTCACTCACAGCCTTGTTCATACTTCCGCATTCAAGAGTCAAGACCGCGATCACATACGTCAATGTCCTAATCATCGTCTTCTATTGCCTCACAGTTCCTAGCGGAGCTCAGATGTTCGATAGACCCTCGGCCGAGATCTGTCCTGGGAGTTCCACAGCTGGACAATCTGCTCGAATCACTTCGCTACCCAGCAGCTGAAAGAACACCAGGAAATCCGCAATGGCCTTCCTCATCCACACCAACATCTCCAGCACTGGACGACAACAATAACAGCACCAGCGAGGGAGAGCAGAGCGACAACGAGGAGATATCTCCTTGCCGACCTCCACTCCGGGCGTTCACAGATCAAGCCAAACCGGCAACGATCGAACTCAGCAGTGCTAAATCGGCCTCCGGCAAGACCTCTCTGCTCTCCTATCTCTGCGCCATATCGGTCCTTCCGAGAGATCTGGGCGGCAACGAGTCGATGGCTGTGTACGTCGACGCCGACGGACGGTTCTCGGCTACAAGACTGGCTCAGATCATGCATCACTGCATTCAACTTCGTCTCCTCTGTATAGAAGCAGGAACTCCTTCTGCTGTTAATCCTGTCTTTGCAGACTCTGGTAATATCCAACAAACCATCCGCTCATCCCTAGACCATGTACACGTCTTCCGTCCGCAGTCGTCGGGCCAGCTGATCTCCATCCTCTCCTCTCTACACACCTATCTCCTCGACAGATCGCGCCATCGCAGTATGCATCGCCCACTGGGCCTCATCGTGCTCGACTCAGCGACTGCGTTCTACTGGCAAGACCGAGCCGACCAGGCAATGGCGAGGCTCGAATTACCACCTTCTGCAACGGCGGCCGAAGGACAACGGTCCAGGGCCGCAGAGACGATCGCGAAGCTCAAGGCCCTCCAAGAGAGGTTCGAATGTGCCGTACTCTTGAGCACCACCACCGCCACCACTACCTCCACCCCTTTTTCATCACCGTCGACGCGGACCCAGCATGAAACAACCTCCGCCAACACCCCCCCGGAGCCCGCGAATTCGGACACTCGCGTTATCTCCCCGTGGACATCCTACGCCACCCTCTCCCTATTGCTCGCGAGGACGCCCGTCTCGCAGTTCCCCCCGCAGATGGGCATCGAAGAGTGCTTGCGAGATCGGGACAGACGGCTCGAGGCCGTGCGGAGGGGGAGGTTTGTAGCTACCTTCCTCGGCGGTGCGGCGCCTGTACGTGCACACGGGAGGGGGGAGAGGGAGCGCCAGAGCGAGGGCGGGAGAGGAGGAGGAGGAGGAGGATGGGAGACAGGCGCGTTCGGGTTCCGGAGCACCGCAGACGGCGTGGAGATCGAGTGAGGGCGAGATTCGTTCGTCTGGTTTATTCATTTCACATGCCCCCTCCCTCTTTCGCCCCCGGGGAGGGCGACACACATAGGTGTTCTGAATGGGATTTGCAAAAGACCCTCTCAAATAGGCTGGTGAAGACTTCTGTTCGAGGAATATGTAGTCTTGCGGTATCTGAAAACATGGTATGTGGACGCCTCTATTTCCGTTCCAAATAATCCGTCCCATATATACATCTGCCTCATCTCGTCGTGGTCTATGTATGAACAATGGTCTGATTGGAATCAACCATTCATTTCTTGTCCAGGCGGCCATGGTTTCGAGCTCCAACATTGGCGCCATCTTTCCGTTGACATCCACATTCACACAGTCCCTCAAGAAGAGTGGGCGTGCTCCTTGTCCCCGACCACTTCCCTCGCACACGCTTTTCTGCACTCCTCGAAAACTCTCACTTGTCTCGCCACCTCCTCCAGCCTACCGAGAACCTCCTTGTTTCCCTTTGCAAATCCATAAATTGCGTACGGAATCCCTGTCTCTTTGCAGAATTCTCGCACATATACCTGCGCTTTTCGAAGGTTATGTCTTGGAATCCTCGGGTATAAGTGGTGGACGGCCTGAAACTGTAATCCGCCGTGGATAAAGTCAAGCCAAGGCGCGCAATCGACATCCATGGTGGTTCGGAGCATCTTCTGCGGGAAGGATTCGTGCACGCCCATGTCGGTGGTCGACATGGCGAAGTGGGAAAGCGTGATTTGAACATGGAGCGGCGCTGTGACCATATGGCTGACCATGACAAATACGAAGCGGTCCCAGGCTGTCGGGATGGAGCAATACACAATTCCGTACCCGTACCAAGCCCAGAAGACGAATTGCCCCAGTATTTCTAGGTAGCGATGCCACCACGCAGGTCCCTTTTTGGGGGCTTGGCCCAGAAAGAGATATTCCCAAGAGAGACGGTAGAGATTGAAGCGGCCCAAGAGGAGAAGTGGGTAATACAACCAGTGCTGTTTCGCAATGGCCAATTTTGCGATGCTATCGAAGTGCATGATTCGATCATAGTAACTGGAGCGCAACGACGAAAAAAACCGGGTGGAGATAGCAAAAAAGGGCATGTGTTCGATATCTGGATCATGTTCAGGCGAATTTGTAACGATGTGGTGGACGTTATGATTGCGTTTCCACCAGCCAATAGACAAGCCACCGAGGAAGTCGGCGATGAAGATTCCAACACAGGTGTCGACGTGGAAGTTGTGCGTGATGCCCATATGTCCGGCGTCATGGGCGGTAAACACCAATTGGTGCCAGAACATGCCGAGAAGGGCGCCAGAGAGAGCGTAGTGGGAGTAGTGGAGGGCGAGGAGAGACGATGCGAAGAGGAGGATATAGCGGCAGCATTCAATCCCGTAGGCACCGTACGGGCAGTCGTAAAGACCGGCCGCTCGCATCTGAGCATCGAGTTCCCGGTATCTGGCGACAATCCGATCCTGCGAGTTGTAGTCTAATGACGGATATTTGAGGATGTCCGACGACTTTTCGGCTGAAAGCTTCATCTGAATGGGATCAGTGTCGACGGTCGTCTGCTCATCTTCCGAAACTGAAGAAGTCGACGGCGACGAAACCATTCGTTCTCGAGTATCGACAGGATCGAAGATGGGGGACGGAGGTGCAGTACTGTTGCTGGAAGAGCTGAGAGCGCCATCCGTCTGGGAACCCGCGTCCTCTTCTTCCTCCACCTCGTTCTCATCTTGAGCCTGGGTGTATGGCCTGAAATGCCCACCCTGTATGGGAGGCAAAAAGTTGATCCATCTCCCCTCGATCCTCCCAATGCCGAACTTCAGCATGTGCGCCTGCGCCTCGAGGGAGTGAAGTGCACGAATCTCATCGGTTCCATCTCTTCCGACCATGTGCAAGATGGACTTGTCACCGCCAGGGTGAAAGGGCAGCCAGGCATCAGCCTTGATCACCCGTCCATCGAGGATTATGATCTTTCTTCCCTCTGCAATCAGTCCCTCGATTTCTCGCCGTGACCAAACGCGGTCCCTCGAGGAGGTCTCGACGGTCATGGGGCGGTCGTACGGTGGTATGTCGATATCGCTGAAGGGTTAAGATGCCATTGTGAGAGAGAGAGAGAGAGAGAGAGAGAGAGAGAGGTCGGTGAGTCGGAAGTTGCCTGATGATGGAGCTATTGTCACCGCTGTAGTTGGAAGCTCGCCCCGCCCAAGTTTCCCTGAGGTACCTAGCAACCCCAAACAGCCCACCAGTCACACCAGGCCCACAGGCTGCACATAGAGCAGCAAGTACCTCGTACTGAGTAATTGCAGGGTACGCCGTCCTCATAAACACCCGCTTCAGCTGCACCATCTCACAACATTTATGCCTAGCAATAGCAACGGTAAGTCGTCGTTGGAGCTGCTGTAAGATTTGCTGATGCATCTAGGCTATTCCGAGAGCATTGCGGACGGGATCAGATCTCGGAAGCGCTGGTCAAATCCATGACTTCCGAAGAGAGGACCTTGCTTCGATCATATTAGCATGAGGCTGTCGTTTCTCAACACAACCATCAAGGCACCGTCGGCAAAATCAACGAGGATGTCACGCGTTGCGGTCTTGTATCAAGCCTGCGACCCGCCGGTCATCAACGGTGTCCGCAAACCCCGGAAACCAGGAGGATATCAAGACTCAGGGGCTGACATCGCCTTCGTGCTTGAATCCAGAAGAGATATTGCGGTCATTACTGCAGAGGCGAGTCCAGACTCGAGGTGAGACGAGGGTTGGTGCTTTCCACATACGGAGACTCGCATTCTGGCCGCTATCGAGCGAGGCGCAAACATTCTATAGGCGAACACGATTCTCTTTGCTTCACACCCGCTACAGACATCGTCCGCTCTTGACAAATACGCAGCTGAGGTGAAAGTGGTGGGCCAACCACCTCGACTCGTTGAGCAGTACGACGACAAAAAATACGTCAATCATCTCCTCCGCGAGCATGGCGGCTTTGCCATACCTCGCTCGTGGACCGTAGATTCCACAACGTCGCCCAGTCTTGAATCCTTGCCATATCCGATTGTTGCCAAACCGATCCGTGGCCGAGGAAGCCATGGGGTCAAGGGTGTACCGTACCCTGGCGGATCTATCAGCACATTTATCTGCCTTGTTCAAAGAAAGCCCGGTCGCCATCCCTCGCGACGGAGGGTGCGGGAAAACTAGACAGTTTCCCAGCACAAGTACAAGTACAAGTACGTGTACTAGCCCAGTGGTAGTCATAGATATGATGAACCTTTGACAATCCCCTGCACCCCTTCCCCGCCGACATTCTTCTCCATCAGCTTGACCTCGTCGGCGGCCTTGGCCTTGTAAATACCGCTTGGCCCACCACTCGGCCACGTGGTCGGCATAGCCTGCAAAGAACACGCCCGCTACTATGACAGCGAGGGCCGTGACGATACCCGTCACAGAGTGCCGTTGGGTAAACCATAGCGCTTCCGTGCGTTGTGCCGGAAGAGGACATGGTTGGTTGTGTGCTGGAGTATATATATGTGTATATCGACAATACTGAATTGCAATGCAATGCGGTGCGGTGCAATTTCTTAGCACTGGATGCCACCAACGTTCGGTATACGAAGCAGCGAGAGCGCGTGAGAAAGAGAGATGGAAAATCTACGCCGAACTCAATAAATGCAAACAAGCCGCTTTCTAGCCTGCTTGGTGTTCCGATATATCTCTCGCTCTATCTACGATCCGCCTTAATTTGGCGTCTGGTGTTGCTTGGACGTCATCACCGTCACCTCCATTCAGCACCCACGCCGTATGGAGCATGGGTTGAACAGGTGGTTCGGGAAGCAGCTTCTTCGCTTACATTCGAAATCTATCTAGTCTCTCTTCCGCAACAGCCCCTACACCCTTTTCACGCTAGATTCCAAAAAGACATATAAACGATCACTAGCCCGATGCCACTCACCCATCATGCTGATCTTCTTTAGGACGGAGTCCAGAATTCCCAATCTCGATCAAGAGAGGATGCTCCGGGGGCCGTAGTCGAGGCAAGTCTTTCAGAGCCTGGTGGTGCGGAGTTGTTGCCGGTACACGGCCCAGTGCTCCCACGCTCGGTGTCATGTCCGCGCCGCGAACGCATTTCAGGCGTCGCCTCGCTCGAGTCGACCCTATAGTTTTCATATTGTTGCATCGAGCCCTCCATAGCATCGGTTTTTTCTTTGCGGTACGATGCTGGTGGTGGCTTTCCTTTGCCGCCAGCGTCGCCAGTGCGTCCGTGCCTTGCAAAAGGTTCTGTGGGCTCTCTCAATCCAGTGAGCCACCTTCCACTGGTCGTACAACATCCGAAAGAGCCCAAATAAGAAGGAACCGCATGCTGACATCATGGCAAGATACTTAGCAATCAAGACCTTTTTGCCCTAGCCTGATGACGCAGAGCTAGTGCAGAAAGTCAACCATGCCTACCCGGAGATCTGAGGCGATGAAGGGTTTCAACTGCATTGGTTACTTGAGACGGTTGCATATTTGTCGCGAATTCGCTCGTCTGCGTGAGCTGGAAGTTTGAGTCTGGTGGGTAGACAGCAGTAAGCTCTAGCTGCAAAGCCATCGGTGCCACATTCACTTCTCGTTTCTATAAAATGGTAGAAACATGTCCCAGGAGGCCGGAAACGCAGGCATACGTGGAATAGATGGTTTGGCCACAATTTGGATGCTGTGACCTTCTGCAAATGTGACTGCAACTTCCTAGCCAATGTAGGGTGTCCCGTTCACTGGGAGGTGTGGTGTTGATGAGACAGGGCAAAGCCAGGTCGGATTCGAGCGAGCTGGCCGACAGCACATCTTTCACTCTGTTTGGAGCTCCACTGGTCGCAATTGGAAGGAATGGAGATCTCTGTTTCCTAGTGGGTGGGCCAACAGGTAGAGAATAGACGTGCGCCGGGGTCAAGTTCAGCGTGTTTTAAAGGCGACGATGAGAAGCGCACCCGATTCCAATGTCATGACAGCGTAATGTGGACGAGGGCTGAAATGAAGAATAGAGGATGAAGAGGGTCCTCGTTTCTGATGTTGTGAAAGATGCTTCATGAGGGGTGTCAAAAAAGAGAGTGCGACATGAGAACTTCGATCGGACATGCTCAACATGCTACTCAATACAACGACTGTCCTCCTGGAAGGCAGCTGCGATCAGATTTTCTATAACGCCATGGGAGTACCTTCAGTTGGTGGGTGCTTCGTGGAGACGGACAGGGAGGCGCAACGGCGCAGTGGTGAGGCCGTATGAATGGCGCACGATTGGATCAGTCTCGTAAGTCTCGATGCCGTCGAATTTCTGCAGCATGCGGACAATGACATAGCCAGCTTCCGTCAGTGCAAACTGCTGCCCAAGACAAATACGAGGTCCGCCGTTGAATGGTAGGAATTCCCAGCCCGGCCGTCGCCCGATCCATCTATCGGGCTTGAATTCTTCCACGTCCGGTCCCCAGATATCTGCCCTGTGATGCATAACATGGACCGAATAGTTGACTTCCGTCCCCTTTTTGACATAGATTGGCGAGGTGCCGTCTGGGCCTCCGCCGTGGGGGAGCGTTGTATCCCTTGTGGCGCGGCGACTGTTGAAGGGCACCGTGGAGAAGACTCGGAGGGTTTCGGACAAGACGTGTTGCAAATAGGTGCACCCCTTGAGAGTTTCAAAGGTGATGGCCTTGGGGTCTTCGTAAGTGCCAAAATCCTCCAATATGGTTTCGCGCAGCTTCTTGAAGACCATGGGATGCCTGACCAATAAATAAAACGTGAATCCAAGTAGACCCGCAGTCGTATCACGACCGGCGAGGAGGATGTTCAGGAGTTGGCTTCGGAGCTCGATGGGGTCCCGAGTCTGTTGTACAAGCTCCTTCAAGAAGATGTACTTCTCCTTCTTGTGGCCCTTTTCCAGGTTGTGTTCGTTCAGCGACGAGAGGTCGGTGGTCAGAGCAAGATTGACGTAGTAGTCAGCAAATCTATGAACCTCCTTGCAGTTCTCATAGAAGTGCTTGGGGCTGTAAAGCCAATACATCTCGGCCAATCGTCCACGGACGCCGAGAGTCATAGTACCGCCATCAAAGCAGGATGCGAATGACGTCCAGTCCAGCTCACCAGGTTTCCGAGTCTTTTGAGTATAACCCGGCAAAGCCGTGAGTTGCGAGTCGACGCTCTGGCCGAACAGAAACTCGGTGGCAGAGTCAAGCGTCAACCGGAAGAAGAGTGGGGACAGATCAACTTGACCAGTCCAGCCGTTTTCTGTGGTGAGATGTCTAAACATGTCCTGAACATGGACTTCTTCCAGTTGCAAATCGGCGACTTGTTGGCGCGCGAACTGGGGGCGGAGAAGAGCACGAGAATGTTCCCTACAACTGCGTCAACAGGGGTTGCAACATTTACGCTCATGGAGGAATGTAAGCTGACCATGCCTTGCCATCACTGGTGAAGATGCCATTGCCCAGCATGGGGAAGAAATTCCCACGACGCTGTTCTCCAATCTCGAAGTCATTGAACTGAGTTGCCAGCAGAGCCTGGATGTTTTTGGGATCCGAGGTCACATAGCCCATGGTTCCCAACATATTTTGTGCCCATGTTGCTCTTTTTCCAGTCCTGTTATTGTAGACGTCGAGAAAATAGTTGGGAACAACATTGTTCTTGTCGGCCTGAATGATTTCCCAGACCAAGTCAGTGCCAAACGGCCAACGGTAAGGACGCTCCCAGGCTGGTTGACATCCAAGCTCTTTGGCCTTTCTAGCGTGGTAGCGCTTTGCAAGGAAAGAAGCTACTAGGAAATAGACGATCGATACTCCGAGCAGGCCGAGGCCCAGTGTGAGATAGTGGTTCATTTTCGATCCGAAGCCAGTCTGAACGAGAGCGACACAGCTGAGTTCCAATGGAGCACCCGAGTTATTGAAGAAATAACAAAGGAGGATCAAAGCGTCGAGATGTCAGCAATTTAAAAGGATAATGGGTGATACCGCGCGCATGGGTTCAGTTCGCCGGATGGCTTGGGAGGGGAGGCGATGCTGGTCACCGCGCTTGTAACGGGTTCCAACTTGGCTTAGGCCGTCATGTAACAGCTCGTACTCGATGCTCTTCACCTGCCAAGTACGGCGTCGTCGACGTGTCAGATGTGTAATGTTCTCGTATACTTGTACACAGGAACGGCGTGAGGGGCCAGTTCGTTGACCAAGGAGACGGAGGACAGAACCACCCATTGCCAATTGGGGTTGATCGTTGCTTGCGTGGATAAGGGCAGGGAAGCGCAGGGAGCACCAGGTCGGTGCCAGGGTAATCTAGGTGATCTGAGTGGTCTGGGTGGTCTGGAGGCCTGAGTCAGTACTTTTGGGTCTCCCAAAGTGGTTTACACACCCCACAGACATCAGCAAGGGCCCAGCGAGGGTTGGTGCATGAATTGATAGCTATTCCCCGCCTCACGACCGCGCGCGGCCTCTCTAACTGTGCTGTCATTGGAGGGACCCAGATTCGGGAGCATCAGTTAGACCGACTCGACGACGGCCTCTAGCAATGAATTTGCCCTTCTAAGCGACTTCGGAATCCTTGGGTCTGGGGTTGTGAAGGTCAGGAGACTCTTTACTCCGCGTTCGTGATTGAGGGGTCAATACGCGGTAGGAAGGAGGATACGAGTTGGATTGATACGAGGGTGACGGAAGGGTGTGCCCAAGTAGCCGAGCATCTGCCGGTCACACAGACTTTCCTCGGTCTTCGCACCAGGAGGGACCTTGTTGGAGTGAGATAGAGGGCCTGGATTGCAATCTTGTCGTACGATTTGGAGGAAGGGGAGTTGCTACAGTAGTCATTCGGTGGAGGCTGACGCACGAGGTCTTGTCCAGGCAATTGGACGCATTCAGATCGAGATATCTCTGCATTACGCGGCTGCGAGGCCCGTACTTAGGAAACCCGCCGCTCAGACGAGCCTATAACTTGAAGCGCTTCGGAAACGATGTTTCAGGCCCTTGGTGGCGAGTGCTCGGACTCTCAATAGCCATCTTGCAACTACTTCAATGGGAAAGCCGGTATAGACTGCGTTCTCGAGCGCGTCAGCCCGTATCTATCCATGGCAAGTCACACAAGCTAAAATCATCCTGCAAAGAGAATCTGCTCCAAGTAATGGATATTGTTGTCCAATATTTCGACTGGGTATCTGATTATTTCATTGTTGGTCCAGAGTTCTCCCTGTAACATAGTGTACACCTTTTTGACATGACAGATTTTGCGCAAAGTGGAGGATCTAGTAAAACGGGCAGGACGCATTGCCCAAAACTATAAGGACACACAAGTGGGAGAGAATCATTCCTTGACAAAGTTCTCGAGATCTGGTCCGAGGAGGTTAGCATAGCGGCAAGTTTGTCCTGGTATATCGACTAACCTTCAAGCCACTTGACGTATTCTTTCTGTTCCTTGTAGTCGAGGTACTCTGGCAGGAAGCTGGCCAGTTCCTCATCAATCCCCCTCTCTTCCAGATACTGGTGGAGCATCTGCTGGAGTTCGGGATCCAGATCCTCCACGGGCGGACCTGCGTAAAGGCTGCGCGCTTCTGACGCGTCTTTGGTATTCTGTGCCTCGAGGAGGGAGTCTTTGGGGAAGAAGGAGACGTTTTCGATCTCAATGGTACCATCTTGGGCAACAGCTCGAATCTCGATGGCCTTGTTGCCGGGTTTGGTTATTGTAATGGTCATATGAGCAGGGTATGCAGGCGTGACATTGGCCACGTCGTCGGCTTCTTCTCCTCCCTCAGCTCTGTCGGCCGGCGCAATGCTGTCCTCAGGCATGACGTCGATTTTTCCGCCTTTGGCACCAGGTTGATTGATACCTCTCTTTCGCACCTCAAAGTCCGGTTCGTCTGAGAGAGCGCCATCTTCATCCAGGGCATCGAATTCATCTTCGGCTGGGTACTCGGAAAGGTCAGAGACGCTCAATTGGATCTTGATCCTGGTTGCTGTTAGTCTTCGCAGCCACCCATCGATGATAAACTCTCACTTTTCGTTGCCAAAATCTCTCGTTAGGAGAATCTCATGTGAGCCAGGTTTGTCTTGGACCTTGAAAGGGCTGTTCTCGAGGAATTCATTGATGGCGGCCAGTCTGTCATCGCTCTGTGATTGGAGCTCGAGCATTCGTTCATTGTTAAGTTTTGCGACCAGGGCCTCATCCGCTAGGACTTGCGTTAGCAAATTTCAGCCCATAGTCGAATAAGCTTACACTGGCCAGCTGATTCTCTTCGGGCAATCGAGGTTGAGAATGCGGGATAAGATGGTTTCATCGCCGATTGCCATTGCGGCCGACGAGTTGCGAATCTCGTGATGGACGACACGGAGCGGGTTGCGGGTTGGCGCAGGAAGCTTTTGGGCAATGCCCGGCTAAGCATCCTTATTGAAAGCATGTTGAGGATAGAAAGATGCAGCTGGAGTTCGAAGATGGAGAGGGAGAGAAGAATCGAAGACGAAAGATGCAAGTACGCAGGAGATGAAGCAGGTCGAGAAAGTCTCTAAAGCATAATTTTTGGACACGAGTCATGACATCACGTGGGGATGGCTCGCACGAGTCAATGCCAAAAGGGGAGCACCGGGATGGTCTTTAGCCCTGCAGGCCCTGCTACTCTGCCTGATGCCTCCATCTGACTCTCCCCCCGCTGATGACAGAACATCGAAAATAGCGGCTCTGTGCACTTGTCGGGGAGCATTGAGTACACTGATCTGTGGCGTGAACTCGCCATGTCCAGCTTAGGATGCCCGGAGTGAAGTCCAAACAGGCGGAAGCCGATATTCCCATGGTAGGATCAGCATCAATCTCCCTTCGCTTTGTCCTCCGTGCTTTTTCAATTTGGAAAACCGGCCCTCCCCTCCCCCCTTCCTCCTCCTCCTCCTGCTGGCAGCCAATGCTCTCTAATGGTGAAGGAACCAAAAGAGCCTTTCCACCTTGGTAGCACTCCCCGTATGAGGTAAGCATTGAACTCAAGACATCTGAGTCCTCGATGGGCCACCTGTCCAAAAGCCTCCGCAGCCGCGGTGGACAGGTGCTGTACTCATTGATGTTTTGTCTGACTTCAATTTGTCCGCATCGGAGGCTCTTGAAATTCATCAAGGCATGGTGAATCATGGCCCTGGCCGGAGGACTGTTTATGCTCGAAGTCCGCCAGAGAAGGATGTGGTATGTTTGATTCGAACACTCCTCTACGTCGGCGGAAGCTGCGTCGCCCGTGGAGGCCTCGATGCCCCTGGCAAAGGCGGAATAGAATCGTCCTTGATGATCGAGTCAAGCCGATGGTGCGGAGGATGCGCTTCCTCCTATGAAAGGCCTTTAGGTGGGAAGCTTGAAGGTTTGATATCGCCTGACTTAATAACACGAACAAAGTCCAACGTGTTCAATCCACCCCACTCTCCGGCCCATCTCTCGACTTTCGACCGGCTTTCCCCGTTTCGAAGTTCAGGAATCCAGAATCCCGCGCGAAATTCACGATCTTCAACTTCCTTTCGCTGGCTGATTTTCTCCTCCACCTTGGTCGGTGGTCTTCCAGGTCGACGCTGTTGTTTGGCTTCGGCCAGTTCTTCATCCTCCCGGTCAATAAAGCTGGTGATCACTGTGAGGCCTCGGCTTCGAACTTTACACAACCCACATACCTCTGCGTAAGTACTTGCATTTCTTCGTCTGTCAATGGGCCTGAAGATCCTTCTAGAGCAGACTTGAACCATGCCACCCGATCGACTACGGTAATCAGAATTCAATCTATAGGCCCTTTCAACATCACGCGGGGAGTCTTACCATAGACCTGATTTGCTCTTGCTGCTGCATCCATCAGCCGACCCAACTTCTCTTCCCTTGCCCCAGCTCGTCGGAGCCTCTTTGCATCCCGACTATTCTCATGTAGAGCATTGAGTTTTCCTCCCCGCTTCTTGGATATCTGCTTCTGGACCTTATTTAGAGAGCGAGCCATGTTGACCGGCCGATGATAGAATAACAAAACAATGGTGTCCGAGTTTCCCCACGGAATTTTTGTGACGCCAAAAAAATTGGTGGAGGCCGGTAAAACATCGGGCCGTTCTGCAAGGCTCCAAGAAGGCTCCAAACGCGTCAATGCAACTCGCGGCGCGTGGTTCGGCGGCTACTAGCCTCGCAGTTCAAGGTATGCGATGCAATGCTCCTCCCCCCAACACCCTTAGAGGTTAACCGTCAAGAATACATCCGATGGCTCTGGGAAGTCCATTCGCACCTATATCACCGCTCACTCCCTACAATTGCCGCTCCTTTATTCTTCCCTCGCTCCGCCTTAAAGTGTCGGCATCGACTGTAAACAAGCGGTGAGCATTGGCGGTGGTGCAAAGATGGGCATTAAAGGTATGTAAATTGACTCCCTGTTGCAGGTAACACTGACGCTTTCAGGTCTGTTGCCTGTGCTCAAGTCCATCCAAAAGCACTGCACTCTCAAGAAATTCTCTGGACAGACCATTGGAGTTGACGCCTATGGATGGCTACACCGAGGCGTTGTGGGCTGCGCTTTCGCCCTTGCCCTCGACAAACCGACTACTATCCACATCGATTTCGTCCTGAGCCGAGTCCGGATGCTGCTCGACTTCGGGGTCACACCTTATCTGGTCTTTGACGGAGACAATCTGCCCAGTAAGGCGGGGACAAATGCTGCCAGGCGGAAGAAAAGAGAAGAGAGCCGGACATTGGGTCTAGAACTGCATAAGGCCGGGAAAACCACTCAAGCCCAACAAGAACTCCAGAAAGCCATCGACGTTACCCCGCTTATGGCTCGACAATTGATTGAGGAGCTGAAGAAGCTTAATGTCCAGTATATCGTTGCACCGTACGAAGCTGATGCCCAGTTGGTTTATTTAGAACAAAAGGGTATCATTAATGGGATTCTGGCCGAAGATTCGGATATGCTTGTTTTTGGTGCCCAGCGGCTATTAACGAAGCTCAACCAATATGGCGAATTGGTTGAGATTGAACGGTCAGACTTCCCCATGTGCAAAGACATCTCTCTTGCTGGCTGGACCAACTCGATGTTCCGACGGATGGCTATCCTCAGCGGCTGCGACTATCTGCCCAATATTGGCAAGTTGGGTCTGAAGACAGCCCACGGCCTTGTTCGCAAGTATACCGACATCGAGAAGATCCTTCGGATTGTCCAATTGGAGGGGAAGTTGATTGTACCGAATGGCTACTTGGAGCAATTTCGACATGCAGAGCTGACCTTTCTACACCACCGTGTTTTCTGTCCAATCACACAAAAAATGGTGTTCCTGAACGACCTTGGTCCAGGAATGTTGGATTCAGACATGCCATATCTGGGGCCTTATGTGGAACCTTCCACAGCTCTTGGTGTCGCATGTGGTGATCTAGATCCGTTCTCGAAGAGACCTATTCAGCTTAACACCAAGTCTCTGGTTCGCCCGGCCCTTGGAGAGCGCAGGAGCCAGAGCTACGCGTCCGTACCAGAGCTGAAGCCGAAGAAACCGATAGAGACATTTTTCCAGCCTCAACGACAACCACTCGCTGAATTAGATCCCAACAGCCTGACTCCTTCTCCGTCGCAACAACGACTGCTGGCACGCAATCAAAATGCCTCTTGGGAACCTAGACTGGTCTCTTCTGCTCCTGCTTTGAGGCGAACTACCACAATATTGGCTGCGCTCGCAAGTGCGACAGACCGCACGGCCTTCCTGGCTAGAGCGTCAACAATGTCGACTTTCCAGTCGACAAAGCGACAACGACTGTGTTCAGACTCAATGGACCCCTCGCCAATCCGAGAGCTGAAGCAAAGTCCATTTTTCACCGCCAAGGGTGAAGAGGCCAGTCCTTTAGCCCAGAAGATTTGCAAGAACAAGAAAAGTGTAAAGTCTAAATTCGAAGTCTTCTCGGACCATTGCGATGGAGACATGCTGCTTGAGCCTGAGATCCAGCAGGCGGCGAGTCCTGACAAAGGAGTGGTAACGAGGAACTCGACGCAAGCAAGGCAGCGTTTGCCTCAAGGCCCTGAATCACATGACTCGATACCACAATCGTCGCCCGCTGCCAAATCCCCAAAGCAGCCTTCACCATCAGACAAAACTCACTCAGGCGGTGCCGAGGCTGTAAGAGAGATCAGCCAGAACCATGATCCCGGCGCCTTTGAGGATCTACTCGAATATCATGTCCGGAAGCAGAACGAATCCTTGATGAAAACGTTCGCTTTCCAACCTCAAGAGAGCCAAACCTCTATCATGCGGTCGCTAGTCCCCATGGGCTCGAGGCAGACGACATCCTCCTCTCGGTCAGAAATCCAGCTGCGCGAACCTAGAAAGGGGCCTAGATCTAGAGACGTCCAGTCATTCTGTCGGAAAGTGGATCTGCAAAAGACCTTCAAACATCAACCATTAGAGGTTCAACGGTCAGCGTTGAGGTCACTGAACCAGCAAAGCTCTCGTGGGGCATCATCTCCGACTTTAAGCAGCCGGACTGAAACATCAGTGGCAGAGAGGAACGGCTGCGTCTCGACAGCCGGTTGGCGAAACGAAAAGCGTGGTAGCGAGGATGCGATAATACCGAACAGCGAGGATGAAAACTCGGAGGCGGGCTCACCAGCACAGAAGCCTAAATTTGACCTCAGTTCATTTGCATTTGTATCAGCATGATTGATTTTGTTATGGGCTTTAGCGGCATTCGGTATGGCGTTTACTTTGTTTCCAGAGATGCACTGCAGGGCGATGTGGAAGGTCTGGATTGGCCGTTGGAGACCAGGCATTGGGCAGAAACGACGAGCTAGAATGTCGACGACTATTGGTTATAACTGTGCAGGGTCTTGGGGCTACTGATTTAATGAATGCAATAGATGTACTCCGTCCCGAATTCTCCGTAGATAACTGAGCCCCTGGTATCAATAATGAACGGAAAGCAAGAAGAACCCACGTTCCGAGTCAACCACGAGTTCGGGTCGGGCAAAGAGACGGTGAAGATGAATAGGTGGAAACTACGTCATAAGGCTACCAGGCAGTAAATAAGCATAAGGTTGGCGGGAGCCTAAACTAAAAACGGTAAAACCAAAACACAGGCTAGCCTCGTCACCCAAGTATCCAGGTTGGCCCAGCCCTGCCACATTTTGTTACAACTGCGCTTTTCCCTGCCACCACATTAATTTCTAACAATTCACTCACACCTCAACAAAAGAAACCCAACCTCACGGATTTCAGATATGGCAAACCACTGAAATCCAATCACAGCCATGGCAAATCCACTCTCAAAATATCTCCAGGACTAAATCAAGCTACGCCTCTCTCTCCTCTCTTCCTTCCTCTTCCTCTTCATCTGTCTCCCTCTGCCAGAAGAAAACCCAGGCAGCTAACCATTCTGTTTTTCAGAGCCATCATACACCTCGACCTTTTGTTAACTTCAAAGACTTCCCTCGGCCACCACTTGAACCTGGCTGCGTGCCAAAACTTGTGCTCGTGCTGAGCTTCAACACCATACTCCGTCCTCAGGGACGGTCACACACACAGAGATACACCTTGCCTCGCGGACACGGTTGATTCCAGGAAGACGGCACAATGGCTCTACGCTTTAGGACAGGGTGGAGAAGATTCGTGCCCTTCATAGGCTACCACCATGTCCTCATGATCTTCATAGCCATTGCAATTATCTTATTATGTGAGTGTTATACCATCTCCCGTGTGCCACCTATTCGAATGCTGACATAGTTCTTCTGCAGCACTCTTGCTAGCAGGCTGCTCGTCAACCTCCCCGCTCATCCCCGATATCTACCTCATCTCACTATACTACCAAAAATACCCTCCCGTTTTCAGTACCGTACAAGTCGATCCCTCCGTCACCACTGCGATAGCGAACATCGTGGGAAATGCCGACTTGAATGTCCGCGTAGGATATTTCGGCATCTGCATCCGTGTCGATGGGGGAGCGTGGATGTGCAATCAAAATTCAACCGCACTGGCTGACCTGGTGTCCATCGATCAAGACCCATTGAACCTGATATGGGTAGCCAGCACGTTCAAGAACGCCATCGTGTTTCCCTATCTACTGATTATTGCAATTGTGCTGGCATTCCTCACATTTTTGCTCCTGGCGACCTTCCCAGGTTGGCATACGTCCACGGGACCAGATGGATCTGAGCATGAAGTCCGACCATTTCCCTCGAGAGCAGTGTCACAGGTCGCGCTGGCCACAATTTTCATTGCATCGGTCTTTGTGCTGGTCAGCGTTATGTGGCAACACACCGCGGCCGTAGCGGCAAGCACAGTAGCACAGGATCTGGGAAATGGGAGCGTCAAGTCGGGGGTTGGAACCTCGGCTATGGTGCTTGGTTGGTTCGGCTTTGGATTGCTCGTCGTGGTCACACTAGGATTGCTGGTCATGATATTAAGCATTCAATTGCTGGATCGTCTTACGGATGAGGTGTGTTTGCGCCAGCTGAATATCCCCTTTCAGAATCATTTGTGCTAACCTTCTCTCTAGGACTGAGAAACGTGTACAATACACGAAGTTGAAGAATATTTTTGACGGAAACGAATGAAGTGGATGATCGAATGTGTATTATCTCCTTGCGAAATGCGACAAAATGAACAAAACCGACATTATGATTTTTGGGGGCAGGGGGAAAACTAACGGATGGAGCATAGCAACCAATCAATTCACAAAAATGGCGTCCTCGGTGAATAGATTCTCGACATGATTTCAGCGTCAATCAGGCATTTTCATTGCACGACGGGTGCAAGGCTGGAACGGAAGACAACAACAACATCGTCAACTCACATGCATTGGTTAGTCAGGCGCCTTGGGGCGTGGGAGGGGCACACGAGCGAGTGGGCGGGATATGTATGCATTGGAAGTGGAATGGGGAATGTCCATAGTTCGAGATTGCAAAGCAGCCTGGAAGTGGGAAGGTTCTTGGGACCCCGAAGATGACACCAGGCTGATATGTTTATGTGTATGAGATACTTGGACAAAGGACCACAGAGAAACAAAGACACCATACCTCGTACTGCATCTCATACGAAGAAGACTACTTCTTAGCCGGCGCATCCAGAAGATCCACTTTACAAGTATGTATGTGTCATGGGTATTTAGTATGCACCTCGGAAATACGTACCTAGCTCGCGAGATGGTGGCTGATGAAGGCCCTTGTATGAACGAATACGATAAGTGTTCTTACAACCGTTGATCCCTTGGCCTTCTGCGTACCAAGTACTTGTACTGGGTACTTGGCTCGTTGGCTCACAACTACGCCAAGAGAGGTCACATGACATAGTGACCTGTGCACTTACTTAGCGAGGCTACATAGCTCGGTAGATATCACACTACCAGACCGCGCCAAAACCCTTCCATCGTCATTCACGTTACTTGTACCCAGTTCTCGGTACGAGGTAGATCTTCTGACCGTGTCAGTTTCGCCTGCGTGCATCGCTGATACCCGGCTTGTCCCTTTGCGCCGCCAAAGATCTCCACAAATTTACCTCCAAGTAGGTAGCCTCCGCTAAGGATCGAAAGCCTCACTCTCGATGCCTCCTACAAGTAATACCACGAGTCAGGCATCGGACATAGGCGCTATCTAGGAAGCCGCAGCCAAGAGATACAACAATGATATAAAGGAAGATGACCCAAAAAAGCGTGCCCTCTTTCATCGCCAGAAGTCTACTGAGACTCACTGAGACTCCTGAACGCTTGTACCTGCTCACGGAGAAACAATTTGATCTCCAGCAGGTGGAGTATACCCAATAACGGTGCGACATCCTGGAACACGGCCAGCATGGAAATATTCATCAATAAGGCTCTGGACAGGAAAAACTACACTGAAGACAAGACTCTGAAGGTGCCGAGTAAAATCTCAAGTTTGACCTAGGTTATCATACCAGTCGTTGACGGTCTAGCCTATAGTGTCTTTCTACCTGCTCTAGTAGTTACTTGGGTGTTAACCTACGTCTTCCAGGCGACTAACAGAATGGCGGAAATGCGTGAGAGAGTAATCGGGTTCTACGAAACGGTATCATTCTTATTTGAGAGACTATCACCACCGCAGAACAAAATACCATCAGAAACAGCATTTCATTCAAAATTGAGCTGGTTGTTTGGTACTATCCTGGAGGTATGCTCTCTTGGATGAAAGCTGTTCAGAAGCCGAACATCAACATTCTTCAAAGTAGGGATCCTGCAAGATGATAGCTTCACAGAAAAGTACAAAGTGTTCGACCAGCAGATGAGCGATCTCGAGTCCTCTATTATTACGTCCACGCTCGGCAACGTCATTCAGACCAGACAAACCGTCAGGCATTTACAGCAAACGATGGATGTGGGCCTCATCAACATCAGAGTGTTAATGATGCAGGTAGCCACTTTCAACACGAAACTAGAGATCACTGCATACAACCGAGGTGAGCGCCGTGACGTGGATTCCAGAGAGGACCAGCTCATGGATGACTTTGGAAGTCGCAAATTCAGAACGTTAGAGCATATCCTGCGTTCGATTTCGACGGGCCCAGAGTTCCCTGTGGCGAAGCGACTGCTAAAAATGGAACAATCGTACGTCAAAGGAACCTGCATCTGGATCAAGCAGAACGACGAGTTTCGGAAGTTTTTGAAACAGAGCACGGGTTTGCTTTTCGTCAAGGGCAACAAGCGCACAGGAATGAGCATGATGCTGTTCTACGTCTTGCGATACTTACTGCATGAATACCAACCGGGGAATGAGTTTGCAGAAAAAATCGACTGTTGCGTACTTCAACTTCGGTTGCGATAGCGGGGAAGTCCTCTCCGTTCAAGACTTCATTTCCTGCTATGTCATGCAGGGTGCCGAGCGGGACGCAGGTCATCGAAAGCGACTCACAAAGCACATCAAGGAAAGAGAGGCCAACAACGGCAAGTGTAGTTGCTGAGAACCAAAAGAATGCGATCGCTGCTGGAGTGCTCTTTTCAGAGAAATGTTTCTGAGCGAGTCTACATCAGTCCTCATTCTCGACGGAGTCGACGAATTGAACACTGAAGAGCTAGGGAAACTTTTGCAATACCTCGAAACAGCCGTTACCAACCAACAACTGCAAGTCATTTCTGCGGTCCCCAGGGAGTCAGTTTTCGTATCGCAGCTCACCCAGCGCCTCGAAATGCCGATGTGCACCATATTTTTAGGCCTTGAGAAGCCTGCACAAAAAGACTCCATGGATGACTTGAGCAAATTCGTCCAGATTCGTTTCGAAAGTTGGCCTAGACTTGTAAGACGTATCTGAATGAAGAGAGACACGATCATCAATGCGAGAAGGCCAAAGGTAAAAAATCATATGATTCGCCTGAGTACACCTCTCACAAGTTCTTCTAACTCATCTTTACTGGATTTTGTTTATGCGGATCATGCTCTCCGTTTACATAACCAGAGGAACTCAAAGTCGCAACACCTTGAAGTGCGCCTCGAAGCACTCCCAGACAACACCCAATGTTTTCATGAGACACTCTTCGCTGAATGCAACTCCGAGAGGTCCAAATTTTAGATGCAGCTGCTGAGGAATCTCTTCACATGGCTCGCTTATACAAAAAGTAGCTTTACCCTCGCTAGAATGAAACTGCTACTGGAGCTCACTTCAGCGTGGTCGAAGGTCGAGAGTGGTGCAAAGGAAGCAGGCAGCACTCCCGCAAAGGAGCTCGACTTGAATAGTGAATTGGATGGCAGGTTATCTCAGTAAGCCGTGTCCGTTGAGGATTGAGATTCCAGGTCTGACTTCTACCTCTTCCCATATTGTTTCATAGACTTCTCATGCTTTCCCTTAATGATGATAAGATTGCAGAATTTGGCGCTATGGACGTAGAAATGGAGCATGTTGAGGACGAGGATGAGACCAGCTTCCTGTCGTTCTTGACGATCGACAATTGGAAGGAGGTCGAGCACCCGCTCGAGGCGCATGCATCTTTTCGGTTCGCGTACAGGGCAATACTCGATGCTTATGAAATTGAAAAAAATCAACCTGAAATTCCACCCGACTCGGCTTTTGCCAACCTTTGCTTGAAATGAGGAGACAAAGGCGAAGGGTTTGAACTAAAGGACTTCACTGCGGTCTCAGACGAGTTCGGCAAATGGGGCAAAACTGCAAAAGAGTTCAGGTGTCGCTCTCTGGCCCTGCGATGCGAGGTTTGCTACAAAGATGCTTTAGATAAAGCCGAGCAGGGGATTTCAGAGGCTCGAAATTCAAAGAATGAGAAGGAGGAGTTGGAGCTTTGGCTAAGAGTCGGACGCATCTGTTTGGGCATGTCTGTGGATCTACAAACAATCCGCTTGAAGCCTTCGGATATCGCAGAGCTGCAGGAGCACCTCAACTTCGTCACAGCCACCCCCTAATGAGGTTGAGCAAGCGTCTGAAGCTAGCGAAAGAAAGAGCAAGGACAGACTATGAGGGACAGTGAGTAACCAAAACAGACCTCCAAACCACCAATACGCCCCATAACAACAAGGCTGGAAAAGATTCAACGAACGTCAGCAGCGAGACCTATTTCAGACGTGAACTAAACATGAAGTGTTTGGAAGCTGGTAAGAAGGCAGTCCAGCATGTGCGAACGAATTCAAGAGAAGGGAGGGGATACGAAGACGAATACCTGGGGGCAGAAAATCATCAACGCATACCAACTGCAAATTAGGGCTGAGATTCTGATACCAGCCTCATCTATTTTGACGATATTGTTGACTCTCTGGCCAAAAGGGCCGAGTGGGGGGAAATCAGCAGTCTCCTCGGCAAGGGAAGCAAAAAGCAGGTGGTGACAGGTTGCAAGTCGTCGACGCATAGTTTCATCCAACGCGGTGCAAGAATGCCAGGAATGTCTGACAGCGGCGATCGCCTGGACGAACTGTACCATCAGGCGATCCAGTCATTACAGAACACTTCCAACCGTGGTCTGTCGAACTCTTTGCGATTGTGGCATGCCATTTTTAGGTGGAGTTCCCCAGAGTCTGCCGATAAAGCAACGGCGGAGACACTTCTGAACCTAGCACGGGACCCAGCTGAGGGCAGAGGTATCGCCGTAATGACGGCGACGAGCTAGCAGATGTTAGACATCCTCATTCTATATGTTCCGAATCTGTACCATGCGTGCCGAAAAGGAAATCTTGCGCGGGGAATCGGAGCGACTTACACGCGATTCCGAGTTCCAGCCAGGACTGTCACAGATGAGCATTCCGTTGACAATTGCGTATCGCCAGATTGGGTCAGCGAGCGCGTTCTGCGATAGAATGGATATAACCTTCCCGGCATGCTGCAGGGCTTTGGAAGACGATCTGGTTTCCAACGACGCTCAGAGCGTTCGGATGCTCGCCAAGGTGCTGGCACTTCTTCCGATTCCGGATCTTCAACATGAGGCGAGGATCGCCTGTACTCTTCAGTTTTACACCGTCACCGAAAGCTCGTCCACGCAACAAACGATACCTACAAGTGCCGCAGGTGGGAGCCTGGACAGCGAAGGAAGAGTGGTGTCAACAAAGGGTCGAGGCGATTCGCAAAGGAAAAAGCCAAATGATCCGAACAAAGATGCTCCGGACGGTGGCGATGGCGTCCAGTGCAGCGGTTCGTGTGGAACATTGTTTACTGGCTCGTCCATGACGCAATCTAAGAAAAACCAGAGCCGTGATTCCGCACTTCATCTGTGCTATGTACCATTGCACAAACACTATTCTCTGCTCATCGTGCCATGCAGAAAGGAACAAGCCCTGGGTGCCTCGCTCCCTAGACCACGAGCATATCAAAGCTCTCGCTGAGAATTTGAAATGTGTTCGCAAGGCTAAGTCGGGCCAAGAATTGGCCTTCCTGAAAGACAGGCAAGAATCTCCCATGCTGTTTGCGGAATGGCTGGAGCGTCTGGAGGGAAAGTGGGAAGATGGTTGGAAAGAGTACTGGAAGAAGGCGGAAGACCATGGCCAAATCTTCGAGACCACTATTGTTGCAGCGATATGTCGGCAGTACCACGCCGGGGAATGCACATTCGGAATTCCTCCCAGTTGGTCGGCGGTTTGAGTCTTTGGAGATGTTCTTCCATGCATCGAAATCTGTATGCCAACTGTTCTCTTCGAAACACGAACATATGCCATGCTCAAACGGCAAAGGCTGGCTGGTGGGGGGGTCAGGTTTGAGCAAAACATATTAATAGTGCTTGTCAAAGAAAGAAAGAAAGAAAGAAAGAAAGAAAGACCTGTTTGTGATATTACTAGCCCTCCCCCCAAATATGAGTGATGTGTGTAGAGGTCTCCCATACCAAGCTGTCCCAACGCCCCAAGGGAAAAAATAGGGAGGCCATGCTTATTGAAAATGGACGTGTCGGCGACACGCCACGACACACGGCACACGACACGTCTCCCGCTCCCAAGTAAGACAGATCTCCCCGAGGACTCTGAGTACTGCTCACTGTTTCCCCATCCCATCGCATAGGCGCAGGGGAAAAGGCGAGGAACGCCATCGTCAATAGCAGCAGGAGTATCGGTCCAAGGACTCCGTGCAATGCGGATTCGTCTTCGATAAAGACTTGTACGTTTCAACCAGTGAAGCAGATTTCTTAGCTCTATCGAATAGCTGCTAACCAGCCAGCCAGCCCCTTTCTCATAACGACGATTCAAAGGACCAACAACCCAACCAGTCGATGAATCAATCAATCCCACGATCTAACCTTCACATGCAAGTCGTGCAACAGGGTCGGAAACCCGCTGATAGGGAGCGGCGCCGAAGCCTCCTTGAACCGCACCGCCAGCACCAACAACCTGGTCTCGGACGTCTCTCCAAGCCGGACCGGGACGCGAAACGGCTGGCGCGAAACCATGACTTGGGCCTTGACGGTGTGGAATGCTGCGATCTCGGTCCACGGGTCATGCTGCAAAAGCGACGACGGCGGCCGGGACATGGAAAGCTTCGTATAGAAGAGACCTTTGACTCGGTCGAGGAGACGGTTCAGCTCGGCACTGCCGTGTCGCAGACGCGAGCGGATCGTCCCGTGGATCTCGGGGGCTCCATTGACGTGCTGCGTCCCCGTAGGCGTGAGGTTGTTCGCCGAGGAGGGCTCGTTGGCATGCGGCTCAAAGTAGAAGAGACTGGCCAGCAAGTCATTTGCAGCGTCATCGATACGCTTTCTCCATTCGCTTTCTTTCATCTGTCGCCGCACCATCTCTTCCAGCTTGGCCATTTTATCCCACTGCCACAACGTGACTTTCTGCAGGTTCTCGTCGATCGGTGGATTCAGCCGGTGCAGCCGGTCACGGAAAGCGTCCGTCGCACTACTGGCGACGAACTCTTGCCACTGGGTCTCAGAGTCCAGTTTGCTGTGGAAGGACCGGCAGATCTCCTCGAAACCCCCGATTCGGATCGCCCGGGGAATCTTGACTTCCGAGTCCTGAACACCGGTCCCAATGGAGACGAGAACATCGAGCGAAGGGGGGTGTTCGGGCCACAGCTTCCTGATCTCCTCCACAGCTCCAGGGGCTGGACAGTTCATGTGCAATGCACCGTCAAGGTACAGAATCCCCGTCTCCGTCTTCTTGAACGGGGCCAAGTAGAACGGGGCAGCGGACGTCGCAAGCCCCGCCTCCCAAATTCGCATTCCTTTGGTCTCGTCGTCTTCGCGCTCAAAGTCGCTGCTCGATCCCAAATTTGGTCGGTTGTAGCTGGTGATAAGTTGTGCGCGTTTTCCAAAATCCACGGTGGCAACCACAGCCACTCGGGTCGAACATTGGTGATGCCGGGTTCGCGCAGACCCGAAGAGACTTGTCTGGGAGCCAAAGAAATCTTTCAACCCATTTTCCAACGGCACTGAATCAAACAAGGCTTGATACAGACCGAAAGACATGACCACACTCGTCACAAAGTGGCCAAGCCCAATCTTCGTCAGGAGACTGCCGGCTCGGGGATGGCGGAAAGTTGAGGATGCAAAATCCTTGAACGACTTCGTTATCGAGGTTGTTTGTGTGTTTGCATCCCTGTCTCCCATTGCCAGGGCCAGCGCAATAACTCCACCTATGAAGGAAGGAAGTCAGTAAGGCATGTCTACGTCTCGAAATTTGGCCCTGGAACGACTTACCTGTGCTTGTCCCGACTATGAGGTCAAAGTAGTCACGGAAGGGAATCTGCAAGCCCAGCCTCTTCTCCATCTCTTGTATGATAGCAAGCTCAATGATGCCTCGAATTCCGCCTCCGTCCAGCGTCAGAATTCGGGCGCCAGCACATCGTGGTCTTTCCCTTATCAGATGTGAGTAGCTGTCACATGTCCGTGCGCTGCAAAGTGGACAGACTTCGAATGTCCAAGCCGACTCGAAGCTCTCTGACGCCTGGCCCAGTTCTCGAACACATTGGACACAGAATCCGTGGCCGCAGTGCAGGACGTTTTCGGGTACTGCCTGCAGACAAGCAAGACAGGTGATATTGCTGGTCATCGAACTCCACTGCCTAATATATTTCTGCATGACGGCTTCTCGAACCCTCCTGATCTTACTTAGAGCGGGCTTGGTCATGGACCGGTGACGGGTCCCACCATCACTCACTAGACTTTCATAAAGCCCCAAGAATCTATCTCGAATCAGACTCACCAGGTTTGGGTCCAATCTATGCCTGGGGGTGAATTCCCCGTCCGCCCGTTTCTTGGATGTCGACAAATGTAGTTGCTGATGCGCAGCCGGCGGCCCATTTGTGCAAAGGTCGTTCTCCGAAAACTTATACCCACATTGCTGGTACTTTTCTTCGTACTCTTGGAGGGCAGACTGACAGTGCTCTGCCAGCGAGAACTCATCCTTGTCACCGTTTATGACGCGGCCAAATAGGCTTGCTGGATCCACCACTATAGAGGCGTCGAGTTTAGAAAAGCTAGAGAGGAGATAAAATGGACGTTCTGATTTTCTTACCGTGAATGAGATTCCTCATTGACCAAACAGCAAAGCTCAGAGCGACAATATCAGGTATCATTGCCCTGATTTGGACAGACATCGGTGAGTTGAATGCAAGTCGAAGGAAATTGGCAATATGGTCGGAGAACGATTGGGGGTTGGGCTTGCTGACCCTCGCAGCCTTGTTGAAATTGAATGCTTCGTCGCTGGTCCGAAAGTGTTCGAAAGCTGAAAAGAGGATTTGAGAGAGGGAAGAAACATTGTACTTCATCCACAATTTGGAACGCATATTGATTGCTCGTTGTGAGGCATCGTCGATCAGGGTCCGTAGTTTCAGGTATTGGGTGAACATCGTTTCGTCTCCGCGTTCCTCAATATCATTGATATGAGGTATGCAACAGCAAATGATTCTATCAAACAATGCGTCGTAGAGGTCTCGATTCCGGTAGATATGCTTGCTAAATCCATCCTGTTTGCTGTTATAATCATTGACAAAATTCTGAAGTATGGGTGACGCTTTCCACAAAAAGGTCTGACGCTCCAAGTATAGTCTCTCGAGAGACTCGTTATCGACAAATTGCTGGCTGTGGCCAAGAGCGCCATTGCGAACGATGACGAGAGTCTTCCGCGAAGGGTAATTAACAGAGTGCATAACTGCCGTTGCTGCCCACTCCAGCGCGCTCACGAGCAAAAGTGTGATGTTCTGATCCTCGTTGGTCACAAAGACGACGACATCGCTGACGGCGTAAAGAAATCTTGCGTAGAACAGTTCTGCTCCTTGCTGTCCATGACGAGAGTAACTGGCTGCGGTCACGGGCGCTTTGTACAACACGTTCGCTTCCGTAGCATCTTCGTTGGCCGGCATTCTGCGTTGATCTGTGGCAAAGCGTTCAGCATTCGTTTGCGCCGCCCCAGCGAAGAACCCCTCGCAGTCTGCGAACAATGTCAAGGTATTGGGGTCTGATTGCGATGTGCGTGAGCTCGAGAGGTCCTTGTAGAGATGGACACCAAGTGTCGTAGGGTCTGCGGCATGATCAATATGGCCCGATCGGGTCACTGGCATCTCATGTTGCGAAGAGATGGCGGCCCTGAAAGTCTCCGAACGATTTTGGTTTGTTGAGAGGTTAGAGACATCGTCATCTTTCATGTGTTGTACGTCTAGGTTTCCCAGCAACAACATTGCTCTTACCAGCGTGGACTTGCCGACGCCCGACTTCCCGATGAAGGACACGAACGTTGGGAATGCAGCAGCGGCCGAGGAAGCTGGGTCGGCTATAGGTTCACACAATGGACCGAATCTGTCGTAGACGTAGAGAACGGGTTGAGAATTGCGATGGCGGATGTTGAACCACCGCGTTGCCGCATTTTGTTCGTGTAGCTGTCTCAGTCTCTCGGGTTCATCCTCCGAGTGAATGATATCCTTGACGAAGAAATGGTGTACCGTCAACCCAACTGCGGCATGGGATGTTGCGAGCCTCGAGCTTCGGGGGAGATGGTCATCCCAGCAACTGCCGTGGAAGCGGCATTCCCTGAGATTGCAGTCATCTATGTGGCAGTGGACAGAGTAATAGTCGGGGCACTGTCTGCTCTTGGAGCATCGAGCTGCCCATTTCCAGGGAATTGGTTTGCCACAATGGCACTTGCATCCTGATGCGGCCTCCTAAGGTGAGCTGATGTTAGCCTCAGCCTCGAGAATATCGTGCTATCGGCTTTCAAGCGGTCTTACCATTCTGGACGTCCACGAATTCGATCAAGAAGCTTCTCCCGGGCCTGCAGAGGATCGATGATTGATGATAGAAGTGGCAGTCCTCCTATCCCCTGAATACTCCGACATAGTATTCAATGGAACACTGGACCAAGGCCCGCGACCACGGAGGACGAGGATGGCGATCGTCATTCTTCCAAGCCTCGATCAGCCTTGTTCCTATCGACCATCGGCCAGCAGGCAACCAGAACCTCGCTGCGCCTCTGCCAAGTCAGAACACGACCTTGGGCTGGGCCGCGGACCAGCGACAGTACGGCCCCCCTTGTCGCTTGAAAGGTTGCCTTTCCTCACAGAAACAGGTTTAGCCCTTGATGCTGGGCAACTTGGACGGTTTGTGGCTGGCTGAAAAATCAGGCTCTCTCATCGTCGTCACCTACCGATTTGGCCTGGCTTTTTGGCAGGAACTTTGGTCCTGAGGCGGCTCTTTGGCCATGGGATTCTCGAAAGCTGGATGGACTAGCCATCCGATGTGGACCAGCACCTTCATCGATCCTGTCAGAGGACGTCATGCTTGCCCAGACAGTAATGGAACCGGTGTAGGGCGTCTCGCCTGCAAATTCTCATCCAATCTGATCTGGATTCCGAAGTACGGGAGGAGGTTAGACAGAAAAGCGGTGTCAGGGGTGTTCAGTCCATCTACTCCGTCCTGCAAGTCCTGGTATCACAGTCCCAATTACGCCACTAGTACATAACGAGATTAGTCCGTTGGACCCTTGACCCCTTGATGGCCCTTTTACTCCTTTGAGGCTGAGAGAATACAACCGAGCACATGGACGGGGTCCCCCCTCCCCCTCTGTCGCTTCGACCCCCTCCCTCACATTGACTCTCGCGGTTCAGGATGTTTGGGCCCTATTACCATTCCTCTCATCGCTTTGCTTGACTTCCTGTTTCCTTCCATCGAGGCTGTGCTGCACCCGAATCGAGCGTCATAGTTCCCCGCGCTCGGGACCGCCGATGCGGCTCTGTTCTCGAAATCCGCTACCGCGGACGGCAGCTTCACACTTGTTTCAGCGGATTTCTTCGCTCGAACTGAGGTAGGGCTTCATAAGTGTCTGGGTAATGGTCGTACTTGTCGGTATGTGCAGGAGTCTTGACGCCACAGAAGAGCTCCCCGAGCTTCATGGCTAGCCGGATCGTGAACGTCATGGTGAATGAATAAGACAGACATGAAGTTATGTCCAGCGCTTGGTCTCTTTGAGTAGGTCAGTATGCACGTCTGAGCACCCGCTGAGCGAACTTACCGAAATCGAGCGCCCATTGTTTTGTCTACCAGCCTTGAATACCCATCAAGACCAGTAGTTGCATCACTACCACAACTGGTGTCAGTCACAAGTCACTCCCTAGGATCTTGTATGGCTTACTTTGCAAAGAATGCAGTAAGTAACATTCCCGTGGCTCCTCCGCCGGCGTGAACGGCGAAGATAGCCAGTTTGTCAGCTGGCAAGAGATTGTACATGATTATTCTCAAAACCTTGCAGATGATGGCGCCCACAACGCCGAAAACAGGAGCATATTTGACGGGAACCTGTAATTCGTTAGTCGGAATTCAGTCGGCCGAGACAAACCAGGGAATCCGGAGCCAATTGTCACTCACATATCCTGCAGCAGGTGTAATAGCCACCAGCCCAGCAATGACACCGTCACAGAACTCCTGAATGGACGGTGTATGTATCAAGGTGTCCGGGTTGTCTGACGCTATCCTGTCAAGAGGGGCCAGACCCCATTGAATAAGTAAGCCGATTGTGCCTCCAGCACATGCAGCAGCCTGCGTTGCCAGACAAGCTGACACAGCGCGAAGATTCGCTCCAAGGGCCGAACCACCGTTGAAGCCGAACCATCCGACCCAAAGCAGGGAAGTGCCCAATACCATGTGGTTAATGCTGTAAGGCAAACTCGATTGTTCGCGGTTCAAGCTGGATCCTGGCCTCTCCGTAACATTTGGTTGCCGCGGAGCTCGAACCTGTCCGTTGCCAGCGTGTTCTGCCTGTGGCGAGGTTGTCCTTGGGTCAACTTCGGTGTCAGTCGTGCTCTCTTTCACGGACAGCCATCTCCAGACTTTCCATGTCTTCAGTTTGATTTTCACTGTCAGTTTTCGAAAGACGAGTGTTGTGCGCCAATCTGCAGCTTCAAGCTGTGAAAAGACAGCGAGAGCGGCAACCGACGATCCAGAACAAACATGCACTGCAGTACCACCAGCGAAGTCCATTGCTCCCCTGAGTTTGGACCAGCCTAGTGGATGCCATGTCCATCTGGCCACTGGACAATAAACAAGAGTCGTCCACAAGGTAATGAAGACGAGATACCGCCCGACACGGGTTTTGCCCGCCGCTCCACCAGAGACAAGACTTGCCCTGCAGGAAAATATTAAACTATCGAATTCAAAGTTCCTCGCGGGAGACTCACGTGAAACAAGCAAACATGCCTTGGTAGAAGACATAGACCATTTCTGGGATTTTCGGGCCCGTCATGACTGATGGGTCAGGACCTTGTATACCCACAGGTCGAGCGGTGATATCGATATAGGCGTTTGCTCTGGTATCTCCACCATACCATGACACGCCGCGTAGCGCATCCGGGTCGTATACTGCGGGAGAGAAAGCAAGGGCATATCCCCACATATACCACTATCCTACCATCAGCCGCTGTGATGCTTCCGCAAGGACGTGGTAGGGTCGAAACTTACCACACACCCCACCACGGCGGTGGTAATCAGCGGAAGACGCACCAAGGTGAGTGTGGAATCCGGCTTCGAGACACCTGAGAAGTGGAGGCACAGACCGGGAATCATGAAAAAGACGAGGGCAGCTGCTACTATCATGAACCCAATATCTCCTCCCTGTGGTAAAGTTAGAAACCAAAGCTCTTCGGAGAGGGTTGTGATTGAAGACTTTCCTGAAAGTAGAGCTCTGGATGTGATTTCAACTCATCATAAGTTGCCGTCACGTTCAATCGAGGGGCAGCTGGCACTGGGCCGAAGTTGAACACTTCTTTGGTTGCCATGTTCGACCTTGCCGTTGGATATAAGTGAGGGCGCCTGTTCAGACAGCACTAGAGTCCGGGAACCCGGCTCACTCATATATGAGTTCGGCCACAAGCAGTTCTCAAGGAGAATCCAGGCTCTGGGCTGATGCCAACGCCCGCCATCCCTTCGTGGTTAAGCAGTAGTCGGCCACCGTCATTTGCCCCCTCCGAACCGCTGTCCCCATGGCTGCCTCTTCGATCCGTATTGGGCGGCATGGTCGGGGCGATGCCAGCCTTTGGCAACTAGGCAAGCACTTCGCCTCCACAAAAGGTTGCGCCTCGGTGTGTCCCCAAGAAAACGGTCGAACTTGTCGTCGTGTGAGCAGGAGGATCCACCCCAGAGCCTCAAACAATGTCTCTCCAAGGACACTAGTCTTGTCCATAATTGCCAGCGTCCACACCAACGTGGCTCTCAAACGGCGAGGCTTGTGAAGACTTCTGCCTTCGATTTTCGTCGCCTTGCAGCTTCCGGCCATCCCCCCTTTTTTTCTGCTAGTCCATGTCAAGCCACCAATCGCACAGGCGGGTCCAATGTCAGGTCAGAACCAATAGCATGATCACGAAACATCTTTCCTTGCAGGCTGGTGGCTCCCCTCACCATAGCAGCACCTTCGTGGCCAATATTAACAATCTCGCCCGGCGTCCCACACACTCGTCACTCTATCTCGTCATCTTCTAACACGCACAAGTACTTGTAGATATCTGTGCGCCGTTAGTCTCTCCGACAACTTTCTCATAGCCATGAATCCCCGAAACCATTACCCTGACAACGCTCAACAACGGCAGTTGTATCCCTTCGGGAGACAAGGATGGCCCATGGGAGAATCTCCCTCATTCGAAGAGGATTTGACCGCTTCGGACGGAAATGATGAACAGAATGTGCAGAAGTTCACCGAACTTGTTCGAGACCTTCAAGCGGAAACCATGAGAGGGCTAGAAGATATCAGAACGGACTCTCCAAAACTTTACCGTCACATCACCCAAGTGGACCCTGCTCGACTACTCCCAAACAATGGTAGCGGTATGAGCGCCGCATCCATTTTTTATGTCACCCACCATTTGGCTACCAGGATGCATCCCCCCGACAATCAGCAGGAACCGCAAGGCTTTCTGAGATATGTAACGCAGATCTGTATCACGATATGGGTGTACCAGTGCGATCAGGCGGACTGGCGGGAACTGAAACGAAGTGTTAGTGACTTCATATTGCGGAATGGCTTCCAGCCCTCCATGAATGATGCGGCGTATCTTATAATCATTGCATTCGTCCTTGGCGGAGAGTTAGACCAGATGCTGGAGGAATATGTTGATGCTGTGGTGTGGGATTCAAAACTCGAATTTGCTTGCGAAATAGAACCCCTGCGGAATGCCATCAGCCGTCAGTGTCCCCCCCCCTTTTTTTTTATTCCTTCCCTAGCAGCGGGAGGCATGCGCTGACCGGTAGTAGGCGAGCGACGAGCCTTGGTCGAATTCATGCATAACAGCTTCTCGCATGTCTTGAATGGGTTAGCGTACAGCGGTGACAAACAGCTATGGTCTTTGGGCCAGAGACTTCATGCGCGCTTGATGTCGGCAGAATTCAGACTGGATTTGAGCAGAACTTTTGCAGGCACTCAAGACTTTAACTCTGCTCAATACCCAGCAGCTTTTGAATCGACCTTCCTAGAGACCTTAAAGACAGAGCGGGAAGCTTTGGGATTGAGAGGCCACGCTCGAGCTGCGAGTGACGCCGAAATCCAGCACTGGAACCCACCAGCAATCAGGCACGGCAATGGTGGACCACTCGTGGCAGCTATTGGCAGAGTCTTCAGGGGAAATGGGCAGCAGTCTGCTCAAACTCGCTTAGAGACCATTCTCAAGGAGGCAACGAGAGGGATAGAAGAGAAGAGAAGGAGGAGGATTGCCGACGCAGTCCAAAAACTGAAAAGAGAAAGAAACGGCAGACTCCAGGCAGCCTCGGTCGCTGCAGATGAGTCTGCTTGCCACAGAGCAAATGGAACAGCAGGGAGATGATACTGGCAATCCCGGTCAAAGAAGGATTAACATGGGAAGGTAGTACGGCGTAGGGGGTGACGCGGCGCAAAGGGAAGAAAAGACAAGTCTTGGGGAGGGCAGGATATGATACCAACGATTATATATATGGACATATCGGTCTAACGATGTCCATGCTGGCCCCTCGACTGCAGGGGCCCCTTGGGTTCAGAAACGTAATGAATATTCCCGATCGAGCAAAAATGAACAATGAAAATTGGCCATCGAAGCATTTTAATCCACACTTGTCCGCAACAAACCATCCGTGGGCCATCATAGGGCTGGCTGTTTACCTCACCGTATTATATTACGGCGGAGCAAATAGTCCATACCACGCTTAGGTTACGAGTTTTCTGTACCGAGTACCTCAACCTTGATCAAAGCAATTCTGTGCCTCTCTGGAGATGTCGCTGTTACATCCAACCTTAGATGGAACGGCTCACCTGGGGCCCATATCTGATCAATGGAGAGCTCAGCACAAAAGCTTTGGGCCGCGCCTATCCAGCTCAGCAGGACCCGCGTCAAAGAACTTCTGAGTGAGCAAGGCTGCAGCCACACTGACGTTAAGGCTGTCAATCTCTCCAACGTCAGGTCTCGCATTAGGGATCCCGGCCACACCATCCATCATGGTTCGCATAAAGTCCCGAATGCCAGTCTCTTCATTCCCAAGAACTAGGACGCAGGGATGTCTCGACAATGCACCCTCAACATCCAGGGCTTTCTTGCCCTTTTGACGCATAATTTGCCGCATCATCCCACCATCACTCTCCGGTGCATCGGCAGCGAAGAACTTCCATCCATTTTTCCGCGAATCCCTGATGAACTCTCTTTCATTCTTGATATGGAGAAGGGGCATGTATTCGAACGCCCCGGCAGAAGCCTTGACACTGTTAGTTGAAATAGGTGCAGTGCCGTGCTCAAGGATGAGGATGGCATCGACCCCGAGAAACCAAGCCGAACGTACAATGGCGCCGAAGTTGCCAGTGTCAGTGATGCAATCAAGCAGGAGCATGAAAGGATACCGACCGGAGGGTCGAACAGAGGGGATTGTTGCTCTGCTTCCAGACGTGCCAAACACAGTATTGATCTCTCGGTCCTCTTCAGATGCCCATCCGACCGAGACAGTGATAGGGTCAGACGATTGTGTTACAGATGACAAGCCCGCGACAGGTAGTTTTGGAATCGGAGAAGCCTCCAGAATCCAGCCATTATGTGGTCGTCCATCCGATGCTTTGGCAAACACGCCTTGCCAGCGAGGTCCTGATACGGCCGTGACAGCTATCCCGACCTTTTCAGCTAGACTGTGGATTTGCTTATGGATTTGAACCTGCTCTGCGGACTCTTTGGGTTGGAGAGCTTTAGCTCTCTTCGTGTCCTTGTCATAGCCTGGAGGAAGTAGTCGATAGAGGTTGTGGAGTTTCCGTCTCTGGGCTTTGAGCGCAGCTAAGACAGCAAACGTCCCGTAGAGAAATTCTGATCCGGCTGTGGTGTAAGGGATTGACGTCGGCACTCCGGTATCAGCGCGCACGGATTTTGCTCCTTTTGCATCTTGCCCTGGCTGCACGGTCCTCGGACCTTTGCGTCTTTTTTGGCCTCTCCGCCTTTCTTCGCCTGGTATGATCACTACCTTCGTCTTGCCATCCTCTTCGCCTATGTTCAACGTGTCCGAAGGCTGGTCGCGGCCTTGCCGAGGACTCGCAGTAGAGTTTTCATAATGGTTTTCCAGTCGATTTCTACTTTGCTGGCCTCTTCGGATCCCTTTTTCAATTGCGCCGGTCAGAGATATGAAGCGTGCTGGTTGAGACCAACGGACGTGCTTGATCGCAAGAGCGGCGAGGAGGACAGGACGGCGAAATTGGAGCATTCACGAATAAGTTGACATGGGAACGCCCTCTGTCAGTGGTCTTGTAGGCGTGCAGAGGGACAGGTACTTGGAGTTGGAGAAATAAAATTATTACTCCGTAATTAGTTTGTTGGCGACGCGGAGCGCGTTCTACTCTCACTTTCGATTCTTACTTTCGAGCGCAACTTGAACTTCGTCACTGCGATTTTTCACCACACTCCCCTTCTTTCTGCGTGACCTTGAGCCTTGTACGATGGAAGAAACTCTGATTCTCTTCACTCCCTTTAGAACCGCGCCGAACACCCTGTTGATCGCCACTACACTTCGGACTCGACCAAAGTGCACGCCTACCGTGCACCAGACTGTCTCTTGTGCCCTGCAGTTCATGTGTCTATAACAAAGATGGAGGATATAGATGTCCGCGTCTGGTTGGGTAAGCCGCCGGAGAAAGCAACAAGCTCCGCAGAGCCTGTCGAAGATGCTCTAGATGATCAACCACCAGTTGCGCTGTCACTCTCGAATGCATCTAGCGAAGCGGGGGATATTTTCCACAACGATGGGAAAGCTAATCAGCAAAACCACGGCAAACATGTTCCTACGGAGGACTCGTCCTCGGATCAAGAGGGCGAGAACGGTGACAATCTTCTGGTCGGCCTGTTCCAAAAACATTTCTACATCGATGTGCCCAGATTAACAGACGAAGAGAAGGAAGCGTACGAGTATCTGCCGGGGCATTTTTCTGTGGAAAAGGTTCTGTCTGAGCGCAAAGACAGGAAATATGTCGTCAGGCTTGAGAGTGGCGAGCAAGATATTGTACGTCGTCCCCGTCCTCGTTTTCTATTAGATATGTTTTCGATATCAGCTCAGTCCTGTTTTCACTCACTCTCCTCTCAGACTTCTTTCCTTGCCTCATACACTTTCTCACTTGCTCTCTTTCCTCTCCCCTCATCCTCACTAATCTGTGATTTACACTTGGTCTCCCTTTCAAACATACCCGCAACTAATCATGCCTGCCATTCAGGTATCTGCGCGTGAACTCCGGGACCTCGACAATGGCTACGATGCATTGCTGGAGTTCGAGGCTAGTGTCAAGTCGAGCAGAAGCAGACGGACTTCGCGGAAAATTTCAAGCATGATAGACTGGACTACGATAACTCTATCGGAGTCTGAGAAGGAATCCAGATCCAAGCGACGTCGTAGACAAGAACGCGACAGCGAGACCTCCGGAAAGGATGGAAGAGGGGATTTGTCAGAGGCGCATAATGAGAGTGTCTCAGATGAGGATCCGGGGGAGGGGAGACGCTCTGCAAGACTAAGCAAACTTCAGAAGTCTGCATATCTTAAACAAAAACTCCGCGACCCTGAAGATGAGTCTGATAACCGCATCACAAGGAGACGAGGGAAATTACATGCGTCTACGCTGCGGTCTACGAGATTCTCTACACGAGGGCGTCCGCTGCGCTCCTCTAGGGCGAGAGATGACTCGTCTTCCGATGCCGAGCGTCTTACGATAACACGGCGATCTGAGCGAACAAAAACAAGACCGAAACACAGCATGCGAGAGCTGCAAGAAGACGAGATCTCCAGCTATGAGGAAGAGAAGGCAGGTCCGAAGGTCGTCGGCACGAAGGAGCACTTCATCCGAATTCCTGAAAACGATCCCTTTAGAAAAAGACATCGGCAAGAATGTGACACTTGTTACTACAAGGGAGATGACAATGTCAAAGGACCATTGGTCTTCTGCCAGGGATGCACAAACTCCTACCACAAGGTCTGTCTTGGGTTCCGAGGCACCAGAGATCACCTAGTCACCAAAATCGCCGAAGACCTATTCGTTCTGCAGTGTAGGCGTTGCATTGGGCTTGCCCACGAAAAAGATGAATTGGCACCGCATCAGGGACGTTGTTCGGGCTGCCGCGAACTAGGGGAATTGTCGAAACCGTTTCGTGGTCGTTTGACAACTCGTCAAGAACAACTCCAGAGAGAGGAGAATGGGGGAAGGGACCCTATTACTATTGTCGAAGCCAGACTGATCAACAATGTTGGCAACGTGATGTTCAGATGCTCACAATGCGCGCGTGCATGGCATATGCATCACCTTCCTGAGCGCAAGACAGCCCATTCCCTCGACGACGACGAGGATGAGAGCATGGTCGACGAAACGAAATTGGCGCAGAAACGCTTTGAGCACTATCATCGATCATGGATCTGCAAAACCTGCGTTGAAAATCAACATCAAATTGACGGTCTCGTGGCATGGCGGCCTGCCGATCTCGACACTTACACCCCAGGCACAGCGGTGACCGAGATCCCGGATGACGAAAAGGAGTACCTGATCAAATGGCGAACACAATCTTATTTTCGGTCCACGTGGATGCCAGGAGCCTGGGTATGGGGCGTCGCCACGGGGACCATGCGCATATCTTTCTCCAAGAAGCCGGAGAATCGGCTGCCAAAAATGACCACAGCTGATGCGATTCCGGAAGAAGTTTTCCGTGTTGACATTGTTTTCGACGTGCGCTACTCGAGTGTTGTACGCAGCAGCACTAAGGAGATAGACCTCGCCCGTGTCAAAGAGGTTGACTCCGCACTCGTCAAATACAAGGGTCTTGGTTACGAAGACGCTATCTGGGAAAAGCCTCCCGCACACGCCGACATGGAACGATGGAATGATTTCAAAGCGGCATATGAGGACTACGTTATGAAATTGCATATGTCGATCCCTCCTCAGACAACATTGAAACGTCATCTTACGCAAGTCCGAACATTGGACTTTGAGGCCAATCTCATCAAAAAGAAGCAGCCAACTATTGTGACTGGTGGAGAATTGATGCGCTACCAGTTGGAGGGTCTGAATTGGCTCCTCTATCAATGGTTCACAAATCAAAATGCTATTCTCGCCGATGAAATGGGGTTGGGCAAGACCATTCAGCTTGTGGCTTTCTTTGCTACGTTGGTCCAGGATCACAAATGCTGGCCTTTCCTTGTTGTGGTACCCAACTCCACATGCCCTAACTGGCGACGCGAGATAAAGAAGTGGGCCCCTTCTCTTAGAGTTGTCATGTATTATGGGTCCTCTGTGGCCAGGAAGCTCACGCACGACTACGAATTATTTCCCAAAAACAAGGAAGAAGACTCCCATGGCCCGCCGAAGAAGAAATCAAACGAGATCAAGGATATCAAAGCTCATGTCGTGGTTGCGTCCTACGAGTCGATCGTTGAAGAGAAGACTCGGAAGAGTCTAATGAAAGTCCCCTGGCAAGCCCTCGTTGTCGACGAAGGACAACGCTTGAAGAGCGACCGGACACAGATCTACGAGATGTTGTCTAAATTTCGCTTCCCGTTCAGAGTGTTATTGACAGGCACACCACTTCAGAACAATGCCCGAGAACTGTTCAATCTTCTCCAGTTCCTCGACAAGAGCGTTAATGCTGCCGATCTTGAAGCAAAGTATGCCAACCTTACACAGGAGAACGTTCCCGAGCTGCACGCGATGCTCCGGAAGTTCTTCCTTCGACGCACCAAGGCACAAGTTTTGACATTCCTCCCTCCTATGGCCCAGATCATCTTACCGGTCAGCATGTCAACAGTCCAGAAAAAGGTCTACAAGTCGATTTTGGCCAAAAACCCACAGCTGATGAAGTCGATTTTTGTTCGTGATAGCAATATCCAACAGAAGGAAAGGCATAACCTGAACAACATTTTGATGCAGCTGCGCAAGTGCCTGTGCCACCCTTTTGTCTACAGTCGCGAGATTGAGGAACGGGGCGTCGATGGTGCGATATTGTACCGGAATTTAGTGGAAGCATCGTCAAAGTTGCAGCTGCTCACTATCATGCTCCCTAAGCTTCAAGAGCACGGCCATCGGGTTCTCATGTTCTCCCAGTTTCTGGACAATCTAGACGTACTGGAAGACTTCCTTGACGGACTCGGGATCCAACATCTCCGGCTTGACGGGAATATCTCTGCTGCTGAGAAACAAAAGCGAATTGACGAATTCAATGCACCAGGCTCGCCTTACTTCGTCTTTCTACTATCAACGCGAGCGGGTGGAGTGGGGATCAATCTCGCCACTGCCGACACTGTCATCATTCTTGATCCAGATTTCAATCCGCACCAGGATATCCAAGCACTTTCCCGAGCTCACCGCATTGGTCAAAAGGCGAAAGTGCTTGTGTTCCAACTCATGACGAGAGACAGCGTTGAAGAGAAGATTATACAGATTGGTCGAAGGAAGATGGCGTTAGATCATGTGCTCATTGAGCGAATGGACAAGGAAGACGATGCGGGCGAGGATCTCGAATCGATTTTGCGGCACGGTGCTGAAGCTTTGTTCCAAGATGACTCTGGTGATGATGATATTGTCTACGACTCGGCATCAATCGATCGTCTATTAGATCGGACCCAAGTCGAAGACACCAAGATAGACGAACTGAAGTCGGCCGAGTCGCAATTTAGCTTCGCCCGAATCTGGGCCAATGATAAGTCTACATTGGAGGAGGATTTGCCTGACCGCACAGGTAACAGTACCCCTAACCCGGGGATTTGGGACAAGATACTGCGAGAACGAGAACGACAGTTCGCAGAAGAGGAAGCGAGAAAAGCTCAGGCCTTTGGTCGAGGCAAAAGAAAACGCCAGGTGAGAGAGCCCCGATGCTGTGCAGGTCTCGGATCCCGAGCCGAAAAGGGGATGTGCAAGAACTAACTTGACCAGAACGTCGACTACGGTGTCGACAACGGCGAGAAGGGCGAGCCCGACAGGGTTCAAGGCAAACGCGGCATCAAGGCGGTGGACCCTGACTACAAGATCCCAGAGGACAAATCTGAGTACGAGGAAGAAGTCACGGAGGCAGACTCGCAGCCCAAGTCGCGACCCAAAGTCCAAGGTAGGAGGATCAAATCTAATCCACAAAGTCGCCGATACTGATATGTGACGGACGCGACAGCGAGGCCCTTCCGACGAGTCCGAGTTCCCCTTGGACCAGCACCGCATTTCAATGGAGATGCAAGTTTTGATTATGGACCACTTCAGCAGATGCCGCCTGTGCACCATTGCTCTGTATGCAATGAGCATCATCCGATGGGCTGGTGTCGGCTGAAGTTGGCGGGGGTTGAGCATTGCGGGTTGTGTGGGATTGCGCATCTGGGGCATTCTCGAACGTGCCCGCATCTCACCAATGAGAATCAGGTGATGACAATGTTGCAGACGCTCAAGCAAAGCACCGAAAGTCGAGAGCTTATCGACCAAGCCACGAAATACCTGCGCGCAGTCAGGGGAGATCTCGTGCAGCGCAAACGGGCTCAGGAACGCAAAGAATACTACGAGAGTCCGCGCAAAGAAGACGAGATTCCGCTCCCTCGAACTCAGCAACCACCACCACCACCACCACCACCACACCAACGACAACAAGAAACTGGATGGCAAACTTAACGAGGCATGTCATGATGGAGGTTTGGGCTGCTACGATTTATGATTCGAGCTGGGAATACTGATTATACTGAACAAGCATCATTGGGCTGTCCAAGGGGAAGGATGGGTTTGGATGCTACCGGGGTTTGGGCGCAGGATGGGCCTCCTTTGAGCCCTCCAGGAACTATGAGAGCCATACAATAGTGATACTGTACATACCCCCAGATAGCTGGAGTTTGGGCTAAGTACGAGATTCAATCAGAAATATGCGGAGAGCCAAGAGTGATCCATGGTTTCTATGTGTACTCCAAACCAGTCCCTATGCCGTAGTGGGTACCAAGGACGTCAATGACTTTGATGCGAGATTAGGACAAAGGGTTGTGGGGGAGAACGCGTACAGAGAAAAGAACGGGGGGGGGTTGCTGAGGTCGAGTCCTCGGGAGATGGACTTCATGGAGAATTGAAAACTTGGTAGACATGAAAATAGGTTGATGAAACGCAAGATGTAACGGCAGCAATGGTGAAGCACGTTGACGGGTCATAGGCGTGTTTCCGATTGCGGAATGTGGCCAAGCCGAGAGCCGACTGCGAGACACGATGACGTCGCTGGACGTGCTAAGGGGTGGGCACTTAGTACGAGGAGTACCGATCACTCGACCTACTGGGTACTCGTCATAAGTACCCAAGAGTATGATTTAAGAGAACATGCGGAGAAGTAGGAATGATAATAACAATCATAATAATACTATGTATAATCCGGCAAGGCAGAGTTCCAATCAGCCTCGTCAAAAGACTCAATCATTGTGTGGTGCTGGGTGTTGGGTGGGTTCGGATGGTGGTTGGGCAATTTCATTCCCTTTGACCACGAGCTGCTGCGCCTCCGCACACGCAAGCCCGCGATTCACTGACTGGTCAGGGGGCAGATCACGGGCAGCTCCAGCTCCTAATTCTGCTTAGCGCCCGTGCCATCTGCGTTGGCTTGGCAAGGATCTGGCATCCTGAGGCTTCTTTTGGCACTCTTTGTCTTCTCTCCAGGTGCTCTTCGCGGCTAGGCCCCTGTCTCCTCTGCCCCCCTGGCCCCCCCGGCCCCCTGTCTTCCCTGCGCCTCCCCCCCAAAAACTGCCTCCCCTTGCCGTCCTGCCCTATCGTCTCTCACCTGCGGTACCCAATTCATCCTTCGTCCTCCCCCAAACCAAGACACTGCTACCCGTAAAGAGAAGACAACAAGGTACAACCGGAGTGCCGTAGTGCCGCAGCCCACCAACCCGATCGACTCCGGTTACAGGCCCTGGGCTCCACGCGACTCGCCCAAAGCACCAACCACCAGGGCGTCTCCTGTTCTGTTGCGTCGCCTCCAAGGGCTCGTGTCAAATCTCGCATCTCTTCCTGTTCCAGCCTCCGTCACCACTTACCACCATTTACGACCACCTCACTCTCCTTTACAATTCACGCTCGCTATTCACCCCCGACATCCCCTTCAACCTCGACACCGGCTGCACCTTCAATTCTCTTTGACATTTCTTTGTCGCCAGAATTGAACTGTCACGCCGACGACACCGACGACGACGACGACGACTTCTACCAACCATCGCTGTCCCTAGCTCTGCCGCTCGTTCCAATTCCCGGTTTTTGTCCACCTTCCAGCCTCCCTTGAAAATCCCCAATGACACCATTGATCACCCTCCTCAATTAAAGTCTTTCTTTGCCTGTCACCGAGCTCGCCATTGAAAGAAAACCGATAATATCCTCTCCATTGTCCTCATCGTTGATTGCTGAGGAGGAGTTCGCCCTGGTTGGCGCCCTAAAATCTCTCGCATATTCCCCTTCTCTCCTACCCTAAGCAACCGCGTCCCGTCGCAGACGCCAACTGCGACTCGATCCAAAAATGCGACCTCAAACCTCGTTATCCTACCTTCTCTCCCTCTTCGCCGTCATCTCGCTGTCACCTTTCGCCCTTGCAGAAAATATAATCGAGTCAAACTCGTTGAATTCGTGCAAGAGTGGCTCCAATTTCACTGCAACCTTGTTCAATGTCGCATACACGCCATCCAACAACAGTATCAGCCTCAATATTAATGGTGTCTCGTCCATTGTGGGAAATGTGACGGCACAGTTGGAGGTTATTGCCTATGGATTCACCATTCTCAACCAGACGCTCAACCCCTGTTCCATGGATCTTTCAGGCTTCTGTCCCATGCAGACCGGTCAAATCGACATCCAGACAAATATCGACGTCCCTCAGGATGTTGCCAAACAAGTCCCCGGGATCGCCTACAGCGTACCAGACCTGGACGGCGTGGTTCGTGTCTATGTCACCTCTCTCGACACGGGTGAGGTGATTGCGTGCATGGAAGCGGACCTCTCCAACACCAAGAGCGTCTACCATCCAGCTGTAGGCTGGGCTACAGCCGTTATTGCCGGTCTTGGTCTAGTTGCCGCTGGTCTTACGTCCGGACTCGGTCACCCAAACACGGCCGCCCATGTTGCTGCGAACGCTGTCTCGCTCTTCGGCTTCTTCCAAGCCCAGGCTGTCATTGGCATGACTTCCGTCACCATGCCTCCTATTGTGCAATCTTGGACTCAGAACTTCCAATGGAGTATGGGTATCATTCGTGTTGGCTTCCTTCAGTCAATCGCAACATGGTATCAGCGGGCAACTGGCGGAACTCCAACCACCTACCTCTCCACCCTGAGCACCTATTCCGTCCAAGTGCAGAAACGCGCCATCAAACGCTCGCTCGACCTCATGGCAGCTTTCGCGACCCAAAACTTACGCTACCTGGCCAAACGCCAAAGCTCTGCATCTTCAACCACTACCGTCGCGAACGTCAAGGTGGTTCGTGGGATCGACAGAGTCGGTTTTAGGGCAGGAATCGAACAGACCAACATCTTCATGACCGGTCTGATATTCTTCGTCTTCATCCTATTCTTAGTCGCTGTCTTGGTTGCCCTCACCAAGGCCATTCTTGATGGTTGTGCCAAGGCGGGCTGGATGAAGTCTGATAAATTCCTCGAGTTCCGAAATGGCTGGAAAATTGTCATCAAGGGTATTCTGTTCCGATTGGTGAGCTTCCAAAATTCCCCTTTTTAAGGCATCCAGCTGCTGACAGGTACACCTCCCCAGGTTCTTCTCGGTTTCGTACAGATGTCTGTCCTCTGCTTATGGGAATTGGTCGAACGAGACTCGGCCGCGGAAGTTGTCTTGGCACTGATCGTGTTCATCTCCATGGCTGTCGCTCTGGGATGGGCATCCTTCAAGGTCATCCAACTGGCAAAGAAATCGGTCGCCATGCACAAGAACCCGGCTTACATTCTCTATTCCGACCCCGAATGCCTCAACAAGTGGGGATTCCTCTATGTGCAGTATCGCGCCACTGCTTACTACTTCGTGGTGCCTCTTCTGGGCTATATCCTGATCAAGGCCGTCTTCATCGCCTTTGCACAAAAATCGCCAGTTGCTCAAGCCGTGGGCTTGGTCATTGTCGAGGCGGTGGCGCTAATCGCCACCAGCGTCCTGCGGCCCTACATGGACAAGAAGACCAATATCTTCAACATCTCCATCGCCTCGGTCAATTTCCTTAACGCTATTTTCCTCCTCGTCTTTTCCGATGCATTCGGGCAGCCGCAAATGGTGTCGGGCGTCATGGGCGTCATCTTCGCCTTCTATAACGTCGTCTTTGCCGCGGTTCTGTTGATCTTGGTGCTCATTGCCTCCATCTACGCCATTGCCTCCAAAAACCCAGAGGTCAGGTATCAGCCAATGCGCGATGACCGAGGAAGCTTCATCAAGTCTCAAGCCGCGCTCACCACTGAGCTGGACGCGTTGGGTGCCACAGCCAGGGGAGATGGAACGACCGCGTATACCAAGGACAAGGGATACGATGATGCTGCTTCTTTCTCAAGCGAATCGCTAAAGCATCAATCCGAAATCTCACAGCGACCCATGTCCCAGAACCACGCCGCCAATCCTCAACAAGACTTTAACACACCCATGTATCCCAGCGACCAGCCCGGACGACGTGGTCCACCCCAATCATATGAACAACGACAAATGTACAACCAAGGCTACAATTCCGGTGGTGACTATGGGTATGGTGGAAGACCGACAACAGCATCCACCCAACCTTCATACGATCGAAGCATGAGCAGTCTCGCCAGTGGTGGCTACGGGGCCCCGCCTCCTCGTTCCGCACAAGGCGGATATCCTCCACAGCAAGGTTTCCGGCAGCAGAACAATGCGAGTCCCTGGCAAAGAGGAGCTGGGTATGAGTGACTACACTCGGGCCAGGCAGACTTAGCAGGGGGTGGAAATGGGCAGGCAACAGAAAACCCTCAGCATCTTAATCCGAATTCGAGTCAGGACAGAAGGGGAAGGCTCGAGATGAGCGAGATGAAGCTGGAAAGCGGATACTGGGACAGAGATTGGTGGACCCATGAGTACGCTAAGGGCTAGATATACTCGAGACGGGTCGTCCCTTACACGCGAACACAATCAGAATGGGAGATGAGGAAGTCCATACCCATCCGAGAGCTTTTCTGGGGAAAAGAAAAAGCATAAGAGGGTCACTATGTGATGAGACATGAAACCGATTTTTCTTTCTGCATCCACCAACCGTCACTGGCATCTTGTGCGCTTGGATCATGGCCCCATTTTCTCATACTGATCTTTCAGGTTATGGCTATTAGAGCTGTGAAAGAATCCTACAGCATTGAGAGGCATTTCTAGGGAGCATGCATCAAGCGGGCATTCTAGCGGCGTTCATATGTTAACCCTCAGGTGTTGTTTATGTCTGAGTACGCAAGTACAAATAAAAAAGACAAAAATCCCAAATCATAAAGAAACAATTACACTTGACCTTGACCTTGACCTTGACGCTTGATGCTTTTCTACGCGTGTTTTGTTCCACGTGTGGGAGCCCAGACGAGATGAGACGTAGGGAGTGGTAAACTTAATGTACGACAAGTCATTTGAGATTCACGATAGATAAGGTGCACGTAGTTCAGCCCAGGCCAGCTTCCCTGAGGAGATCCTACCAGGCTCAATTCTCTGGGCTTTTCTCTTCCAATTTGACGATGACTCTCGGAATAATTTGGTCTGCTGGCGTTGGCTTTGGAGCTGCGGTCCCATTCTCGGCAGAGACGATTCTTTTCTTGAAGACCACTCGGACCGAGACTATGGTGTAGCAGTATCCTGCTTCATGCCGCCCGTCATTCAGCTCAGGAGGAATATCATACCGATCAAAGAACGCATCTCTGTCCTCCGGTTGGTCGGCAACCCGTACTGTGGCATCAACCACCTTGTGCACGTCCCAGTCCTTGCAGATTCCAGAGCGTTCCCTAACCTGCCACTCTTGCCACTCTTTTGCGAGCTGGTCAAAACTGCCGTCGCGAGTTAGCGCCCTCCACACTCTCCTCGCCATTGGACGGCTGGGAGCATCAGGAGTTTCGTACATACTAATCTTCCGCCAATACCTCACAGGATCGACGAAGGTGTTGCGCATGGTTACCTCTTGAAGTGATTGGAGCTGATCTCGGTACTCATACAGGATATTTAGAAGCACGTTCGTTTCGTTCCAATTCACCGAATCTGGGCAAGTGAAGATCCCTTGCATCCCAATATGCCGAATTGGATGTCCCAATCGTTCTCCGAATTGAGTGCAGGGCTCGAATTCTATGCGTCTGATATTTTTCAACTTGTACTCAGCGAGATTCTTCAAGAAGAGATTATCAAACTGATGCGGGCTGTAGCGTTCGCCCAGGCCCCAGCGTCTTCTTGGCACAATTCCAGGTTTTGGCGGGTTCGCGAGAACGTTCGTCGATCGATAAAACAGCGGAGCCCATTCGGCCGTAATCTTTTGACATATCAGGAGAAGGTTTTTGCGATCGGCGTTGAGACGATCCTCATGCTGAGGGTCGGTGAAAATCTTGTAGATGAGCAGTCGCACTTCTGGGAAGGCGTTGAGAAAAGCAGAATCTTGACATACATCTCCCGGCCCAGTCTGATGCAGCTTTTGCTTCTCATCTGGGCTTTTGAGTTGAAGTGCCGTGCCATGGTCGCCACTTTCTTGAGACATGGTTGCAGAATGGTAATGGGGGCTTTCCAGAGACTAGAGTTTGTTTCGAGTGGAAGCGCTTGAAGTTTGTGCTTGAAGTTGTTGGTTGAGGTTTGTAGTTGACGAGGAGGGTTTCAACTTTTAAAGGTGATGAGGCAGGTCACTGCCTGGAAGGAATCCACTCGAAGCGAACAATGCGAGAGACGACAAAGCCACGGCACTCTGGCTCTCAGGCAGTCACACCCTGCTGCCACGGGCAAGGCAGTATCGACTCCAGGTTCTCTGCACCCACTAGATAAATATATATAGAGAGAGAGAGACCCTAAGCACATTTCAGTTCAGCTGTCTCTATCTTAAAGCTCAAGACCACTCACCACGATATCTTACATCTCGGTTCCGCGAAGGTGATAGTTGCGACAACAAACAGCAACTTCTTTGTCTTTCCATCTTTGGTCGCCTCGCTCTTTGTACTATGGGAGCACAAGCTCATTGATGAAGCGACATGAACAAAGAGCCGAATACAGGCACATTGTGTGTCTGTCGTCTGTCAAGATTGCCGGTCGTTGTTGTCGATGCCATGTTCAAACCCTTATCCCAATCCATTCTTGTCGTCGCCAAGTTCTTCAACCGCCTCACACAAGTGAAGCCTACTATCACAGCTCCACGGGCGTATCTACGTGAGCAGCCTCAAAAGACATGAAATAGAGGAAGTTGCAGTACGAAAGACTACCAAGGTAAGAAGGACAGGACAGGACAGGAGTGCGTGGACGGAGATCTGTAATGTGCGATCATGTGACCACTGCTGCCAAGCTTCAGGCCTCCAGTCAACGTCCGTCGGGCTTCTCTCGTGCTAGTCCGGCATCTAAGCTCCGCCGTATATCATGTACGGCGATGTATTTCTTCCATGTGGAGACGATCAAGAGCCTTTTATTGCTCGCAGCCTCGTCGATTCCCACTTCCCGCCGGCTCGAAGCATAGACACCTAAAGCAGTCTCTGCGCTGTCTTGTCCCAATGTCAAACCAGCGAAGCGTAGTGCACCAAGTGCACGCAGAAGTGTCCGCATTCATTCACGTTTGGCGTTGACCTGCCCATTATATATATTTATGACCCGTCTTTGTGATCCGGCTGTTAAAAGAAAAGGGTGCTACACAATCTCACGGCAACCAGCTCGGAAAAAGGTGAGATAGGTGCAGCTGCTTTCCCCTCTCAAGCCTTCACAAATTACTCCTCAAACAAGCCAGTCTTCAATGCACAAAGTCCGGACCTACCATTGCGGTCCGCCGACATGAGATTAGTGACGCAGAGGCAGCAAAGGAGAGAACAATCACCTGGCTTTCCGGAAACTTCTGGCCCTGAGGCCCGGTAAGGTCTCTTCATCCACCGTGCAAATTTCCTTCTCCTTCTCTTCTTTTCCCCTTGAAGGCGTTGGCCCATCCAATTGCGAAAAGACACCACGTCTCTGAGCCCTTTGCCGTGAACTTAGACCATTCCTCGCATTCCACAATGCTGGACGCTTCAAAGTCTGCCAGAGTGCATCAGAACGATAGGGAAATTGGCCTGGCCGTGGCTAGATCGCGGGCGACAGGTTCAAAGTCCACAGTCAAGAACAAAGGAAAAGCTACAAACGCAATGCAGGTGGAAAAGGGAGCCAAGAAGCCGAAGTCGACGACAGCGAAGAAAACCTGCTTTCTCTCATCCAAAGGGCTCACATTCCTCGATTTGTGCATGGATATCCGCGCGCAGATCTACAGCATCCTCGAGGCAATCCCCGACCATTCAAGCGACGACGCCACAGACTTCCCCAAAGGCTACGATGGCTGGTCCAAGACGCGCAAGTCTCTCCTCTTCGTATGCCGGCAGGTCCACAACGAATTCGCGCCTTATTTCCTGCGGTCTACGACTATCAGACTTGAATACTGGAGACGCACACCAGAACTGTTCTCCGAGTTTCTCGCCACGCTTGATCCGATCAAGGTGATCAACATCCGCCACTTGGAATACCGCGTCTTTCCGCCACGGATCGCGGCAGATATGTTCGCGGATGTTCCTATCGGTCTCTTCGGCGTGCTTCTGCCTTCGTTTCGTGTCCTACCCTTCGATCACGAGGCCGAGAACTACTCACTGTCCCGTCTCTACGGACGCTTCACGGGCGTGCTACACCTCGAGACATTCGACGTGATCCGCAGCCCGTTTGTATATAACCCCATACGCGCGATCCTGCCAGTGGACGACTTCCGCAACGCACATTCGGTTCCTCGTGCAACGATGGACCTCTCAACGGGATGGCTGTGGTGGAGTTTGGAACAGTACTTGAGTGAGCATGTCATGCAGGATTCGTACGTGGTGAGGACTCAGGGTTTAGAGCGCTTCGACCGGAGCTACAACAACAATAACACCGCCCGGCTGTTCTTCCGCAAGAGCAGGGGGCAGTTGCAGAAGGAAGTGCAAGAGGCGGAGAAGAGATTGGTGGAGGCCGGGATGCCCATGTGAGACATGAAATGCGTACGGGCTCTACCGTAGGTACTGAATCATGGGGAGAACAAATGGTGCCGCGTTTGGTAAGAGTTGGATACCCGGCTCCTCTATGCGCTTACCTGACAGAAGATGCCACCAAGATGGAATCCTAACGGACTGAGATGATAGTCAGCGACAGATTCTGTTCTTCGACACAAACTAGCCAGATGGGCAATGCAAACATTCAGAAAACCTTACCCTTTCGCTCTCCCCACAATGCCAGCGTTGTCATAATTATATTCCTGCCATTCCTAGTCCTAGCCTGAGTCCACGACATCAGGACCAGAGTCAGTAGCCCCGACTGGATTCAACTATAAGTAGTCAACTACAGTCCGAGTGTCCTAGCCAATCATCCCTCAGTGGAGCCATCTAATAAGCGTGAAGAGATCTTGAGGTCACGATCGAGTATAGGCCTTGACCCGTCTATTACTGTTGTAGGCAATCAACTATTATCGTTCGCTTCGATCAAGTGAACGAACAATAAGTAAGTATCACTGACGATGCCTATATTTGACGATGGCTGATATTCCCACGGACAGTATATAGACAGCGTTGTCTTTGCAGGCATTCACCACCATAGGTATGAATCCCATGCCACGCTTTAGACTATAGCCTGGTTTGACGACTTCTAGGGCTGTGCAGGCTTCTTCTGGACTGTAGCCACGAGCGATATGGTCACTGCTTAGGAATACGGTCCTGGCAACATTGCACGTACATGGCCCAAATCCAGCACGACCTTTAGACGAGGAAAGGGTTGTTCATGGGCCCGCCGCCATCGAACCCAAAGACCTGCGACAGGTCCCAATCAAGCATAGAATCTATCAACTGCGTGCCTTCTACGTTCCACGCAGAAGCAGAGATCAGAAATTCTTGGTCTCCGTCGTCAGCCGGGGTGACTTCACCGCCAACAGTTGCCAGCGGTGGCGGGGCGCTGGCCCATGACGGTGGCAGGGCGTCCATGGACGTGGGAGATTCAGCAGCCCAACTGGTCCGCGACTGTCCCGCTTGCGGCGGTGAATTGCGAGCGGGTTGTCCGTTCTTGGAAGACGACCACGGCAGGGGTTCCTGTTGATCGCCGCTCGGATCTTGCACGGTAGGGTTGTCACATACCGATGCGGCATGTTCGGATTTCATAGACCGCACGATGTTGCAAAAGTCGTCTGCGATCTGGACCATGCGGCTCATGGGGTTGTCGAGCGGCATGTCATGCAACATGCTCAGGATACTTTCGATCGCGTGGTAGACGACTCTCCGATCATCCCCAACCTGGGTAACACTCGGTCTCTGCCGCGTGTCCAGACACGCCAGGGACAGAACCATTCCGCACTGATACAAGAAGACGCCGTCGAGCCAGATGTCTCCGTTGAACTGGCCCCTTTCCCACAAGTTTCGGGCAAGTCTCCAAGAAGCGAGGGCTGAAGTAACGCAAATGTCGCCGAACTTTACCATCAGGTCGGTTTCCAGGCCAGCAGCAGGCTGGCCAGAGGACGATCGGTTTTGCATCAACCTCAGATAGAAAGAACGTGTCAATAGTAGTCTTGCGTGTTGGTAGCGGAGCTGTAGAGTGACGAGTTGTCGGAAGTGGCTGGGGTATATGTGGCTCTGATTCGATGCATCAAATCTCAGGAACGAAGGCAGTTTATCGAACCATGTATCCAACTCGTTCAAGAGCCGAAGCGCCATCTGGTCATCGGCCAGGCTCGGGCCACTCCCACCTCCAGAAAATCTCGCACATCGCCTTTGATCTGCCTGTGATCTTCGAATCTTATTGACAATGCGTGCGAGGGATATGTCATGCTTGAGGAGACCTGGGGGACGATGGTAGCCTTCGTCGAGGACCGAATCCGTAGGTAAGTCGGTGGTGGTTTCTAGTTCGTCGATTGCACTGGGGCGACCAAAGAGGGCACTGTTGTACTGCTCAAAAATATACAAGGACCACCAGACCCGCTTTCTCAGTTCCCTTTCAACCGCGGTCGAGAGGATGCTTTTCTGTTGCAGGACGTTGTCGCTCCGATGCATGCCCAAGCTGATTGCCATCCTGATACTACACCCCATCATGATCCACGAGGCGTTTCTGTGGCGAGTGGTATTGAGATAGAGCGAAAGAAGCGCGAGTGCCTGCACACTCTGAATAGTAGCGCTCTGAATCAACTGCGCTACATTCCCTAATGCCATATCAACGAGCTTCTGCTGGAGGTGGCGGATGCTCCTTGATCGTGGGGTGTTCTGGAAACTTGACGTAAGCGCGAAATGTTTGCAACCGAAGACGAGCACGAGGCAACAGCAGGTCAACCATCCGACATCCTGGGAATCTACTTCTGGGGTCCAAAGACCTTCAAGAGCGTTCTGAAACAACGGCCGGTGGAACAAGGTCATGTTTGGATGGATGTGGACAAAAAATAGTTCAACTAAGTGCTCCACTTCCTCTCGCGGTGGTAGAAAGTCGACGAATTTTTGTGGTCGCTCGGATATCGCCGATGTAGAGAAGTTGGCGCTGATAGAATCCTCGTCTGAATCTTCTGGATAACATTGAAGTGAGCCTCTCTGACCGTGTGCGCGGGCTTCAAGGTTATCTGCCGTAGATGGCTCCTCCATGGTACAGCAACCGTCATCTGCTGCAAACTCCTGACGGAGTCGTCGCTGCTTGGGCTGTAGGTTCTCTGGGTTCTGGGTCGCCGTTGATATCAACTCTTCGCGAAGCTGCATCACAAATGCCATTGAACTGGATGGGCCGAAGTAGCACAGCGTGCCTGATGAGTTTTGCAGAATTCTCTCACAGCTGCGTGCCGGCCGTCTGCTTGTTAAAGATGTTGTTCGAGCGGGAGGAAGTTTGGTTGATGCTGTAACAAAGCTTTCACCTTCGTTGTCCAATCCGCGAGATGGCTGCTCCTGGAGGATCAACGCAGCAGCCGAAGACGCAAGCGTACATTGCACGGTGGAACCATTTGCTGTTACTGACAACTTGTCACGCATGAACCGTATCTGAACCTGGCTTTCCTCGAGACAGTCAGCAAGATTGGAAAGCTCGTTGGGGTCTTTGACTGCCACTCCTGGGAACAGCCTGCCAATCAATTGCTCCATAAGGAAAGTTTGAGGCGAGAGGTCTTCTTTCACTAGTGAAGTTTGTGTAGCTGCTGGGCGTTTGCGAGGGATCGTTGTGATGCACGAAACTGCGTTCTCCTTGCAAAGCTCGCAAGTAGAGGCTGAGCGAGGACGGACGCATTTTCGTCGCCGCTTCTTGCAACGGTCGCAGCTGACAGCCGCCCGCTTGCGGAGGTCCGGTGGCACGCGCCTTGGGTTTTTGTCTGGGTTCAGACCTGGCCTTCTCGTCCAATCCATAATATAGACCTTTTCGAGAGTTGGATGAACAGTGGCTGGAAGGGTGTGCGGCTATGCAAGATGCGGCGAGATATTTAGATGGTATGCATCTGCATGTTCGAGCATGAGGAGATAGAACTGAGAAGTCCCCGTCGACAGCGAGATGGGCAGCTCTTCCCTCTTCCCTGTCACATCTGACTAGAGGACGGAAACATGTGTATCCAGGTGTCTGGCTGTTACTAAGTGCTCGTGGTGTGTCATCCCTAAATAGCCAAAAGAGGAATGGTCGGATCGCTCCCCGCAGCCCCCACTTTTGGGAGCCTTGCGCGAGCACGGTATTGTACTTGTTATGCCTCGGCACCGGAAGCCGGCAATTTATGCGGCTGCAGAGCCTACCACAGTACAAGTAGATGCTATATAACCCTCGTTCTCGTCTATAGTATCTAGTCGAATGAGTCTACACCGTCTCGCAACACCCAACACCTTGACCCTGCCACTGCTCTAACCAGCGCGTAACAAACTTGTTCACGTACCCTTCGCCAAGCAGATCAGGTAGATTCCTCATCGTCTCGCTTTCCTCCCGTGCTCTCTCCGTGGCGAATGCCACCTGGTTGCCTACTTCCTCCAACCCGCCGGCACCGTAATCTGTCGAGCTTGAGACCTGTTCAGCTGCTATGTCCGTGTCGCGCTCGTCTCCTCTTGCGCTCTGCTCGATTGCGTATTTCCTCTCATAGACAGACCTCAATTTGATTGTGGGGTTGACGGTTGGATCCTGTTCGCTTGCTGCCAATCGAGCCAGCCATTCTTGCGGGGAGACAGACTCAAAGGACAGTCCCGTCTCCCGCAGCAATGGAAGCAAGTCACCTGCCCAAGAGAATGAGGCTGGATTCACAACATTGTAGAAACGGCAAGACAAGGCCGGACTTTTGGGGCCCCGGTCTTCTGCTTCAGTGGAAGCTTCGTTGCAACACAACTCAACGATGATGCTCGCAACAAAATCAACAGGAATCCATGAGCAATTCTGCAATTGAAAGAAGAGTCAGCAGGGAAAGGTTGAAACCTGGCAATGGAGGGAGAGACACCAGAATGTCACGAACCTCTTTCAGCCGTGGAAGACAACCCAGCGTCAGTGCCGAGCGGATGATGAGAGGTACAGACTCAGAATCGTTCCAGAATCCGTTTTGACTATCACCGACGATTTGTCCGATTCGGATTACCCGGCAATCGATGCCAAACGTAGCCGCCTTGTTTACCATGTGCTCTCCGACCATTTTCGACCTCCCGTAGCCCATGCTGGCCGAATTTAGATCTTCTAGCAAAGCTTCTGCCACAACATTCGTTCTCTCTGACTTCGACGCTACCGAAACCGACGAGAGAAAGACGAATCGCGCAGGCTGCAGTGCTCGGACAGATAAGGCAAAATTGAGCAGGTTGTGGATGCCTCTGATATGCTGATCCTCGAAGCTGCGCAGACCAAGGTTAAAATTCACAGCCCACGCGTTGTGTATAACCAAGGACACGTTGTTTCGTATCTCGTTGAGCATCTGCTGCTCGAGGCCAAGGTCTTCGCGGGCCAGATCGCTGGGTACGGCAATAATACGTCGCTCAAATTCGCTTGGTAATAACAGCCTTCTGCTCGCAAGACCAGAGAGAATTCGCTGCTTGGAATCATCAGCCGTTGCAGACCTCACAAGGCAATAAACCTTGTTTATCCCTGAGTTATGAAGAAGCACGGTAAGAATATGAATGCCCAATGAGCCCGTTGCCCCCGTAAGTAGCTGCAGTTTGATTAGCCGGAGCTGGAAATTTGAGGCCGATACATATAATGCTTACCACACAACATCTCGAATTTTGACCTTTCTCAACTGGCACAAATTTTGAGAATGTTGCGTATTTCTCGATCATCCTCTTCATAATTTCTATCTCATCTTCCTCCTTGGGTTCTTGTCCATTCTGGAGCCGGACAAGATGCCTGGCCAATCTTGCTGCAGTTGCCTGTTCGAGGATTGTGTTGGGCGTCAACGCCGTTGGAGATGGGAGATACAACTTTCCCTTCAGAAAAGCTGCCATCTTGATGGCTTGGAGACTGTCAATACCAGCAGAGAAGAAATCAGTGTCAGTCGAAGGAAGATCGATTGGACCTTCTTTCCTGAAGCTCTCCAAAATCAAGCGTTCAGTGTCGTTTTGATTGAGTCTCAAGGATCCTTCGGTACAGTGGTCCAGACATTGGTACTTGTCGTCAATAATCCTTTCGAACACTTTGTACACTTGAGGCCGAATAATGGTTCCTTTGTCCGTTTGTGGGTAGTCGACTTCTGTACCGAGTGGCACAATCATTTCTTTTGAGATGCACGCAAAAGATTCAACCTTGGAATTGGCTTCGTCAACGAAAGGCCATAATTTTTCCACAAATTCCTCGTCAGACATTGAAGCCGCAAATGTACTGTGAAAGAGTAGTACACCTGGTAAAGCTCGTCCTATTCCAAACACAACGGCCTCACGAATGAGTGGGTGTTGACGTAAGCGGCCTTCTGTGATAGAAGGTAGCACCTTCTCACCGTTCGTAAGGGTCACTCTGTCATCCAGTCTCCCAGTATATTTCCAACGATTTGGCTTAGTAGGATGAGCTTCAAACATGTCTCTGGTAGAAAACGAGTTCGGGGGATCGTCTGAATTCGAAGCAGTCTTCGACTTAAGTCCATCGAGTGCTACTAGTTCGTAACTCTGAGCTCCCAGCGGTCTCATCAGTACGAATGGTCTTGCGGAGGGAAATATCGACATATATGACCAGTCCTTGTCTTCCCTCGGACGCATAGAGTCCATGAGAGCTCCAGTTTCGGTCCTGGCAATCTGTCAGCCTTAGCCACCACGACACTTACTCTGGCCTAACTTAGGACAGTCTCAGCGAAACATACGAGCCCCAGTGCGATATCAAATGGATACCACAATCAATGAGTTGGTTGCCCAGTTCATCTGGGATTTGACTTCCGGCTGAGGAGACAATCTCGCACGATTGCATTGCTCGTATGCCACGTTCTGTTTCAGCGAGAAGGCCGAGGGCGTACGGGACAGTAAATATAATTGCAGGTCTGACAGCTTCCATCACAGAAATCACGTTTGTAGATGTCAGCGGAAGCCTCGCATTCATGAAATAAATGGTGGTGCGTTTGAAGAACGCTCGGTACAGGCACGCATGACCGTGTGTATGATAAAGTGGTACTGTTAACAGGGCGAGTAGAGCGTGACCTTTTGCAAAATTCTCGAGACAAGCTTGGTGGGTTTGGTAAATAGGCTTTGGTAAACCCGTCGATCCTGACGAATGCAAGATAAAGGCCATCTTTTGCCTTGTAGAAGTGCTGAGGTCCGATCTTTCGAATGAAGGGATGCTTATGGCCGCGTCATGAAAGTCACTCCTTTTCAGGATCCGCAGGGACCGCAGACTCTCGACGTCACGAATGTTTCTCACAGTGGCTTCCAATGTTGGGTCGTAACATATCGTTTGGCACCCGGTTTCTTTGAGCAGGCTTATATAGGCCTCGGTTGCGAGTCTCGGGGAGAGCAGGAACACCGTATACCCTAAACGGCTCAAGGCAAACATTGTGATCATATATTCCACATCGGATAGGCCCAAAAGGGCGATCATCTCGGCTTCATGGCTAGGCTACACAAATTCTTGTCAGAATTACAGTCGACATTTGCGCTTGTTGAACTCACAACTTTCCTCAGGCCTTGATCCAAGAGTTTCTGGGCGGCAATATTCGTGAAGTTGTGGACATTCTTTGCAGTAAGGAACAGGAAATCTGTTACTGTGGAAGCGGAGTTTGGGTAAACGATAATGGGCTCGCTGATGTCTTCATTTGCACGCTCAGCGAGCAAATCGTCTACGCTGTAGAAGACGCCGTGGTTTTTCTTTGGGGCCGACATATCTATCTGGCATATAGGGCCAGATGGCGTGATTGGACGGTATACTGCTCGAGAATTGGAAGAGCCAAGAATAGTTCCCGAGACTTGATCTTGAAACGGTGGTCATTTAAATCGGGAGATATGTCGATGAGGCATGCTCTGACTTTCTCAAGCGGTGGACCCTCGACACATCTCGGGCATATCGGTGGAAGGCGGAGAGCAACTATAATAATGGCAGGAGGTGGGAGCGATTCCGCGAGACTCTGGATTGTGCTAGACATGATAAGCCAACAGATGTCATCTCCAGAATTGACTAAGCTTTTCTCCACTCGGATCATCACTGCGGCTTACCGGTTCGTGCGCTACGCAAGGATGGTGGAAGTGATCACTGATCAAGCATCTACTTGTAGTGAATAGGAGAAGTAGGAAGCAGGTCAAGAAAAGGTGAGAATTGACTCCGCTTTCAAAGGCTGGCGCTAGCCGCATTGGTCGAGGCGGCTGTCAACATCCTCCTCCGCTCGACTTCCGCCGCATCGCTTCTCTACTTTCACCTACGAGTTGCGCAAGCCCATCCCGCTCCACCAGACAGAATAGGTTCTAAGTCAGAAGTTTGTGTATGTGCCGATGCTGGCTCGCTTTTCTGCCCGCGTTTGCCATTGCATGAGAGTGGGGACATGTGCTGGGGCCGTCATCAACATAACTGCTCATAAGTCCCGCGAGCACCCATTGTAGGTTAATGTCCAAAAAGCCCTCAAATACGGTATTGAGCTTCGAAAATTTCCGTCATCTGTGCTCCCTTGATACTCCTTCTTGTTATCATCGCATTCTATCACGTTTGCTCTGACTCAGAACCATGACCTCGCAGTATTCACCATATTGCGTGCCATTAAATCCCGACTATCTTCGCAAAAATCGAAAATTACGGGTTGTTTGCATTGGCGCAGGTTTCGCTGGAATCACTCTAGCATATAAAGTCGCGCACGAGTTGAAGCTCGAAGACATTATCAGCTTTCAGATTTACGAGCGGCAGGTACGTTGCAGACCGGAGTGGGCGACAGAGAGTTGCCGCCGTGACTGACTGTGACCAGAGTCACCCAGGAGGAACCTGGTTCGCAAATCACTACCCTGGGCTCACATGCGATGTCCCTATCCATGTCTACACTCTCCCTTTTAATCCAAAACATGACTGGAAGAATTTCCTCGCGACCGGGCCAGAAATTGAGGAATACATCCTGGAAACCACCAAGAAATTCGATTTGGAAAGATTCATGAAATTCAACACAAATGTGATTGAAGCTAATTTTGACGAAGTAATCGGGAAATGGAGTTTGACGGGTTGGTGCCTTGCGTCCTGATGAGCAGAGCTGACTGGCCCTCAACAGTTGAGTCGGAGGGCGTGATTTCACAAGACCAGTGTGACATCTTGATCGGCGCTTCTGGAACGCAGAGGTGAGCTCCGCGATGGATTTTCTTGCTATCATTGTGACCGATTCTGATAATTTCTTTCCGTAGCACTCCGCTCACGCCCAATATTCCGGGACTCAGCAGTTTCAAAGGCAAACTCGTTCACACTGGAAATTGGTATGCCCAGTTGTTCAACATCCTACGCCACAATTACTCATGAGCTTTAGGGACGATTCATTGGATTGGAAAGGCAAGAAAGTTGGTGTGATCGGCAATGGCTCGTCGGGTATTCAGGTGTTTCGCGCAATGCAACCAGATGCAGCTTCCGTCACACACTACATTCGCAAACCGACCTGGATCTCGATGAGCTATGCTCACCAATTTACGCCTGAAGGCAGGAACTTCGCATGTAAGTCAAATCCTCCGTAGAACAACCTCCCCTCAGCAAACTAAATCTTTGAAATAGACTCTCCGGAGCAGGTAGAATCGTTCAAGAACCCCAAAAATCTATTCAAGTATAGGAAGATGATTGAAAGCTTCAACAACGGCCTTTTCATGCGACTAGTCTTCAATGAAACTGGTAAAGAGGCTAAGCAGGGATTTCGAGCGGAGCTCGAGCGCTGGATGAGCGACCGCCTTCACGGGGACCCAGCGCTGGTCAATCGCCTGAAGCCTTCCTACCAGCCTTGGTGCCGCCGACTTACCCCTGAAGATAAATATCTAGAGGCTTTGCAGGCTCCAAACGCAGAACTCGTCGACTCAAAAATAGAGACTGTCACCGAGGATGGCATCCGCAACTGCGACGGCTCATTTCGCCCGTACGACATCATCATTCTCGCCACAGGGTTTGTCAACAACCGCATTCCACCATGGACGATGAGAGGTCGGGGTGGGATCACTCTCTCAGAAAGATGGAAGGATAATGTGGACGGCTACATCAGTGTCTGTGCTCCGGACATGCCGAATTATTTCAGTATTGGCTGCGGACCCAATTTCCCCATCGCAAATGGACCTGTTCTTTCTGCGATGGGCTTCGTGTCCAGTTACATTCTGAAATGGGTTCTCAAGATCTCGTCAGAGGACATCAAGTAAGTGTTATTCTCTGCTCCGCTTCATTCTATCACTAACAGGATTGTAGATCCGTGTGTGTCAAGAACGAACGCGTCGAGGCATACAATATCTACCTGCAGGAAATTCTCCGCCGTACAGCGTGGAATGAGGACTGTGATTCTTGGTATAAGAAAGGCAAAATTGACGAATATCGCACCGGTATTACGGCAATCTACCCTGGCAGTATGAACCACTTCAGAGAAATGCTCAGCGAGTTGCGTGGGGAAGATTTTGACTTTGTTTACAACACCAACAACCCTTTCAATTTCATCGGAAACGGTTTGACGAAGGTGGATTTCGACGAGAATGGGGATCTCACTGCGTATTTGGCTGATACGGTGAAGTTTGACCACTTCAACCCATAAGCAATATCAGCTATGCCAAGGGTCTAATAACTAGCGGGGCGGGGCGAGTGGGTCTCTAATTACCGTATTAGGCTAGTTTTTATCACCCGTTTCCCCAGTTCGATGTTATTTGATATGGAACCACCTGATCTCAAGGCGTACCTTGCAACTACAGAAGCGGTGGTCTCTAACCAGGATAATGGCCCAATTCTACGCCCGTGATCAGGCGCGGGTCTTCGCTAAACGAGCTCTCGATGAAATTTTCAGACCGCTCTTTCAAGAGTCAGAACTACGGGAAACAGAGAAGGCGACTCCAAATCCACAAAGTTAGAGCTCTCAGTTTAGATGTATCAAAGGCCAACCCAATTGTTTGACCTATCCTATTCGGCATCAAAACAACATTCTCCATATCGCTCCCTCCTTTCTCCAACAAAACGAAGATTTCCGCCCTCCTATACACATCCATTCTTGGTTCCCTCTATGCAACCAGAGTTTTAGCAAATTGCATCACGCTTCGTTCCGAATGGAATGCCGGTGGTTGGTTGTTGCCCTTGTCTTAAAGCCGGATACCATGACGCATGTACAGGTCCATGCAGCACTGTCGAGAATTCATATGTGAGTTTGCAAAATGTGCTGAAAACCGAATCGCGATTGGCAAAAAGGTCAGCTATCCATCCTTCATCTCAGGAGTGACAAAGAACGCCCCGCGCAGTGTATGTTCAGGATGTGAGACAGGATTGTTGAAGGTCTAAAAGGGAAACATTCCAGGTCCCCCGAGTTTGGTGTTTATATGGATACTCTATTTGTCGATTCTACAGACAACCCAACACCCTGTTAAACTAAAAAGGTTGGGTAGTCACGTGATACAGCCCAGCCACCCAGTACTGTCTATATAGTCTACCGTAGTCCCCGTACTGAATAACGGAGGACAACCTTTTGATCATTCAACACACCCTTCTGAACTGACAACGTTGAGCGAAGCCAGTCTGGTGGATGTCCTTTTATTGTTAAGATATTTTTTTCTGGCTTCAGCCGAGGACAGATATAGTGGTATCCACGTAGACATCAAACATCAAGTCTATTCTGAGTACTCCGTAATGCTCTACCTGTACGCCCCGACGCGCTATCCTTGTCTTTTCTTAATCAGCCTACTACCTTGCGGCCTTAAAACATAAAGCCAGTTATACCTGACTGCCGAGACGTCGCTCAGTTCAAACTGCATCAGCAAGCTCTGTGACAGGGAGTGCGGATTGCACACATGCCTTTCTTCTGGGAGTAGCTCTATTGCTTTCACTCTTTCCTTATTTGACGGGCCAGACATATGATCGCCCTCTCTTCTCAAGTATTTATACCTTCATATTGCACTTTCTTTATTTATCCTCATCCGTAGGAAGAGGGAGCGACGAGTCCGCATCCGAACCTTTGAGCAAGTGAAAATCCAAAACTCGACCCTTCAGCGTCAACAACAACCTTCCAAGTTGTCCTATTTGAGTTCTCACCCTTCTTCCTTTCTTCAAAAGCCTTTTCGGATACATTTGCCAAAGAGTCTTTCTTGCCCCTGCAGACTTGGAGCACTTGGAATTGTGCATCAGAGCTTTGTGGCGGCGTCGAGAACAGCTGTGTCTTCCACGTATCCCATCTCCATTTTTGCTCCCGCTTAGGGCTTGATCGTGTCTTCATTGTATCTTCATTACCATTTCATGATGCCGAAGCGAAAGAACTGCTCTAGCATCCCACTGAGCTCTGCGAAGAAGCCAGCGAAAAGAGCGAGACAGTCAGGCAAAAGTGAAGCGAAGGGGAAGAAGTGAGAGGACCCATCAGGCTTTCGGTTCCTGGACCTCCCACCAGAGCTTGAACTCCAAATCTACGTGTATTTTGCAGTGGTAGACAAAGCCGTAGACGACCAGGTCTATCCAGACGATACAGCTGAGTTTTTGAAACATACGAAGGATCTTACAAAGAGATCTCGATTCGTCGAGGATGGAACTCAGGTTCTCCCTGGATGTACTGAGCGATGACCTCGACATTTGGACCGTCATTCAGGCATGAGTTGGCACCATCTGATATGATATACGGGCTAATCAGGTCCCTGATTATCGCGTCTAGTCGCTTAGCTGCAGACCCGTCCACTTCGAGCTCTTCTTGGAATACAGCCAGAGCAGAAGTATACGACTCCTTCGCGATGAACTTTTTTCAGTGGTGTTCCGAGTTTATTTCGTGGAGATTTCAGCTCACCACAGCATTTGATGGATACGACACGGCTATCCGTTTGCGGAATTTCTGTACGGCTATCGAGTAGCGGAGTTTTTGGAAGCGGAAAACCATCAAGTGAAAGTGGTGTGCTGGGTTTATGGCGGACGGTCCTGGTATTGTTGGAAATATGAGGCAGGCAATTGGATGGCCTGTTGATGAGAAGATAGAGGAGAAGAAGAGATCACATGCCGACTTCGAGCAGGAGTGGCATGTCCTATATTTACCCTACCGCTTTCAATCCCCTTGTACCGACAGTATGGTGCTGACGGCATGGAATTAAATCATCAGCAAGTCGGGCATGACCAATTCATGCAGCACTGGCACGAACTGACGGCTATGTGCAACAGAAGACGGGAGATGGGATGGGTCTGAACGCAGCATGTATATGTACACATACATGGGCAGCTGTGACCCAGTTATCTTACCCTCTCCTACTCTTGGATCCACGCTCAGATTGTCACGGTAGATCGCACAAATTGTATTGTCACAATCGAGGCGCTCGGCGCCGATGGGCTCTATTGCAGGCATTTCAAGGTGCTGAGCGCGTGCTGAGCGCGCTGCCTTGCAGGCGTTGGTAGGATGAATCATCATAACCTATTGTGGACTAAGTCGGCTTCTCTTGGCCGCAGTTCCGATGGCCAGCCACATTGAGCGCAACATCTCACAATTTGTTCTGGTAGTAGAGACATCGGGGACCGGCCAGATGGAGTGTCATCGCGCTCAACATCACCGATCGCAGGCATTCAACGACGTAACGGCCATATAGGTGTGAGACATGGAACTGTTTGCCCTGTAATAGGTCTTTGATCAATGGTGAAAGACCATAAAGAGGCTAAGCTAGCGAGCTACTGTACCTACAGTCCATATGAGGTCAGACAAGGATAAGATATTGTGGACTATGTACCCAGTAGAGTACTAGTGGCTTGGCATATCGGCGGGACGTATTACCGACGCCGAATCTGGACCACGCAGAACCAACCCTGTTTGGGCAAGAACATTCTTATTTGTTTGCTCCCTTGTGGATTTGACGACGTAAAGCTACATACGCTTTTCCGAGGGATGCCCTCGGTAGATCGGTCAAGTAGTGAATGCTACTCCCGAAGACGTCCTTTTTGATGATGATCAAACCCAACACCCTGAGGAGGCTGCTAGTGGAAGATCGGAAACAGTTGTGATGATGGTGAAGGGTATCTCAACTGCAATATAGCTAGTGCCTCTGTGGCTGGTGAAGAATCTTGATAGGCCAACCTACACCAGAGGTTTCGCTGCATCTACCTTCATTCTAGGCACCATCCCCAAATCGCCCATCTCGGAGTACATCTCGTGAAGAGCCTCCATTGTATCGACGAAGCCTGTCCAACCCAACCGGCGAGCCTTGTTCATACACAAGCTGCCGAACTTCATCAGAGCAGCGTCCCCGAATTCAAAGCTCGCTTGGGGATCCCTGAACGGGTTATCGGTCAACTGCCCTCCGGAAGACTTCATAAGCTGCTGCCAAGCTTCTTGATTTGCGGGTTCTGAGCCCCAGGTCACAAACGAAAATAGGCTCCGAAAGGTCGGCGGAGGACCGTAGCTGTGACTGAATTAGCGGCCTCGAAAAGGCAAGTTAGACTCCGCTCACTCACCCCATTGGAGCATCTTTCCCACCCCTTCCCTTGATCTCATTGAACTTACTCAGATCCTCTTCCGGGGGGTGCACACCCTTCTCAACGCCGAACCAACGAGCCAACTCCTCGTAGAACCGGTCCCAGCTGATCGGCCCTGTGTCCTGAGAATTGAACGCTTCATTCTTGCACTTGTCCTCCAATGCTGCCCACTCGGATAAATACCCTGTTAACATAGCAGAAGAATGATGACACTCGAATTGCCAAGTATCCCAGTCTCCTGGGAAATATAAGGGCTCACCCTTCTGAGCCTGTACTGCGGCATAAATGGCGAAAGGGTGCAAGGCGTTCATCTGGGCATTGTTGACCGCGCCAAGAATCCAAGCTGGACGGATAACGTTCCATGAGGTATTGTTTGCTCTGCAAAATTCGAAAAGTGATTTCTCTTGTGGGTAGTAGAAGTTCGGTTCAAGGTGAGCCGGTTGCGGATCGGATTCGATAGCAGGCGTGCGACCACGGCCAATATGGATCCCATAGTTCTTGGCCCCAGTTTGAAGCACGAACCGCTTAGGGATGATCTTGGAAAGTGCGAGAGCTTGAAGGAAGTTGTCGAGTAACGCGCTGTTCACTTTCACCAGTTCATCGGCATTGGACCATACCGGAGTTCCTGGAGGGGGTTTGGGCTGCAAGTAGGAGTAGAAGAAGACATAGTCAGCTTTGACCCCAGCTGAGGTCATTGCGTCACCAATCTTTTGTGGATCGTCCAGGAAATCGACGGCCACATGTTGTACGCGGGACCGCTGAGACTCTGGAAGCAGAGCCATCATTTCCTTGGGAGGCGGGCGACGGGATAAGGCGTAGACTTTGCTCCAACGTCCGGGGCTATCGAGCAGCACCCGCATCGTATGAAAACCGGAGATGCCATTGGCCCCAGTGACGATAGCAGTAAGATCTTTGATGGATGGGTCAAAAGTTGGCAGGTTGTGGTAGATGCCTTTGTGCCGAACAGGGTAGCGTTCGGAGCCCATTGTGAGGTTTGACGAAATATGAAGTCAATGTGATTTGTTTTGCGCTTGGGGGAGCGAGACACCAAGCAGGAGTCATTCGTCCTTATATACTCCGTCCCTGGACAGAAACGACGGGGTAAGGGAACAGGATCTCACCTCGGGTCAGGCCTCATTTCAGTCTAGGTTAGCATTCAGGTCGACTTACTAGACTGACATTATGCAATAACGCGGGGTTCGTCTCTCGTCTCCCATCCACCGGATGCGGGCATGCTGTGGGACAATAGTCGTGATATGATTCGCCTCCAATCATCCCAAGAGACTCTAAGGTCTGGGCATCTGCGATCTGCGTTCGAGACCTGGTGAATAGGACGGAGTAGAAACCGGGAGGGTGAGGAGGACAGCCGCGGATATAAGGCAAGATAGGGTTAAAGAAGGATTCGGTAATTGCCAGCCCCCCAGATGAACTGAGAACCGGATGTGGAGTCGGAGAATGACGCCAAGACGCTTATCTAATACACACGGAACCTACTGAGTAGTGATGCCACGTGATGGTGCGGAGAGAGATTGCGCCTTGCGTGCAGCGATCTTGCGCGATCCACGCGAAGGAAAACGCAGCTGCCCAAGCAAGCCAAACTCGGCTATTGATGTGCCTGTGAGATACCAATCACTCACTTCCCCCAGTAAAGCATTCAGTCAACCCGGCTGCCACCGTTCAAGATGCTGAACTGGCATGATTTTGACGCAGTCTTTCAGCCAAAGACCGACTATGCCTATGACTCCAGAACGGTAGAGACTATCATCAGACACCGCAAGGAGTTCGGCGACCAGCTATTCTTTGACCGCATCTGGAGGACGATTGGACTTACACGACGTGAGACCTAGCTTTATATCAACATGAGTCAGGGTTACTAACCGAATGGCAGCTGCAAGGAATAACTATCCACCACGGTCAAACCAGGATCTGCGCAATTTGTGGTCCAAGGTCGTCCAGTCCACGGCTCCCGATGAGCAAAAACTCGCACTTCTCTACTACTTGCTCCGAGACTGTCGCCAATTGCCCAACTCCGACTCAAACTTTGCCCGGAGAACATACCTCCCCCGGAGATGGCAACTTCTCGTGGCTGGCTTGTGGGAACTCGATCATGGTCAATTCTCTCGCGCCCTCGAACACCTCACAGACCCATCATTGACACCCACCTTCACCGATGAGATCCTCCTTACATTGTTGCGACATCCCAAGTGCGATCCTTCGTTGGCGACAGCGTACTACGTTGCTATGTCTCCACCACTGGAAGACCCGGCAGCTCTTGAAGCATATTTTGGGTTGGTCATGACCAACAGCCTGGTGGAAGCATATTATTTTGCACAAAGACAAAGCGGAACGAAACACAAAATGCTGTTTGAGAAACTTGTTGTTTCCGTACATCAGGACAACCCTAGCCCTTCTCGTTCAGAGCGAGCAACCCTTCTTGTCGGGATGCCATTGACTGTGGAAGAGGAAGCCTGGTTCGAGCGCTGCATACTGGACGGTGCAGCATCCAAGCTGCCCGGCGCGAAGGACTCGCTCATGGTAAGGAGAATCATTACCGGGAGATCAACAAGCGACTCTACTGCCCTCAGCAGGCTGAAAGGCGACAGCATTGGAGGGATCAACTGGGAGAATGTGAAGGCGGGAATTGCCGATGCTGTGCCACAGTGATATCAATACAGCTTCCAGCCTCTTCACATCGACAGAGTTATCGTCCAAACAAGGCCTTTCTCTCGGAGATATCATCGAGCTCCTCTACGACTTTCAATGGTCACCGGAAATATCCCGCTGCGCTCGCCTGTTAGCTTGTTTTTGCCGCACTATTAAGGCCTGTGATGACGCATAACTTGGACAAAACCGGGAATGGCCGCGTGTACCGAAACATCGCTTTTCCCTTGCAGCACACGGAAGACATCCTCATACCGCAGTCAATGTCCGCGAGCTTTGTCTATCATCAACATCTTTGCTGCCATACCCGAAGGCCGCGCAAAAACCATGGACTACTCTTCTTTCACGCTGCGCGCCTCGCCACCTCGCGTCACAAAATATCTCGCCGCCTGAAAGTACCACTATTGAAGACTCGGCTGAGTGTGAAAGGGATTTCGCCAGTTGTGAAGTTTTTGTTTGAGTTGTGGACGAAAAGTCGACCAAGTTGAACGCTCGCCAGTGCTGGGAAGGTCCGGTTCTATGAAAATATATATTATTCAACCAAGACGAGCTCTCCCAGACGAGCTTTCTCAACCTTTTGAGCTCTTCACTTACAGCTTCCAATGCTCTCAGCTCTTTTGCTTTGCTGTCTTGCGACAGTGTTAGCCGTCAATCCATTAGTCCACCTCGACTACGCGTCTTACAAAGGGACAGCTCTTCCGAACGGGGTCACTCAATGGCTCGGGATGCGATATGCCGCGCCGCCGACGCGAAGTTTGAGGTTTGCTGCTCCCCAAGATCCTCCGGGCGTCGGTAGTATCCAAGTAGCTGACAAGGTGACTTCCTTTCCGCTCAACCCTTCGGTACTTAGCCATGACTAACCAGCCTCCAGCACGGCGGTATCTGTATTGGAACGGGCAGCAACGCTCACGACCCAAGATTCTCCGAAGACTGTCTATTCCTCGACGTCTATGCTCCGAGTCACGTAACCGACACATCGAAACTACCGGTCTATTTCTTCATCCAAGGTGGTGGCTTCAACTTCAATTCAAATGCAAATTACAACGGCAGCAGCTTGATCACCGCGTCTGGCCATGGGCTCATCGTCGTGACCTTTAATTACCGGGTTGGCCCATACGGGTTCCTTGCAAGCCGCGAGATCGAAGACTCCGCATCTGCCAGCGTAAACAACGGGCTAAAGGACCAACGCAAAGCACTTGAATGGGTGCAGAAGTACATTTCTCAGTTCGGCGGAGATCCAAAGCATGTTGTGCTCGGTGGAGATTCCGCGGGCGCCGCATCCGTCGCCTACCATTTAACCGCATACGGTGGTCGAGACGACGGATTATTTGTCGCTGCTGCTGCCGAATCGGTGAGCTTCGCGCCCATCCTAACCGTCCAGGAAAGTCAATATCAATATGACAACTTTGTGAAACGTCTGGGCTGTGGGCCTCGCACCACAAGTCAAGATTCAACCATGAAGGATGACACCCTATCGTGTCTGCGGTCCAAGAGCACGGCAGAACTCCAGGCGCAGAACAACAACGTGCCTTATCCAGGTGCCCGACACCCACCACTTTACATGTGGAACCCAGTCCTCGACAATGAGATGATTCAAAACTACACCTACGTAGCCTTTGATAATGGCGACTTTATCCGCATCCCTGTCTTGTTCGGCGACGACACCAACGGAGGAACGGTTTTCACTCCTCGAAGTACATCCAGCCTTGCTCAATCCAACACATTCCTCCACGATCAATTCCCCAACTTGACTTTCGAACAGCTTCAACAAATCAATCAACTCTATCCAAACAAAGGCCCACAATTCCCCAACTCTGGCTCATGGTGGAGACAAGTCTCCAACGTGTACGGGGACATGAGGTACATGTGCCCGAACCTGTTCATCTCGTCTGCTTACTCCCGCTACGGCGTCCAAGGAAATTGGAACTATTGGTATAATGTGCACGACGCTGCTCAGGTCCGTCAAGGGCTGGGTGTGCCGCACACGGTCGAGCTCTCTGCGATCTGGGGCCCCGAAAACACGAACGGCGCAGCCCCCCCGAGTTATCGACAAGGAGGACCGAATGCTTGGATCGTGCCGCTAATGCAGAGTTACTGGATCAGCTTCATTCGGACACTCGATCCTAACCCTTTCAGGATGCAAAGCGCCCCGGTATGGCAAGAGTTCATAGCCCCCAATGAGGAAGGCAGTGCCTCCACCGGCGACGGTGACGGTGACGTTGATGGTATCGGTGGAGGTGCCGGTACCGGTGACTGGATGAGAATGCTCTTCGATACGGCACAGACATCGAGCATGGTGGAGGTTAGCACGTCGGTCAGGAAGAGGTGCCATTACCTCAACTCCATCGGCTTGGCTCTCAAACAGTAGGGGCCTGCATGGTTAGTGAGCAATTCGTGTGACCTTTGGAAGCGGTGTCGTGGCGTGGTGTGACGTCGTAGCGATGGGAACCTTTTTGGACGCACAACTGCTTTGCGTTGGGATGCGTTGCCCGCAGGATACAGACACAAAGAGGAGGCGGCGCGAGGCGGCGCGAAGCAGCGCAGCATAGACAGACTGCCTGCCTGCCTGCTTGCCTGCTTGCCTGGGATAGGGATACGGCTGAATAAACTACCCACTAAGGTAGATAACTACATAGATGCTCCGTGTACTCAAAAACAGCACCGAATACGTCAGATCCGTCAAAGTCTACTCCGCACATCGTTTCACCAATGGACATGAAATATGTATGTAGGAACAACATACAGATTTCAGATATATGCGCGTGTGTATATGTGAATATTCTACTATGCCACAGTGGCTTTCTGCCACTCTTCTTCTGACATCCACATAAGTTTGGTACTCGCATTGCATTGCTCCAAATATTGACAAGTCTATGTAAGCATATTTATATGTGTCAACCCGCACCCTCCTCTTAACACGGCGCTTGACCTTACCAGATGGCCAGGCATCTCAACTCCAGACTCTCCCTCGGCTCCTCGTCCTCGGTGCCCGGCAGGTCGACGCTGGAGTGCAAGGTGCCACCTGCGGCGACGGTCTCCTTGTCCCGATCGCTGTCGAAGAGGCCAATCACCAACGCCTCCTCGGGCTCTTGTTGGCTGATAAAGTACCATTTCTGGCCCGGCGACCATCGGGCAAGGTATGATTCCGTGTCGTGCGTTTCTTTCGAGTCTGGGGAGATGCCGAGGTTGGGGGTCTTCACCACGACGGGGACGTAGTCGCTCTGCAGGAACGTGCGTGCGTCGCCCAGCGCGAGGGGATCGCGGCGCACGCGTTTCAAGGGTCGCCAGATGGAGTACAGCGCCCAGCGAGGTCCCAGGCCCGAGGACGCGTACTCTTCTCTCAGCGACTTACCCTGGGCTAACAGCTTCTCCTCGGCGTCGATGATAGGCTGCGCAGTGGCTGTCATTGTGGGATGATATTTTCTCAAGTGGGTCCGTGCACCGTTGGGCGCGTAGTCAAGATGGACTTTCGGGGCGGGACTGGCGCCGCCGTGTCGCGGAGAGAAACCGATGAACTGCGGGAAGCCAAGTTCGAGTTCCTTCTCCTCTTGTGACTTCTCTTGCGGCTGCTCTGCTTCTTTCTGGTCCCCGTGGCCGGCATGTGTCGCGAGAGCGTCTGCCTCGGACCATATGGCGCTGCGAAGCAGAAGAGCTTCGGTGATGACGGTCTTTGCGCCCGTGACTTGTTTGACCATCTCTTCCGTCTCAGGGACGTAGAGCTCCTTGAGCAGGTTGGGGTCATTCCAGCTCGCGCGGGTGTAAGGGGCGGCATTCATGGTTGTAGGGTGACGGATGGCAGCGAAGCCGTGGGTGTCGAGCTGGGCAGTGCCTTCCTTTGCATTGGGCAGTTCGGAGATGGTTGGGACGGGGCGCATGTCTATGAGAGGTTGGAGTCGGACGTCCCCGAACTCGGCCATAGCAGGGAGATGGAAGTTGTGAGGAGACGGGGTGGGTGTCTGGCCCTGTGGGATGTAGCGGAGCTTTCCATAGTATTGGGGCTCGGAAGAAGGAGTGGTAGAAAGCACCTGGGTGAAGGTAGTAGTAGTAGTAGTTGTAGACATGGTGACGGCGGTGAGGTTGGTTAGACAAGGCAAGGAGATGCAGGATCTGGAGCACGAGGACAAGATAGATGGAACGAGTTACCTTGGTAAGAGAGGGTCAAGATGGATGTTATATACCTACAGTCACGAGTAAGACACAGTGGACGCGGCAAGGCACCTGTCAGGGGTTCTGCGAGGTGTTTGTGATAAGACGAGAAAGGCAAGAGAGGGAGAGAGAGTCGCAGTCTGAGGGGTTGATTGAGTGAGTGAACGAGCGGTTGATTTGATAGCGACGCGGTGGGTGCGCAACTCCGCTGGGCAAATCAGCCAAATCAGCCAAATCAGCCAAATCACCCCGCAGCCACAGTCACACATCCCAACACTCAGTTCCTGATCAGGCAAGAGAGATATGCACCTTCAACCAACTCTTCCATTCCAAGGCTGTCTGTGGCCAAAGCAGAAGCAGATGCTCAGCGTGCAGCCTCAGCATCGAATATCGTCTCCCCTTCCTCTTCCGCACACTCGAGACGTCACGATAGACAGCTCGTCGCTCGAATGACCAGGGATGTCTGTCGATTAACCCACATCATCATAGCCTCACCATCTTGATCCGAGGCTGAGCAAATTCGGATAAGAGCCTCTCGCGCGCTTTGTTAGAGACAGCCGAACCGTTTTCGATTTCAGGTCTGAGTAAGCATTGGCTGCAATGATCGAGCTCGCATGTTGCGGGAAGAGGTGGTGGAAGAGATGGCAGAACAGGTGACGGACGACAAACACCCCGTCAATGGTTCATCAGACATTCGGGCGGCACTGAATGCATCACATTTCTTGCGCGAGAGGAACTCACAATTCTCATAGTCATTGAGGCCTTCATCCACTGCCGACTGAGACATCCAGCAGTGAGATCAAAGCCATCCAGGCCCTTGAGGCCAAACTCTTCGTCAGAGAAGTGACCAGATCTGGAGCTCAGAACACCAACAACCCACCCACAAGGAAGACAAATGATAAAGGGAACCGGTCCAAGCATTTTAAGAGTGCCACGTCCACAGGCACCTTCACAATCACTGATCATTGGATAATCAACGGCCCCTTCCATCCAAGAGTTGTGGAAGAAACGCACTTGTAGATACAGGCCTAGGGCGGCCCAATCGCCCAAGACATGGCAACCAAGTTAGATATGGGTCAGCATTTTGCACTCGCAGCCTCTTGGCCAAGACACAGACGGCAAACCCCCTTTCTGCAGTTGATTTTCCGGTTGCAAGAAACATCTCCCAAGGAAAGTACTCACATCCTCACCTGCTGGGTGTAAGCCAAGATCAGCCATCACGCACGAGACCAAGCGTCTCGACCTGGCCAATAGAAAGGCCGTCATTTTCATCGGCTCTTGCAGCACAACGATTTGTCGTTTCCACTCCAGATGGGACCCCCTCCTCAAGGCACGTCCGTGCCAGATCTCCTCGGTAAAGCCACCCCTGACTCGATACCCCGTACGGCACCAGGATGGATCAGATGAGATCGAACGGCTGTATCCGCCACATGCAAAGCAGCTCTTCATCGTGTCGGATCAGGACACGGATACTTTCGTTAAAAGACTCGATTGACGCAGGTCCCGGCAACCTTGCATAAGACGGTTAGCCTGTCCTGGGCCTCGAGATTGGGTAGATCTGGGATAAGCAGATCCAACACTTGGAACCACCTGGGATGAGTTCATCAACGAGTATCCAGTAGAAGGATGGGAGCTTGTCTGTGCGGATTACAGTCTTCGGACTGGATGAGCTGGTCATGATGGTGGGCTTGCGGGACGGAACTGAAGAGATAACAGAGCGAGATAAAGCGTGCCAGATGGGAGCACGAATTGGATCCATCCAGCCTTGCGAGTCGAGACCTTGGGATTGAGATAGATAGAGTGGCATTGGCATCTGCTCTCTTCGACCCTACGCGCGCTGCGGGATTTTTCTTTCTGTTTTCTTCCTCTGGTGCACCATACCTAGGGGAAACAAGTCCGATAACCAGCTCTTCGTCCTCATGGCCTTCTCTCGTGGCCTTCTCTCGTGGCCTTCTCTCGTGGCCTTCTCTCGTTCTCTCGTGGATATCGCCGGGATGTCGATTCTCTTCTTCTCCTCCGCGAGAAATAGGCTGATGAAAGTCAATCGGTGGTCAGGGGGGGGCGCGACACTAGAGTCCGGACAGCCGAGAGCAACGCGTTTGCAGCCGTATTCAGGGATTCCGCAGCCGGACTTCAATACCGCTATACCTGATGCGGGCTCTGATGATGGCTTCCTCACACCACCCGACAAACCTGGTGGAGGGTGGACACCCGCCGCATCGAACAAAATCCTCACATGTCGATGCTGGGCGTCGTTGTGCATCTCCTGATGTTGAATTATTTCTCTTGGCCCATCCAATTACCATCACATCATGTCAGCGGCATGGTGCCCTTGTCCCAACCCTGCAAAAGGGTGCAGATCTGGCCAGCTGTTGGCTCCATCATCTTCTCCATTGGCTGGACTGGCGAGAAGCTGCCCCCCGAGCTTCATGCATCGCCGCCTTCGTCGCCGCTCGCAAACCCCTCTTTAAACCCAAGGAGCTGTCGGGAAAAAACAGTCAGCTTTGCTCACGATGCAGGCTCCCCCAGCATCTGCTGCAGATGCTTCGGATCACTCATGGCGCCCAACTCACTTGTAACCTTGTTCGGCCACGTGCAGGGGTTGAGCTGCTCGCATTGAATGCAACCGATATGCTGCATAACTGGAGCCTGTAGCCGAGAATGGAGCATGGAGGAGGGTGTATGGTAAAAAGATGTCGCTCATCCCCATCGCCATGCTTCTCGACCGCCGCCGATTAGATTAGCAATGAATGAGGACACGGTGCCTGCCGCCGTCCGTTACGAGCGGGTTCCTCGTTCGTGGTTGTCATGATGCATTGGGTTTTGATACCAAGTAGGTAGTAATTGGGATCATCATCAATTGACTCGTTCGTCGTATATATAATCCTGTCCTCACTTCCGTCTGGCGTCACTTCAACCTCAGTCTTTTCTCACCACAAACTCACTTTCTACCACCCCCTTCCTCTCCCCCCTCTCTGATAGATTTCCTACTTTGAATCAATTGCAGCCTGCTTCTCCCTCTTCTACCTCTTCTTCTTCTTCTTCTCTTCAGCCATGGCGTCCACACAAGATGTCTCCGCCGAGAGCATCTCGCCCTTTGGCAAGGCCCGCTCTACGGTCAAGGGCGAGCCCCTCGGCAGTGAGGAGTTGAAGCTCCAGGATGACTACATGCGAGCCAGTCTCTATCTCTGCCTTGGCATGCTTTATCTCAGAAAAAATGCCCTCCTCAAGGAGCCTCTCAAGGTCGAACATCTGAAAGCCAGACTCCTCGGACACTGGGGTTCTGACGCCGGCCAAGTCTTCACCTATGTCAACATGAACCGCCTGATCAAAAAGTATGATCTCGATGTCATCTTCATCTCGGGCCCGGGCCATGGAGCCCCCGCCGTGATTTCGCAGGCCTATCTGGAGGGGGTCTATAGCGAAGTTTACCCGGACAAATCCGAAGACGAAGAAGGCATGCGGAAATTCTTCAAGCAATTCTCCTTCCCTGGGGGCATCGGCAGTCATGCTACCCCCGAGACACCTGGCAGTTTGCACGAAGGAGGTGAGGAACTGACCCACGATATCCCTGCTGGTGCCACTGACACTCTGGCCAGGTGAGCTCGGCTACAGCATTTCACATGCTTTCGGAACCGTTTTCGACCATCCCGATTTGATCGCCTTGACCATGGTCGGCGATGGTGAGTCCGAGACTGGTCCTTTGGCCACCAGCTGGCACAGCACCAAATTCCTCAACCCCATCACTGATGGCGCCGTCCTCCCCGTTCTTCATCTCAATGGCTACAAGATCAACAATCCCACCATTCTCGCCCGTATCAGCCACAGGGAGCTGGAAGCGCTGTTCATCGGTTACGGATGGACCCCGTACTTCGTTGAAGGAAGCGATCCTCTGAGCATGCACCAGGCAATGTCTGCTACCTTGGAGAAATGCGTCTTGGAGATTCGAGCTCATCAGAAGAAAGCACGCGAATCAGGAAAGGCGTTCCGACCCCTGTGGCCCATGATCGTCCTGCGAAGCCCCAAGGGCTGGACAGCACCACGAACGGTGGATGGTCACTACCTCGAAGGGTTCTGGCGAGCCCATCAGATTCCCCTCCCAGATGTTGCGTCGAGCTCGGAACACCTGAAACTCCTTGAACAGTGGATGAAGAGCTATAACCCCGAGAAGTATTTTGGCGAAGACGGCAAACTGATCCCAGCTTTAAAGAAGCTTGTTCCAGATGGCAATAGGCGGATGAGCGCCAACCCTGTTGCGAACGGTGGACTCTTGAAGAAGCCCTTGCTCATGCCCGACTTCCGTGACTACAAGCTGGCAGTCGAGAAAGGTGGCATCACAGAGGCGCCAAGCATGTCGAACATGGCGATTTTCTTGCGAGACATCGTCGCGAAGAACCCGCACAACTTCCGTCTTTTCGGACCTGACGAGACCGAATCGAACAAACTTGCCGGCGTCTACGAGGCTGGCAAGAAGGTGTGGATGGGTGAATATTTTGAAGAAGACGAGGACGGCGGCAACCTGGCCTTCGATGGCCGCGTCATGGAAATGCTCAGCGAACACACCGTTGAAGGTTGGCTCGAAGGCTACCTGCTGTCTGGACGCCACGGCATGCTCAACAGTTACGAACCTTTCATCCATATCATCGATTCAATGGTCAACCAGCACTGCAAGTGGATTGAGAAGTGCCTCGAAGTCGAATGGCGTGCCAAGATTGCGTCTCTCAACATCTTGTTGACGGCAACAGTCTGGCGTCAAGACCACAATGGCTTCACCCATCAAGACCCGGGCTTCTTGGACGTCGTGTGCAACAAATCCCCCGAAGTCGTGCGTATCTACTTGCCACCGGACGGAAACTGTCTGCTGTCGGTCATGGACCACTGCTTCCGAAGCAGCAACTACGTCAACGTCATTGTCGCCGACAAGCAGAACCACTTGCAATACCTGGACATGGAGGCAGCCATTGAGCACTGCACAAAGGGCGCCGGCATCTGGGACTGGGCGTCCAATGATCAAGGCCAAGAGCCTGACGTCGTCATGGCATCCTGCGGCGACGTGCCGACCATGGAAGCGCTGGCCGCGACAGCCTTGCTGCGCGAATACATTCCCGAGCTGAAGATCCGCTTCGTCAACGTGGTGGACCTCTTCAAACTGATCCCGGACCACGACCACCCGCACGGCATGTCGCAGCGAGAATTCGAGGCCATCTTCACGCCCAACCGACCCGTCATCTTCAACTTCCACTCCTACCCCTGGTTGATCCACCGCCTGACGGCCCAGCGACCGAGCCAGGCCAACCTGCACGTGCGCGGCTACAACGAGAAGGGCAACATCGACACGCCGCTCGAGCTCGCCATCCGCAACCGCGCCGACCGCTTCAGCCTGGCGATCGAGGCGCTGGACAGGATGCCCGAGCTCGGAAACAAGGGCGCTAGCGCGCGCGAGAAGCTGCTCAGCTCCCAGATCAAATACCGCACCGCGGCCTTCAACGAGGGCATCGACCCCGAGGAGATCAGGAAGTGGGTGTGGCCCTTTTAAGACGACAAAGGTGGTAGTGCGACCCAAACCCCAGGTGGTGGATAAACGAAAGGCCAACGAGTCCGACATGGACATAGACATGGAGGCCGACGAGGCAACGACGAGATCTTGGGCGAAAAGGCGAATGATTGAACCAAGGTGATGGCGCCGCACGGGGCGACTTAGACTATTGTGATGAGGTTTACTTGCTCCGGTACTTAGCTCTTTGTCTTACTCGCGATAAACTAAAGGAAGAGAAATTAGGGTTTTAATTAATCCAGCTCAAGAAAGACATCTTTCCGCTCTGTTGTGAAGTTATATAGCCCTCCCTGCCAGCCCAGCCCACCCGCAGCGCACGGCTATTTCCCGAGAACGGTCGAGATAGGCACCTGACCCAATGAACAATCAATCGATCAAAGTCAGGCAGCCGAACGGACAGACACACAAATAGATCAAAGCATAAATGTCCCAGACACAACAAGGCTTCTGCGAAGAGTTCTCGGGTAATGTGGGAAGGGAGATAGAAGTACACGTAGGGGGGTGGAGGCAGCCTTGCACGCTGGAACAAGACGAGGCTGAAAGGCCCTCCGGGTTTGGAGGGGGGGGGGGGCAAGGCTGGAAAGCAAGAGGGGGAATCAGAATGGGAACATGTCCTCCTCTCAGCCGACGACAACACCCTTTCTCTTTTGTCTATAGAGGACCGTGTCAGTAGGCCTGCTCAGCCTGACGATGGCAGGATCGGCGAGCCTATGTTCTTGAACCAATGCATTTACCTGGCGCTACATGGCGATACGCGAGACTTATCTACTTAAGCTCCTCTCCTCTACGTCTGCGTGTGTGTGCACGTGCGACATGTCGTCCGGGCTCGGAGGAAGACTTGTCTGGTCAAGGATTGATGTTTGCGTTTCGGTATCTGAACAGCGTGGTCACCGTTCATGGCGGCGAAGTCTGCAATGTCAACAAGGACTGGAGACAAAGGTGTTCGTGGTCAGGACAGAGTGTGAGTGCGCCTTAACCGGAATATGAAGGCCGTCAACGTAGTTATATCGATAAAGAGGAGATATCTTTGCAGGCCGGCTTGGTGAGACCATCCATCAAGCCGTCCTCCAAACCTGCAAGGCGCAAACGGGTATGGCTACACGGCTTTCTGGGCAGCAACGCCCGTGTCACTCGAGACAGCTCTCAGCAAGGGGCTGCCTGATAGTTCTGCCAAGGCTCCGTTGCAGTGGATCAAGTAATAGTGAAGACTGGCACGTACTTTTCAGAGAAGAGGCTGCTGGAAACGGCTGAACAGGCTAGCCCCCAAAGGGACTGCTACCACATATATTGTACATGTAGATATCGGTAACAGTCGGGTTCCACGGTCCGTCCTTCACAAAGACCGTGGCCGAAGCAAGCAACGTATAAGCAGCGGAGGCACAAGTACGCAAAGGAAGGAATCGACTCAGGAATGCAAGCGCATAGCCCTACTCTGGAGACGAACCTGTAGACGACATACAGGAGACGTCCACCGTCCCGATACCGTCCAAGCGAGGGCAACCGCCGTGATTTGACTCCGGTATTGCGTTAAGCTCGGCTCGTCGGTAAAAGTTGTCGTCGTTGGGTGGTGAAGAGAGTTTCCCGTGTTTGTGCTGAGGAAGAGAGTCTCAACGGCGGAGGATTTTGACCGGGAGGAGAGCAGAGAGATTCCTAGCCTATAGCCCTGAACTCCGGCGCCTCCTCGATGCTAGACAAGAGCTGCTTGGTTGTGAAGCGGTCCGACTCGTGCGCAAGCTGCTGCAGCACCCATACGAGCGCTTTTGTGAATGACCGATCTCCCAGCCCACGCGCAGTCTTGTTATCGAGGGCGGCACCCAAATTTTCAAAAATCCTCTTGAAAGGTGCTGCTTGGGGTTGCCATCGGCAAAATCACCAGCGCAACAGCGGTCAAAAATCTCCAGCAGGTCTACTCGTGCCCTTTCGAGTTGATGCTCCACTTCATCCCCAAGTACCCACGATGACTCCTTCCTAGGATTACCGATGAGGCAGTTAGAGGCAAGGACCAGGGGAGGGGATTTTGAAGAATGTTTTGGTGCATATGGTCTTGAGTAGACTTCGACAGCAGAAGGTCTCAACCCAGCATCAGGACCAGCTCCCGAGATGTCCAGACTCCCATTGAAGATGATCATACGGCGGTCATGGTGCCTATCTCACAAAGAGCATGGATTGATTCGGCCGCCCGCAGAGTGTGTGATGCCGAAAATCGGTTGTGCAAGGGTGCTAATGAAAGGATAGTAGATAGAATGCGAGCTCAAATCCGTCATATTCTTGTTAGACGACTGTTCCAGTGGCGAATGCGTGCTCCATGGCATGGCTTCGGTGTTTTCCTCATCCTGCACCCTGCCCTTGCGCGGCCATTTGTATCTTTTGTTGAAGCTGCAGCAGCTCGACTCTCTTCTTTTCGCTCCCTTCCTGCAGCTCCTTGATCCTGGCTTCAGTCCTGGTTATTTCCTTTGTGATGAATTCGAGCCGGCCGTCGACCGCATTGACAGCTTCTGTCTTGTCCTGCTTCAGCAAAACCGGGCCCACGAGCTTGTAAATCCCGGCATCGTCGTCTAACGACGTAAATTCTTTGTGGACCGCCTTGTTTTCTTGCTGCTGCGCTTCGAGTTTTTGACGTGCTTCTACCGCGGTCTGGAGGTCTATGGCCGAATGTTAGAAGAAGAGATATAACGTGCCCGAGAATATCTGTTACCGACCATCTTGGAATTTCTGCAGAGCTTCAGATAAGGCCTGCAACTTACTTCGGTCGTCTTCCATGGCGGGCCGGTAGCGAAGAGAATCTGATGGTGACTAGAAGATTTGTAACGGATTTGTACATGCCTGGAATGGGCAAGAGTGGGAAACCGTTCTAGCGCGCAGGGCGCTTTCGCGGGGCAAATGCCGGTGCAGCCTCTCGAGTCTCCGTCTCCGTCTCTCCTTCACCTTTGCTACTTGGAAGACTACAATCTCCCAAAATTCCAAGTCTCGCGCAACTTACTTCCGACCCCCGATTTCTAGACTCCCGATATAGCTGTGCTGGACCTGCTGGGCAGACCGTTTTCATTCCTCTCCGTTGCGGCCCCGAAGGCGGTTATTTAGAGCATCTCGGCGCTTGTTTACTTCCACTGTATCTGGTCGGGGTACCTCCACGATCACCCTTGTCCTCCGTCTGGTCCTCTCTAGGTGTCCAGCTTCAAAGCTTCACTACCCAGCATGTCAAACACCGACTTTCTCGGCCGCGCCATCGACACGGTAAAGAAAGCCATTGAGCTTGACACCACCGGCTCCTACGAACAAGCCTACCAACAATACTATGCCGCCCTCGAACTCTTCATGCTTGCCCTAAAATGGGAAAAGAATCCAAAGTCAAAGGAAATGATCCGGGCAAAGGCAGGAGAATATATGGACCGAGCAGAGAAACTGAAAGCCCACATTCAGGCGAACGATTCGAGTAATCGCAAAAAGCCAGCTGCCATGGGAGTTAATGGGAAAGCTGTCAACGGTGCGGGCAAAGGCGAAGCAGGAGACAAAGACGAAGAAGATGCAGATTCTAAGAAACTCCGTGGGCAATTAATGGGCGCGATCTTGACGGACAAACCAAATGTGAAATGGGAGGACGTCGCCGGTCTAGACGGCGCAAAAGAAGCATTGAAGGAGGCAGTCATCTTACCCATCAAATTTCCTCACCTGTTCCAGGGCAAGCGACAACCGTGGAGAGGAATATTACTTTACGGTCCTCCGGGGACGGGTAAATCATACCTCGCGAAGGCTGTGGCGACAGAGGCGAACAGCACGTTTTTCAGTGTGAGTTCGTCCGACCTGGTGAGTAAATGGATGGGTGAGTCAGAACGACTGGTCAAACAACTTTTCAATATGGCAAGAGAAAACAAGCCGGCCATCATCTTCATTGATGAGGTCGACGCCTTGTGCGGACCTCGAGGGGAAGGCGAATCCGAAGCGTCAAGACGTATCAAAACCGAGCTTCTCGTCCAAATGGACGGAGTGGGGAAAGATTCTCGTGGTGTCTTGATCCTGGGCGCAACAAATATCCCCTGGCAGCTAGACGCCGCCATTCGCCGACGTTTCCAGCGAAGGGTACACATCTCTTTACCTGACAAACCCGCAAGAATGCGAATGTTTGAGCTCGCTGTCGGAGATACGAAGTGCGAGATGACCCAGGCGGACTATAAGGCTCTGGCAGATTTGAGCGAAGGGTATTCGGGGAGCGATATCAGCATTGCGGTGCAAGATGCGTTGATGCAGCCTGTGAGAAAGATCCAGACAGCCACGCATTACAAGAAGGTAAGTTCGACCACCTCCGGAGGCCCTGCCGCTACGAGAACGAGCTGCTAATAATTGCCCTTGGCGGAAATCAGGTCATTGTGGACGGCGTTGAGAAACTCACTCCCTGCTCCCCTGGTGACCCTGGAGCAAAGGAAATGACGTGGGTGGAGGTTGACTCGGAAAAACTGCTCGAACCGGCGTTAACGGTGAAGGACTTTATCCGCGCCATAAAGGCAAGCAGACCAACAGTGTCTGCAGATGACTTGAAGAAGAACGCAGACTGGACATCCGAATTTGGAAGTGAAGGTGCATAACCCGGGACAAAAGATAGAAGTCTATGTGGAAACGAAGAACAACGACGACGATAGCAATGCCATTTGGTCATTTTTTTTTGCGATTTGGGAAAGAAGGGTTTTGCGGGCACGAGCAAGGGCGTTCCAAGGCTTGATTAGCAGCAGTGAGGCTGTTCTGGCTAAATTCCTCGAAGCAGTGAGTGGTACCGAATCCAGCCAGCGTCTGGTGTTCTGAAGGGCCAATGTTTGTTTCAAAGCAGACACGACCGGATAGACACAAGGTGTCTTCGGCGCAACCCTTCTCTCGTCCATCCTGGAATCGGAGATGCCTGGAACTGTTTGGACAAGGAGACCACAATTTGGGCTGTTAAAAAGACGTGCGGATACTGTCGTGTGATGATCCTGAAGGCTCTGTGTATTGTGGAGATGTTTTCGGCTTCGCTTCCTTCGCTGCTCTCTGCTTGCTTCCCTGGCACGAGGCACGCACGGCTGGCTTCCCAGCTTCGCGCAGCCTTGCACAGTCGGTGCACAGCAGATCCCTCCCTGTACATGCACCGATAGCTTCTCTTGCCGCCTTCTAATGAGGTCACCGCCTTTTCCTCCCTACCTGCGGTTCCTCTGTCTTTACCAAGCCGCCCTTCCAGCATCGAAAGTCGTGCAAACGAAAACTAAAACCCTACTCTTCGTGAGCCCGTATCGACCTATGTTCAGGCTGAGCCTCACTCCGTCAAAGCCCTCTGCGCCGCAGAGCTAGTGTAGTTGGTTATCTTCCTTAGGACATGGATACACCGCTCTCGCTAACTATATACATATATAGATAAATCTATCACTTACCTTTTCGTAGTCTCTCTCTCTGGCTTATAGTCGGTATCACAACTGCCTAATGTCCACTTCTTCTTCTCCTTCTCCTCCTCCTCCTCCTCCTCCTCCTTGTTTCCTCCTTAGGTTGTTGCAATTGTGTCTCCGCTCTAGCAGAGCCCGCGCGCTGTTCAAGGCGTCAAGATTACTTAGACAGAGAGGAAGGGGGAGGAAAGGGGGAGGGTGGCAGGGGCTCGATTCTACTCAATGAAAACCTCTGCGGAATACGTGTATATGTGTATCTTTCTTCGGCAACGCGGGCCAAAAATTCTATCAAGACGACCAGGCTCTAGATATTTCCTCGCGGCCGCAAGATCGCACTTCTTCTACCAACCGGCGTACCGTCTCCCTGGTGGTGGAGATATTCACCACGGCGCGGACGAAGGAGCCCATTTCGACCTCGTGGCTCAGCGCAGGGGCATAGTCGACCATGAAGCCCCGAGAGACCAGCGACCGCGCTATCCGGCTTGTGACGGCCGAGTTGCGCTTGCTGGCCTTGCTTCGTCTGTCCATGACTACGTCTATGTCCTTGTCTTCCCCGTTGCTGCCGTAACCCTGGGCATCGTCATTGCCGATGGTAGGACTATCACAGAGCATTTTGCCACCCGGGGCGAAGTAGAAGCACACCTGCAGACACGGCGGAGGGTTCGTGCTCACCAGCAGCAGGTCTGGACTCTGGTCCACGAGGTCTGCCAGGTAACAAGCGGTCGAATACGCGGTTTCAACCTTGGACGTGTACCCCAGTGTTCCGTAGTATTGCCAGGAGAGAAAGAGTTTCAGGCTATCTCCCCGGCGTCCACACTGGAGTGTGAGATCGGCGAGATCGTCTGGAGCGGCCCAATCTTCGTCGGACGATTCGAGTCGGTCATGGCCGTTCAATTCCTGTTGTTCAGCCTGTAGCTCGTCTTCATTGCCGTCGTGGAACAGGTATCCCGCTCGGAGCGTGTTCGCCGTATGAGCATTTTTGAGATCCTTGAGCAACAGGAAGCTGCACGTCACTGGTACACCTAGCATCTTGTGCGGATTGACGGCAATGCTGTCTGCAAGCTCACACCCTTTTAATCTTGTATGGCGGAGACTGTCAGAAAAGACAAGGCTTCCGCCCCAAGCGCCGTCGATGTGCATCCATAACCCGTGTTTTCCGGCAATCTGTGCAACAGCAGGGAATGGATCGAACGATCCCAGCACCGTCGTTCCGGCAGTGGCATTGACATAGAATGGCGTTTTACCCCGGCTCTTTTCTCTCACAATCAGAGACTCCAATGCCTCGGGATCCATCTCTCCAGATGATGGATGAACAGGGACGGGAATGACACTTTCCGCCCCAAAGCCACATTGTTGCGCAGCCTTCTCAATACTGTAATGTCCATGCTCGGAAGTGAACATCACCAATTGTCTTCCTCCAGCATGATTCCCTGACTGTTTCGTATCCGGAAAGAGTGTGTTCCGCGCAATAACGATGCTGGTCATATTGCTCGCACTCCCCCCTTGAACATTGATTCCTCCGGCTCTCGGCCCCAAGAAGCCGAACGTCGCCGCAAGGGCTTTCGTCACGTGGGTCTCGATGAGTGAGAGCACAGGGGAAACCTGGTAAACATGTACATTTGTGTTGAGGACGCTGAGAATCAAATCCGCCGCTATTCCGGGAGGTAAAGGGGCGGAGTATAGCTTGTCAAGAAAACCGGGGGCAGAGGTGTTGACGCTATACTTCAATATTGAAGATAGCGAATTGACGAGGCCATGTGGGCCAGTGCCCCGATCTGGCAGGGACAGAGTCCCGTTTGACGTCAGGATGGAGAGCAACTCTGAAGGAGAATGTGGCTCAAGGATGGAAGATGTAGATACGGGCTGACGAAGTTGATGTGCTTTGCGCTCCGATTCGGCTTGTCGAATAAAGGGGATGAGCCGACCAAGAACTGAGGCGAGGAGGTTTTGTAACTCATCAGCTCGAGACATAAAAGCATCGTCGACGCTGCCACCTTTTATGCCATTGGACACCTGTGAAAGACGGTTACTGTGTAGTGCATTGCTTGATGTCAAGCCGTTGACGCTGCCTTCGAGCGGATGGTCAGACATGCTCACCCAACTTATACCAATCCATATGCCGAAAAGAAAACACCCACACACGATCGCTCAAGGTCCAGAGGAGCAAATAAACAACCGCGAACATCTAATCAATCAAAGCAATCTACCCGATATATATTTGAAGAACTGATAGTCAAGGCAGAGTCAGCGTAGAAGTTGTAATTGGGCCACCAGAGTAAAATTCTCCTCAACAACGCTGGTGGCGTGCTTCTCCGGATGACGCAACTCGGTGGAGACAAGGCTGAGGACAGGGGTAACTCAGAAGCATTCCGGCCTCTTGCAAGTAATACTCCGTACGCTCTGTTCATATCCGTTTTGCCTCGTCCCTCAAGTCAAGGCATTTGTTCGAACAACAGCGTTGGCGGATGTTGCTGAAGCACGACTGCCCTTCATGCTGTGCGAATTCGACTTTCGGGAATGCCTCTCTCTTGCAAGCTCAATCGGCGTCTTCTTCCTCCCTGGCCCAGATGCTTCCTTCAGAGGCACAGCTGGTGCGTGACTCTGCCCGGGCCCCTTTGCCAGAGCGCGCCACTCCCCAGGCCGTCGATGATACAGATCCATCGCCCAGTTCTTCCAAACATTTCGGCCAAAGGGCGACTCTCGAAGTTGGCTTTCATTGCTGACGAGCTCTCCAGCTAGACGCTCTTTCATGAAATGAAGCCGGTCCGTGGCTGTCCATAGGGCATCTGCCACATAAGAGCCACTAAGGTCTTGCGATAGGGTGCCGATGTGTCCGTAGAAACGAGGGATGAATTCTCGTCTAAAATGCATGTTGGATTCTGTCGGAGACAGGGCACATTGAACGACGCGCGAGGAAACTGGATCTCGTGCCATTGCCATCAGCATTTTGGTGTCCAGTGCCAACATGCTGTCCTGGACAAGGGTACATGTCTTTGGAGTTTGTAGCATTGTCTGAGCCAATAGTGAGGCGTGGACATCAGTCTTGGGTGTCGAAGTTTCTGTGTCCTTGGTCGCATCGTTATCCTGAGTTTGCTCTTGCACCTCTGTCGACCTAAATCCGAGAAGATTAGGAAGAAACTCCCCTCCGTCGCTCTTGTATTCTGACTTGATCACATCCGAAATATCTTGCGGATCGACGCCTCGCAAAGCACATCGCTCGATCAGGACTCTAATCAGGCCAGTCCTTCGGCGAGAGATGAGGACCGGCAGCTCAGCCAAGATCAACTTTTTCGCTTCGGCTAGGTCATCTTTACCCAACCGTTCAAGAATCCTCATTGCCACATAGCTTGCTGTATCATTTTTAGACATGCTCCCGAGCCGTGGCGTCAGGACATTCTTGTACAGCTTCTTGAATACTTTGCCGGGAAGTTGCTCGACTAGAATCTCGACCAAATGAGAGCCAGTAGGATCATAGATCAACCCAATGATGAATTTAGCACTTTGAGAATCTTCCTCCAGCTCTTGGTCTGGGAGCAGTTTTCGAAGGACCGAGTCCTCCTCTGCTGCCTGGTTCCTGCCGGATGCCGAGAGTTCGACACGCAGAAGTAACTGCAAGACAGGATTGCCGGTCGGATGTGTAGCTAAGGCTCTCAAATAGGTGGTGTCCAATGCCGAAATAGCGCTACTGATAAGTTTGTCCAGAGCGTTGCGGAATGTCTTCGGCACAATCCGTTTGCTCTCAGATGTCTCGGTCCCTTTCTCCATGGGTGCTTTGAGCTTTTCCTTCTTTCGGCTGGCGACCATGGCCTGGATCGAATCATCGTCTAATGGCAGGCCCGATAGGATGAGGAGCAAGACGCGGATGGTGTGGGAAGCGAATCTGTCAGTGAGGAGAAAACCCATATTTGGCTCAAGCTCTTCTGCGGCATGTAGGAAGAGAGGCTCCATGGATGGCAATCCAGTACCGGCCGTATCCTCTGCCCGGGGCTCCCTTTCCACGTGTCTCGCTGCTTGTAGAAACAGCGTCTCACAGCAATGACTCCCAAACCGATGTCGCACAAGGTAGGTGAGATTTCCGAGGAACTTGCTGAAAAGATGCCGCATCTGTTCAGGAGTGGACAACATAATGATCTTCTCTAGATATCGAGAGCAAGATTGGCTAGATGCAACCTTCATTTCCTTGCCTTCAGTCTCGCTGTGCACTGCCTCGATGAAGATTGCGCGGTCTTCTGGTGAATCGAAATCATTCGCGACGATTTTGGCGTTGACGTTTGCGTAGTATTCTTGTTCTTCGGGAGTTAGGAGCCCATGAAACTGTGTGTCTTCTGTTGGCTCCTGCATTCCAGGCGGTCTCTGAACATCGAAGCCGATGAAGTCATCTCCAGCGTCGCCCTCCACCACAAATTCACTTGGGATCTCTTCATCGCGGGAATGGCCGATTTTGAGGCGTTTAGCGGATCGCTTGCCCGCCTTTTCCTGCTGCCTCCTCCCCCGCTTTTTGCCCTCGCGAGGCATTTTGCAAAGAGTCAATTAGGCTGTGGGATATCAGAAGTGCAGAGGGCCTACACCTAAAAAGATGAACAGTGAGATGGAGGTTAACAGGTTCAAGACAGCTTTCGAGGACTCGGTAGGACAAGAAAAAATTACGCCGCCAAGCCTTTTTCCGCCGATCCACTCATCAGAGCTACAAGATCCTGTATATACTACAAGAAAGGGGCGATATATGAAGGTTACCTTCGATTTCATGGTCAATTGCCCAGGTAGCTCACCCCTGTTAGACCGTGTCACTTGTTTTGGAATTTGGTTCGCTTTGGATTTATTTAGGTACGACGACTTCTGCACCAGGACCCAGCTCGCTAGGAAACCTGATCAAAATGCTTCGGCCGCCGGTGCGCTGTGGTGTTTCGTTACTTGGCTGAAGAAAAGAGAAACTTGCACAGGAAACCATTTGACAACTCTCTCTCTCTCTCTCTCTCTCTCTCTCTCCCTCCTCTCTCTTTCTCGCCACATCGTCGCGCCATGGCCGCGTTCATCATGTCCATTTGTCCCCCCCTTCACCCCACGTAGCCACATGTGTCTCTTGACGCATAACGCATGAGCAATGAGCCAAAGGACCAAGAAACTGCATTCTTTGGACCGCACCAGAATTTTTCAGAGACCGCCGTTGCTATTCTTTTGCCTGGTGCTGTACAAAACCCCCCCCCCCCCACCCCCTACCCCGTTCTGCCGAATGTTTATGTACAAGATAAAAACAAGTAAAGAGCGCATCATTGAGGAGATGCTACAAAAATCATGCGAAACCCTGACCTGTTGCATAATGGCCAGACCTTCCGTGCGCCAGAAATCGATGACGCCTCTTTCTCACACTCTGTCAAGTCCCCCGGGGGATAAATATGGTTGAATGTTCATGACGAGTAATATTAGTCTTGCAAATAACATAATTTGCTGCTCCGCGCCTTAAAATGCACCCATGTTCCACTGCGCTCACGTTCTCTGCATGCCAGGTTGTAGAGGAGCGCCATTCGGCAAGCCCATACCGTACGGATTGACATGTTGATTGTTGAATGCGTTGGGGTCTTGCATACCGCTCAAGAACTGCCCGATACCTTGGGCGTGACCGACGGGGCAATCTTTATGGCCCATAAGTAGAGTGCGGAGGTTCCGAATCTCGTCGTGCAGCTGAGCAACCTGTGTGTTGAGGCTGTCATTTTCGGCAGAGTACATTTCCACCTTGGCCTGCAGGTTAGCGAGCCACTGTTTCTTTCTTTGGCGACACTTCAGTGCGGCAACACTACACTGGTTAGTCCGCGTGCGACAGCACTCGAGGGCTTGATGGGGACTTGCCGATTGCGTTCAAGGAAATTCCTCCGCTTCTCTTCATCCGTCATCTTTTTGTTGTTACCGCTGTTGGTTGTTGTCGTGGTCTTTTCTTGCTCTTCGGCTTCATCGCTGTCTTCATCATCGTCGTCGTCGTCGTCGTCGCCGCGAGGGTCAAGGGCAGGATCCACGTTGGGAGCTCCCGAATTGCCCTTGGCACGTTTATTGCTTCCTTTGGCACTGGCTTCTGACTTTCTCCGGTTGCTGGCTGGCTCGGCTTTGGCAGCCTTCTTACCACGGCCACTCCGCGTGGTTGGCTTGGGATCCTGGGGGCTCTCAGGGCTTTCACCGGCGTCAGAGCTATTCCGCTTTTGATCTTGACCAACAGTCGGAACAGGCGCCGGGTTGGGCACGGCGAACTGATTGCTAGCTTGGCCTCCTTTCGCTAGCATGAACAGGCCATTGGCAGCGTCGGTGGCGTCGTGGACCGAATCCATGTTGTTGGTGGTGGTGGTGGTGGTGGTGGTGGTGGTGGTGGTAGTCTCCTGTGGGTTGGAAGTGTTGGCAAATTGGTTCTTGTTTCTCGCCGCAGCGTTGATGGCTGTGCGATGGAAATCAAGAGTGCCAGGCGTTGCGCCGCCACTTTGCAACGAATTAAAGAGCGCTTGTGAATTGGGGCTGGGGACGGGAAACATAGACCCGCCACCGCCTGGAGTCAGACCAGTCCGGAGGGACGACTCGTTGGGCGTTGGGAAGCCACGGCCGATACTGTCAAAGTAATCACCTTGTTGCGGACCAGCCAACATTGCAGGGCTCAGCGGCCCTGACCGAAGAGAGCTTTGCCAGTTGTAGCCACCGGTTGAGCTGGTGCCTGGGATGGCTGGGGATGTGAGAGCCGCGACAGGAGGTAGCAAGTTTTTGCCGGGGGTCTCTGTCGAGGGTGCTCCGAATGATTGTTCAAAAGGATTGAATTCTTGGCCGATGCTGCTTCCGTTGTTGTGCAAGGACGAGAAGTAGTCGGGGGTGTCTGCTTGAGTGGTGGGCGCAGGTCGCGGCGGCGGCGCAAGGGGTTCTGATGCTTGAACGACGGGCTTGGGATCTTCGACCAGCGAGGTGGATTGTGGTTCTACATGTCGCATTAGTGATGATTCTTTTTCTTTTTCTTTTTCTTTTTTTTTTTTTTTGGTCTTGCGCAGATTGGTAGGCGCGTGCCGACGCGTACCTGGAAGTGATGATTTAGCCTGCAACGGGGAAGTTTGTGATGCTAATGATGCGTCAAGGTTGTTAGCATTGATCCGTAGTATGCGCCCGGGAGCGCCGTGTTGATGCACGAAACAGTTTTCAATGCGCGATTGATGATGGGTGATGGCAGTGTGACGATGGTGGGCGGGAAAGAGTGGAAGAATTTTTTACAAATAGGGGGCGGCGAGAGGGACTAACCTTCTTGCTTCGCTGTGGCTTTCTTATTGTCCATAGGCGACGAGGTACGAGAAGTTGGGCCAGCCCCAAGGTGTTGTTGTGATGGTTGAGTTGCGACTGCGGCACTCGCCATATTGTCGGGATGGGATGAAGCAATACGTAGAGGAGGAAACAACGTCAGCCGTTGCAGAAGTGACGTCGATAGAGCTGGGAAGGCGTTGGCGCCTCATATATTGTGGGAGGTGGGAGGTAGGGCAGGCCAGGCGAGGGAGCGCAGGCGAGAGGGATGGCAGGGTGGGCAGGGTTTAGCCTTCGTCCGGGCGGGCCTGGGTCAAAGACTCCCCAAGGACTTCAAGGGAGGGCCGTAGGTAATAGAGTCAAAGGGTGCAACTTTGAAGTGGGCGCGCGGGTGGGTTGAACCAACAGCCTGCGAATCAGAGACGTGTCAGCTGTGCGCTGGGAAGTCGGCAGAGCATGGCGATCGCCCGCCATCGAGCCCATCAGCATTCAGAGCACCGCTTGTGCTCGCCACTCATATCGACCCACCGCCAGCCCATTCCCAATGCTCGATCGTAGCGGGGCGGGAATTGGCTCCGGGCCTGGACAGATTTGACAGATTCAGGGAAAGAGGGAAATTGTGGCCAGCAGCCTACCGGGCAAGTGGTACGGGAGAACACCTTCGCAGACCGTGCTGAGAAGCGAGCCCTCTCCACGGGGTTAAACTCCAGTTGAGACTCTGAACAACAACGGTTTGTTGCGAGATAGGCGATACGAAGGCAATCGAGGGCCGACTCTGAGGGGGGCGAGAGGCGGAAGGGTGATGACGTGTGTCTCGCGACTGACTGGGTGGTACCCAGTACCCAGTACAGCCGATGAAAGGCCTACCTAAGAAAAGAGCCCAAGTCAAGTCCCGTGATCGACGATGGGGGAGGGAATGCCGCCGGATGTTACAACAACGCCAACGGCAGCCTGGAATAGGTCTCCCAAAGCAGTTCTGTAACGCTTAATTGACAACCGAGAGGGGATGGTGGCTTTTTGTACAGAGGCTCAAACTGGTACAGGAGAGAGAGGAGGATGGGGAAGTTTAGGAGCGGGCGAAAAAGAGATATCAATGACCTCAGCACGCAGCTGCAGAATGTCAGTACTTGTTAGTAGTACTGTACCAGTAGGTACTCGGGACTTGGTACGGAGTAGTACTTTGTTTACTTGGTAGAGACACAAAGGTGACCCCGTGTCCCCCCTTTCGCCCCCCCGTTAAGGATTCTTCTCTCTCTGGGTGGAGTGAGCAAGGTGAGATAACTCCTGCTCCTACTGGCGGTGAATGGTACCGCTTTTCACTCTTCGCTTTTCTTTGACTCGCCATTCTGACGCAATCGTCGATGAAAATGCCCCGGCACTCGGACGGCGCCATCCCGTATCTAGTCTAGCGCGATACGCCATCCCACCACGGCAACCTGCAAGCCTGATCGAGACTAAGACCTCCCTACTGGGTACTTGGGTACTCGGTATCATCCTTCAGAAAAAACAAAGTGCATCTGCAAGCACGCCACACTCCCCCAATTGCTCATGCAGGCATACCTACAAGTACAGGACGTGTTACAAGTACTTCGTACATCCTATCCTCTTTCTACTGGCTTCCACTACTTCTTCTACCTACTTAGAGAATCAGACCTGCATGGTAGCGAGGCTACTAACTGCCTAGGTAGCGTACTTACCACTTTTTTGAAGGCTACTCGAGGAAAAATTCAAAACCTTTGTCCCTGTTTCATTCTCCTGACTATTACTGCTCCGTTGAACAACACTGCCGCTCTGCTTCCCCTGGACACCAAAGACATCCAACTTAGACAAACTGCAAGCTGGTGCTGATCAATTAGCTGAGCATGATTCGCCTCTCTCCGTAGAATCTAGCGATACGGTTACAAGAACAATCCGCCCAAAAAAAAAAAAAAAAAAAAAAAAAACCCAAACAACTATGGACTTGTATTCGTAATGTAACAGAGCCTTTCCGGCTGGTGCCCGCCACCGCTGGGAAACCTAGCAAAATCTCGGCGAAGTGACGCAAAGAAGACATTGGTGACACAGTTCAACAAGGTAGGGAGTATTCTGGCCATATACTTAGCACACCATAGAATTCTATTACTACAGGCGCCTTTTGGTCGTGGCCTTGATGCCGCGAGACTCTGGCCTCTGGAACCGAGACACCATGCAATGCAATACAGCCTTGTCCAAAGACCCCATCGGGTCTTGCTCTAGACCCAGCACACGACCCCCCCCCCCCCCCCCCCGGTGACCCCCAATCCCGTCCCTTGCTCTACCTGTAGAAATCAAACTTGTCCGCCTCCTGTGCTCCCTTGACTTGGCTCGAATATGCATCCTCCAGATCTGCTTGGATGATGTTATACCGATTCTTGCGTACAGCCCGCAAGCCCGCTTCTTGCATGATGGCCGCAATGATGGCGCCGGACAAGGGATCGTTCCTCACAATCAACGAGTCCAAGTCCACTTCGGGTGATAGTGACATCTTGCTGGCGATCGTGGTGAAAATCAACCGCCGTTCGCGCCGATCTCGAAGCGATGGAAACTCGATCTTGCGGTCCAGACGGCCCGGTCGGAGCAGGGCGGGGTCTAGTGTGTCCGCTCGGTTCGTGGCCATAATGACCTTGACATTGCTCGTCTGGTCAAAGCCGTCCATCTGATTGAGCAGTTCGAGAAGGATACGCTGAACCTCTCGATCCGCCCCCGTCTGGGCGTCAAATCGCTTGGTCGCAATCGCGTCAATCTCGTCGATGAAAATGATAGCAGGCGAGTTCTCACGCGCCATTCGAAACACATCTCGGACCATGCGAGGTCCTTCACCCAGGTATTTCTGAACAAATTCGGAGCCGACCACCCTAATGAAGCTGGCAGTCGTGCTGTTGGCAACCGCCTTAACCAACATCGTCTTTCCAGTACCTGGGGGCCCGTAGAGCAGAACACCTCGTGGTGGGTCGATGCCGATTTGTTTGTAGAGATCGAAATGTGTCAGAGGCAATTCGACGGCTTCCCGGATCTCCTGCTTTTGCATGTCAAGACCCCCGACATCCGCGTACGTCACATCTGGCTTCTCGTCGGCTCCAAGCATGGCGATGGAAGAATCGGCTTCGGGAGGGAGGATGTCGACAAGAGAATTCGAATGGCGGTGAAGGGCGACCGAGGAAGACGGCTTGAGCTTTTCGCGGTCGAGTGTCGAGAGGATGCGGACGACGTAGTTAGAGCCGGTAGAAGATTGGACGATCCCGGTACTAAGTGCTGTCAGCCTTGTAAACAAAAATAAAAGGGATCTATCCCTACTTTTGATCGATAGCTTCCATGAACTGGCCAATGACCAAAGGGACACTCTGTATTCGCTTGATCTCTTCTTGCGCCCGCACGAGCTCACGCTTCAGTGATCTAGAACGGGCATCAGTCCTACTGTCAACTAGGTCAATTGTCCATTTCCACCCACCTCTGTTCATCCTTGATATATTCTTCTTGCAGCTTGATATACCTGTCCCGGTCAGCTGGGGCATGCGGACAAACAACCGCAAGAATCCGTACTCTAGATGTCTTTGCAACCTCTTCAATGTCGAGTATTCATCGCTGCCGTCGGTGCCAGCTCCCTCTAAGGAGTCGATGTCTGGGATCGAATCTGAAATGGGTGGCTTCTTGTGAGGTGGAACAACGTTTGCAGGATTGTCGACGAGTACGTCGCCCATGGTGGTTCTCTGTCGGAGGGTCGGACTTCTGATAAACACGGGTGTGCGGAAGGAAGTTGGAGTGTCACCTAGATACGGCGAAAGTGTTGATAAAGTGGGAAACAAAAGGAAGATGGAACTGTTGGTCGCAAGGACTGCGTTGTCGAACGGCGACAAGTCGAAGTTCCAACTTGAAGGCGTCCGCAAGACGCGCCGCTTGAAAGCCTGCCTTAGCCCAAAATTGGACTAGAGCGGCTCGGGCGCTAGGGTGAACAGGAGAATCGGATAAATCGAATATCCGCGGCGAGACTTGCCCTTGACCTGCCCTGACTTTGTCCACCAAGCCACCCACCTTTTTCGACGTCTCGAATGACTGCTGAGCATTGCACGAGCCACCCTTCTCGATCAGCTGGCTTTTCCACGGTCCTCCCATCGAATGGCCAGGTGTTCTGGTAAGCAGTCGTGCCGTCCGGCGCTGATAGCATGCTGGCAAGACGTTTACTCGCGCTCATTGCCCTCTAGAACCTTTTTGGCCGTGATGGGCTTCTTTTCTTATAGCCTTCGTCACGGCAGACCCAGCCTACATCCATTACAGGAGATGAGGGATCAGCAGAAATTCAAACTTCCAGCTCCAGTAGAACTGATATGCGCAGAGCGACATCCTTGTGTTGGCTTTCTGTCCGAGCGCATCGGACCCGGCTCTTTGGATCCGTTCGGTTTAGGAATAGCTGCGAAAAGGAAGATGCCGCGCCGTTTGATCTAATTCCTTTTCCCTCCCACCCCTGGATAACCCTGCCCAAGGATCTCTAGGGTTGAATTGGACATAGTACCCAGTACTCAAGGGGGTTGGGGGAGACTCGAGCTGTGCCACTCTGCTAGATTGCTAGATATTAAAAGGTGTCTCTCCGCAATGTACCGGGTCTGGTGGCCAGTCGCACTGTACGAATAGTGTATCATGCGGTGCTGGTTCTTGCAGACGTCGGTCCATAGCCGAAAAGAGGGAGCGGCCCATGCAGCTAAGAGATAGAGGGCCACGCAGCAGCGGGCATGCATGATACTATGTACCCTGGTATGTGCCTAACCATGCTAGACCGGGGGTGAAATGAACTGGATTGCATTGGTTCTGGCAATATGAAAGAACCCGCCAGGTTCGCTTGCGACTGTCTTTGGCGTGTGACACGATTCGAAGGTCTGTGTCGAAAAGGACTCAGCCTGCCCGCAATGAGGAACTAGAGATGCGGATCTGCCAATCAGACAATATCTGGCCGCTTGCGCATGAGCAATGAGCAATGAGCTGGTTGACCTGGTTGAGCAGAAATGAGGCACTATCCGACTATGTAAGCCCTGGCATTCTGCTACCCTTTGCATTGTTTCCTTTTCCTTCTTCTCTTTCATGTCCTCCCCAACCCCGAATGTGAAGATCCCTCCTTTTCGCTGTTCTACCGGCCCTTGTCCTCTGTGACACTGTGTCTGTGATGCTCCAGGGGACACCTCTCTCCTATCCACTCTAACTTATGGCTCAGCGAGACGATCCGAACAACAGAGACAAGTACCAACAGGTCGATCCTGGGACATTTCTACGAAAAGGACTTTGTTGGCGTGAAGAGGGGATATGACTGACCGCCCTACTCAGTTCGGCATCCTGCCTCTTTTCTTGTCGACGGCCATCTCCTTTTTCCCAACCGCCATCCCCCCGAATCTTTTTACGCAACACTCTGTATGTACTGACCAGCAGAGACACACCGACGACTAGCAACGAGGGCATCTGGACATGTTTCTTGCTCCGACCGTGGCTGAGATGGGAAGCGGAGCCATCGATGCTCAGCATGATGGGGGATCATTAGGTTCGTGATCGCACACTCGAGGCACTTGAGCATGGTCTAAGCCGAAAACGACCTTGGTGCGGCCCCAATCTGGGTTTGGCATTTTGAAACCCGTATTACTCGGTATTGTGCTGCGAAATCCGGGACCCCCAGGAGCGAGTGACGGGCGAGGAGACACACCCAGCGCCGGCACCATCAGAGGCACCTAGCACAGCTTCATTGCAATTCTGCGAGAACTGGAACTCGACTTTCCCACGCTTTTTGGGGCATTTGTTGTGTGGCGGCAAACCAGGTGGACGGATGGCAGTGTGAGAGCAGAGTGAAGGGAAGCGGGTAAGAACAGAGAGCAAACCTGGGAACGCAGGCCACAAGCCAATGAAGAGCCGCAGAGGGCTCGTTAGCGAGCAGGCCCCCTTCACCCCCCCTTGCGCATTGCCCCCCCCAGAAGAGCCGAGTGGCACCGGACGCCCACTTTTGGCCTCCCTCTCAGCTCTGTCGCCCTGCTGCTTACACTCTCACCCCCCCCCTTCCAGGCTTCCAACTCCCAAGCACCTTTCTTTAGGCTCCCGTTTTTTTTCTCGACCTGCCCCAATTCCCGAATCCAACCTTTACGGTGCCTGTCTGTGCCTGCGCTGTTGACCACTTTCTCCCCCGGTTCGAGGCACTGCGCTTTTTGTGTTTCATCAATTCCAGTTCCCATTCCAGGTTCCCATCGCCCTCGCCCAGTTGTCAGCGTAGATGCTGGCTGTCGCTTGTCGCATCCATCCCTCTGACTGATCATTTCCCACCCCGCCCTGCCTGATTGTCTCTTTTCTGTTCCCTGCGTCTACGAACCACCACGTATCATCAACCTTGGGAAAAGAATCCAAATCGTTCCCATCTAATCACCATCCAAGGTATGTAAGCCTCTCCTACTTTCTTCTGATCCCCAGAAACCTTTTTTTTTGCCCCTCTGCCGATTCCCCCCTTGCACCTCGCAAAACATAGTGGGCTTGTCTTGTTCTTCCCTCTGCCGGGCGGTTCGCAGCAGCCGGAATTGAACACCAGCACATGGCTCGCCCACCACATCATCCATCCTCTCGCCTTCATTCCCTCCCCCAAAACCATCCGCCCACAGATCCATCACTAGCGCCTGTTATCTCCCATCAAACATGCGACTGAGATCGTGTCGCACGGCCCAATAGACCCGAGTGGGACCCTCTCGATGATGCTCGTTGCCCGTTCCTTTGGCCTGCCCACAAGCGTGGCTAACCTTCTTCTCTCAGCAGTTCCCAGTTCCCAGTCCTCAGTTGTCACACGCCCGCCGTGGCTAAACCCCTTTCGGCCATCCCCAGCCCTCAGGAAAATCGTCCCAATCTCGACTTTCCGATCGGTTCGCATACCTTTACGCCTGTGACGATTCCGCTCAAACATTGCCAGTCAGGTAAGTAGCCTTGTTCGATGTCCTCTGAGCTTGCCATTGCCCCCTTCACTAGGCTCGTATCACTTCGCCCTTGACGCCCCGTTGTTGATCTTTACTTTCCCCTGTGACGCGTCCAGGCACCTCCTCTCTCCCACCAGACGCCCGTCCTCCGTTCTTGCTTCAATGCGCAACCGTCGGCGCGCCTATCCATCATGAGATATCCGGTTCTGATGGGTGAGGTTGATGCCGAAGCGGATGTGTCCACCCTCGTGATGGCTGCGCGCATTTGGGGACCACTGCTGATGACTCTAGTTGCCATAGCCAATGGATGACCGAACCTCATTCGAGCCATGAACCCTTGGCTGACCGACGCCTCCTCGAATCCAAACAATCATGTTGGCTTTGGAGGCCCAATGGATGCTGGCATGTCTTTCCTGCAACCTCCTCAGACGATAAACCCTGCTCAGTTCCAAAATCCCGCCTTCCTAAATGGCGCCGCCCGAACCACCTCACCTGCCTTCCACAACCCCGTCTATCAGACGAACCCGGTGATACCTTCCAAGAGAGCAAGAGAAGACAGTCTAGTCACGTCGCCGCGGCAGGCACCTGGTGGCTTACCTGGTTCGCGATCACAGACGCCTGGACAAGGTCCTTTTCCCGGATATAACCCCCAGGCCAACGGCCTCCCGGCGATATCAAATGCTCCCACACCTTTTGGACATCTCCAGACGACATCTAACGCCTCACCATCTCCAACCATACAACAGCTGAACCATTTCGCCTCGGCCCAAGCCAATCAACGCATCGCGACAGCGTCACCTAGCCCGTTTTCTCCCCAACATGCTCCCCCACATGCTTCCCCGGCTCCTTCAGACCACGCGAGTCGCGTCGGAACCCCCCATGATAACCCCCAAAACTTCATATCCAATGGTGTTTTTGCGCCGGGATTTAATCAACCTCAATTCGGTCAGAATATGAGCAATGGCATGCCACAAATGGGCATGAATCCCCAGATCAATATGGCGGCGCAACATCCAAACGCGGCTGCAACCCAGCAGCGAAACTACCAGATGCATCTGCAGGCTCAAACGCGTCAGATCCAGGCCCAGGCGCAAGCTCAAGCTCGTGGCATGAACGGGATGCCAACCAATCCTGGCCAACACGCTTCCAACCCGCAGATGCCGCAAGGAGCTCCAGCAGCGTTTCACCCTGCCAGACCTAATAACCCCGAGGATTTTATCCGGGGTCTCCAGCAATTCATGGCCGCTCGCCATCGCCAGGTTGATCTAACACCGGTGATATGTGGCCGACAACTGCCTTTGTTACGGCTGTACGCCGCCGTGGTGAAAAGTGGGGGATCACAAAGGATATCAAAGCTGAATCAGTGGGCCTCGATTGCGCTCCAGTTTGGCTTCCCACCACCGCAACAGATGCAGGCAGCTCAAGAACTCCAGGCGTACTGGATGAACAACCTAGCCCCTTATGAGGCTGCTTGGCAGCTGTCGCAGCAGAAACAAAAGATGGCAGCGCAGGCCGCGATACAGGGTCAAACCCAGATGTCACCCCCGCGAGATCAACCTCCAGACTCTACTCACCAGAGAAGTGCATCGGCCAATGGACCAGTTGCCCAACAACCACAACCCCCTACGGCAAATGGATATATGCAGCCTCCCCATGCTCCAACACCGCAAGATCTCTCGGCAACTCCTCAACACCGTTCTAGCGTATCGAGGCAGTTCGATCCCCAACAGATTGCTGCTATGCAGGGCCAGGTCCAGGGTCAACCCCCCCAAAAACGGCCTCAAACCGGCGGGGGAAAGATGGCAGAACCTGAACCTGACTTGAACAAACCCTTGTCGAGACCGATCGAGGATCCTTTCAAGCCGGATGTCCTCCCTCCGAGCAGATTTCACGGACCGATCAACGTGGAGGAGATGTTCATTATCGGACAACACATCGCTGAATCCAAACCATTCGCACCCTCTATACGAGAGTTGGGAGTAATTGACATCCACGCTCTGACAATGGCAATCAAATCTGGAATGCACGCCGAGACACGGGTCGCATTGGACACACTTGTCACGCTTTCGATGGAGTCTTCGTTGCCATTGGCATTGAGTGAATGCGACGACCTCGTTGACACACTACTGGATTGTGCTCAGGATCAGGTCACCTTCCTCAGCGAACACGCAACCGAAGTCTCCGACGAAATGTTCCTCACCTCATATGAAGATCTTGTCCGGGCCTGTCGCATCGAGAACGAGTCCTTACAAGATGTTCCCGAGTTTGGAACAGTTGCATACGATCTGGAAAGAGCAGCGGATCGCTTGATTTGTATCACCACCCTGTTGCGCAACTTCTCTTTTTACGAAGCCAACTTTGTCCCCCTGGGTCAACCAGAGGTTGTCAAGCTGCTCAGCACTGTAATTCGATATCTGGGCACTACGGAAATGTTTTTGCGACACAACAGAAACACTCTGGATTTCATGAAAGACGTGGTCATTTATTTTAGTAACTTGTCGACCTTGCTTCAGCTCCCGGGGAAAGAAGAAGCACTCTGTGTCCTTCACTTCCTTCTCGCATTTGCACCTACTCCAGCGCCTACCTCAAGTTCCACGACCAAGGTCTCCTTCGTCCCGTACTCACCCGCTTTACATAAGTACATGCCTTCTGCTGTCGATAGTCTCGCCAAGCTCCTGGCGCGCGATGAACCCAACCGCACGTACTACAAAGCCATCTTCACAGCCGACAGTCACTCGAATCCTCCGTACGAACTATTGACGAGAGCATTTGGGCTCGCCATTTCTTCAATCCCAGCAAACTCAAACCATACCAGGCCACTCATCGAGGCACGCAAACCTTTCCTCCTGCAAGGAATGTTGGCCGCAGAAATTTTGGCAGGTCTCGCACCAGGTTCAGACCACCCGTTGGCGCGCTCATGGCTGGAATCGCATGATGGCTTTGCTGGCAATCTTCTCCGATTGGTCAGTTTGTTGGGTGCGGATCGGACGACCCAGACTGCTCCCAGACATCCCCAACCAAATAATCGAAATAACGCTTTTGAGCCAGATGCCAATGGCTACGGGGCGATCGCGAATCGTGCTATCTCTGTCTTGAAGACCTTGGTGCAGAAAGCCCGCAGGACCGACGAAAGTGGCTCGGCGGTAGTACCCATGGGCATTATGCCGAGCAAAGAAAGTCTTCTGGGAGCCATGATCCAAAAAGACATTGACCCGGGCATACTGCGACAGCTCTGTGTTTATGCCGGTTTAGAGGATTAGTACGACAGGCATTGAATTGCATGTGCGCGGTTGAGCTGACGTCCGCGGGATTAGGAGCACGGCCTATTGCATTCATCCAGCTTGGTGAAATTCGGATTGGCGGACAAGAGCAAGATTTGCTATGACAGGAACTTTCAATGGCTGAACTTGAGGCCTATTTGTACCTCCACGTGAAGCTTGAACGGTTGGGTACATAAGAGATGTCTTTTTCCGCTCTTAAAAGAGTGGGGAAACCACAAAATGTGTTTACTTAGTCTTCAACTTGATCCAATAAAGAGATTGTTTGACTTGAGTAGGTGTCTCAATGCGATGGAATGGTTCAGTCCCTTCAGATGTAGTTTGTATTCACTTCGCTGGTCCATTCGTGGTGATAGCAAGGAAAATAAGCCATGAATCACATTGCTACGTGTTCTAAATAATCCGTATGCATGTTGTGCCAGCGAATTTCCCCCCTCCTGAGAGTTTCCGTGTCTTGATTAAGGGAACGAAGGGAGTAAGTTAGGTAGGTAGGTATCTCTTCTCTTTTCTTCTTTTGCATTGCATCCTTTTGCGGTGGGAATAAGAATTCATAGGTAGCTCACCCAGAAGGTAGGTTCCATCTCCATCTTGTTTTTGTTTTTGTTCTTGTAACTTTTGAATACAGTCGACCAGCTTACTCTCAGCCTGTGCCGGGGCGTGTGCCGGGGCGTGAAAGCGCTCTTCTTGAACATATGTAGATAGCTCGCCATTGCATTCGAGAGACGCAGGCGGAACTTTGGTAGCTTGATGCTCGTATGCCATGTACAGCCCTCTCTCTCTCTCTCTCTCTTCTTCTTTTCTTTCGACAGCACTTCAAAACCCACTCATCTCCGCCCACCGCTTGATCTCTGGGCCCCTCCAGCCCCGAATAACCACTTGCCGTATCGTCCAATTGATCACAATATTGGCTTTCCTCCGTCCTCGCGCGTCGGTCATGTATTCTTCCAACCCCAAAGCCGTGCGCACGGCATTCGCTAGTTCCCGCAGGTCACCCTTGATCTTGCGGATGGTCGTGATGTGCTTGGAGCCGCCGGCTTTGGCGCTATGGTAGATTGGGAGGTTTTTCGACGGGGTGCGCATGATCATGTACGGGAGCGGGGAGAGCGTGGGCGTCAAGTTATGATCCTGGATCTGGCTCATGAGAAAGGAAGATTGTTGAGTAGGCGACTCCTGATGCCGCTGTTGTTGCTGCATCGGGGAGGGTGTTGCTGAAGGAGTTGATACAGGGTACATGTTCGCAGCGCGATCTTTGCTGTCCTGTTCTGTTGGTTGAGATTCATGTCAGTGATTGTGCAGGTAAGTCCAAGAAAAGTCCCGGCTGCAGGGATGAACTTACTTTCTTTTCGAATGGCCGCTTTTTGTCTTCGGTGTAGCTTGTCCAGAGTTGTGATTTTCGCGTACTTTTCCCTGGGCATCCAGTCTGACTTCCATCTGACCTGGCATAGAGGCTGCTGTGGGCGCAACATAGCCCGTAGAAGTAGAGTTGAAGGGGCTTTCATTGTCATTATTGAGAGCGCAAATTAGACGGCCGACGTGCACCTTGGGAGCATTGACATTGACCGAAGGACATTGGGTGTAATGTGCACGTGAAGTGCAAGGCTGAAGATTTACTTCGACACCAGCGCCCGGCTTGGCATCACCTGGTATCGCCGCTTTCTGTGATTATTCGCCTAACGCTTTTTGGTATAGCGCAGCGCAACCCGATTCGTTTTTCTCAGGCGCACGACCGATATTCAAAATGTGGTCGAAGATTGAAGACCTTCCAAGCGGCCATCCAGAGCACGAAGACAACCAGGACCTGCCTGGATATATCTTCCCTCTCGATCTCCCTCCCACCCCATCGCCGCCGCCATCCCCGTCCAACGACTCCCTCACAAGGGAGAATTTAAGAATTCTCCAAGAACAACTCAGTGTAGTTGTGAACGAATTCGATTTCAGCGACGCCATGGCTTCCGACAAGGCTACCAACGGTAGCGACCCTGTCGACGATCCTACCGGCGAGTATGCCTTTCTGAATAAGCTCATACTGCGGATGGACCGACACCTCGTCTTTCCTTTACTTGAACATAAGCTCGGGTCCGAAGACATCTCGCAAGAACGTTACGATGACCTCAAACAGGCCATCTACCAGCTTCTCAAAAACACCAACATGATTGACTACGTGGGCAATCTCTACAAGGAAATCTACAAAACGGATACCATTCCTCCAGACTACGTGAAGAAGAGAGAGGAAGTGTTGAGTCAGCTGGCAAAATTCGAAGAGGAATCCGCGCACCTGACAAACCTGCTGAACGATGAATCAGTCACCTCGCAACTGCGCAGTGACAAGGTCGCCAATCTGAAGTTCCTTGAAGAGCAACACGGCGTCACACAGCAGATGGTCGACAACCTCTATGATTTCGGCAGATTCCGATACCAGTGCGGTCTCTACCCCGAAGCCGCTGACTTGCTTTACCGTTTCCGTGTCCTTTCCACTGACAATGACAAAGTCGTCAAGGCCACCTGGGGCAAGTTGGTCTGCGAAATTCTGGGTGAGGAATGGGAGAATGCGCTTGAAGAGGTTGAAAAGGTCAAGGAACATATCGAGACGCGTCTGTTCAACAATCCCCGTGCACAACTCACAGCACGCGAAGCCCTGGTTCATTACGCCCTCTTCCCTTTCTTCAACTACGAGCCTGCTCGTGAAAAGCTGACAGAAATGTACTTCTCCCCGCCATACATCTCGTCTGTCCAAACTGTTTGTCCCTGGATTCTCCGTTACCTCGCAGCAGCAGTCATCACCAATCGCGCCCGCATGAACAACTCACACAACTACCAGAAACAGGTCAAGGATCTTGTCCGAGTCGTGAAACAGGAAGTCTACGAATATCAAGACCCAGTGACAGAGTTTGTCAAGGCTCTCTACGTTGACTTTGACTTTGAAGGCGCACAGAAGAAGTTGTCTGAAGCTGAGGCCATACTGAGAGGGGATTTCTTCTTGGGAAGCTCGACTGATGCATTCATGGAGAGCGCAAGACATCATATCTCGGAAAGCTATTGCAAAATCCACCAGAGAATTGATATCAAGTAAGTCTGAGGGCATCTCCTATGCACTTCACTCTTTCATTCCCTTAAATACTAACTTCTGCGACTTAGGGACCTCTCCACCCGCCTGGGTCTCTCTCCTAGCGAAGGTGAGAAATGGATTGTCAACCTCATCCGCGACACAAAAGTGGACGCAAAGATCGACTACCAGGCAGGAACAGTGGTCATGAACCATCCCCCTCAGAGTGTGTACCAGCAGGTCATTGAGAAGACAAAGGGTGCATTCTTCCGCACACAGGTGTTGAGCGCCGCGGTGGCGAAATGAATGGACAGTGACCGAAAGTAACCATGCATGCGAGAGTGTCGGCGTGAATGGTGGAACCAAATCAAACGACAACAAATTCCAGATCAACCAACGAGCAATAATGCCTACGGAGTAGTCTGTTCGATATCCGCAGTTGAGAGCCCACCAGTCGCGGATGGATTCGAATGGCGCAACATCAAGAGATCTCGAGGATCTCAAACCGAGAAGCAGCAAAGAACACTGAAGAGAGCGTTGGGGACGGAGAACACGTTGGCTGAGAACATTGAGTCTAATGCAGAGATCTAGAAAAATGACGAGCTTCGGACATAAGGTCATGATACCCATGAGCATGGTACTGAATGATGACAGACAGAACTAAAGGACTGAAACGAGCTGTTTTGAGTGGAGAATCACAGCACGGCCAGTGAGCAGAGCAAGAATGGAGAGGTCACTTCTACTTCCAAGGTCTAGCTAGCTCTTCTGCTTGATGTAGCATGGCATTGTGCAATGCTGTTGCAAAAATGAAAAAGAAAAGCGTCAACGAGCTGCCGTAATCCGACTCAGACATGTCTCATTTCTTCCCGTTCCCGTTGCCAGTACCATTGCCGTTGCGGTCCTTGCTCTTCAGCTTCATCTCTTCCTCGGCCACTAAGCCCTTGACTTCTTCCTCGTTCATCCACTCCCTGACACTGCCCATGACGGTCTCCAAGCTCTGTCCCCCGCCGAGGATGCCGTCCAGATCGCTACTCTCGACGCCACAACGGTGGTCTGTGACCCTGTTTTGGGAGAAGTTGTACGTGCGGATCTTGTCCTCTCTTCCGGTCCTGGCGACGCCGCCCATGGCCGCGCGGCGCATGCTGATAACCTCGGCCTCGCGCTGCTCGCGCCGCATCTGAGCCAGCTTGGCGCGAAGCAGCGTCCACGCCTTTTCGCGGTTCTTGTGCTGCGAGCGCGAATCTTGCATCGCCACGACGGTACCCGTGGGCAGGTGCGTCAGCCGCACCGCCGAGTCGGTCTTGTTGACGTGTTGGCCCCCGGCGCCCCGCGCGCGCATCGTCTCCGATTTCACCTCTGTCGGCGAGATGTAGTAATCCGAGTTCGGGTCGTCGTAGTCCAAGCCGTCACCGTTGGCGGACGAGTCGGGCAGGTTGGGCAGGACGAGCACCGAGACCGCGCTGGTGTGTGTTCGGCCTTTCTTCTCCGTCGCGGGAACGCGTTGCACTCGATGGACCCCGGCCTCTGTTCTTAGCACATCATATGAGCCCGGATGGTTGACTTCCAACAGCGCGTCGGTTAGGCCCGCTTCGTGGGTCGAGTCGTCCGGCGTGTAACTCGCTAGCGCGGTGGGCCATCTCTTCCGCGTGCAGAAGTCGGTGTACATGTTCAACAGGCTCTGGGCGAACAGGGAAGCCTCAGAGCCGCCGGCGCCAGGATGGATTTCGATAAGACAGGGCATGGAAGCGAAAGGGTGGGGCGGGATGAGCGACCTCTTGAGCTTTGAAGCAAGGGAGTGCAAAGACGCAGTGGTAGCTTGGATATCGGTTTCTGCGAGGGAGCGAAGCTCAGCGTCGGACGAGGGGTCGTGAAGGAGGGTGTTGAGTTCTTCGAGAGACTGTCCGCGTACACATTCATGTCAACATGTAGATCGTGCGACATCCATCTTTGACGAGGATATTTACATTCTGTGCATCGTCCCACTCCTTCAACGCCGCAGATACGGGACCCAGCTCCCCAATCCTCTTCGCGACGGCAACGTCGTAGTTCTCCGCGTTCGCAGCCGCCAGCTGCTGGTGCTCAGCGGCAACTGCCCGTGCCCGCTGCAGAAGAATAGGCGATATTTCCGGCCCATTTCCAGAGGGTGCCGTTGCTAGAGAGTAGTCAATTCACTGTAGCCTTCAGAGGACTTGCGGCATCGAAATATGGAATGACACGTACTTGAACTCTGGAAGCGAGCTCGGTGATGACGTCTTCTAGCTGCCGTGCGCAGCAAAGGTCCAATGCATGTTGAGCATAGCCGCCACCGCGAGCTACTACTCAACATGCCTCGGATGGACGAAGAACAACAAAGTCTTCAGGTAGAACAATCAAAGGATATCGAGAGCATGGTTTGGTAGGTTAGAAAAGTTCAACGCTGGGCCGCGAAGGAGACTCATAATTGTATACCGGAGGAAGGTCTATCGGCCCAATCGGGCACATTCCAGCCTCAGCCTTGCACGGCGCCGAAGCCTGCCGAAGCCTTACCTATACTTTGTACACTTCGTCCTACGCTAACATCATTCAAACTTGGTGGAAATGAGTCTCATATTCAACTTTGGCGACATTGTATCTATGGCGCTCCATATACGCAAAGACCGGAAAACAAGTAGAGGTATCTGTATCTCTGGCGCCTTGGTTTCTCCCCTTCCCCACTCAAAACCCTGGATCTCGTTTCATCTTTCGTCGGTTGTTAAACGCCTTGCGATGTGTATGCAAATTTTTTTGGTTTCATGCCTTCGTCACGTGAATGAGGAGCCGGAGTGGTATCGAGCATTCTGTACATTTTGGACGCCGGTCGTGCTTCGTTATTATTTGTGACAACGTGTATCGGTATGCGTCGCATTCGTTGGAAGCCGTTCATGAACGAAAGGCCCATATTGACTTCAACCCATTCTCATCGAAACCGGCGATGTCCTTTTTGGTTCCCGTCAAGTCGGCATTGCTTCTGTCACGCAGCGGTACAAGTCGAGGTGACTGGCCGGACCAGGTTGGTGTCTTGTCGTCGCCGTCCATGGGGAAGAAGACTCCTTCGACCTCTTCATCGATCTTTTTAGAACTTAGACCCGGGCTGGAAATCCCACGGTCAAATCGTCCAATTGGCGCCGACGAATGTCTCAGACCACTCGACTGAACCCTCAATCCATTCGACTCCCCAGAGTCAACTCGATTGAGCTGCATCCGAGCCATCGCTTGAGATATACCAGATATCTGTACGCTTGGTGTGGTCGATTCGTTCGGCATCCAGGACCCGCGAAGAGGTGAACCAACGTGGCCAAAGCTGGATGGTCCGTTGCTTTCAGCAGCTTTTTTCTCTCGCTGTTCGGCCCACAAGGCACTGAATCTCGAAGGGCTCCCTGCCGGTGGGGATCCGACTTTGCTAGAGGTCCCACTTGGAATTGCCAGGGCGTGGACGTGATCCTTGGAACTGTGCTCTTGGTCTGCCCTCGACGTGCGGCGCATCTTTTCCTGTGGAGTAAGTACTTCGTCGCGCAAGCTATTAGGAAGTAGATCTGTCTCCACCCCCATTCCTTCCTCCCACTCATAAGGCAGGTGTGAACGTGGAACACTTGCCGACAGTCCCCTCGTCTTAACAGCTCTCTGAGAATGCATAATTCGCTGGCCAATTGACTCTTCTGCATTTTGCGGCGAAAGACCCAAAGGCGAGACGTTTCTCAAATTGGACCCGAGATTGGCATTTCGAACATTGACAATTGACTCTGGTGGGCTTCCAAGCTGTCTCGACAGCGACGAAGAGGCTGGAGATCGCATGCCAAACTTATCTGGGACAGATTGGCCGAGAGGTCCATATTTCGCTATGTGGGAAACGCTGTTCGAATCGAAAGACTGTGGTAGAGGCGCATTGAGGGCGGTTCGGAGATTTTCGACAGGCGACTTGGGGAATTGGTAATCATTTGGAGGAGAGCCAAATTGAGAGGTCGGGGGCGAGTTGAGGCCCGAATCGAGGGCGGAAGGCGGTTGATATTGGGTGTACCGATCTTGAAATGCGTCCGCCTCGTCGCCGTCCATTAATGGGAACGTTTGACCTTGGAAGTAGTCTGGGCCGTAAGGAGGCTGATTGGGAATGGGATCCCCCAAACTTGGATCTTGGCTGGGGAAAGGTGCTTGCTCCGAACGATTTGCAAAATTGAAATTTCGACTTGCCATGGCAAAGCCAGCATCGAGGTCTGCTCGATTGACTCGTCGCCCATCGGGCAGATAGTGGGCCAGAGCGCATTTGGCGCCAAACTTGCAGTTCCCCTGTACATGTCAATCTCGACTCAGTCGCAACTCAAGACAATCCTACCTTCATGAAATATTTGCAGGGCGCCTGCTGGGTCATTGGATCGAGAGAGTGCATGAAAGGACAGGCGTTTCCTGCCTGGCAGGCCCCTTGACGAAAGAATTTACACGGGACGTGTTTGGTATCTTGCGACATGTCAGCATATGTGCATTCTTTCGGATACGATCAAATTCACTTTTGCCTGAAGCAGTGGGAGGGCTTCTCGCCATATCAAATAACGGCTGGCTCTGTGAGATACTGCTCTTTCTGTCTGCGCCATTCCCAAACGCCGCCGATCCAGGTACTGGCACAGCCTTTTCACCGTTGGCGCCGAAGCCATTCCGCTGTCTGCTCGGTCCATGCGTCATAGACGCAGGGTGTTGAGAGGTGCTCTTTGAGTGCCCTCGATTCATGGTACCGTACTGATCATGATCATTCCAGGTTGCCGAAGGGTCTGAAGTCAATCGAGGAAGGGCGGTACTCATGATGTGGTAGGCCGCAAAGAGGACGGAGCGTGGACAGCACAGGCAGGAGGGTGGCAGGATCCCCGTTTACTGCAGAGGTGGTCAGGCTATCCCAGAGCACTTGGTATGCAGTGTGATCGCGAGTTGTGCCACAAGTCATGCGGGCACCTGGACCGCGCAGACTCGGGACGAAAGCACTCTCTCCACGTGTTCGGCCGACGTGCGTGGGGGTGAGGGACGACGATAACGTGTTGCGTCAGGGCGGAATGTGAGATGGGGTGGAGGTCGAAGTCTGGCGGCGAGATGGTAATAACGAGGTAAGAATTGGTAATCGTGGTAGGAGAAGGTAGACGAGCGGGCGTGACAGTGAGGCGTAGATATGGTCTTTATCAATGAGGGATCATGAACGTGGGCAGAGCAGTCCAAGCAGTCCTAGTGACCTAGTTGCGTGGTGGGGCGCGGCGTGCAGCTGCGGTTAAGAAAGGGCGGAGAGAGAAGTTTCAGCCTGGCTGCTTGCTGCTTTGTTTGTCACTTGTCAGGCTCCGAGGGGGACAAACTTGCCAAGCAAGTCTAATCCTCAACAGGCTAGTACTGGGTAGGGGCGTGCCGCCTTGCCTATTTGCCTCTGCTCACGTGATAAGGCTTTTCATCCTCTTTCGCGCTGTTCTTATCCATCTCTCCCTCTCTCTCCCCTTGCTTCTATAGCCAGAAATGGCAGCCCGCATTGAATTGCCATTCCTCTACCACACCCGCACTATCCTGCGCTTGCCAAAGAGAGCTCGTCTCTCGCGTCCACGATTTGTGTCAACTCAAGAGAATTCAGACGCCCCAATCGAAGATGGCAAACCTCCCCTTTCCTCAGAGGAGGAGGAGTCATTTCTCAAAGCAAAAGCCCGAAGTGTCTCTTGGTCTCCAATAGCGCCTAGATCCGCCGCTAAGAACGCCGAGACAACCATCAGCTCTACCATAACCGCAAGCGAGCGTAGAGCCTTTGAGACAATCTTGCGGTTTGCCCCCAAGCAGACCGAGCCAGCTAGTTCAAAGCGCCGGTCACCTTATGCCGATGCTGCCGATACCGACATTGAGAATATCCTCAAGATATTCACTTCTTCTATACGAGGCCATCAGTCAGAGCGTGATGGCGCTCTGCTTGCCCAAAAGCCCGATAGCGATGTCGCAGATCAGGAAGCCGGGATAGAGCCGCCAGATGTTCAAACATCAACAGAACGGGCTAAAACAACACGGCCTATACTTCGTCCAACAGAGCAGTTTATACTCCAAACCACCCAACAACAGGATCCAGAGTCAATAGGTCAGCCGGGTTTAAACGCCACGCCGGAACGTGGTGGAAGCCCCGGCGTGCCAGTTCAGGCAGAGGCACCAAGCACTGCTGAACATATAGGAATGGAAGCAATGGAAGTCAAGGATCCTTCAGGCCCTCTGACCCGGAGTCGAGACGTGATTTCAGAGATACAAGAACAAAGGGATATCCTCGAGCAGTCACTCGCCGAAACCGCTATCCCGTCTCGTCCCTTTGGCCAACTCGAGGAATCCATCCAGCATGCCGTTCGTGAGCGCATGCACTCCATATCCCAAGCCCTCCAAGAAGCAGCATATTCAAAGGACGAGAGGGGTGATATCGCGATGTGGGAGGTCTGCGAGTCTCAGGTCTTCTCGATGGCAAGGGACCTAAAGCCCCAATCCGGCCAGCCGTCCCGGTATATAGAGCAGCGGCCGAGATATGGTGGGTTACGAAAATTCACATTTACGCGAGAAAAGTCGGACGATCCTCGCCAGTTGATTGAAGCGGCGGAAAGACAGCTACGAGTTTCTTCTCCCATCCCTTGCACCAATCACGCCGACGACTCTACAATAGAATCCAAGCCTTCGATAACCCAACACACAACCCCGGCTTCGACTCTTTCCACAACCCAACTCGCCATCCTCCAGCACACCTACCCGGCCTCACTTCTCCTCGCCCTCAGGCTGTACATAAACCTCTACCCTTCCTCACCCCACCCGCTGCTGCTCCTGCCGCGGATCCGCTCTCTGGGCACGACGTCCTACGTGCTCGGCGCCAGTCCACAGTTCTACAACTCGTTGATGTCACTGGTCTGGCTAACGCGGAGCTCTTTGAGGGAAGTGGACGGATTGCTAGCGGAAATGGAGCGGGGCGGAGTAGAAATGGACGAAGGGACATATGCAGTGCTGGGACGCATTGAAGAGGAGAGAGCCCTGGATTTGGCGGCTGAAAAGGGGAAGGGAAGGGAAAGGGAAAAGGATAAGGCAAATGAATCACTGGGTAGTCGTGGTGCGGCGTGGTGGAGGAGACAGGAACAAATGCTCTGGTTCCCCAGGATATTGGATTGGCTGGACGTCGTGGCTGGAAGGCTCGCCGCCAGGGAGAGGACGCTGTAATGTACAAGTATTCCCGGGCTTAGCATCTCTAGGTCTCTCTCATCGAATCATTCATTCCATTGTTCATTCACCCGTGTCGATGCCGAGACAGTTTTTCTTGTTCCGATACCAGCTTCGCAAACTCGTCATTGAATTCCTCCTGCTCCCGGCTGAGGAAAAACTTCCACCGGACCAGGCCATTCCACCTCGCCACGCGCTACAATATTCACTTGCTCGAAATTGAGTCATAGGGTATTCAACGATGGAGAGGGGAGATTTCCAATCGCCATCTTCTCTCATTTCGGAATGCTCTGTGGCCCTCCTCTGCTGGGTATCCGCTCTGCTCCCGTTAAAACAGTTCGATGACAAAGCTTTGTAACTGCTCTCAAAGCTTGACTTTCTTGATTGGTTTGCTCACAACGTCGTTGTCGCTGTCGTCGGAGCACCACACAACAGGAGCTCTTCGTTTTATATATGTCGCTCCCGCGCGGTGGCTTGTCGCTGACTGCGTTTTAACTCCTGACTCCTCTTGAGTTCTCTTCTTGACGACGGCTTGAGAAGCAGAGTCGCCCTCCTCTTCGTCACTCGATATCTCGATGATCTCCCGCGGCATGTTCGCTCTCACCCCCGCTTTCAGCTCTGGGTTAGATGGTACAGGCACATTCGATTGGCCCGACGTGGCCGTGGAATACGATGGGCCTTGCGCGGAATAGCGGCTGGAGTCTGTCGTTGCCCTCCGTTTCGCCATGGTCGCCAGCCAGGCTTCCTTAAATGAGCAGCCCAGTGCGGTGCCTAATGCCCATGGCACGAGGTTTCCCAATTGTTTATATTGATCTTTTATGTCCCCAATGAGAACAAACCAAGAAGGCATGCCCTGAAATCTGCGGGTTTCTTCCAGCGTCACACAACGATTCTGGAATGGGTGAATGATCTCTCCCCCAAATCTGGCGTCCATTGGTGTTATTAAAGTGGCGATAGTCCGTGACGGGCGATCCGCGTCGATTCTTTTTAAACACTTAGACTGGGGACTTTGCTGATAGGGCTGTAGAGTTCTGAAGAACTGACGCTCGTGCCGTAGTAAGAGACCTGCGTGATATGCTTTGCTTAGCGACATGCCCTCTGGGATCCTCTGAAGGATTGCGTGATAATTCACGCCTACTCTCCAATCTATTGTGAGTCGCTGGAGAGGGACGTGCGCCGGATTGGCGACATTGATCATAGTATCGTTGTGAACGGGTTCTAGATCGCCAATGGTACGACGAACGCATTGGCTTTCTTTAAGCCCTGGCCCATGTGTTGGGACTAACTCTCTGGGTAACTCAGCTCGAGGCGCCGTAGCCACAATGAAAAGTCGTTTTCGATTCGAAGCTCCGCCGAAGTTCGAGTCAATATGTACTGATCTCCGTGTCTGGTAACCAAGTGACACGAGAAAGCTGATTGCCTGAGCACAGGCGTTCTGTTCAGTTGGATCACTTGGATCCATTGTTGGCACATTTTCTATTAGAACAAATGCTGGTAAAAAGATATCCACGAATGATAGAAAGTTCGCAAGGTATGAACAATTCTTTTCAGCGTTCCTTGTTCCTCTATGGCTGTTTAAGAGGCTGTATCCGCGACAAGGGAACCCGCCCATAATAGCATCGGTTGGAATCATTGATTTTTGCCCCGACGTAAATGCTTTCAGTAACTGCTCTACCGAGCAGACTTCGCATATCGAACCAGGGTGGTTTGCTTTATGGCTTAGCGCTGCTGTCTCCCAGATCTCCACGGCGAGGACCAATTCAACGAAATTAAGACTCGTAAATGCCGCCTCAAACAGGCCACATCCGCTGAAGAGGCCCGCAAGTCTCATTTTTGGCCAATTCTGTCGTGGGCTCGGAGTTGAAGGCTTCAGTTTCGGGGCTGAAGGCCGGGAAGTTTTTGAGTGTGTACATCGACAAGCGAGATTCGATAAAGGTTCGTTGACAAATTCTTCGTCATGCTCTCTATAGAGGAGATGCAAAAATAGCTGTGAGCTATTGATCGGCGTATCCTGGACGCACGCTTCAACTATCTCCACAACATCTCGATAGGGGATTGGGTCACAGTTGCAACTGTCAGTAAAGAACAACTCATTGCCGATTTTATAGGCGGCGGTTCGTCCACAAAGAGTCTCTGCTGGTAGCACTAGCCAGACGACACTGAAATTGCATTTCTGCGTACGTCTGACCCAGGCGTAGCGAAATGTATCATTCCATCGCACAATGACCACTCTGTGAAGAATGGTGTCGTGACGATCAATGTGAACAGTTTGGTTTCTTATGGCCGCCTGCTCCAAGATCCAGGCCACTCTAGATATTCGCTGTGTCCCTTTACTGACGAATGTCGTCAAAGGATTGACAATAAACTTGTCCAAGAACTTCCATTCCATGACTCTCTTCTTGCGATATTCTTTAACTTCAGGAGATAGATGTACCACTTCAAGAAGATCAAATTTCTCCCACGACTTAAATTCTGAGAACGATGCCGCGACATTGGGCGTCACTGTAGTCTTCTCCACCGGAAGTGAATATTGACGCGCTTTAGGGTCGCTAATTTCTGCCCAGATTGGCTGTTGAAGCACAGAAGGTCCGTCGTCCTTGTCGTAGATGTCGTTAGCCTGGTCGTATAAGAATCGGCGGTAGGCGGACACATGATGACGAAAATCGCTTCGCTGATGACACTGATTGTGCCAGTCACGAATACTCTCGCCGTGTAAATCATCAAGCCACTGCCAGAAGTTGGCTCTGAAGTCTGCCAGATGTACAGGAACACCTGAATTAGAGCGAGTGTAGAGGTAGTCGACGAAATATTTTGTGAAGTTTGCGAGCCAGACAAAGGGATTCCAAACGGTTGAGTATTCTTCCGACGCGGATTGTAAACGGTACCAGTAGCGTTTGGCTCGGCTTTCTTTTGTCTTAACCCATATGAAATCGTTGACCGAATATTGCCCTATGTCCTCGAAGCCTCCGATGCTAACCTGAACAATCGCGGCTCCAACAACTTGTTTTCGAACGCCATTATGCTCTAAAAGGCCATCGATCAACCAATGACCCTCGTCATGGCCATCGGCGAGTTCAGAATATACGATATGAAGACTTTCGTATTTTCCTCGCGACTTCTGAGGGTGTGTAGCGGACCGATATACGTAAAAGTTGTGCAAATTGAATTCCCAAAATTCTGACGGTTCTTTCGAGACGGCTGTCAAGGTGTCTGGATCAATCCAGTGATCATCCATCGATATAAATTCGTCAAGGATCTGAGCCTCGGTTGACTTGACAGTGTGAGAATATTTGTTCGAACACTGTGGCGCATACGATCGCCTCAACTCTTGTGGGGACTCCAGGTGCTCGAGAGCGGACGCTAGGTCGCGAAATTGTCGTTCTAGGGTGGTATCTGTTTCTGTCCGTTGACGGTCCCATTCAGCACGGGGAGTGGGCGGGGAACTCGTGTCATCTCCATCTGATGAGATTTCTCCCACCGGCATATCATCTTCGTCAGTGGTACCATCATCAGTGACTGCCTCGGTCTCGGATTCAGGTGACAAAGGTCTTGTTTGTTTCGGTGTGGCAGTATCGCTCTGACCAAATCGCTTGACCCTGGTGCGGGAAAGTGATGCCAACAATGTGTGTTTTTTCGTCATCATAACCCAAGCACAGCCAACCCAGTATGGTGCAATTCCTGTCCTGTCGAATGGGGGTATTTACCATTCGGTGACCAGTGGTTGGTGTAAGAAAGGTAATTAAAGGGGGAAATGGTGGCCTGAGGATAGAGGGGGATTAGAGAGGTTCTGAATACTGAGAAGAGGGAGATGTTAAATACTGGGAAGAGAGAGGGAGAGAGAGAGCTGTTAAATACCGAGAAGAGACTTGAGTGACAAGTAACGACGGGTTCGACATTGCTATCAAGGTCTTGGAGCCCAATGCCACAAGATGAAAAGCAACATACATGGATGTGTGAGGTGGAAGTGAGAGAAGGCTAATGAGACCAAACTATGTGTCGGGATGCAGCCTCGTCAAGTGAATTATACCAAAGGTGTTAGGTGTGTATTGTTTGCCTGGCAGCCGTGATTCTAATCTGGATGCACTATTGTAGAATGCTAGTTGGCTTCACATTATTTAGCCGATGGGGCCAAAGGGATGACAAAAGGGACAGACAGTTCGTAACCAGCGTCTGGAACATGAGTCGCTGCTCTTTTCTAGCTTCTTCAGACGACCCGTGGCTTGCAAGGTAGCGACCGATGATATTCATCAACAACCAGCGAAATGGTAGAATCTGTGCCGGAGTTACGGAAAGATCATTGTTTCTCGTACATGGTTTGGTATCTAACGACATCAAAAAGTCATAAAATCTGCTGCTTCTGTCGTCAAACTTCATGGCCGTCGTCGTCCACATAGTTGCGATCTCCAGCTTTTCCTCTTCGACGCGACGAAGAACTCATCAATTCAAACAGCCGGCTTTTTGCCGGACCATCACGGCTACTTGACAGCGGCCTCCGAGCATCTTCAACCACGTCAACCGCGTCGGTCGACGAATTTGTCGAGTCTGTCATAGTCCGGGTCTCTGCTGCCCGGTGTGGGTAGGGTATACGTTTTTCCCACGCGGAAGCCGAGCTTGACGGCGTAGTGTCTCCTTCTCCAACAATTGGAGAGAGCTCGGCGTTCTTATAGTCCACATCTGTCACCGTGTCTGTCGTTTGCGGAAGAGCTGTGATGTCAGTGTCTCGGTGTGACCTGACTAAGGACTCTTCGAAGGCGCTGCTGGGCGACATAGCCTTTTGCTGGTCGGTGACGAGCCGTTGCCAGGTATGTTCCGACCTTTCGTCAGGCCGTTCAGCTTGCTCTGCGGCCTTGAGGCATTCCTTGCTCTTCCGCGAGAGACTCACACAAACCGCGTGAAACGCTTGTACAGCCTCATCCTCGGTTGCATCGCTGATGTTTTCCGGAGCATGTGTAACCCATAGGTCAATGAGCTGTGCCATCAACTTGGCATGATCCAGAAGGAATGGAAGGCTCGGCAGGCCCTCTCGGGATAGAGCTGGAAGTCGACCTCGTATCTGATTTGGTGCGGCATATTGAGGCTCAAGCTTAGCCGAAGCTATCTGAGAAGAGCTGACAGCACAAATCTCGTCAATGAAAGCTCGGAATTGATTCGTCGAGGCCGCCAAAAACTTATTCATGGGCTCCATCCAAGGCTCTTTGGTTCCAAACCGTGCCAGGTTTGCAAGAACATTAAGGGATTTTGCGATTAATGTAAAGGTCCGCTTCGTGCGGTCTGGAGGGTGGTCTATAGAATGCGTTAGCGTGGGTCGAGAAGGAGATCCACCGAAAGCTTACCCTGAATCAGGCCGAAGAGTTTCGGATTCAAGATTGCAGGACAGAAGAAACGAAGGAAAAGGAAACCGGAAACGCTCGTGTACTTGACTGTCCGAATAAAAGAACCATATCGATCTTCTGCGCAAGACCGGACATGGCGGAAAATGACACGCAGGTCCATTGGACACCGCGCCGCGGAGACATAGATAGATTTCCAGATTTCGCTGGTGAGAAACACCAAGTTCGCCCAGTTCTTGTCGAGTTGCTCCTGGGACCGAACTCTGCTCGGATCGACTTCGCAGTCAGGATCTCTTTCGATAATCTTGCGCAATTTTTCGCCTAGGACTTCCTCCATGTAGTCTTTGCCGAGTCGGCGCATGTGGGCATCGAGTGCCTTTGTTACAAGTGAATTACCTCGAAAAAGTAAATTGGCCTCCATCGTAGCCGATCGACTGAGGTCGCGGACCAGCATTTCTCTCTGTTCGGCAGATTCGTAGGAGTCGTTGGAGTGGATACGGCCACTGAACCTCATGCGCATTGGGGGAGTGTCCTTGTAGATGCCGTCAATTTCTTCCTCTATGAGATTGCTGATCCAGTCAGTGGCGTTGCCCGATGCCTGGAAAATGTCTAGAAGGATATCAGACAGTTGTCGAAGGTCGGGCCCAAGGAGATGAGCAATTTGCGTTGTCAAGCCATTCGAATAGTTTTGTAGGAGAGAGGCGAATTCTTCGTACTCGTCCTCCATCAGTATCACCGTCTCTTCCAGCGACAATCGTGCCAGGAGCGTGCCAACAGAATGATCGTTATTGTCCAGTAAAGGCCACCACTTGTCAATCGTGCCACTATGCTCTAGTTCATCAATTGAAATATCCACTCTCCCAAAAATCGGGTCGTGAGACGAAATCTCTAGGCCGCCAAGCCCCGAAAGGTATCCAGCGTCTGCCGAAATATCGTAGAGGCTATCGGCGACCATAGTCCATTCTTTCTCCGCAGGATTTCCAAGCTTGACCGCAATGGTGACCTTGGACAAAGCCGCGGGAATGTCTGGCAAATTGAACTCCTCTGCCCAGAAAGCCGAAGAGACCGTCTGCTTTGTCGTTGTTCGGGCCCGTAAGTCCTTGCCGAGCATAATTTCCGCGTATACACCTTCCTTCGTTTGCTCAACTTTTGCCGATTTTCCTTTGACCTTGTTGTATTCGTAATTTTCTGGTGGAGCGGACCGCTGGGCGAATTTTGCCTCAGTTAATTTGATTGAGAGCGACCGCTCTATGCGAAACATGCCCTGTGTAGAGACATTGTTCCCGTGTTGCGATGGTTGCGATAACGCCTGTGCATCTTCAGGAGATAATTGTTCTGGGCCGTATAGCTCTGGTACTGTCAGGGCTCGGAGTAAGACAAACCAGGCTTCCAGTGCCACGTTGGACTCTAGGCATAGAACCATCGGTCTCAAAAGGCCTGCAACAGAGGTTTGGACACGATATTGAGGATATATTGCGATACAATGCGGCATCCGCAGCACGCTTTCGTCCAGTCTCTGAACTGCACAGCGAGAAAGCTGCGAGAGCGGTGTTACGGAAACCGCCCGACTATCGACCTCGCTGAGGAGGCGAAAAGTACCATTTTCGTGGAGAGTGCAACTCACTCTGCGCCAGAGGTAGTTTTCTTCTGTCATCGACCGGCCGATGCTGCTCGGCGAAGATTCGAGCTGAGACCCTGACGGCAATGGTCCGTCCCAGAGCAGCATCTTTCCCACTTTGACGATAGCTGTAGCTTTCGGATTAGTGAAGTCGGAAAGACGCCTCTGTGACACTGTCTTTTTCTCGGCGATTCCAACTGGTTGAGGCTTGGTCATCTTGTTGTGTATTCCTTTCGGCCTCAACGGTTGCCAACAAAGCAATGCTGCGAGCCACGAGTCGAAAGTCTCAGGCACTGGAGGTCGAAGCTGATAGCCTGTTCCTGAGGAAGCAATTAGAACACTCAGATAGGTGCTCTGAGACTCATGGTCGTAGTGGGTCCTGACGGTACAACCTCGCAAATCTGGTATTAATATTTTAGATGAGTGGACTTCGCCTTTGGTCTGGCATACCAGACTGCCAGGCGCAACGTTGATAGCACAATAGCCGGAGGCCCACGCCGTTGTATGCAAGGGCCTAAAGAAAAGGATGCCATGCATTCGACCACAGGTAGTTTTCATGAGATGGAGAATTTTGCCGGAGTCAATGTCGAGTAGTTTAGGAGACCGAAGACTGTTTGCGCTCGCGGCGAACGAGTCATCCGGAGAAAATGGCCGGCGAGGAGTTTTGGGCGGACCGTATTGGTCCAAGAGTTCGGGACTCTGTACCACTGAAGGAAACCCAATCGATCCGTGAGTCTCATCAGGAGGGAGGATCGGTAGCCCTGTGGCTATGGACCCGAGCCGCTTGCGAGTTTTGGAAATGAAGGATCCCGGTGAAATATCTACCGGGGTTTCTTCGTTTGTGCTTGTTCTTGTCTGTGCCCTCTTTCTTCTCCTCTCAATGGTGCTGTCTTCTTCAGTGTTGGAGGCTGATGCAGAAGTTTCCCGCCTCCTTTGTGAATGCCGTGTGCGTGTTGGCTGTAGTACCGGGGAGTGGATGTGGCTGGCATCGAAAGAGTCGGCGCGAGGCGTGATATACTCCGGGGTCACCGCGCGAATAGTGGTCTGTTCTGTCTCTTCAAAGATCCTCCCGTGTCTATCGCGGGAGGAAGCCTGGCGGCTGGATCTTCGTTGCTGAATCAATTGTGATCTGGACCTTGTCTGCGTAGCGACGTTTGCCATCTCTTCCCAATCATTTGACTTCATCGTCAAGAATCGACGAGCCCCCTCGCGGATTGAATGGTTGGTGTCAGCCCTAGTCCCTGTCACCAAAGCCAATGTTTTATACCAAGACAAGGATGCGGATTGAGCGCATCAGTCTGTTGCTTCAGTTTCCTTCGACGGGCGCCTGCCAGAACGTGAACTGGGCAACCTGGCATTGGCGCGAAGGCTTCGAAAAGATAAAGAGAGTGCGAAACTCTTCGGAGAGGCGGATTGGACAATCAGTTAATTGACCTGCCAGCGTCGCATTGGTGCAGAGAGGGTTCGAACGAGTCGAGACAGTGCGACTAATAGCAACAAAAGACGAAGTCGGGTCCAAAGAAATGCCAAATTGTGATGCGACCGAGCAGGATGCTGAATACGACGTTACCCGGAGGTCAGAGAGACGAGCGAACGGCTGAGGCAATGAAACATCGGAGGCATTCGAATAGAGAGAGTTGAGACGCCTGGGGGGAGAGGGAATTGAAAAGCCTTATGCAGGAACGATGTGATGCGACGTTCAAGTCAAATGTGTGCGTGGTATTGCCTGGCGCAAGACTATAGCGATTGGGAGATCATCAGGAGAAAATCTACAGGCCAGGCGATTTGACGATGCGGGAGTGGTAAACTCTTGCAGCTGGTGGTGGGATTGAAGGTGGTGGTGTGGGAGGGAGTGGCTCGGTGGGAACTTGGAAGGGGGAAAGGAGGTGTATCCAGTTTCCATGAGGCCCAGAGGCCCAGTGTGGGGTTGGAAGCATGCACTCCCTTTAGTTAGCCGGTGCTTAGGCCCTTAGGGATATTACTTCTGCTGCAGGCATTAGTTATTATTTAACTAGCCCTGGTTACCCTGGCCGCCCACGACTGTTGGAGCCTGGCCCTTCTAGGCCCCGGAGAATGCCCCTTTGGGCGAGAAAATCTTTTTCGTGGCCACCCCCATTGCCCATCGCCCATATCAAGCTCCCCATCCAGCGAGCCCAGGAAGCACTATTCTCTATCTGCGCCACTAGACTTCGATTCATGCCTGTTCTGTGCCAAGCGTCGGGTTCTGCAGGACCCATACGAGGTTCAACATATGCCGAAAAGAGGAACGGGCGGAATGCAACAATCCATGTGCGCTGCAGTTGACCAGCATCCGCATCTGAAACGGACATACCAGGTCCTTATAATAGAGGCAGACAAAAGAGCTTAAAGTTCAATCCGTTGAGCTGGGAAGCTCGAGCTGGGCTTGGCTGGCTCGCTGGTCGAGGAAGTGCCAAGAATCCAGGTCACATGACTTGGCAGGAAAAGACCGTGACAAATTAAACGCCGCTATCGTTTCCTCGCCTCTTTCAGTTGCAGTTCAGACTGCGGAGACTTAATTTCACGAACTACTCCCTCTCCTCCTCATTGTTCGTCTCGTCTCTGCTTGCTCAATCTCCGTCGAAGTCGTCACGGTGCGCAATATGTCGGACGGTAAGAGCCCAACGAGATCACCTCCGAATACCCAACTAACATCACTCCAAGCTGATTTCGATACTGTGCGGCGCCTGCAGGCAGAGCGCAATGCGCAAGCAGCCGGCAAGAAAGGTTCAAAGACCTTCGATTCATCCACTCAACGCACTGACTCATCCACCAAGGCGTCTCTGACTGAGAGTTTTGACACTATTCTTTACGATCGGGATGGCGTCGACAAGTTTGCCGGCTATCACACCTCCCTCCCCACCGATGGCGAAGATGACGACATGCCCGACGCAGGCGACAGTCGGAGGCTCGTCGGACAGTATACAGCGACAAAGGACCAAATGAACGAATTTGCAACCGGAAACGGTGTGGAGGAAGAGGACATCTTACTTGGGCGTGAGAAATCTGCCAGAATAGCAGATCGTGAAACTGATTACCAGAAGCGAAGATTTGATCGGGGTCCTCTAACTCCCACCCGAGCCGATCCCTTTGCTGCAAACAAACACGCCGGCGTTACCGAAGGTGCGACATATCGTGAAGTTATGCAATTGCAGGACCTTGAGCGCGAGGAAGAACGTGTCAAGAAACTCATTGCCGAGAAGCAGGCAAATGGTGACGCCGTCGTCGAGCACAAACCAACGCTGAAGGACGAAGCAGACAAGGAGAATGCGGACGCAGGATCCACTGTTGAAGCAACGAGTCGCAAGCGTAAGAAGAGATGGGATGTATCCAGCGAGGCCACTCCTGCTCCTGAGGGCGTTGAAGTGAAAAAACGCTCGAGGTGGGATCAGGCCCCAGCTCCAGACGGAGTGGCAGCGCCCACGAAACGTTCTAGATGGGATCAAGCGCCTGCACTTCCATCAGCGACCCCCCTAGGCAATACCGGACTTGCCACTCCAATGCATCCCTCACAAATGTCACAGGTAAGCTTTGGGACAGATATCACTGGCCGAAATGCTCCTTGGTCAGACGAGGAACTCGATACGATGCTTCCTACAGAGGGTTACACCGTTCTCGAACCGCCCCCTGGATATGCTCCAATCCGTCCAGTCGCCAGAAAAGTCGTCGCCACCCCAGCCGCTGCGAGCGCCTCGGCCGGCATAGGTGGTTTCATGATGCAAGAGCCAGAAAATCCAAGAATATTGGGCAAGCAACTTCCCACAGAAATTCCCGGCGTGGGTGATCTTCAATTTTTCAAGGCTGAGGACATGACCTATTTCGGAAAACTCGTCGATGGTGCGGATGAAAATGCCCTGTCGGTCGAGGAATTAAAAGAGAGAAAAATTATGCGCCTATTGCTCAAAGTCAAGAACGGTACCCCGCCAATGCGTAAGACTGCTCTCCGACAATTGACTGACAATGCACGACAATTTGGAGCCGGGGCCTTATTCAACCAGATTTTGCCCTTGTTAATGGAAAAGTCGCTGGAGGACCAAGAACGCCATCTGCTGGTCAAGGTCATCGACCGTGTTCTTTACAAGCTTGATGATTTGATCAGACCATATGTCCACAAGATTCTCGTCGTGATTGAGCCTCTCCTCATCGACCAGGACTATTACGCCCGTGTCGAAGGACGGGAAATCATCTCAAACCTGGCTAAAGCGGCTGGCTTGGCTCATATGATTAGTACAATGCGACCAGATATTGATCATGTGGACGAATACGTCCGTAACACCACGGCAAGGGCGTTCGCTGTTGTAGCTTCAGCATTGGGAATTCCGGCACTCCTTCCCTTTTTACGTGCTGTCTGCCGAAGCAAGAAGTCGTGGCAGGCTCGGCACACAGGGGTGAAGATCGTGCAACAAATTCCCATTTTGATGGGTTGCGCAGTATTGCCTCATTTGAAAGGCTTGGTTGATTGTATCGCCGATAACCTCAGTGACGAACAAGCTAAGGTGAGGACGGTCACTTCTCTGGCTATCGCTGCACTCGCCGAGGCAGCCAATCCTTACGGTATTGAGAGCTTCGATGACATCCTCAATCCTCTCTGGACTGGCGCGCGAAAGCAACGTGGTAAAGGCCTTGCCGGCTTCTTGAAAGCCGTAGGCTATATTATCCCGCTTATGGACGAGGAGTATGCCAACTACTACACCAGCCAGATTATGGAAATTCTGCTTCGAGAATTCGCCTCCCCGGATGAAGAAATGAAGAAAGTAGTGCTGAAGGTCGTTTCTCAGTGCGCGAGCACCGACGGTGTGACTGCAGGATACCTCAAGGAACACGTGCTACAAGAGTTCTTTAAGAGTTTCTGGGTCCGACGAATGGCACTTGATAAGAGAAATTACCGTCAAGTCGTGGAAACAACAGTTGACCTTGGTCAGAAAGTTGGTGTGAGTGAGATTGTCGAGCGAATTGTAAACAACCTCAAAGATGAAAGCGAAGCCTACCGCAAAATGACTGTGGAAACTATCGAAAAAGTCATCGCCTCCCTCGGCGCGGCGGATATTGGCGAACGGCTTGAAGAGCGACTCGTCGACGGCATCCTCCATGCCTTCCAAGAGCAAAGCATCGAGGACGTTGTCATGCTTAACGGCTTTGGCACAGTCGTCAACGCCCTAGGAACTCGGTGTAAACCGTACCTACCGCAAATCGTCAGCACAATCCTCTGGCGACTGAACAACAAATCCGCCACTGTTCGCCAACAAGCCGCAGACCTTATTTCACGTATTGCAATGGTAATGAAGCAATGTGGTGAAGATGCGCTGATGGGTAAGCTGGGGGTCGTCCTGTACGAGTATCTCGGTGAAGAGTATCCCGAAGTCTTGGGATCTATTCTAGGCGCTCTCCGATCCATCGTCACCGTGGTGGGCATAAACCAGATGCAACCGCCCATTAAAGACCTTTTACCGCGTCTGACCCCCATCCTGCGCAACCGCCACGAAAAAGTCCAGGAAAACACTATTGATCTCGTCGGGCGGATTGCGGATCGAGGACCTGAATCCGTCAATGCGAGAGAGTGGATGCGAATCTGCTTTGAACTTTTGGATATGCTGAAAGCGCACAAAAAGGGAATTCGCCGAGCCGCGAACAACACGTTTGGATTTATCGCGAAAGCAATCGGTCCGCAGGATGTTCTCGCGACCTTACTCAACAACTTGCGCGTTCAAGAGCGACAATCCAGAGTGTGCACAGCCGTGGCCATCGGGATCGTCGCGGAAACGTGCGCCCCATTCACCGTCTTACCTGCATTGATGAATGAATACCGCGTCCCTGAACTTAACGTGCAGAACGGCGTGTTGAAATCCCTGAGTTTCCTATTCGAATATATCGGCGAAATGGCCAAGGACTATGTCTACGCCGTTACACCCTTATTGGAGGATGCACTTATTGACCGGGATCAAGTCCATCGGCAGACTGCCGCCAGTGTTGTTAAACATGTTGCCCTGGGTGTTATGGGACTAGGGTGTGAAGATGCAATGGTCCATCTCCTCAACCTTCTCTATCCCAACCTGTTCGAGACGTCACCCCACGTGATTGACAGGATCATCGAGGCCATCGAGGCGATAAGAATGGCGGTGGGCACTGGGATTGTGATGAACTATGTGTGGGCGGGATTGTTCCATCCAGCGAGGAAAGTTCGCACACCATATTGGCGGCTGTATAACGATGCATATGTGCACAGTGCTGATGCGATGGTGCCCTACTATCCGAATTTGAAGGAGGATGGGCTGCCGAGGGATGAATTGTATATCATGGTTTAAAGGGCCTAGAGGGAGGAAAGGTGAATGGACTTGCTGGAAATCTTGACGTCCGTGGCGCAAAACAAGCCCAAAAAACTTTATCGAAAGAGGAGCTGTTTTATTTTTACTAGTGGAAGGGGTAAAAGCAATTCCTGCTCCGACACATGAAGTACGAACAGCAGAAGCTCAGAGCTATCTTATGACTCTCGGGGACGTCTAAGAAAGTGAGTCGAATCTTGCTCATCGTGTTGATAGGTCAAGGCTTGACGAGATGGGACAAAAGTAATGGCCCTTTTTCGAGGCCTTTTCAGTGGTGGAAAGGAAACAAGAAGAGAGTCAATCAATCTCGTTAACAGTTGATAGTTCTCATCAAAAACCTACGTGCTTTCTTTTGCTCCCGACGGACGCCCAATCCTCGCGGGTCTGAGCCGACACCTTTTCAACAATTTTCCTCGGATCTTGCTCTACATGCCCCAGAATTGATCGATAGGCCAGGATGGACTGGCAAGAGCTTGGTTTAGCTTGACCGTCGCATACATGCGGGGGGGGGGGGGGGGTGCCGGACTACCTTGAACATGTGGGCTTGACTCCTTCTATCTGTCTCTCCTGATGCAGACTAACTAGGCGGTAACAGTCGTCTCAGGCTCCGTCAGTCGCCCCCGCCGCCTTCAGCCCTGCCAGCTTTGGAATTGAGGTATTCGTTCCTATGTCAACAGGCCTTCTCAGTACTTGTACGGACAGACATGGCTAATTGTTCCCGTCGCTAGAAAGAGACAGATAGAGAGAGTGGGAGAGAGATTCCCAGCGAGAAGGTTCCCCTCCACACTCCTTTACAAATAGACATACATCCCTCGAGAACCACACCTGATCGTGTCAGGGAACAAGGAATAAGATAAGAAAGAGACTCGAGGTGAACTCACTCACCGTCGATTCGCCCAGTCCATCAACAGATACGCGACGACGAACGGCGGGACCCAATACAAGACCTGGTTCTTGGTCCGGCGGAACGTGTTGAACACGGCGTTGTGCAAGGCTCGGGCTAGCGGGTTTTGCCTGTTCGGCGAGACCAGGTACGTCACCACGCCGCGCTGTGCTGGGAGCTCTTTGTGGCCCCAGCAGTAGACTGGTTTCCTGAACCCGGAGGAAGGCTATTAGTATTGAATGACTGAAGACACTTGGGGGAGGCACGACTGGTTGGTTCGTTAGGTTGGTTGGTGGATACGGTTGAGAGGGACGTACAGCTTCCGGCCCTTGGGAATGTCCTGTTTGTATTCCATGGTTCAATTGTAGTGGTGGAATCGTTATACTGAAGGTCGGTGAGCTTGTAGAAGAGTTGCATTCTGTCATGGTGGAAACTGACCACTCTTATATGCTGTCGCAGTAGCTAGACCTTGCTGTGTCTTTTGCCAGCTCGAGATAGATTGCATCGCACTGAAGTGGAGGCGCTTGGAAATGCGCATTGTCTGACAAAGAGCTATCACCTCGGACAGAGAGCGAACAAGCAATGTCCAATCTCTGCAATGAGCATCTCCTCGAGTCAGACTCGGCGATTTCCCTCTTTTCCCAACGATGTACTGTACTCCATTACTACATGGCGCACGACGTTGTGGAGCTGTAGCAGCATCTAACGTGAATAGTATTAGTTTCCACTCGCTTAATTCAGGAGAGCTACTGTAGGTACTGTACCTTTAGGCGTCAAGGTCGAGTGGAGCTTTTTAGTCGTGGGTAGAGACGACTTGACGATTAATGTTCCTTACGTACTCGGTACAGCCTCCTCGGTTGTTGGACAGTGGGAGATCTCGCGTGGGTTACTGGAGGTCGGCGGCGGCCCTGCCAAATTGGATTATGAGAAGCATCCGCTGAAGCATTCCGTCATACTCCCTACGCGGCTCTGGGCCTCCAATTCCAATGAACTCGGCCCATGAGATCAATTTAGACTCTAGACCGCCGTGGACGGCCACGGCAGCTTGCCATTCTTCTTCAGTGTCTGCCTCCCAGAGGCCGGTCCTTGCATCGAAAGGTAGCGACTCTACCAGGGGACGGTAGTGGCAGTATCCCTTCTGGGCCACTTCCACCATTCCGTCAATAAGAATGATATATAGAAGGGTTCTGCGGGCGCTTTCAGCAGTACACCAAGCATGCCATGCCGAGAGTTTGCTGCTGAGAGTTCGTGGGAGTGTCATGTGCAAATGCCGGGTCCATGTTTTCCAGAGATCAAGCACAATCTGTGGCAGTTGGGCCTTGCGCGAGGATCGGTCGAACTTCAGGATCAATGAGAGCAGAATGGCCGCCAGCTCATGGAAGGCGGACAGGAACTCGGTGAACGTTAGCTGTTCGATCTCCAGCGACAATAGGTGCTGTTGCGTTGTCTGGAGGAAGGCGGTACTAAGGCCAGATTTCGGCCCAGACCTATCGATCTCTGGAAGGATCAGATCTGCAGACGTCCCCTTGCTAGCCAACAGCACCTGACAGTGAATGTACGGAGTGCTTCTTTGCTGAAATGTGAGCAAGGGTATAGACGTTAGGTGGCGCTCTACAACCAACAAGACGGTATCCGAGTTTGCCATTACCGGCAGCGTTTCGTGGCCCTCGGATGTGTACGACCGCACGGCGGCTTCGTGAGCCGAAGCGACCGAATCGAAGATGACCGGAGGTACAGGCTGGCAAGCGCTTTGCGTCGTAGGATGCGGCTGACGAGAGCCCTTCGTCTCGAGATTTGTCACAGGTTCCAAGTCGTAGGTGCAAGATAGACCTCTTTCGGCACAACGTGAGCACCGTGGTAGTTGAGGCACGCAACGACGTTTTGCGGTTGTGCAGGCATGGCAGGCCTTACGGAGGGATGGTGGCATTGCAAAGACCAAGGAGGTGGTTGGAATAGACCAAGACGTTGGCAGAGAGAAGGGAGGCGACGATGAGGTACCAGCTGGGTGCATTGCAAATGGGTTTGTACTCCCTGGGTAGGTACCTGCAATAGCTGGTAGGCAGGCAGCCTAGGGTTAGTGAGGTACTGTTCCCGTTGACGATACTAGCTACCTACGGACTTATGCCCACGAGCCTAATCAGTGCCTAGGTAGCCCCCCTACATAGTCCCTGTGTTGCTAGTGACGATAACCTGCCAACCCCCGAAGAGACGGGCAAGTGGTCCTGTGAGCGGGCTAATGGGCGTCTCGCCGTTGCTCTGCCAGCATAAACATTGCTCCGGCCCACACCCGCCTCAACAGTTTTCACTGCAAGGTGCCCCGTCCATATAAATTCAATGGGCTCCTCCTCATCCCATGTCCTTCCTGTACCAAGTTCTCTCCTACTTCAGGTCTGAAGTCGATCCACCCCGACTTAACAGCAAACAAAATCCACAATTGTTATTTCCTCGAGGGCGAAACATCCAACGACATCCTAACATGCTCTTTCTAAAAGCGAGCACATGTCCAAATCCTAGTGTGAACCACTCAATTCGTTGTCAACAGGCCGAAGTTCAAATGCACAGATCAAGATCAGGTAGGCGAACAAAGATAGCCCGATGATGCACTTCCCTTCCTCTTAATTATGGTTGGCCGGCGCCTCTAAGCGAGCCTCGAGACATTTTTGTTCTGTTCGGCCACATCGCAAACAGATGCTCTTTTCGTCCTCAGGTGGTTTTAGGGGCTTGTGCCGGCGCTTTATCGAGAATCGTGCTACCCAACATACAGTCTGAGGCTGAAAGGTCTAGGCAGCCATTTGCCTGCATCACCGCTTGTTTCTTGGGACACCTCTTGGCCTGGTGACTGCCGAAAGTCGTTTCTAACTAGCGTGTTTCATGTGTTGAAGAGCCTCACCTGCACCCTGTTCAGCAACTCCCCTGTTGCCTTTTGTTTCCCTCATCATGGGCAGTTAAACAACTATGGAGGCAAAGCATACTTTGCTCGAGCGGGCGGCGACCGCCGGGCTGATCGAGTTCCCGCATGAGGCCGGAAAGGATCCCAGAAGTCTCAATCTGGTTGAAGCGGCTGATCGAATTGACTGGTTCACCGAGAAGGCCAAAGGCAGAGTCACATTATTCCTGGGTGCTGCTGTTTCCACTTTCAAGCCAGCGCAGTTGCCCATGTGGAATGACTTTGTAGAACTGTTATGGACGTCGGCTCTGAATGTTGCTATCACAGACATACAGCCTGATACAGGTTCGCATTGAACATGGCTCTAAGAAAGGACTGGCTGCTGATACCTCAGCAGTATCTGAAGGAATTCTAAGGTTTTTTGACCGGCTCAAGAGGACCGTACCAAATTACATGGTTACCGAAGTCGTCTCAAGACGCCTAGGGCAACAATATCTGCAAGTATTGGATGCATTTGAGGCTGAGAAGCAAGACAATGGGGCTTTTGCTTTTAACAAGATCCACATATGGGTTGCTGGGCTTCTGACAACAGGTGAAGTCGCTGCAGTTATGACCACAAACTTCGACAACTACTTGGAAAAAGCCATTGAGAGCAAAACGTCTCTCTTTTACCGAGTCCTTGGGGACCCTCATGTGGACGGCAGGGAAATTCTGTCTCGCTTGCCATTGACGTCGTCGGCCAAAAAGCTGGTTCTGATTGTGAATGGTGCAAAAGCCTTTGCTTTTATCCGATCGCTGATGCCGCAGCTGGGCAACGGGAAAGTAACGTTCCTGTTCAAAATTCATGGCTCGTGCTATGATCCAGTCAGTTGCATTGACACTCGATTGCAACGTGCCCAAGGCCTACCTTCTTTTGCAACCGATGTACTCGACATTCTACTAAAACGAACGGTGTGGATGGTTGCAGGCTTCAGTGGAAGCGACATGAATGACAATCTCGACTATCTGCGCTTTTTGTCAAACAAGAGGCAAGCCTCAATCGTGTGGCTCACATTCCCCCGGAGCCCGTGGGAGTCGGCGATCGAAGGGCTCACCTCGAGCATGGACTTGGGAAAGGATTCGCCTGTGGGATTCTGCCTCCTTAATGGATATTTCCTTGGAGAAAGGCATTCAGGCGAAAGCAAGTTCCCTCGCTTCGAGAAGAAGATCAGATTATGGGCGGAAGACTTGGGACCAGATTGGTGCAAACTGCTCCTGATCGACTTAATCACTTTGTTCGAGGAGAGGAGTGGAGAAAGGGCTTACCCGAAACTGCTACAAGCCCTTAACGGGGGGATATCGCCGAGGCAGGACTGGAATGAAATTCTGCAAAACATGGATCTTCAGACAGAAGAATCTCAGGCAAGCTATTCCATGCTTATTGCCCAGGAAATCATACTAATTGAAGGTTTAGATCCGGCCAGCCAAGAGCTGTTCCGAAGTATGGGAACTACTAAACCGTCTCCTCAAAGACGAAGACTCAGTCGCGCTCGGAGCCAAGCAGGAAATCTGCAGCCAGCTGAATAGAGGTCTCAAAGAGCTAGAGTTGCATCATGTTGAACTTGAAGAAGCTGCTTTGCTTCAAGCGCCTCCTCGGCATCATGCCCAGTCATGGGTCGTGAGTGCTCTGAGTGGACTGGCGATGCTATGTGGAGGCAAGATGGAAGAAGCTGTCAGAGCGCTGCGGATATCAAGCGGCGTTGCTTGGTTAGTCGGAAATTACGAAAGTCGCCATTTGATCGAGGACCTCCTGACCGCCATTCTTCAAGAGCGGCAAGCTTCAATGGAATCCACACTCGTAAAGACCAGCGCCACCCAACGAAGTGCAAAATGCGTCGCCTTCAGCCCTTCGATGGACAATGTCAACGCCAAAATGAATCGATTTGGTGTTCCTCCTGAAAATTACATGAGAGCCCTCCTACATCGATCTATTCTGTTCGCCGATGGCATGGCTGTTCCTCCAAATACCATCACCAACTCTACGGTGTTTGTGGATGAGATACTGTTCCAAGGCCAGCGCGACCAGTTGGACGAAGTCTATATGCGTCATGTATTCCTAATCTTACCAGCAAATCTGAAAGACGGCCCTCGCAAATTGCAAAGGTGTCGTGAGACTAGAGCGAAACTATACATATTTGAATCGGTCAGCGAGGATCATATTGCGCAGATGGACAACTATTTTGATGACCCGGCGAACACTCACCAGATCCTCTATTACGACGAACCTACATTGAGTTTGGACTACGGCAAGTATCTCCGGGCTGAAGTTGACCCTCTTCATCGGGACCAAACCGTCGAACACCTGGTCCAACTTTGGAACCATATCGAAGCAGGAGGGCACTGGGATGTGGACGATGCCTACGTTGATTGGTCTTCGATTGCGAAGGAGGTGGCTGAAGACCTTTCCGACTCCCTTCTCCTATTATCAAAGCATCTTCCAGAAGCGGTGTTTCGATCGCCGCTGTACAAATTCGCAGATCTCTTTGATGAAGCAAGCGACAGAGACAGCGTCATCCAATTTCTAACAAAGGACACCGGCGAGGACGCCAAGGCCCAGCTTCTGATGGCGCGGGATCGAATCACGGAGAAGCCCTGGCTCTATGGCCCCTTTTGCCACGAGATGTTTGATGCCCCGTACCGTGCGACTTTGACATTCGACTATGCTTCACATGCCGAACATGAAACGCTCATCTTTCTCGAGGACGACGAGGTTCCCTCATGGCAGTTCATGTCGTCAGTGGCCCAGTCGGGAGATTCCAAAAAGAGCTTTTCAACTTTTGCGGTCTCTTCTGGCGGCCACAAGTACTCTTCGTTACTCCTAAGTCAGATGCCTACAGCAGCTTTGTTGGACATGAGGGACGACCTGGCGCCGGTTCGGGAGAAGATTTTCAATAGCGTGGAGCTTTCGGCGGACGATGTGCAAAGAATGAGGAGTGCCATGCGTTCATTTGAAAGTCGGTCACTGGTCCTGCCCTCAGTCGAAGTCGAAGACATCATTCATGTTGATCAACACATCAAAGAGCCAGCCAAAAAACTGTTGTCGCAGTGTCTGTTTCTGGTCAGAAAGGGCCTCCCCCTCGAGCCCATGTATGAAGAGGCTCAAGTCACCCTTCCCGGACTGCTAGCCTTGCGACGGGAAGCAACTTGAATGGATCATCCATCCCTTCGACTGAAAAGAGGCGCGGGGATCATATAGAGGGATTCATGATGACTATGGGAGGTTTGTTAGCAGACGCTCTTCCAATCCAATGAATCACGGTATCTTGTTCGATCGATATATTTATATATATATATATATGTAATATATGTAACCACGCCTAGTGACGTCGTCCTTGCCCCCTGGTTGCATGTAGATGGGCTGGGGGCGCGTCGGCTCCACCTTCTTATATTGTACACCAAGAATGTCGATCTCGGCAGTTTCGGGCCCAGTACGAGATCCCGTCTCTATTTAGCCTTTCAACCCGTGGGTATAAGTCAGCTTTCAAAGCCTCGCAATCGTGACCGCCACTGTGAGCTCCATGCTCAGACGAAGTTCCAACTCCCCAGAAGAATGTTGTTCGAGGAGGAGCAGGTATCTGCAGCTTTCGACGATCTGGTCGCTCGCCAGATAATTCTCTATGGTCCCGAGACCGTCGTCAGGGCCAGGGACAAAGGCTTCGATGTGAGATATGGCCTTCCCCCCCCCTCCAATCTAGACGGAAGAGACACTTACGACGATGTGGAGTTCGAATTCCGCATATGTCCAGCACTGGCATCGAAACCGGCGACGGCTGGCGCGACCAACAATGCTGCATTTGAACAACTTCCTAAATATGGACCTGGAAGTGACCTCGTCGACGCCGATCCGGGCCTTATTGTGACCAAGATTCATGGAACCCATCTTCTGGTCCTGAACAGGTTCGCCGTCTTTCGGCCGCAATACTTGATCTTGACCCTCGATTCGTTCAGGCGGCAGACGGAGAACCTCGACGAGACGGACCTCGAAGCGGCAAGGCTCGTTCTTGACCATCTAAGTCATGAGCATTTTATCATGTTCAATTGTGGAAACGAGGCCGGTTGCAGCAGACTGCACAAACACATGCAGGTTATCCCTTGCTCGGATGGCTTCACGCTCTTCCCTGATGTGGAGGGTCTGGATCCTGATCGCGTTCCATTCAGGTATTTTATCCGACGGATCGAGCCTGGAACGGACGGCCCATGGGACTCTTTGCTTCCAATATACGAGAGGCTGCGCAACGAAGCCTCTGAGGCCTGGCAAGCCTACACTGGCGACACCCTGGGCTACTTCCCTCACAACATGATGCTTACGAAAAGGTGGATGATGGTCGTGCCGCGACGACGAGTAGCCGCGGCGCGAGGCGCAACTGCCAATGCCGCAGGCATGATGGGTATGGTTTGGGTCACGAACACACAACAAATGGATCGCTGGCAACAACCGGGACCAGCACAGGTTCTGGCGGAGCTTGGTGTACCAACCGGGAAGGATATGTGATCGGCCACGGTTATGGGCATGGGCATGGGCATGCTCTTGAATATGATCATAGATTTTCCCCAGGGGCAACAATATCCCCAGGACGCAATTTGGGCACGGCGTCTACTTCTGCAGGACCAAATGCGAATATCTTCACGTCAAAATCCCGTCCCTGGTCAAACCCTCATACAGTGCCCAGGCTCCCAGTGTCTTTGCATCCCTCGCTCCTTCCCTCCACAGCTCCTTGTACTCGACCAGTTTCACCTTGATTTTCTCTCTTTCTTTGGGATTTCCGGTTAATCTGCCTCTCAGCTCGGCAAGCTCCTTGCGAGACATGGTCCTCTCCCACAAAAACAGGGCGATGAATTCGTCACACCCTCCAGGGCTGGGATACATTGCCTTTTGCAGGTGGCTTTCAATACCCGTGGAGTTCCTCAAAGCCATCTCCGTCATGTCGACGAGCTCGCCCTGTGGGACTTTCCAGCCGGTCTCCTCGCGGATCTCGTTCGCTGCTGCGCCAACAAATGTACCTGACTCGTCAATCATCCCTGCCGGAATCTCATAGAAAGTGAGGCTCCCAGCTGGTATCCGCGGTTGTTGAGTCATGACGACAAATCTCTCGTCGCTGTCCCCTTCCGGGCGGACGATCATAAGGATCGCGACACTGCCACCGCGTAAGAAGACGATGCCGGGTAATGGCCGCGGGTCGGCGGCATTCTGCACCACAGTTTCCATCAAGATGAAGCCGATGCGAGGCCCGAACCACTCGACTGAATGGACATTAATCGAGCGTAATTGATAAGGGTCCTTCTTGTCGTAAAAGGCATGCATGGCTTCGGATTTTTGCACCTTGATGGATTTTTGCAGTGTCGCAAGCCACTCTTTGAAAGGACGAAATGCAAGCAGTTGCTCTTGGGTGATGTTCGCTGGGATCGTCACCTCGACGCTCGGAGAGACTTTGGGGAGGATGAATGCGACCATGGCGGCCAAAAGGTCTCTGATTCACTTGCCGCAGGGCCAAATAAGACGTTGGTCAATAGCTCACCGTCATCCACCAATATATCATATGTACAACTTCAGCCTTTTCACAGATCCTCGAAATCTGATCAGGCTCAACTGCTGCCTTGCGCAGGCAGCGAAACGTCGGAGCAAAGGGTAGGGAGCCGAATCTCTGGCGGCGAGTGAGTGTGCCACCGTTGATTGGCATTGCTTTTGGAGACATTTTCAGCTGGCGGACACGAGCATAGATCAGGTGGCAAGGACCGGAAATATGAGGCAAGAGGCTGCCCCTCTCTCCTCGGAGTGTTCGTCGACAATGCCGCCAATGTGTTGGTGCTATGCTTGCGATTGGTGCTACGGTTGTAACGGCTTCTAGGCATTGGGGGCCTTGGTGTGGTGTCCCTCTTGCCCCTCGAGTCGTCTGCAGGCGAACTGGCTTGTTAGAGGGTGGACCAACAGCGGGCAATGGGCGCACGGATGGCGCCGTGGCCATGGGGGCCAGGTTCCCCTGGTTCCCTTGGTTCTTCAATCCAACTGTTCCAAACCGCCCAAGCATCTCCGGCGACTCTCGGGTTGAAGAGCCTCACACCTCTCTCTGGCGATTTTTGAATGCCCCTTTCTGCCTGGACGATGCCCTCCCGAATCTCTCCAGACCTCTCAAAATGGTCTGCAAGGTGTGCCATGATATGCTTTACGGACACAAAGGTCGACGGGACTCTGGCTCGCAATTGGCCCTGAGTTTCTGGCACCATGAAACAGCCGAAAACGTCAAGGCTGCGGCCGACGATGCAGAATGCTATCTCTGTCGCGTCATCGACGAGAAACTGGGAAGTGTAGGCCTCACTCGCCCGGCCGGTCCCGAGAGGAGTTGGCTCCTATGCGCATTGTTGCAACGATTTCCTCGCTATGATGGGGTTTATCGTCTGGACATCAAACTCGAACAGTCCAAAACGACGATAGCGAGCTTCGTCTTAAGACAGAATGGTATGTTACCATCGCTACGTCCCCCTCTGGAGTATTGAGTAACGTTGTTGTCATGGATCAAGACGGCGGTCTGGCCAGTCATCTCCAAACCACTCCTAGAAGCGCGTCTACGTCAGATCCAGAGGTCTTCAACTTGGCCAAAGAATGGATCGAATCCTGCGCAAGGACCCATGCCAAATGCCAGACTGCTTCGAGTACGCAGTGGTATCCGACACGGCTGATAGATCTGCGATTCATGCCGGAAGATAATATGGAGATGGTGCGACTGGTGTCACAAAAAGATGCCGAGAAAAGGGACGACCATCCACCCTTTGAAGGTAGATATGTAACTTTGAGCCACCGATGGGGCCAGGTCGAGATCCCCAAACTCAGACAATACAACCGATCCGACTTTCAAACCTCGATGCTGTTGAAGAATCTCCCTCTAACCTTCCAACAAGCCATGCAGTTTGCACGCGAGCTTGGTGTCCGGTGGATGTGGATCGACGCCCTGTGCATCATCCAAGGAGACGAGCAGGACTGGCTTTTTGAGAGTTCGCACATGGACAAAGTGTATGCTTTCAGCTATTGCAACATCTCGGCCACCGCGGCCATGGACGGATCAAAGGGCCTCTTCAATCAAAGAGACCCCCGTCGGAAATGGTTCGACAGCGTGAGTCTAAGAACGCAGGACCTCTCTGGGGATGCGAGGGTAGTTGAGTGCACCATCTCCGATCTGTCTTTCTGGGACGAATATGTCGACAATGCACCTGTCAATAGACGATCTTGGGTTTTCCAAGAACGGCTTCTCGCGCCAAGGGTGTTGCATTGGTGTAAAGACCAAATTGCATTCGAATGTCACGAGCTGGACCGAGCAGAATGCCGGCCAGAAGGACTTCCACATCTTCAGATGAAGGCGGGCCAGCTCGTTGACCAAGCTCGCCTCAAGGCCATGGATAGGGAGGTTGGCAAGCGACTTCGCGAACTGAGACTGGCTTCTTTGCACGGTTCTTTCCGTTCCAAAGGATTAAAGTGGATGGTCGATGGCGACGAGAAGCTGTACCTCTACGAAGTCTGGAAACGCATGGTCGAGGTGTACACCAAGATGGAATTGACAGACGAAAGAGACCGACTCATAGCATTGTCCGGTATCGCAAGAATGATGACGAGGATCTTGAGGCTGGATGGCAGCGAGGACCAATATCTCGCTGGTATGTGGCAGAATTACCTCGCCAGCCAGTTACTGTGGTATGTCAACGATGCAGAGGGGGAAGGGAAGGAGGCACAACCGCTGGAAAACACTCGGCCAGAGCAATATCGTGCTCCCAGCTTCTCGTGGGCTTCGGTTGAAACTCCGCGAGGTGTCACCTTCCCGGAGACAACGGACAAGGGCATTCTGGTGGAAGTCCAGGTAGTTAGACTGAGCTATCGGACTGAGGACGACATGTTCGGCATTCTCACTGACGGCTATCTGGTGCTGAAAGGTGTGCTGAGGAGGATCGAGTTGACGGATACGGAGCAGGACCAGGGCCCATTGACCTCGATACGCCAGTCCATGGCAAGTTGTCCTCCAGCGGCTTTGAAAAGACATATCACTGACTAGCGCAGTGGCAGTGGTATACTCGGACCACTATCTCCCTTACTGTCGCCATTATCAGTTTTTTGGTTTTGTTGACGACACTGACCCGAGGGGGCCTGACCTGGCAACGACACAGCCCGATTTTGACATTTCTTGTCGCTGCCTGCCTTTCAGGGATCCTATACTTTGTTAAAGCTGGTATTTACGATCGTAAACACAAGGGCCCCGAACAGGAATACCAACAAAACCGCTACAGCTGGCGTTTGATGCAAAAAAGTGTGCCTGTTGGCGACTCCCATTCCATTGTATACTTGGACAGTCCCGCCAGCAAGCCTACGGTATTCGGCCCGGATGCACAGGTCTTTTGTTTGCCGGTTTCGCAAGATGATCTGCATTTGAACTGCCTCCTTGTGCAGGCCACTGATGGAGACCACGGCATCAGGTACAAGCGAGTTGGACTGACGAAGATACTAAATCTGTTCGATCAGGACGTTGAGACCATCAAAGAGCCTCCCACCAGAAAAACAGACAAAGCCCTGGGCAGATATTATTGGGGTCCGAACACTCGATTTCGAGGCGAAAGCCATATCTGCATTATCTGAGAGGATACACTATAGCACTCAACGCAAATTTCTACAACGAGCTCCTCATCAACGTCAACAGAGCCGGAAAGCACAGGCCTGGGACCAAAAGGATGTATATTGTGACTCTCGGGTTCTCGTGGCTGAAACATTGCTAAGCCATGGACGATCGCCCGGCTGCATAATAGCGACCGATCTCCTGCCAAACTCTTACCACTTTGAACCCGGCGGGAATATAGTGTCTTGATCAGCAGTCAGAGCGTATATACTGCAAAGCTGGCAAGGGGAAAGACATACTCATCACCTCCTGCTGCTCAGGATTCATGTTGAATCTCGGATCGTTTCCCATGACATCTTGCTTATGTCTCTCGACGCCGCTTTCCAACTCACGATACTCACTCCCCATGATGCTGATGGTACAGCCGTTATACGCTTCGTTGGCAGCCAAGAAGGCCGCAGCTCTCGCCGTCTCCTCCACCGTGCTCACCGGGATACCGACTCTCTTCAGCTCTGGAACTAACCAATCCACTCTTCTCACCGCCGCTGTGTCCGTGACATGGGGAGCGATCGAGTTCGCTCGGATATTCCACGTTGGTGTATGGTTTCTCAGCCCACGCATCAGCCCAATCATACCGTGCTTGGCCGCGGCATAAACGGGAATGCTTTGGCAGTCGTAGCCACTTCGAGACACCGTCGACACAATGACTCCGCCCTGGGGATTTTGGTAGCGCATGAAATGCATCGCCAATTTCACCGTGTACATCTGGCCGATCAGGGTGACTTGGAGACACTGGAACTCGGGCTTGAGGGGATCTCCGTTGGCATCCTGGCGGAAGTAATAGTCGCCGCGGTCACCAAACCCAGCGTTGGGCACGACGATATCGATTCGGCCAAATACTTCCTGGGCCTTTTTGAACAGGGCGAGCAGCTCCTCCCAGCTCCCAGCGTCCGTCTTTTGGAAGATCGGACCATCGATTGGGTCCGTTGGTGGCTGCAAGTCGCCAATCAAGACTCTGACACCACATTTGGTCAAGTAATGCACAATACCTACGATACCCGCCGGGTCAGTGCTATGGTTATTCCGAGGCAACCAGGATTGAAGGCGAGAGGTGAGCTTCAGCGCCCTATTTGGCACCACCATTCCCACCGTATCTGAGACGAAACGGATCTCGCAAAGACGACAGCAGCAACAACATACCTTGACCGATACCTAATATCCGACGTCAGCGCCATTTATGCTTGATCTTGAATCATGCCAACGATATTGAATACCAAACCAAAGACTAACCCGAAGAGCCGCCTGTCACAATCGCCGACTTGCCTCGCAGCTTGTCTCCTATGCCAGAGGACAAGTCAGCTTCCTCGACCTGGTTCCTAATTGGTATCGCTGAGCATTCGATTTCATCTTACCAATGTCGTTGTCGGTGATCTTGAGCTCCGTCATGTCTGCAATCAGCTCTCTGGCCAAACATCAAGGGACCGGGGTATCGTTCAATGCTTTCTATTTAGACTTCGAAAAGGCTCTTTGCCCAGACACGCCCGGCCTCTCAGGTTCACCTTCTCTTACCGAGGCGAACCGTCTTTCATCTGCAACATTTCAAACCGACGAAAGGTATATCGCAGCCAAGGAAGACATTCCTTTGATTCGGTAACCCTGTGGATGCTATTTGACTCCTCTGACGTTGGCGCGGGGATCCGGGGTTTTCCTCGGCGAGCTCGGCTATCCCGAACGGATGTATTTGTATACACGACCGCGGGTGGGCGAAACTATTTATTCGCAGGTGGGGGAAAGGGGGCTTCAAAGTCTCTATTCGAGGGGAATCAAAGGCTTACCGTCAGCTGATGTCAATTTTGGGTACATATTTCCCCTCCTGCTTCGTCTTGTTCGACTCCCCATTTCAACATCGACCATATATCAACTGTGTGAATCATGGCAGCCAGCGATCCAGGCTCTATCCGGCCTCAACTGATTGGCGCGTGGGAGCTCATTGAATACTGCGCCTATCTGCCTCATGATGAATCGAACAAAGTCTATCCAATGGGGCAGGATGCAAAGGGCATCATAATGTATACACCCGACGGCTACATGTCGGCACAACTTCAGACGCCGGGACAGAAACCCTTTGGAGAAAGATCAGGATCAAAGCAGGGTTCAGATGCCGACTGGGCGACCGTGGGAAGAAACTACGTCGCATACACGGGTGCGTTCTATCTGGATGAACGCGGCGATGACAGAGGCCGGCCGATTTTGATGCACAACATGAGATACTCGAACTTGCCGTATCTGGTCGGTGATATCCAGAGAAGGATCATGAACTTTGTCGACGAGAGTGATGGGAGGTACCTGGTGTTGAGTCTGGACGACCCTCTGAAGATTGCCGGAGAGGATCGCATGATCAGGGTGAGATGGAGGAGGCTCCCTTTGAATCAAACATCAACGCCGCCATGAGATGGATGGGACACGGCGGTTCGGTTCGTATCGTTCTGTCCGGAAAAGTGAAAATACCGATCCAGTCTCGTCCTGCTTTGTTCAGCTCTCCGTGTCTCTAAGAATAGCTAGCTGTCATCAGAGTGTCTAAAGGACAATGGTTATGGCGTCTCTCTGGTCTTTTTGCAGCTGGAAGCTAAAACATTCTCGATGCCTAGAGCTATACCTATTGAATTCGACCCGTCTAGAGTGGATAGATTGATATGAATGAGAGGAGTAACAATGTGACATGTTGGGCGTCAGGATGGCGATGAGTCGAGGAGTCGATGACGATGATGTCAGGCCCGCAAGGCTCTTGGGAAACATCGTATGACAAGGCTTCGTGCTCGTCCAGGCTTTGATGTCAACACCATGAAAAAGGCCACAATCTACAACCTTGAGAGGAAGGGTTCCCCCTGCATATACTGTCTCGCTTCGCTCCGCAGGATAATCCGCAACGAAAGATGAGCTCGTCGAGCCGACATTTTCACAACGACAAAGCACCTTCTCGCCGCGCCGATGCCCATGAGGAACTCCTCGCTTCCCTCACGCGCATCAACACCTACAATCCTCCAGTCCAAACGTGCTCAACCGGGTGGACATTTCACGGCCTCTACTATGGCCCTACCTCCGTAGCCTACTTGTTCTTCCGCCTGTCTCAATTATACCCTGATCTCACCTTCAAAGGCCAGTCACTGCTGGACTGGGCACAGGCATATCTGGACCTGGGCCAATCCGGGCGTCGTGAGGATGTGGACTCGCGCCATTGCGGAATCGGAAACGAGGTCCTTGCACAGCTCGCCATCCGTGCGGCGATGGAACAGGATCCCAGTCTTGTCCAAAGACTCTGTTCCTACGAAGGCGTTATCAATGACACTGGAGGATCGGACGAGTGGCTATACGGACGATCCGGATATCTATACTTCTTGCGTCTTGCTCGATGCGGCTTCGAGGAGGGTTCAAAAGCCAGTGAAATGATCGACGCCACCATCCGAAAGACCGTCCAGCGGATCCTGGCCTCGAAACAACCCTGGACATGGCATGGCAAGGCATATCTGGGAGCCGCACACGGCAGTTTCGGCATCCTTTGCCAACTGGTTCTCTCATCGCCTCGGTGCGCACAGACCTTGGAACACCTTCTCTCCTCACTTCTCGATACACAGTTTTCCAGTGGGAACTTTCCGTCCTCGCTGCCCCCGGGGTCCGACAAATTGGTGCAATTCTGCCACGGAGGGCCCGGCGCCGTCCTGGCCTTGAGATCTCTCCGGCCGCATTTCCCGAGTCTTCAGAGCAAGATCGACTCGGCCATCAACGCTGCGCAAGAGGACACTTGGGCACGGGGACTGTTGACCAAACAGCCTTGCCTGTGTCACGGTATCGCTGGCAACGCATTGGCATTGGACGACGATGCAAGGTTTCATCATTTCCTGGCGTGCATGTCCACCGAGGGCCTCGAGAGTGTTGGGTGGTTGAAGGAGGCTGGACGGGACGACCAGTTCGTTGCTCTGTACACGGGCGAAGCGGGGAGAGCATGGGCTTGGGCCATTGCGGACAAAGGATTAGATGAGAAGACTTGTATTGGCTTCAACGATCTATGACTGGTGACAATGGTACGACCCAGCGATGACCCTCACCCAACAATCAGGATTTATTTCGCCATCTCCTCAGCATTATCCCCAAATGGCAAATCCACAACCTTCCCGTCCTTAATATATACCTCCTCCCAACCGACAGTCCATTCAACCGAGCCCCAGTCAAACAACTTATCCTCATCCGGCGCGATGACCTCGGTGTAATACGGGTCCTCGCGCGCCCGCTGGAAACACGAAACGTCGGGCATGAGAAACTCGCCGACACCGTCGAAGTCGAGTTTCTTTGCATTTTTCAGCACGGGGAAGCCTGCCAAGGCCGAGGAAACGAGTTTTGAAGGGGTGTGATACTGTTTCATGAAGTGCGGGTGATGAGTCGACTAGTTCGAAGCAGCTATGACAACATTACAAGTGCAACAAGGGGAAGAAGCCTGAAGCGATTGATGTACAGAGTCCTCGTACAACCAAGCAAGCAGGACTATTCTCTAGGAGGAAGAGGAGGAGATGGACAACCCAACGAAACCGGAAGGGTGAGTGAGTGAACTGCACTGACCTGGGTGTACCTGACAATACCATACTTGGCCAGCCACTCTGTCGCCAGGGCCTTGTGCGTGCCCGACCAGTACTCCTGAAACTCGTCTTCAGAGAGATGATGCTTGCGCCGGGCAAAGAGGGAGAGTTTGACCATGCGTTGTTTTGTGGCCATTATTGGTTCCGTCGTGCCCCGTTTACTGTACACGAAATTCAATCACTGCCGTTACCGAGGAGGAGGAATAGGCTCGGAGCAGAAGAAGGGTGCCAGAGGAGAAGAACCCGCTCGAAAACGTGGCCAGTCCGCTGAGCGAGGGTTATGCAGAATGATCAAGTAGGGAGGGCAACGAGTGTCAAAGCAAAGCGTATATATTATAGCACACTGGCGGTGATGATAAGCATGTACGTGCAGAAGTGCCCAACATCCTCAGGTGCAGCCTCGTCGTTCATCCCCGCATTGTTACGTGTGATGAAACACCCGGTAAGGCTGCGCTAGCACACGTCTCGCAGGATTGTCCGAGCGAGTGATGGATTTCCCCTTCCACTTCCCCCCTCTCCCCCAAATTTCTCCATTCAAAGTAAGTGGTTGAACTTTCCGTCGCAGCCAGGATTGCCTGTGTTGTGTTTGTGCTGGGGGCGGCCTGTGCTTTTTTTCTCGCCCTTGAATTACTCGCTTATCTCGCGCACACACGCGCGCGGGCTCTCGTGTGGGTATATGACTTGAAGAGACGGAAACAAACACGTCAACGAAGACCAAGCCGAAGACGAAGAAGACGCGGTCTAAGAAAAAGCAACAATGCCATCCACCACCTCGAACACGTCGCCTGCAACGTCCGCAGCAGCAGCAAATCCCCATCCCGATATTCCGCCCTTCCCGTCGCCCTCGACGTTCTCGATCCTCCCTGACATCTGGCTCCTGATCGCGCGACTGAATATCCTGCATCAACAGCAGCAGCAGCAGCAGCAGCAGCAGTCACAAGCTCAGACGAATGGGCATAACGGAGTCCACAACTACACTCAACAATCACAGCAACAGCCGTCGTCACAGCAAGGAGGACAACAGCCTATGTCGCAGCCGAGCCAAGTCCCGCAACAACAGCCGCACCAAACGCCCTCCACCGGCCCAGGCCCAAACACAGTCATATCCGCAGCTCCGACCACAGCACCAATCTTCAACGGCGCCGCACTGCTCGACCCCAAAGACCTGCCGGCGCAGATCTACCCTTTGAAGCAGCGCCTCGCCAGAGCGCGAGAGGTCGTGAGCGCCCTGCCGGACGTGGACAGGACGGTGGGTGAGCAGGACGACGAGATCCGCGCGTTGCAGGGCGTGGTGAGGGGGTTGAAGGGGCGGCTGGGCCACTTGGCGCGGATTGCTGCAGCGCAGGGGGACGGGGGCTTGAGTCAGGAAGGGGAGGGGAAGGGGGATATGGATGTGGAGATGAAGGATGATAAGAAAAAAGAAGAAGGAGAAGAAGAAGCGGAGGAACAGGAAGAGGAAGTCGGGTGAGGCGAATATTCGTTCGAGTTCGCGGGAGCGTAACTACGATTACAAACACACACACAGACGTCCACATCTGCCTGGCCGCCTACGAAAAGCCTTACGCGCTGGAAAAGGCAGCGACGCGGAGGAAGATGGATGGATAGATGGGGAGAAGACGGTAAGTGGGCGAGTCTCGCCAAGGGAAAGGAACACGTCCACGCAGTCGCGAAAAGGAGGTGCATAGAGCGTGGAGAGAAAGTCCAGCCCGGAAATGCGCACCGAACAACGAAAGCCGAATGAAAGAACGACGAATCGCTTTCTGCCATTCGCGCCGAAAGGGACGTCCGCATTGGGGTATTGATCAGTGGAAGGCCGACGATCCATGCGTTGCGGCCGATCGATTGATTTTCACGACCATGACAGCCACCAAAGGGACGTTGAGGGACCTAGGTATCGTTGAAGATACATGCGCCAGCCGTTTTTCTCTCTCCTCTCTCACCCGCCATAAAACCCCAAAGTCGTTGAAATCTGAGAGTCCATGACCACATTACATTCATCCCACCAGAAACGCCAAATGACCATCGATCATGACAATTCAATTTCTTTTGGGGGGTGGAAATGCTCTCCTTACACCGGCAAGGGGAAACTCGATGCCCATTCGGCAATCTCGGCCCTCAACTTCAAGATCTCGTCCACGGTCTCGCTGCTTACTTTCTCCTTGAAGTCCTTCAACTTGTTCGCCTCCTTGGGCAGCTCCGACTGGATCTTCTTGCACAGCTTGATACTGGTATCGATGTACCTCGCCACCCTCTTAAAGTCTTCTTCCCCAAAGCCACGCGATGTCATGGCGGGCGTGCCGATGCGGATACCACAAGGTGTAAGAGCCGACCTGTCTCCGGGGATACTGTTCTTGTTGCACGCGATGTTGATCTGCTCCAGCACGGCTTCGACCCTCGCGCCATCGAGGGACTGAGGTCGAAGATCCAAAAGGACCATGTGTGAATCCGTCCCATCTGCGACAAGCTTGTACCCCAGGTGCTTGAACTCAGTTTCCAGCGCTTTGGCGTTCTTGAGCACCTGCTCTTGATACGCACGGAACTCCGGAGTCGCCGCTTGCTTCAGGGCAACTGCCAGTGCGGTGATTGTGTGGTTGTGCGGTCCGCCCTGGTGACCAGGGAAGACGGAGAAGTTTATGGGACCCTCGAGATCGTATAGGGTTTGTTTCCCAGTCTTGGGATCTGTGCTGCGGACGCCCTTGCGGTAGAAGATCATTGCTCCCCTAGGGCCGCGGAGGGATTTGTGGGTGGTGGTGGTGACCACGTCGGCGTATTCGAAAGGGCTCGGGATCACGCCTGCGGCGATCAATCCGGAGATGTGTGCCATGTCCACGATCAGATACGCGCCAACTTTGTCTGCGATTTGTTTCATGCGGGCGTAGTCGATCAGGCGACAGTATGCGGAGGTTCCTGCGACGATGCACTTGGGGCGGTACATCAGGGCGTTCTCTTCGAGGCGGTCATAGTCAATGATGCCGGTCTCGAGGTTGACTCGGTAGGGGAAAGTCTCGAAGTACGTTGAGACGGCGGATATCCTAAGTCCTTGTTAAACACCGTGCTTCCTCAACTGCAGTATATTGTTGGCTTTGTGTGGGTTTTTTTTTTTTTTTTTTTTTTTTTTTCGTTCTTGCTTACTTTCTCTGCGCCGTCTGATATCCATGACTCAAATGCCCGCCATGCGGCAAGTCCAACCCCATCAATCGATCATGCGGTCTCATCAACGCCTGATACACCTGCAGGTTCGCGGGACTGCCGCTCAAGCACTGCACGTTGACACCCCACTTCTCGGGGTCCAGGTGGAACGCCTTCAAGGCCCTGCTTTGGCACGTGAGTTCGATGGCGTCGATGAACTGGTTGCCGCCGTAGTAGCGAGCGCCCGGGTATCCCTCGCTGTACTTGTTGGACATGGGGGAGCCAAGGGCGTCGAAGACGGCGCGCGAGGTGACGTTCTCCGAGGCGATCAGGATGATGGACTCGCGCTGGCGTTTGATTTCCTTTTTCTACGCAGACGACAGCGTGTGAGTACCTAGCATTGATGGGGGTGTTGGATTTCGTGGGCAGACGAAACGTACCATGATCTCTGCGATCTCCGGGTCCGACTCGACCAGTGGCTTCTCGAGCATCTGCATAGTTGAGCGGGGTCAGTCAGTAAAAGGGCAGTCATTCTCTAGTAGGGTGGTGGTGGTAGTGGTATGAGACAGCTCTCTCTCTTTGGGCTCTGTAGAACTTACTTCTCGATGAGTCTGCGAGAGAGCATAGCTGCCCGTAGCTGCGGAACCCATGGCTGTCTGTTGGGGATGTAGAGAGAGGTCAAGGCCTGTGTGGAAATGGAGGGGGTTCAGAAGGGTGCGTCTGAGAGGAGGAGGGATCCAAGAGGATAGAGAAAGAAGAAGAACAGGAGTACGAAGGAAGGGCCGAATGACAGATATGGACCGGGAGACTTTTTTTTTTCTGCGTGCGAAATGTCCCCGCAAGAAGTGTATTCCGCATTTTGGAAAAACACTGCAAGGGTTTGAGGGGTCAAGAGTAGAGGGCAGGAGGGGGTCTTGGTTACTATTACGGTGGAGCATAGGGATCACAATACCGCTTTGGTTCAAGCTATACCGCAGTACCTCCGTACGTACAAAATGCAATCGATCCATGCATCCATCCCCTTCATCAGCACAAGGGAAATCTATCAGCCGGCTCATCTTGCTCATCCTTCTACAGCCCCTACTCATCCATCAACCTCCGCTTCTTTTTCTTCTTCTTCTCGCTCGAGGCTGGCGTGTCTGCACCCCGCAGCTTCTTCTCCGGACTCTTTTCGTTGCCTGTTTCTCCATTGGTCTGTTTCTGTCGCCCTTTTCTAGACTGTGCCGGGGAAGAAGACGCCTCGTCGTCGAAGTCGGGTGGAACTTGCAATGTATCACGCATCTCCACATCCTCTGGTCTATCCTCCTGTGTGGGAGAGACTCCATAAGGCATATACCGCATCTTGAGTCCTTCGGGCTGTTTTCGGATCTGTTTGGGCGCGCCAGTCTGCGTCGCCGTGAAGACCGCCGGCTTATTTCCCTCTGACTGGGGCCTGGAAACCTCTCGCATGTAGAAGCTCCTTTCAATCTTCCTGGTGCATTGTTTGTACTTTGCGTCTGAGCCGCGAGGCAGGAAGATGACATCGTTCCTGGACGGTAGAACCTGCATGTCGTAGTCGACGCCATTCCGGCTCAGGATCGGTTGTCCTCTCAGCACTGCCTCAATGTCGAGCTCTTTGATGGAGTCGATGGAGACTGACTCGGGTACAGAAATGTGCCATATTTGCTTGTTGGACAAATCGTCGAAGAGATTCATGTCGGATGCAAAGTCCGATGCCGACCACGTGAGCGGTTCGTAGCCTTTCGGCGGTTTGAAGGGCTTTGGAGGGATGTTGACTTTGTCCCTTGTAGCAGTCTTAGCTTTCTTGCTGGATGGAATCTCTGGAGTTTCTGGGGACCGTCTCTTTCGGCTAGACGAAGAACTTGACGCTGAGTCCGTGTCCGAGCCATCCTCCCCGTCCTCTTCGCTAGACTTCTCGATTCCCTCTTGTTCTTCGTCCTCCGTTTCCTCTTCCCCGTCGGTATCGATCCCTGATGCTGTTGCGGGTGATGATCCTTCTGAAGGTGGCATATTCCTACTCTTCCTCTGCGAGGAAGCCTTCGTACCATTTAGAGCCTTCAATGGGGATGATTTCGACTTTGATTTCGACTTTGCGGTTTCCTGCCCAGATGGGACTTCATTTTCGTCTTCGTCACTTGAATCGTAGACTCGTTCTTCACTAAGTACAATATTCCGCGCCGCCTCGACGGTCCTGCCCATGACTCTTGAGTGTACAGATGAAGAGCCGTATATCCAAAGTGTAGCTAGATAAAATGAGATAAAAAAGTGGGAGAAAATTGAAAAGGTGGATTCCAGGCCCAAGTGACTCTCGGAAACAGCCGGCGCTAAAGACGTTAGCAAAAAAGCTTGATAGACGGCGAGTTTTCGTTCAGTCACCAAGTGACTTTTTGTTCTGTGACTGTTGTCTCTTCATCTACACATTTTATGCCAGCTAGTACGTCAAGAGCACCTCTCTGCATTATCCCGGAACCTGCTGATTGGGGAACAGATGGTGGACGTCTCAGCGCAGTCGCAAGGCAGCGGCTCGTGCGGGAGGTGCAGTCTACGGCGTCGACTTCGAGTCCTACGACTGTACTGCCAGTCCCAGAAGCCAATCTGAGCGAAACTACATCTACATCCAAAGACCAAGTTGTAGAGAGTGACGGCTCGTCTGAAGATGAGGGACTGCAAACTCCCAACCAGTTTGCAACACTAGTCGAAGCTTCTGCCGTCCATTTTAGCTCGAGTAGAGAAATCGAGCAACTGACTGACAGGTCAGTCAAGATCAAACTGTCTCGAGGCCAGGTATGATGAGAACGAGCATCACGAAGTTGTACTGACTTCTTCAGAAATGTGTTGTGTTGGGAACATACACCCTATGGGTCAAACAAGGATCCATCTCCGTCTACGGCGCGATTCTCCACGCCACGACGGCTGTTTATCGTGTCTACGCTCCCGCTACACATGCACTTCCCTCGATTGAAGCGATGAGCTCCAGCGCCGAACTTCAGCTTGACTCTCTTAATGACGGGATTAGAGAACTGCCGTACGTCGGACTTAGAGGAATGTGGGTTCCATTTGGTGTCAAGCCTTCCACGTCGTCTTTCTATGTCCTGGGCCATTCGTTCGACCAGAACCCAAAAGCCCCTAGACAGCTGAGGGAATTGGACATCACCTGCTGGAAATCCCTGCTGATAGAATTCTCCCGCGCTGACATAAGTAAGCCACGAAGAATTCTCATATGCGGCAGACGTTCATCAGGACTTTCGACTTTGGTTCGGTGTATCTTCAATCGATTTCTTGCCAGACAGTTCGCTGGGCCAGATTCTGCTCGCCAAAGGGGGGTCATACTGTTGGATCTAGACACCAACATGCCAGAATTTGCTCCTCCGGGGATGATCAGCCTGGTGCATATAATAACCCCCGTTTTTGGACCACCGTTTGCCAACAGTCTACCACCCTACCGAGGAAGATCCAGCCGGATATTGGCAAAACATTTTCTTGGTGACTTAGAAACAAGAGATTTGGTCAATTGGCACATTGATCGAATCTCTGGATTACTGGACCTTGAGAAGAATTTTCGTGTCGAATTCGAGGGCGCACCAGTCCTTGTTACATGTCCAAAGTGGCTGAATGGCATCGATAATACCACGGCTAGCAAGCTCTGGATGAAGATGTCTCCATCAGATATTGTTTGTCTCGACTCTGGCCCAATGTCAACGCATCTAGGGCCCTGGAAATCATTAGCAGAGAGGGGAAACTGTCGCATACACCAGATCCCAGCTCTGGTGTTTGATAAGATATCTCCAGTACGAGAGCATGACCTCCAAATGCAATCATACTTCCACCTGAGACCTACACCTATCAACCACCCATTCTGGAACGACACTCCTGTCTTAGCGACAACACATGAATCTGTGGCACTGACATACGGTGATGATGGGGCACAGATATCGGTGATCGTTCTGCTAGGTGGCCATGTTGCGCCCGAGGATACCTACGATGCGCTAGAGGGAAACATTGTTGCCGTGGTGGCTCTGAATGCGCAGTCAGCCACAGATGCGGCATGTGATCTCAGTGCGATCGGTGCCAACAGCCACGACGGCGATCGAAGCGGGATATATCGAACGGAGGAAGATCTGCCACGTTGGCAAGGGCAAGGCGAACTCGAAAGATCCTTTCCGTTTCCGGCAGAGCATTCCTGTTGCTTGGGACTCGCCATCGTGCAGAAGATCGACATTCCCAACAGGAAGATCACTCTTAGCAATGCAGCCGACTTGCAGGTGCATGGGATCCAGGAACAAGACTCTCCTGTGGCGCTTGTGGTGCCAAAAGCAACGACAGATGGGCGATTTAGAACAGCCTGGGCGCAAAAGGAAATGCACATCAAGAAGAGCGACAGCCAAACAAAATAAGCCGAAGCTTCGCACCGTAAACCGAAGATCCCGTCGAGCCGAGCAGACAAAGACCGACAGCAAGCGACTGGGGCAGCGGGAGCAGCGCGAATACAAGATGGCATCATTAGTACCTCTTCCGCATGGATAGCGGCACAACAATATTACACTAGACTACACCAGAAATGCATGTGGGAAGGCCAGACGAGTCCTTGTATGGGCAAATAGGTGAGAGGATTATTATTACTCGCGGCCGCATCGCCCCTAGTTGCCTCGATCGCAAACGCTGGCTGTCATCGAGCCGGACCTGATTGGATGCGGCCGAATCCCTAGAATCCATCGCAAGTGGCGGTCTGAAGCCCTCCTACGGGGGAGAGAGCACCCCAAAAAGGCCAGACCATCATCACTGCCTCATTTATTCACTTGTGACAAAGTCGACGAGACCACAGTAACTCCAGCTGTTCAAGCTCTATCTTCTATCTTGCTTGCTGTGAAAGAGACGGTGGCGCTGTTCTTCTTCCTCTCGGCCCCAAACCATCTCCTTCGACCTCTCGATTTTGTCGCAAATAATCACACCAATCTCCACATGTTCCGGACCCGCGGTTCCAGTTGACGGGTACGTTGCTAGGTTTTCTCCCTTCGATCGAGCACACGAGCTCTTGCCCTCCTTTAGATCGCCGTCTTCAGCCCTCGAGGACCTCGTTGCGACTCCAACTTCGCCTGCGCCGTGGGCTGAAGTGATCCGACTCTTCAGAAAATCGACTGTTACCCTTTAACACGGGCACTCATGGCTGGCCCTGCCTCAGCCCGCTGTGTCCGCCTGCGAAACCAAAACATGCGCAACTTCCGCCTGCACAGACTGTAGCAGAGTTTGTGGCTAGGCTGAGAGAAAAAGAGACAAAGAAAGAGAAGGCGAGAGGTAGACAATGGACTTTACAGTAAGTATGGGCGCGCATATACTCTCAGCCTGCTTCGTCACTCTTCAGGGCCGGCGCATGACATGCCAGTTCTACCGGCTGTTGCCAAAACACCGCTGCGCGCTGGCTCAACATCGACTAACGCTCCCTTTCCAGCTCGCCCTCACCCATTTCTGTGAGGCGCATGGGCCTAAGTCCGTCCTCTGCACGCAAGTCCTGCCGTTGGAGTGTGCATTATGCCTTCCACCCTCACCTCCCCTGAGAGCCTCCTCCTCCACCGAATCCTTTACCACCCAAGTCCACCATTCCTCCCTCGAGTCTTCGCAGAATCTCCGCGCGCCGCCGACTCTGAGTAAAACAGATACGAATTCCACCTGGCCTACCGACCTTTCCGGCGCATCTACCGCGATCGACTCGGAAGCAGAGCCTGAAAGCCCGACCATTGAGAAGCACCCCCTCTTCCAGACAGGCGACCAGACACGGACGCTGTCCTCACAATGGCGTTATGGTCGGAACCAAGACGAGACCTGTGCCAGCTGCAGTTTCTCTGTCCCCAAGGCTGTCGCAGAGAAGCTTCCTGCCGGTGCACCGGGTAGCAAGAGAGCGGACAACCAAAATAACGTCAACACAGGAGCGCCAGTGCTGAGATCAAGAGAATTTGTCTGTCTTCGAGAAAGGAAGAGAAGGAACAGCAGGCTTCACGTCTCTGAAGACTCCAATCCGTCCTCCTACGGCTCGTCGGTTACGTCATCCTTCGACTCCCACGCGACGACGTCGCATGCACAGTCTCATCGATCTGACGAGTGTCACGACCACACCTTGACATACCTCACCTCCAAATCTCCCGCCGACCGGGAGAGCTATGCGCAACTACGTGCTTCCGTCATTCGGACTCTGTCCTGTGAACTCCTGCCGCGAGGGATGTCCGACGGCCCTTTCTGCTTTGGTGACTCCAACACAGGCTATACCATCGCATACGTCTTTCGGCTTACTGATCCAAAAGCCCGGGGTCGACGCCGAGCGTACGCTTTCCTCGCTTTAGCGGGCAAGGATGCTAGTCGCGCGTTTCAAGCATGTCCCATGCTATGGGAGTCATTTGCCCGGATGGCGAAGGGGATTGAAGCAGCGGCCCAGCAACAACGGTGCAAAGAAGAAAAAGAAGCCGAGTCACTTGATGCGAGCGGCAAATCGACCGCGAGGAATTACACTCCCGTGTCGTCCTTCTTGACCGCTCGCACGGTTGACCCAGATGGCCACCCGCGGCGTGTTGGACAAGCCACGCCGCGCAGCCTAGCGGAGATCGTAGGCGACGAAAACATTTTCACATTCCTGCACCAGTATTTTGTCGCCATCCTGCGCTGCCTCGGCGAGCGCTTTGGTGGACCGCCACTGGCAGAAAGTCCGTTGATCTATCACTCTACGAGTGAAGAGGTACCGCGGTTTCGCAAAGCAGATGTCGTCCGAGACAGAGAGCATGGTCCTGACAGTACTCTGGATCTCGCAGACTCGAACCACTCTGACAAAACTCATCTTGAGAGCCTAAGAGACCAGGATACGACGCCAACACCGCAGTTGTATCAGATGAGTTCAAGTAAGACTTGGCCATTGCAACAGCCACAACCCCAAGAGACAATAGTGTCCAAGGGGAAAGATAAGGCCAAGGAGGATGCAATGGACGATGTTGATCTGGCAAAATCAAAGGCAAGGAAGAGTATGAGAGAAAAGGACAAGAACAAATTGTTCGCCAATACTAATATGACCTTGAAGAAGCTGAATCCGCAATGTGCTATGCCCATGGCCGTCACTGAGACGGCACAGAGACAGGTCGTCGTATGACATGTTTGAGGGCGACTGACAACAGCGCGGGAGAAGGCCGGCGCAATGGAAGCGAGCAGCAGATTCATTCGGGCCGACGATGGAGGTTTGATGAATACGTGATGGCCTCACGCACGATTACTCATCACGACAGTCGAGCTGGGAGAAAAGTTCCAGCAATTTGTTCTCTGGCGTTGTTGCGCCGAGACAACAGCGAAAGAAATGGCAGGGGAGCTGTTGCCCCCTTGCATGGTACTGAGGAAACGGCATTTACATGGGGCGGCATTTTGACTCAGTTCTGCGCGCAGCACGACGACGACGATATGTGTGCTTCTTTCTTCTTTCTTGATATGCATTGAGCAATGTTGTCTTGTCTTCATTCGAGCAAGATGATACCACGATACATCGAGTTGAGTGATCCCTCTTGTGTGTGTGTTATTTTTGCGAGGGCGGACATCGTGTACGTTACGGAGAGCTGTGTATGTATGTACCTTCGGAAGGTACGCACCCCTATATACCTAGGTACGTCCCTATGTATCTACCTGGCTAGCTGTTCATGTACCTAGCTAGCTAGTTGGAGGGTAGCTAAAGGCAGCTATGATTCAACCTACCTGCGACCTTTTTTTTTTTTTTCCTTTAAAAAAAAAAGGGGGGGTAGTTTGTTGCCGAACTCATTTCTACGAGGACCGACTATCGATGAATACTTTTCTCCCTCCTCGTTACAAACCATGTCCGCCTTGTCGCCGCCCAGGTTGGACCCGGTGGTCGATTGATCGTCGGCGCGTCTTTTTCTCGTCAAAGTCATCAGGTAGAGGGGTGTTGGGTAGGCCGTCAATGAATCTCAGAGTCTCTCTGGAGGGCCATGACAATGCCTTGCACTGTTCTGGCACTGCCCGCATGTTGGTCATCTCCGATTACAACTTTTCCTCGCGTCAGAATACAGAGCTCAAGCTGTGTTCGGGGGAACATGGCTTGATTCTGCCACCATCTCGGATCATTGTGTAGGCGTTCATCATGGTTGTTGTCGACTGTCTTGCTGTATGTTCAAATCTTCAGTCCCCAGGCCCTATTAATACGCCTTTCCTTGCCTTCCAGAAGGAGATTAGTTGGCTCGATGCTGCTATGTACAAGCCAGTTGTAAGTTGTAACGCGGTAAGGAACGAGCTTCGTACTCCGTCCTTTACAACTTGTTTACTGCCAGGCACTTGCGGTGCTTGCGGAGAAAGCTTGGAGTCTCGCTACGTCCCTCTGTCGAATCAATGTCTTTGGTTGCGGACGATTTGCTGAGGGGTGGACTTATCTGACCTTACCGCCAAAGCATATCTCCCTTGAGGTCTGCCGTCCTAGCACGCAGATCGAAATCAACCCTCTCCAGGACCTTTGCCCCCGATGATTGGCGTCGGGAACGATGTGGTCGATATCAAAGATTCAAGACAGGGCCGCTTGCCACTCATTGTGGTTCATTGCTACAGCCTCCGACTCCTCAAAGGAAAGGCATTCATTTCTCTCAATCAGGAAAAAGAAGACGGCGCTCTAGGGGCTGACGCAGACTGTGTTTCCTCCAATTCGCCCGTCAATCCCGTGGTGGCATGCAGCTCTTTGCTTACTGGGGCGTCCCGGCACCCAACACACATTTGCCATGTGATTCTGTTATCGAAAGATGATATATCAAAACCTGCCACAAGCGAGGCGAGCGTGGGGGGATATGAAATACATTGCATTCGACTAAGCGAGGAATGCCCTGCTTGGTCCTGTTTTGATTTTGAGGCCACCATTCATGTTCTTCGCTCACGGATGGAGTATTCACGTTGACGGTCGCCTCCGCCGTTCGACTTCAGTTCACAACAACGCTTGCGTCTTGGCCGATTCTTGGATGGCACATTCATTACAGCCCAGTTCTGCTGGTTGCTGAGAGCTTCATTCTGATGTCCTGGATAGGTTCGCTTACTGTTTCCCTGTGAGCCAAACGTGCCTGCCTCCAAGTCCTGTGGACACATCCCCTTCATGAAGTTCTGCTGATACGAGTATCCTGTGCCAGACTGAGAGATCAAGCGCCATGGCGGGCAGGTTCTGAACCGAAGTCAGCTGTCCTCTCACCTGGGTTCGGCTCATGTCGCACGAAACACCCTGCTCATCCGGCATACGTAGTCTCAGTCTCTTATTGCAGGGCTAGACATGAACTCCAGTCAGAGCATATATGAGAAAAGTGAAGATGCTGTGCAACGGGTGTCGCCGAGAATTCAAAGGGTACACTGCATTGGCCCTATCTTCGCCATGGAGGCCAGCACCTGATTCACTAGCCGAAGCAGTCACCAGACATGGGATCTCAAGTGGTGGGCAGCTGCCTTGCTACTCTACCAGTACTTGTACCAAGTACACAACTAAGCACCAAAGGCATAACCTGAAGTCAGTCTCTGCCAATGACTGTGCCATCCGCCGATGGAACTTGCAACCGAACGAAACCGTGCATATCCCAACCAAGCGAGCCCATGGCTTCGGGTGGGGTTGTTGAAGCAGGGCCCATCAGGGCTATATTAATGTGCGATATCTTGTGCCTGCTGGTCAATCTCTCCTCTCTCTCTCTCCGTCTTCATGTCCCCCGACTTCGGATAACCCCTGAATTCACTCGTGCGACCTCCAGACCTCTGGGCCGTTAAATCAAACGTCTCAGAATATCTACCGAACAGATCACTCAACCTTTTTCCTCTCCCAGCACATATCACACAGCGAAAAGCGGAAGATGGAACCCTGCACAACCTGCAGCTGCTGTTCTGGCGGAGCTTGCTCGGGATCTTGCTCCTGCAAGGGCTGTGGCGTACGTTACAACCATTCCCCTGACCTGTGCCCTTTGCTTGTCTCTGGTCTCGTTGCTGCGTTCTTCCCCATGGATCCCAACGCACCGCTGCGTCGCGTTATTTTGATTGAGCCGTCAAAGTGCCTCCTTTCTTTGCCCCACCAAAATGGCACAAGGGATCCGTCTGCTTTGGTCGTTGGCTGACTTCACATGACAGCATTAAAACAAACGTGCCCCGTCCTTGATATCCATTCCCCTGCCGGCTGCGGTCCACCCGTCCCTACCGGCACGATCTCCATCTCGTCTCAGAATTGCTGATCCAGGGGGGAATGTGCATGGCGTGCGTTTGTTTGTTTGCGTGTTGCCTGTTACCCGATGGAATCAATCTGGGCTGTTTCGTCAGCGAACTGGCTAGCTTGTAGAGGGCGGAAGGGTGGAGTCTCGTCAACACCACCGAGGAGTCTCGGCGGGTCTGAGCAAAAGCAGGTAGTAGGTTGACTGGAAGACATCGGGACGTGATCCTGGTTCGGAAGTGCTGGAGTTGGAGGTCTAACAGACCATACCATGATCGTGGCATCGGCATCAGGATGGGAAAGGGAGGGAAGGGGAATGGAAAGAGAGACGGCCAGAGCGAGCAAGGGAGTCTTGCCTGTCCGTATCCACTCCTTTGGAAATTTACAAGTATATCAATCTTACCACCGGCAATCTGCACTCGAACGCGACTGGGCGTTTTCCGTCTTCCCCGTGTGACGATTTCTTCGAAGAAGGTGCCTACCATAGACACAGTATGTCCGAGTCTATTCGCGGCGACCAACCTCGACGTCGAGTTTTTTGTTCAGTCCTTAGGCATGGATGGTACCTGACTGATGCATCAGATAGTAGCTGGTGATATACAAATATATATCGTACATTAGACATGGTGTTGTAGATAGACGCTCTGTAGACACCGAAACACCCACGCTCGTAAAGTTCATTGTCATAGCCCATCAATAAAAGTGGTAAATCAAGGTGACGCGTCAGCGATTGCACGAGAATGTTCCCACGCTGCTGTCTCTCGTCGTCGTCGTCGTCGCCGTCGTCGCCGTCATCGTTATGGATACAGATATCCCTTCTCAAAATAATTTCCATACATGTCCACCACGCCTGTTCTGCCCTTGGGTGTCGCATTTCTGATCACCTTGATCTCTCCCTTCCAATGTCCTTCAATGAACTTCATGTCGAGGTCATTAACCTCACCATGAGTTGAGTTACCCGAGGGTGTTTGGTTCCCTAGTTTGGCTGATGCATTTCCATTCGTAGGGGCATGTGCATATGCGAGGGAGCCTGGTCCAGCACCATGGTCGAAGCCATATCCATACCCTCTCGGTGCAGACGATGAGAGTCCATGGCTTTGGTTGGTTAGACCATTTGATCTTCCAGGGCCGCCGCCTCCACGACTGAATCGGTACCGCGCTAATTCACCTTCGTAGGCCTTCTTTCGCTCTCTTCGCCACGCAGCGACTTCCGCGACGACATCAACTTTCGGTTCTTCCTCCTGCTGCTGGACAGGATTGGAAGTCGGGGGAAGCATCGAATCTCTTGATTGCGGGCGCAACCTGGTGTTCACGAGCATGGGCGACACCGGTGCGCCTTGCATCTCAGCCAGGAAATTCCGCACGGTTCCATTTCGCTGAGACTCATTCGAGCTCCTCCGATTCCGGCCCAACGGTAAGTTCCTCGGGCTCCTCAGAGTCCCATGGGAGCCGCCATAATTCATCGAAAATGGCGACAACGTACCGTGCCCGTGGAAGCTACCATGTGGACTGCTCGAGCCACTTTCTGGTGTATTCTCTTCAGGGCCCAGCAAGATCTTATCATCAAAGTGCGCGGTGGGGAAATACTTCTCTGGATCATGTTGGTAGATACCACATTCTGCCTGTTCTTCGCCTGCCTCTCCAAAGAAACTGAAGTCATTCTCTGCGGCAGACCAGAGATTCTCGCTATCCCGGTCCCCTGTCGAGGATTTGCTCATGCTGATACGTTGGCGAGAATGCTGCCACCTACGCTGCTCGCCGGCATTCGGGTTACTCGGGTCTTCCATCTCAAGGATGATTGTGCGGAGTGCGAAGAGCGATCGTGCATGTTCTAGTTCGGCGATATGTCGGGCTCGACCCGGCGGGAGAGAATAGTCCGTCCTCGCGAGGAGTCGAGCTAGTGCAGCTTCATCAGCGCAAGCAGAGATGAAAGCCTTGAGTGCAGGGACCACTGGTGAGGATTTCGGCACTGTGGTAGGCACATCGGTGAGGATCAATGTTCTCAAGTTGGGAAGTACAGCAGGATGGAGACTAGTTAGGTTCTGTACCGTGATGGTTGGGATGGGTGAACCGGGGCCGGTCATCTTCATAGACAGTCCCGTGGGCCTCTTGGCTAGCAGAGCCTCTATCCGCGATTGGCGATGGTGCAATGCAGCTGGAGTAGTTGAGAGGGACGCGTTCGGTTGTGGCACGGGAGCTGGGGCGGGCGATGGGGTCGGGGTCTCCGATTTCGTTGGAGCGGATGTCGGTGCAGGCTTAGTTTTTGGAGTAGGTGGCGGCACCAGTGGCTGGAAAATCATGTTATTGGGGTGAGGCGTCATGGGAGACACTGGAGAGAGTATCGATCTCGTTGTGCTGTGCGTTCCTGTCTCGTCAGAAACCTCCGAGTCAGTGACGGTGGCCGGATCTTCCTTCTCGGCATCGTCAATGCCCCCATTGACTACCTCTGGGGCATATGGTCCTTCGCCTCTGATCGGACTGTGGTTTTCGACGACTGGGCTTGCTACTTCGGGTTTCTCTCCAATTGGAGGGCTGAGGGCAAAGTAGATCACATCACCAATCAGTTCCGCTCTCGGGGGTGCGGGAGTAGCATCCAGTTCGAATATTTGATCGGGCACTGGTATCTCCACCGCATAATGGGCAGGAGCCGGGGCCTCTGCTATTTGCCGCTCTCGTGCGGGAAGCTCTGCAGAAAGTGGCTCAGATCCCGCAAGTTCGACTGACGATGCTTTGGGTTTGACGACCGCCGGGCCGGGATCGAACTTCGCAGTGACCAATGTATGGTCAATGCGAAGGTAGGTCAGATTCTTGCTCGCTGATCTGGCAAGCACAGGGATGAGCTTCTCAGCGCCCGGGAACCGGACTTCATCAATATAGCCTGTAGGGGAAGAAAGTGATTGAGTCCGTGCGATAGTCTTGACCGTGTCGACCGAACCTCCGTCGAGAATGTGGAGGCGTTCGGACTTCAGGAGGCTTGATAGACCTTCGACGGATAGCCGATTGCCTGAAATGTAGAGATGGGTCAGACCTCGATGAGGAATATCCTCAAAGGCCAGTCTGCCGGTCAGAGGCCTAGTGAGTTGCTTAAGCAACTCGTGATCGAGGTCTTCACTTCGAAGAGTATCTAGGCTGAAGAAGTCGGGGCCAGGGGCCATACCTACCGGCCAATCTTCCACGTTGAGATACCTTGACTGCACAGCATCCGGTGGTAAAAAGCATGCTTGCATCAATGATCGGACGGCCATGTCGGTCAAAAGGTTGTCCCGGAGATCCAGCAAACGGACTCGAATCCCAATTGCATTGGCTAGGACTTCAGCCTCTCCATCTTTAAGACCAACACCCCGCAGCTTCAGTACCTGAAGATCCGGCAGATATGATAGGGCTATCAGGACCGCAGCATCTCGAGCGGGCGAGGTGTAGGACAGGTCAAGGTAAACCAGACTCGGAAACCTTGGTAACGCATTCGCCAGTGCAGAAGACGTGGTGTTCGGCTCACTCGAGGCTAGCAGTAATTTCAATCCATATGTGGGAAATATCTCTGCTTCTTCAGTCGATAATCTCCTGCCGGCACTTGTACTCCTCAGGGCGTTGAGGCTATGGTGATCAAAGAACGGCAGCTTCGTGACAATGAGACTCTGGAGGTTGGGAAGGAATTCGAGAACGTCGCGCAACCAGGCAGGATTTGGACCGCCATAGATCTCGCTAAGAGCGGGGGGAAGATGTAGAGTATGAGTGAGACTTCTCACACTTAATCTGGCTTTGCGGAGGGTTCGCTTGAAGCGGGTGAGGGCGACGTAGACGGCGTCATTCTCAATGCCAAAGTGGGAGGCAGGGTCACCCCAGAGGAAGGGCACAAAGATGGCGTACCATTTTTGGGATACCAGGCACGCCGAGCACAGGTCGCTGGAGGAGATCCAAGGCGCGATAATCGTCCATGCCTCGCGACTGACTGCGCTTTCGTAGGAGGGAGGGACATCGGGCTTCATGGCGGTGGAGATGCGGTATCACGGTGTGTCATGGTGAGTGACGCCCCGTGCGAAATAGAAGGATTCCAACTTGAAGGACGCACAACGGCAGATATAGATCTCCTCGCTGGGTATATACCAAGAAGACCAAGAACTAGCGGAGGCAGCGCGAAAACAGTGGACGCAGTATGAATGGATGTTGAGGTTCGGGACGAGTGGTCTCAGAGGGCTCCTGCGTCGCATCGCCGCATCATCGTGGCGAGGAAGCGTTGTTGGTCTCACGTGTAGGGTTCTAGAAGGCATCCCAGGCAGAGTGACGCCTGGCCAAGCCTAGAAACAGGCTAGCCCAATGCAAGTGCGGGAGAGTCCAAGGCTCCCTGGACGCCAATGACGCCCGAGAGGTGCCTTGGATGACTCTATCGAGGCGAACTTAGGGGGCTCCCATGCCCATTATCGCCCACCACTCACTATCAGGTCACAGGCATCAACAGCCCTTGGTCACTTTCATGCCGATCGGTCTGGGGGATTCGGGTTGGAACGGCTATGTAGGATGTCCCCTGCATTTATTGCGCATGATTCTGAGGATTTGCGAATACGATCAGATCAAGGCTCAGGGTATGCCCCCGTCGTGACGGCAGATGTTCTATAACAACTTTTCATTCCCTGCATTATTTGCAGCCCCAGACAAAAACTCGGGTGGGGTTCATGCCGAGCACCTTTGCAGCCTCATCCGAACAATGTACCCATGTCATGCTATACAAGAAGAGCGCCATTTTGCGCTTTGGCCGCCAACCAGGTGAGAAAATGAACAAGGGCTCCCATGACTCCCCCTGGGTATCAATATCATCCGTTTACATCACATAGAGTAGGTCGGTGTCTGCAAAGGTTCCAGTGTCAGTCAATTGCACAACGGAGCGCTGGTTAACGGAGACTTACTCAGTGGGTGTGAACAACTCAGCTGGGGCTTCTGCGTATATTTTGTAGCCAGTTCGTCTCGGATGCTGTTTAACAGTTGCACATAGCTCTGGTGCGGATTCTTCTTCAGCGCCGTCACAAAAGCCCAACTCATGGCTCCCGTGGCTTCGCCTCCAATGTTGGCATCCTGGCTGGTCTGTTCGTCTTTGCTGCCAGACCACATGATCACGTCGGCAGGGCTGGTCTTGGTCTGCTTGTTTCGTTCGTACGTGGCATTTCCATTGGCAGCCCTCTTGAATAACCCCATCGCCGACGAGGCCATCCCGCTCAAATCACCACGAGCATATGATGAAACAATCGACAAAAGGCCTTGACCTGCTTCCTTGGCCAGGTTGGGTTCTTTGAGGACTCCTTGGGTCGAATAGATATATGGAAGATCGAGGGCGGACCCGGAATGACACGAGTCAAAAATGGCGGTGAGTCGGACACCGGGCTGTAAGGGTTTGACCATGATACGATGCATTTCGTCGTCGACGATATGACCTGCCGTCCGGAAATCCACGGGATAGATCACCTCGTCATAGCCGTCCTCTTCATCTCCGTCCAGGTCGGGTGTCTGGCCGCCATGGCCGCTGTAGTGAAAAAACAACGAGTCGTTGGGCCGAGCGTCCTTCACCAACCAGTGCATGGCTCGGAGTATGTTGGCTTTGGTAGGCTGTGACATTGGGTTCTGCTGATCATCAGTTAAGATGACCATGTCTTCTCTGGCATAGCCAAAGTTCTGATTCAAATAGGTGGACATGTTCTTGACATCGTTGATGCATCCTCGGAGTTGGCCTCTCTGACCAAAGTAATTGATGCCTATCAGCAGCGCCTTGCGTTTTCCGGTGCAGTTGGAGTACTGGAAGCTATAGCCAGGAGGGGCTCCGTGACCAAACTGTTGCGGTGCCGTAGGAGGTGGAGGAGGGGCTTGGTGGTTGCCTTGCGAGTAAGAGTTGTTGGCATAAGAAGGCATGCCCGGTCGAGGACCTGCACAAGGTAAGCGATGTGGCTTCACCTTCGGACATGAAGCAAACATACCTGGATAGCCGTCTGGCTGAGGAGGAGGAGATCCATACCCGCCATATCCGCCTTGCTGTGGTGGAGGAGGATTGTTGTAGCCGTAAGGGGCCACCTGTGGCGGGGGTTGACCGTAACCACCAGGAGCTCCGTAACCTTGAGCAGGATATGGCTGAGGAGAATGTGACTGAGGAGGATAGCCTTGAGGATAGCCCTGGGCAGGATATGGCTGTGGTGAGTGTGACTGAGGAGGGTAACCATAACCACCGTGTTGTTGCGCACCGTAGCCGCCAGAGCCTGGATAGAAAGACATGGCTGCCAACGAGCTCGATAGGCGAGACAACGAGAATGCCGAGTTGTCGAGGAAGGGTCGGTTTGTGACTTGGGAGGCTTCTTTGAAGGTGGAAGGATACAGTGGATGACCGAGAAGGTGCTTGGGAGGCGGTTTGTAAGACGAATTTGAAGTTCTGAAGATCGAATTGGGCCGCCTCGCCGCGCCCCGGTGGTCAGGGACTTGTTATTAGTTTATCGAAAAGGTGGAGTCGAGGGGTTGACGTGTGTTCGTATTAGCCGAGTCAAACACGCGAGGAGGTCACCAGGGTTGGCCCAAGAGATTACGGAGAACGGAGAACGGAGTACAGTACAAGATGTTGATTGTTGATGCAAATCAGGTGGATAATGGTGGCGATGGATGGGTTGACGAAGGTGGCAGTGGTGGCAACGGTGGGCAGTTGTGGTTGATGAGCTCCAAGCTTCGATGAAGCTGCGCACCTGCGCTGCTATGTACTGACTCCTTCATCAACCCGTTCATTGTCCTCCATCATCACAACCACCTCACAACCACCTCACAACCACCTCACAACCACCACAAAAACACACCCGCCCGGAAATGTGTCAACTAGCTGACGCATGTTACGGCTTAGGTCCCTTTTGGTCCCTTGGTCCCTTTCACTCTTTGGCTCTTTGGACCCAGCTCGCTGGCCATCTTTGTGGCCTCGGTTAGCGGGGATTTGGCCATCGCCCAGTCTTTGACTCGGTACTGGGTACCAGGGTTTGTTTTCGACGAGTCCAGCCCTTGCCGTCCTCCTTTCCCACCAAGCCTCTATCTAGAACCAGCCACCCGATCGAGAAGGCGTTTGTCCACACAAACATGATGATTCCTGAAACGGCCTGTACCCGCCGAGAGCTATCCCTGGCCCCTTGCAGCTGGCAATAACATCAAATCAATATGGACGTGTCCGTGGGGAGACTGGCGGTACGCGGCGTCTAGGAACAAAATCTTCCTTGGGCGAATGGAGCTGAGATACATTTCGGTCATTGCACTACGGAGAGGTCACCCTTCACCCCATCCTCGTCTGTCCATCAAGAGACCTCTCCACATGTCATGTCAATCATGGCTTCGCCAGCATCTCCGGCTCATCGGTGACCAGTTGTCCACGTGGCGTACATCTTCATCCTCGCGAGGCCTATCCGCAGTCCAGCTCATCTCTACATGCACCATCAGCAAACGCTTTAGGACTGCCATGGTCGGTTACTGCTAAAATGCTCCTTTCGTGCATTTGAGATCAGCCCGCCACGAACACTGATCAGCCACAGCCTTTTGCTTCATTGGCTATACACCTCCAGGGCTGAGGGGGTTGAGGTCAGCTTTTATGCAACTCCCATCAATCACAGAGCTTTAGCATCTGCAGCACGAACTACCGCCAAATCGAGATCTTGGCTCTTGTCTACACTCCCGGAAACAAACACGAAACAGGTGCAGCTCGGCTGGATTGGGAAGCTGCAGCCCTCACCGATCATACCCCCGCTCACTTGGATGCATCCGGTTCAAAGCACCACCCAATGAGGCGGTGTCCATTTCCACCTCTACCCAATGCCATGCTACGCGGGTTCTTGGTCGGGCTTTGCCAACTCTAACGACACAGAAGATGAGCCCATGGCCTCGATGGGATCGGCATCCCCGCGAAGATCACGAACGCTTAGCCACCGCTTCCGTATGCACGGTCAACAAGGTTTGGCCTGTAGCTGGTGAAAAGATCTAACTGTATACCGAGTCCAACACGTGAGATGCAGTGCTGCCTTTCTTTCGTGATCCAGCCCGACAAGCAACAGTGCTCTTCGAGGCACGGAAGTCTTTGAGATTGATTTCGCCCCATTAGCCAGGTGGAACCAAGGGGCAGACCCTGCTGATACGATCAATGGACAAAAGTACAGGAGGCCCCTGATGTGTCGCTTAGTTGAGGTGGCGTACGCCGCACAGAAGCCGAGTATAATTTTCCCGGCGCCTCACGAGTGGTCCCAGCGCCATGGTGGGTGGGCTAGTGACTTGTGAGAGGTGAGCTGCATATCATGATTTCGAGGATGTTGGTTTCGAGGTCTCAACTTCCAGGTATTCACGAGGCTGACATCCCTCACCAAATCTCTGCCCTTGAAGACGCACAGCGGATGCTTCGCGAGGCTTCCTCAACTACCTACTCTTTACCATAACATATCAGTCACACCACAAGTATCTGAGATTTCGTTCGCACAGATACCTTCACTGAAGGCATTACATACTCGGTGCTGGTCGGTCGGAGCCTTCCGCGTGTTCCAGTCTTTTCCGCGCCCACTTTGAGCGTGCTGGATAAGTACAACATTCGCTACCGCCAACAACGGAGGAAGCTTATTGACTGAAAAATTCCATCAACCCGTGGTGGATCTCCTGGAAAACGTTTGTGGGTGGCAGTACTCTGTATATCGTTCCCAATTGTCGAGACGAATCGAATCTTCGGTGGTATCATGCGTTCACTCCTTTTTCATTCCTCATAGGTATTCATGTGCTTGCGCTGCAGGCCCGCGCGCATGGACCGTTAAATGCCCGCTAAAGGGAAGACGATGAAACTGTTGACTCCCATCGTCCAAGCGCACCTCTCTCTAGACCTTAAGCTCTTCACCTTCTCGGCATCCCCCTCCCCCTACCTCTCAATGCCCGTTGTGCTGCACCAGGTGGCAATCCTCTCGCCGGCGCCTGCGGACCTTGACTCTCCTCGTTCTTGATTGTCTCGTCGACACTCAGAATCAGACATGCTGCCTCCACAGCTGCTGAAACGGCATTGAACTTGACCAGGGCAGGTTCCCAGACAAACGCATCCATGTTATTCCGGACTCCTTCGTGGTCAAAGTCGACCCCTGCCCAGGTATTTCCTTTTCGGTGTTCCACCCGCAGTCGATTGAGGATGTCGGTGGCATCGAAACCTGCGTTGTCGCACAGCTGTCGCGGTATGCACTCCAAAGCCTTTGCGAAAGCCTTTACCACAGCCTGCTGCTTGTGGGGGACATTCTTGTCCGCAAATCTGTGCAAGTACCCTGAAATCTCCATCTCGGTGGCGCCGCCCCCGGCCACGATGGTATGGTTCTTCAGGGCCCGCTTGACAATCATGATGGCATCGTGCAGCGACCGTTCGACTTCGGCAATGAATTGCTCGGCTCCACCTCTCAAAACCAACGTGCATGTTTTGGCCTCCGGACAGTGACTGAACAGGTTATACCGCTCACCACCAATTTGGCGCTCTTCGAACAATCCACACGTTCCCAAATGCGACGGTAAAATGTCGCTGCAGGTACTCTGTGTGACGGCCCCGGTTGCCTGACACACACGCTCCAGATCGTCAGAGGCAACACGCCCAGCGCAAAAGATATCCCTATCTGCAAAATACTGGGTCGCCAGATCTCCGATTGGTAGCTTCGACAATACCACCTTCGCACCCGTCTTGTATAGTGCCTCCATCTTGTCATAGATGATCTGCCACTCGGCATCCACTATCGCCTGGTATTCCGACACCTGATCGATTCGTACCTCTGCATTGTCCTTCTCTGCCTTCAACTCCAGCTCAACGTTCAGACATACGATTTTAGGGTTCTTGAAAGATTTTGGTTGTTGTTCGAAGCCCGCGTAGGAGAAGGTCTTTTTGAATGCAACGCCGTCGACAAAGAGAGAGTCTTCCAAGGCGCCACCGGTGATTTTCTTGATGCCGATGAGTTTCTCGTTCAGGTCGTCTTGGTCGAGGCTTAGGACGGCATCGACGACCACTACATATTTTCCTCTTCGTCAGCGAATCCAGATTTATCGCCACCTTGCAATGCCAGAGATATGGGTAAAACTTACTCTTCGTGAAGAAATCCGCATTGCGATGAATAAGTTTACTGCTCATTGCCGTGGCCGCCAGTTTTCGGAGTGTCTCCCTCTTATTTGCGCCATCGTCTACACTCACAGCAATCTCTTTGATCTTGTTTATCGCCATGGCACTCGCCCTCCTCAGCCCCTTGACAATGGTCTGCGTAGATACTCCTTGCTCGACCAGCTCTTTCACTTCCTTCAATATTTCTCCCGCCAACACAACGACCGAGGTAGTCCCATCGCCCACTTCTGCATCTTGACTCCGCGCTATGTCGGTCAAGATCCTTGCGGCTGGGTGGACTATGTCGAGCAGGCGCATGACTGTGGCGCCATCGTTCGTGATTGTCTGTTTGCCGCTGGAATCGACGAGGAGCAAGTCGCCACCGTAAGGGCCAAGGGTGCTTTTGATTGTATTCTGCACGGCTAGGCAGGCATTAATGTTGGAGATTACCTGGGGCTTGCCTTGAGAGGTGTCGGTGCCTGGTTACAATGCGTGGTGTGAGTAAATGTATGGAGCAAATGGGGAGAGCGTCATTATCTCGACACGGGCTTGCTGACCTTCTTTGAGCACGATAATCGTGGGTGTCTGTCCACCGAAGGCCGCCATATTCTCTTTCTCAGCTGTCTTGAACGACGTGTAGAAATGTAGCGACCACTCGCACGAGATGTTTTCTGGTATGGAACTTTTTGAAATTCACGAGTGACGCAGCATTAGTGCCCGATGTGCAGTTTCTACGGTGGGGTTTTTGTGCTAGCCTGGATGTTCTTGGATGTTCTGGGATGTTTCTCAGTTTCTTGAGCATCCCGCCCTGCCTCTCCACCCCGCTGCTTCATTTATTCTAATCACAATGTCAACCGCCACTTCGAGCCCGCATCTTCCAGTGGATGGATCACTCTATTACCATCCAGAAACTCTAACTATCGGCAACCTAAAACTGGATCCTTTTCAAAAGTCGCAGCGACCTCCCTAGGAGTCGCTCTCTTCAAATGGGAAGTTAAAGGTGTGGCACAACACGTGGTCATGCCAACGTCTATTGTCTTTCCAAGCGAAGCCTTGATCATATCGATATAATCCAGAGCGCACCCTCGTGAAGGAAAAGCTTGTCTCAACGACTACAGACATGGCTGAGGGCAACTCAAGCTTTGGATACTGGGTACAAGGTAGAAAGAAAGGGGAAGAATATGTCCACTGAGTAAGTTGTGGCTTGCGCGTGGCAGTACTAGCGAGACCCCATGGGACTCTAAAAGGCAAAGTGCGTCCGCAGGAGCTGCATTCAATCGTACTTGAGGCATCTCCTTCGAAGTCCCATTTTCCACACGGGTATGCATCTCACGCTATAACGATGTGGCTTCAATTTCAGCATCCAAAAAAGGACATCAAGCAGGCGCTTATGTTTCGATACAGCCAGCCTCGATCACCGCCATGTTATCCGGTATCGCCGGCGATGTGTGGTCGCAAGTGGTCGTGCCTTATGGGCAGAGATTAAGTATTTTCGCTGCCCTTGCTCCGTTGTCATCTAATTCTTGTTCTTTTACCGGGCCTCTCGAAATTTTGCATGAGGGTTGCGTTGGATTTCGCTGGATTTCGCTTCCGTCTTCGCCAATCATCAATTATCCAACAGACTCTCTCTCTCTTTTTGTCTCTCTTACACACTCGCAGACAGCGAGCTCGCACTATCGCCGTCATGCCGGTGAAAGAAACTGGCTTTGTGCAGATGAGAGAGCTCAACCATTCCGAGGCGTCGTTACCGAAACCAAAGCGACAGCGAATGATACCCCCAGCCTGGCCATCCGAACCGAAACCATTAGCCAACAACCCGTTCAACGAAATCACCCTGGACATGTACGATGTCTGCCTGTGTCTCATCCCCGTCGCCCTCATGGTCAAGATTGGCCTATGCCTTTACGCCGAGAAGCAGGATAGCTACAACACTGCCTACTTTATAGACGAAGTTAGCATGTTGACCACTTATCTCATTCGTTTCAACAACCAGCTCGCAACCGCCTTCACAATCGTCTTCGTCTTAATATTTACAACTTTCCTGAAACGATTCGCGTTATGGAGGGCGCAGGACGGAGAGTACGTAGTGAGACTTGAGCAGTACCAGGCGAGCATGTCCTTGATCAGCACTTTGCGCTCTATTCTGGTTTTACGCGCGTTCGACTCCATCAGCGTTGGCCTGGTCATCTTGTGGTCTTTCTACTACCTTGGAAGCCAGGCTAGCAAGGATGAGTATACGTACCAAGCGTGTGGCCCTTATTCGAACTTCACCATTGCATACCGCAATTCTTCAGCTCCATCAGCATTCCAGAACGTGAGCTACACAGAATATCCCTCATCTTTTTTTGATACTATGACCCTACAATACGGCGTCTATGTTACCTCTCTGTATGAGTCTCTGTCTCAATTTCAATCTCCAACTTCATCCGACTATACTGGCGGGGCTCTTGTGCCTTTTGGCTCATATTCAGCACGGTAGGTCTTATGGCAATTTGATAAAGTTGACATGAAGCCCTCTCTATCCCTTGCCGCCTAGAAGCTCGACATCGGCTGACAGAATCTGCTTGCTGCGTTTCAGGGACGACCCTATCAAGAGCTGGCAGGACGTTTCCAAGCCTTCGGCAAACGAATACACTTCCTTTGCCGGCTACTATTCGTTGAACCTGGACAGTTATGAGTCTTCCACATTCGTTGGCGACTACAATTTTGAGACGTCCTTTTTACAGGCCAATTGCTCCAGTTTGACCCTACTGCCTGCAGCGCAATTTCCTAATGGCACGACCAAGTCAACTTTGCTCGCCATGAACATGAGCGATTCTTCGGTAATCCGTGAAACGAACAATTACACTAGTCGTCGAAATTTCACCATTTCTGCGCACCACAATTCATCCGTGGTCGTGCAATGCTCTTGCGCCATTGCCCGGAGATATGTTGAACTCAAGGTACACTGCGACTGTCTCAGTTGCAGCGCCCGCAAAATCAGAGATTCGCGCAGGCCGCAGTAAGTGGTACCCCGTTCTCCTTCTTGGCCTAATCATGAGCCCCAGAAGGGTGCCTTGATATATCGAAATCCGAGTCGTAGTACCTGCTTACAAGCGGATAACAGCCCGTCCCAAAATTCTACACCATTTGATGATGATATCTTTGCAGCTCGGTTCTTTCAGTCCCTTCTCTCTGTCAATCAAGTGACCACCAAACAAGCACTAGATTGGCAGGCTGTCGATGACTGTTTTTTAAGTGGCACCGGCGACTATGGTGAAACCCTTACGAAGACAGAAATCCTCGGCAATTTCAGCCGTGCCATTACTTTCCAAATCAGCGTTGGTGCTACTCAAGTCCTAAATACATATTATTACGCTTCTCAACTTCAAGGAGACGACCCGACCTTCCCAGACAGTGATCCAGAGGACATCACAACCGACCCTCGCTTCACAATAACACATATGAGAGGTGGCGAATACAACCCCAGGTACGCCACGAACAAAGCTTGGATTGCTGTTGACTTCCTCTCTCAAACTGTGCTGCTGGCAGCGGCAATTGCAGCGTTCTGGCTGCGCAAGGTACGTCATTTAAAATAGCACATCAGGGCAACTTATGCGAAGGCTTTTGACACCCTCCCGTATAAGGACGATAGTTGCTGATAACTTTGTTTTGAGGAAACATCAGAACACCATTGCGCCCGATATCTTTGGCTATGTGAGCAGTTTGACGAGGGACAACCCGCATATAGACCTGCCGGACGGAGGCACGACGCTCGGCGGACTGGAGAGGGCAAGGCTCCTCAGGGACGTCAAGGTCAGGATTGCCGACGTTTCTCGAGACGGCGAGGTGGGACATGTCGGACTTGTAACGGAAGCAAGGGAAGCGGATATGCTCAGCAAAGGAAAGGTATACGCTTGAGCACACGTATATGATGAGGCTATGATGAGACTTTGTGGGAGTGTGGGCAGGATATGAAATATGGAAATTATGCAATGGAACCTTTCTTTTGTATCGAAACGTCTCCTTTCGAACCTCTATGAGGGACTTGGTCGTTCCCTCTCTGATAACCCGGCGGCTCGCTTCGCTCAAGCCGCATTCGAAGACAAGTGGCATGGTCTGGCACAGCAAAACAGGGCTGTAATTGACGTACTAGCTGAAAAGTGCTGGTCACCGCATCTTATGATCACAGTCAAGCGAAAAAGAGCACAACATCAAGTGGCCTTGTTCCCACTCAGCTGAAAACCCCGGATACGAAAAGGCCCTAAACTCGGCATAGAATTTGGATACAAGGGTCCAGCCGTTGAGGCGAAAAAAGCTTTCAAAAGGAACTAGAACTCCCGAATATTCGACATATTAGACGAGAAACTGGCGACTTTTTCGAGAACCCCAAGAAGCGAAGCTTCGCAGATCGGATCGCGATTGGTTTGAGGATTTCGATAACTACCAACCCCCCCCCCCCACACCCCCAGTCGCTCGTTCAAGGCACCAACCAACTCGAACTGGCCCAAGGCTGAACTGCATACGAGGGCTAAGAATTCCAGGCAGGCGGACATGACAGTTTGAGCAATATTTGCTAGTGGTCGGTAATGTAATACCACAGAGGCTAGGCGGGTGGAAGCAATGTATCGTGTATTTGTCTAGAATAAATGCTGGGCGTCACACAGGATATCGTGCCAGGGGCTGCGTTCGAGGGTTCTGTGAGAGCAGTTTGTGGGCGTCTCTCGTAAGCATTACCTAGAGACTTAAATTCTTATCTCAAGCTTCTCGTCTTCGGCTCCTCGATACAGTAGATGAGGACCCAACAGGGGCCATTACTACTGCACGAATATTTCCGCTCTGATTACCGAATACTCAGGGAGTTGGTAAGGCTGGACCCCTGTAGCACGTGACCCCACGGCTTGTGCCAAGACCTTGAGGCGCGCCATGACGGCGCAATTTCGCAATCCTCGTCCGCTTAGTATTTCCTAGCAGCAGGCGTACGTAGGGGGACAGACTCCGCGCCCCCTTAGCTTCATGCATTGGCCAAGGAGAGAGCAAGCCTTCCATGCACTGCGTCCAACTATCAAAGCTACCGAGAGATGGGCTGAAGTGCGGCCCTGAGTTGGGTCCAATACCAGGCAGACAGCCTGGCTCAGGGATGTCCTGGCAAGCTTCAGCAGCAATTCTCACCCACCACCCAGCGTCTCCCTCGAGCGAAAGCTCTGTTCTATTGGAATACGTGACTATCTATGCAGCGTCAATGTTGTACAGGCCCCTGTCCGTGTCGGGAGCACAGATAGGACGAGAGGGCATGGACATCCAATGTTTGACAGCGACCAGGCTGAGGAGAGACCTGGCTGAGCCGGGGCAAGGGAAACACGACCAGTGGCTTGTGTAACCAGGGGTGTTCGACTTTTCACCGCTTTGCATCCTATGGACTCTTACTCTGTCCTTGTTCAAGTCCGGTTCATGGCTGGAAGTCACCCCACCTGTCCTCGAGCATGAAGCTGCATGTTGCCGCCAAAAATCTACTAACGCCAGCCTCGCCATATCGCGCCAATCTCGTATAGAATTGGTCTGGACAGGGTAGGAAAGGATTTGGCCCTGGAACCAGCGCGAGAGCGAGTGTGCTCGAGCACCCAAAGACCCTTACCCCTCGAGCGGCATATCCTGCTTCAACTTCTTGCTTTACAGCCCTCCACAGTCACGACGATATCGCGGTCAATGAGCACCTTGGGTTTTGCGTGTTAGACTATACTTCTCACAATGGCGATACTGGCCTCTTCACTCCCTCTGCTCCTTGCTCTGTTGACGGTGCAGACAGTGGCTCAGCCTCCTGCAGACCCGCTCCGGAACTTCTGCAGGAGGTATGGCCACCAGACTGCGGTGATTGATCGAAAACTTTACATTGATGGTGGCTGGCTATACGCGAATCCCATTTCACAGAATCCCATACCCACAATGAGTACTGCTGAAGTCTCACAATCGCAAACGGTTCTAGGCTGACGATGGTGCAGATGAAGGCCTTCTATATTGTGATCTAGACCACTCATACCAAGACATGCCCCCAGAATATGCGAATCTAACAAAGAACTCCTCGATCCCGGATGTTGCCGGAGGCACATTGTGGCAAGACGAGGTTAACAAAGTCTTCTGGTTGTACGGAGGCGAATTCCAAGCCGCACCGTCCACATTTCAACTCTGGGGTTACGACGTGATCTTGAACCAGTGGAATCTGTCGTCCCCGACCCTTGGATCTACGTCGCCGATCCAGCGGGTGTCTTACGGCGCTGGTGTGGCCAGCAGTGAGATCGGAATGGGCTTCTACTACGGTGGCTACCTCAACAACCTGACCAATCCTTTATGGACAGGACCGCAATGGGCAACGAGCAACCTGATCGTCTACGACATGGATCAAAATACCCTTACCAATTATAGTGGTTATGATAATATCGGCAGGGCCGAGGGAATCATGGTGTACATTCCAGCATCTATCAGAGGTTTGCTTCTATATTTCGGTGGAGTTAGCTTCCCCTATGGCAATGAAACCGAAGTCGCGGTATGTGAGACTCTTCTACACCGCCGCACAAAACGTGTTGGAGATACAACAATGCTGACGATGTTATAGGCGCCCATGGACACCATAATTATCTACGACATTTCGGACGGCAAGTAACTCCGCACGCCAAAACAGAAACACTAGCTCTGAGGCTCATTTCTTCTTAAACAGCCAAATGGTACACCCAGACAGCCACAGGGACCATTCCGGAAATGCGTCGAAAATTCTGCGGCGGTGTAACGTGGGTGAATGACCAGTCTTCCTATAATATGTAAGTCATCGCATCGGTATCAAACGAGGGTTCCTAACCTGAGTCCCAGTTATCTCTATGGCGGATTCGGGTTTGGAGAAAACGCAACCGTAAGCATTATATACGGTGCTTGGGGATCCTGTTTCTGAAAGATCCCCCAGGGTTTCGACGATGTCTACATTCTGACCATGCCTACTTTCGAATGGATCAAATGGTATCCAGATAACCCAGGCCCTGGCTCGCCACATGGGCTGCTTACCTGTAACGTGATCGACAGAGGGCAAATGATAGTCATGGGAGGCAACTTTACGAATACCACGGATTGCGACGTGCCGGCAAGCCAGGGCCAGCATAACCTGAACCTGGGCCAATATGACAGCACGGACGCCAAATGGTATGCCTATCTACCGAATCTCACAGAGTACTTTGTCCCTCCAGCGATCCTGCAAGTGGCGGGTGGCACGTAAGGCTCCCCCTTCCGTGGCCATGGACCCTTCGGTGATGACACACCGATCCAAGCTGACGATGTTTCGTGGCAGACCTGAAGGCGGAGCCATTCAGAAGGCTCCGACGAATGGATGGGACGACGATAGACTCTCGGTCTATTTCGGGGAGAAGGCTGTCTTCACCTCACGGACACCGACGCGGGCCCTCCCCACAGCGACGGCGACACCTCCCTCCCCCAAACCGTCTCCCCCCTCTCCAAGCAAGAAGACCAATATTGGAGCGATTGTCGGCGGCGCCGTTGGAGGCGCTGTGGCGTTGTTGCTCGCGATCGTGATCGCGTGCCTCTGCGTGAGAAGGCACAAGAAGGCGAAGAAAAACAGCCAACCTAACCAAGCAGCGGGAGCAACGCCCGTCCCAGGCACAGCGCAGCCTTTCCCTCCGACCTTGCCGCAAGCCCAAGACGTGATCTATGAGAAGCACTCGACGACCATCGCCTCGCCCAGCTCGACCAGCAGAGTCGGCTCGCCGAGCGACCAGCAGCACTCATCGCAATATAGCACGCCTCCTCCGCCCGCGTCGCAGTACCCGGAGTATCCGAGCTACTACTACGCGAGCGGGCCTGGCGGCCAGCCGACGACGCACTATTACCCCGTGGTGGTGGCCCCCGGTCAGCAGCACCAGCAGCCGTATGCCTATCCGGCGGCGCAGGGAGCGGTGCCAATGCCAATGCCGATGCCGTTCTACCCGCCGCCGGCTGACCCAAGTCGCATGCAGAGCCACGAGATGCCGACCGTGCGCAGTCCCGAGATCATCCAGGTCCACCGGCCCAGGCCGCTGAGACCCTCGGACGGTCCCGGGGAATAAAAAGCGCGATGGACGATCATGATCATGATCATGATCACGGCTGCGGATCCGACGACTTTCCTTGCTTCCTTCGCTGGAGAAGAAATGAAAGAATGAATGAATCATTCGGCCTGTGGAGAATATTCTCCTAACTACAGACGCGTCGAGAGATGTGCATGCGCCAGTGGCATGTGCAGTGCATGTGTATCTGACTGTGCGGCTGAACGTCGACTCACACTAGCCATACAGGAGGATTACAAGAGCCTCCGGCTGTTGTCTAGAAGGGGAGGGGAGGCGAGGATGATATCCATCCTAGGACCGGAAGTCTAAGTACTAATCCCAGAGTAGCCCACATTATTGAACATAATCTGAGCGACCTGAGCCCCTTTTTATTGGGCTTGCACTTCGGGGGATACTGGTGGTGCTCTGTCATTTGTCCATCCCGTACCGTCAATCAGCTTCCTAATACTTACCTATATTTGACACAGAAACGGCCACTTTGTCGTGGAGGGCTAATAAGCAAACCAAACCGGCCAGCTCTCCCTAAGCCCATCCCCCAGCCTCCCAGCAAGACCACTACCTAGTAGTGGTAGGAGGCGGCTCTTTTGGGTCCCCTGGGTGCAAACACAAATTCCATGCAGATTCTAGTTAGCCGGTCATGCCAATTTGTCCTAATTGGTACAAAGGGAGAGCAATGGTGATCAGTCACTAGATCACGTCCATGGCTGGATATCTCGTCATCCGTCCATTTTCTCTTTTCCACACTTTCTCTGGTGAAAGTGTGATGGCTCCTGAACTGAGAACCGGGCCCGCTTATGGGGAGACTGACAGGAGAGATCGGAAGACAAATCCTTTTGAATTTTTCCACACTCTTCTCGACGAGGCTGATCAAAATCTGCCGAAAGTACTGTAATCCCCCCCTTTTCTGATTACAGCCTGCATTGAAGTCCGACACCTTCACCCCGATGACGGAGATCAGTATTGCTTCGCAGCGAAATACTCATACCGTCCAGCCAGTTTCGCCCTCCATGTGCGGCCCCAGATAATCAAAGGCACACAGGTTAAAGCCACAGCGACACCAAGACAGCCCAGCAAAACGAACATGTTATACACGCCCCTGATTAATGGTCAGCATCAAAAAACTGTTTCCGGCAAAGATATGGTGGTGGCAAGCACCCGTCACACCGGCTCAGGCTTTCTAGGAGTACTCACATGTTGGTCATCCAGGGTGTGATTGCGAAGACGAGGGCGGTAGAGATGATGTTGCGCACAAAGACCACGGAGGTGAGTGCGTCACCGAGGATCTACAAAGAGAATGAGTAAGTCACGAAACCTCTTTACCAGACAAAAGAAGGGTTTCTCCGAGGGGAAGGTGGTAGGTGCTCGCGGGACTCACATATTGGTAACAGTCCTGACAGTACGTCAGAGAAATATCACCGCATCCTCCGATCGCAGCTCCGATAAATCCAGCTCCTACAGCGTTGACGGGCCAGGCCATTCCCTTCAGCCGTAAATGTCAGTTTCCATTCGCATCATTTTCGAATCGAGACCCGCTTTGCGAGAGTGTGCCTACCTTGGAGATGGTCAACCCATACATAAACAATCCGATTGGCATGCAAAAGCCCGGTACGAGGAACAGCCAAAGTCGAGTTTCGGGCTCGTAGATGCCGCCTCGTCGCTTCGCAATCTGGAGAATGAAGTAGTCGTTCAGAGGACCGCCAAAGAGGGAGCCCAGAATAGCTCCGATGGCTGGTGGCAAGTTCATATTTCCGACTCCGATCGGAGTAAAATTATACGGCGGGAAAGGATACAGCGTCGCCTGCGTCACGGCCAGGATCGCCAACATGGCAATACAAAATCCATACTGCAGCGCCGTGAACATGACTGCGGGAAATGTGACCAAGATCTGGAAAGGTTGGTAGAAGTGCATCACCAGGCTGCGCTGTTCAGTGCTTGCTTGCTTGTCCAGTGACCACAGGGAGTGACGTTTCCAGTATGAGTTCATGGGGATGGATGTGTCGATGTCAACCAGGCGGCGACGTTCGTTATTGGCGGCGTCGGTAGAATCAACGGAGATAGAGCCACGAGCGTTGCCTTTACTGGTGCTGCTCACTTTGGTGAGGTTGTCCTGCTGCTCCGTGGAAGTGGAGACGACAACTTCCCGACCGTTCAACACCAGCGGAGTGTATTTGGTCTCTTCGAGGAAGAAGATCATGGCCAGAGTCACCACGGCCATGAAGATGGTGCAATACCAGAAGACCCATCTCCAATCCTGTGAGACGGCGACATAACCAGCGGCAACTGGCCCTAGATAATTGCCGATGATGACAACAATGAGGTATATCCCGTTCATTGTTCCACGCTGATGCACGAAGAAGAGATCCGAAACCTGTTGCATGAAATGTCAGTGAATGCGGGTTTCTCTTCGGCCATCTCCAGAGGATTCGGAGGTCGAAGCGGACGTACGGTGACCTGGAAGATGGCCTCATTTACAGCCCCAGCAAGACCAGATATAGCATTCGATCCAATCATATCCCCAACAGTAAACATCCTCGCTTGCCACACAGCGGCAGCAAGCATGACCAGTGCCGTGACAATGTAGACTGGCCTTCGACCGATTCGAAGAGCAATGGGCACAAAGATAATACATCCAACGGATAGCGTAGCCATGTTTGTTGCGTAGCCGTCATTCAGAACAGCATAACTCATACCAAGCTCGGTGTTGAAGTCTTGCCAGAGCGGCACGGCGACGCAGAGGCTGGAGAGTAAGGCCATCAGTCTCTACGACACGACGCTGCAAAGTCGGGGCCGAGCAAACTTACATTGCAAACACCATCAACGCATAAAGGCATAAAATGGTCATATGCAGAGACTTGCGGAATGCCGACCAGTTCTGTTGCAGAAGTGAGAAAGCATTCGACCACAACGGCGGAAACAGAGACTCACCAATGGCTGATTGGGATCCGCATTTGGTTGGGGTGCCAGTAGAATCTTCTGTCCGGTCCTGTCCTCGATCCTCTGCGTTCCCGGCGGGAGTCTGTCGTAAGTCATTTTGACGATGTCGCAGAAAGCCCTTAATGGTCAATGAATTGTCATGAAAAATGTGGTGCGCACGATGCCGATGGACTTTGGGAAGGGGATGGCTATCCTTTAGTAGACCTCGCCGCCAGCCACCCATGTTGGAAAAGACCCTTATCAACGGACCAGTATCCCAGTGTCCTGGAGCGTTGCCACTGCCTCGAATCATTACCGACAAGCTTCGGGCCAGGCCAAGGTTGAGGCTAGTGACGCCTGGTGGCCTCTCGAGATATGCGGAGAAAGGAAGATCATCCCGCAGCAGAGCTGATGTCCGAAGGGTTTGACGCTGAAAGCCGACAGCACCTCAAGATATGTCGAATCATATCCGTTTGCGCCGTCTTTAGTGCGGGCTGGCTGCAGGGAAGCCAAGGCTCCCGTGTTGCCCGTGTCGAAATTTCGAGCTGGCTGGGACTGCCTCTTTCGGTTGTCGAGACACGACACTATATGTTGATAATAGGAGAAGACTGTTGCAACGACCGCCGGGTGTATACCTGTAGGTTGAAGCATGGATCGAAGGTTGTTCTGGAGTCGTATTGACGTTCTTATGTCTCCAGCAGCCCAAGAAACCGTTTGAGGGCTCCTTCCGGACTCATCTGGTTGAGCCTCTCCCTGCTGCATCCAAACTCATCCCTTGGGAACCACTCGGTAACTTCGTGTTCGCGTCCCATCACAATATGTGCGAGTGCCTTCCCAGCAAGCCAGCAATGAACCATGCCGTAACCATCCCACCCTGCAGCAATCCATTCACCACCGATTTCGGGATCGCACTCGGCTCGACCAGACATGAATTCTCCAACACGATCAACCAGGGGCAACCCATCTCCTGTGAATCCCATAATCCCTGTCCATTTCTTCTCGACCGTTGCGCCTGCTCCGTGGGCAAATGCTTTGGACGGGACTGTCTCTAGATGCTCAAGGCATTGCGCACTCAGCTGGCTATCGTCGGGGTTTCCCAAGTCCTCGTCTTTCTCCGGTCCACCTTGGAAGAATCCCCCACCGAGGTACAGCGAGCCATCTTCGCCAGGAGATTGTGTGATGTAGTCAAAGCCTCTTGCCCACATTGTACTCCACGATCTCGAGGCACCAAGTCGTGGGAAGTCTGCGTGTACCGACTGAACCGTCATCTGCCCTCTTAGAGGCCAGAGTTTGCCCTTCAGGAAGGGAAGCAGATGCGCTGCGTACGCGTTTGTGCAATGAATGACGTGTTTTGCTGATATCGTGCCTCGTGTTGTGTGCACTTCGTAAGGGTGACTTTGGGATTGATTCCGACGCACTTCTTCTGCAACAGTGTGCGTTTCGAGGCCAACCTGCCCGCTGGTGAGTAGATTTGACAGTACGCAACCAAGAAATCGATATGGCCATGCCGCCCCGGCAGGACCCTTGATGCAACCATAGGCGTTGATGATTCCGAATTTCTCAAACTATGTCAGCTAAAAGAAAGGTCGTGGGGAGATTTTGGTACCATCAGCTCTTCCTCTCCCTCATGCACACTCCAATATTCGCGATGCTCCGGGAAGTCCTCAAGCCACGCTTCTAGCTTGATCTTTGCCGACTCCCAACTCTCTTTGTCGAAAATAGCGCTCACTCCCTCCACACGTCGCACCAAGCCAACTTTACCAGCTTCGCCCAGAGCAGCAGCCTCGTGGACAAATGCATCCAAATGGGCAAGTCGGAATTTCGTAATCTTCATTGCACTGTCCTTGCCGAGTATCTCCTTGAGAGCATGATAGTCGGCCCATGGGACGGCTTTGATATGTCCGCCATTTCGGCCCGTTGCTCCCGATATTGCTGACCTGGCCTCAAGCATAGTGATTTTCTGTGACGGCTGCAAACGGAGCAATTGCTGTGCCACGCTGATGCCTGCAATGCCAGAGCCGATAATAACGACATCGGATTCCTGGGGTAAAGTTTCCGACTGTTGATCAGCAAACGAATGACGAGGATTCTGCCAAAAGGACTCGGTCGGCTTTTCGACCGGACTTCCAGGGTCTCGATTTAGCCTTGCGGCCAATTTTTGCAAAAGGGAGGGTTCAGTTGGTCCCGCCATACCAGTGACTCTGCGGGAAGCTGAGACGGCACACTCCAGACGAAGTGAGTAGATACGGGGATAAAATACACGACCGGGCTCGTTCGGAGCTGTTGAACTCGTCGAGCGTCCTGGCGAGAAATCTCACTCAGTCATAGATTAGCCTGGAGAATAAAAGATCTCCCACTCGTAGCGTCCGTTGGCGAGCCGTCCAAGAGCGTCAGCGGTTTCCGCGCCAATATACTTTCAAGATCACCCAGAGGCTGGCTGACAAATAGCGAGCTGATTCAAAAATGTACCCAGCTATTTATCTGGGAAACAGTGGTGGCTGATCAGAAGAAGTCTGGAGTGTCAAAACAACGAGCGTGGCGCAAATTTGGACGATTGGAGGGCGCAAAGATGCTTGATTGGTCCCCAGATTCTGCTCTGCTGGGGGTTGAAAGGCGGACAAGAGCGTGGGTACGTCCTTGTACGTCCCAATGCGTCCCGATACGTCCTCGGTTGAGAAATGCTTCAGAAAACGCAGTCGCAAATACAACCGGACTACGCTGCCGGTTGCTTGGAGGCCAAAGAGGAACAGATACATATTGCTGAGGATCATGCAGCCATCGCCTTCCGCTCGTTTCGCTGGGCAGATGCGAGTCATTCAGCAAGATTTCCATCCGCAAGGTACTCGGAGCGCAAGGTATGGATCTTGAAGCAATCCACTGTGGTTGACTGCTACCCTCTGACAGGACAATAGTGCAAAGTCATAAAGACTGAGATCCAATCGCCAGTATGGGCTCAATCAGCGCCATGATTGAACAAGACGTCCACTCGGTGGATTGGCAGACAAAGGTCGCTCAAAAGCGACAGCAGTGTCGTGAAGCCATTCCGGCAGAGTGGCAGCTTCCTTCTGATATCTCCAAGATGCTGGTTCATCCGCTGGATAAGAATCCAAACAGGCTCTTCGACATGGACATAGTCAAGAAGTCGGGGATCCTATCCGAGCGTGAACTATCAATCACGGAAAACTACAGAGTGTCGGAGTTGCTGGCCAACCTTGCTTCGGGAGAGTTCACTTCTGTCGAGGTTACAACGGCATTTTCGAAAAGGGCTGCAATAGCGCAACAGCTAACTTCGTGTCTGACGGAGACATTCTTCGACACCGCACTCCAACGAGCAAAATATGTCGACCAATCTAGGAGTGAGGGAAAGCTGCTTGGTCCCTTGCATGGCCTTCCTGTCAGCATCAAGGACTCCTTTCAGGTAGCCGGCACCGAAGCTTCCATCGGTTTCGTCTCGTTCCTCGGGAAGAAATCACAGGAGAACTCGCCGATTGTCGACATTCTACTCAGCTTGGGCGCCGTGCTCTATGTGAAAACGAACATTCCTCAGACACTCATGACGGCGGACTCTGACAACAATATCTTTGGCCGAGTCTTGAACCCTCACAACACATCTCTAGGCGCAGGTGGCTCTAGTGGAGGAGAAGGAGCATTGCTTGCTTTCCGAGGATCCCCGCTTGGTGTTGGGACTGATGTTGCTGGATCAATTCGCATTCCGGCATTGTGTTGTGGCACCTATGGCTTCAAACCAACATCTTCTCGGGTTCCGTATGGGGGTCAAGCAACACCGGGTTTGGCAGGATGGAAGCCCATACTCGCCTGCGCAGGGCCACTTGCGAATGATTTTGAAGCCCTGGAAGTCTTGACCAAAGCGGTCATAGACTCAGGGCCCGCCACGTTTGACTCGACCGCGATTGACGTACCCTGGCGCCCCCTGGACCAAGATGAAGATGCCAAGCTCAGAATCGGAGTCCTGGCTGAAGACCCCCTCTATCCACTTCATCCACCAGTGAAAAGAGCGCTTGCGGAAGTTGCCAACAGGCTCGCAGCTGAAGGTCATCAAGTGATTCAGCTAAGCGCAGAACAAGGCCACGTGGCCGATGCCACGGAGGTAGCATGTGAGCTATTCAGTCTTGAGACAGAGACTCCAAGGGGACATATCCTTGCGAGTGGTGAGCCTCCGGTGCCCTCTGTTGCTGCGGGTCATCGACCTGCCAATTTCGGGAACTACCAGTATCTTCCGAATATTGAGAAGTTGGACAAGCTGCAAAAGTATGCAGCTTTGACTGTGAAGCGTCAGGAGCTGTCTGAGGACTGGCGAAAGATGTGGTCCGAACTGAAGCTAGATGCGGTCATTAGCCCTCCCGCTCAAAACACAGCTGTTCCGCATGACACGTATGGTTGGCCACCATACACATGTCTCCTCAACGTGCTTGACGTAAGTCGACTTCACAGGCTTAGCCTTGAGATCTCCGCTGACGTGTCCAGTACCCGGCTTGCATATTACCATTCTCGAAAGCCTCGCAGCAACAGGACCCTGAGCCACTGCAAATCCAGCCTGGACAGGCCGGCCCGCATTGTAAGAGATGCAAGTCCGACAATGTTCATTTGCTGACAGTCGTTTAGATGACCCAGTGGCCCAACATGGAGCCCCGTGCTCAATCCAAGTATTCACGAGTCGTATGCGCGACGAAGAATGCGTCAAAGTAGCTCGCCTCATTGACAGATGTCTGAGATGACAGTCCCGATGGAACCACAGTGCACGTAGGACCATCTTGAGAAGTGGCTGGATACCACCAAACTAGCCATCCTCTGCAAGTAAGGAGGCCGCTCCCAAACCGTCTTTTTGGATGAGCGCCATGAGTCCATCGTATTCACCTTCTTCATTCCCAGCATATCCGTTGACAGGGACTTTTGCAAGTATGCTGGGGAGTTGCCATATCTTCTTCAATGCGCCTGCGGTGCGCTTTACGTAGCCTGAATACGAGACGTTCCAGATTTGCACAAGTTTCGCCTGAATGAGGCATCGCATTCTCGAGCGACGGAGCTCGCAAGTGTTGCTCAGATGATTTTGTTGCACTTCAGACTTGGTCGTCGGGCACGCAGCACAACCGAGGACAAGCAGAGGCCAGCAGATAAATTGTCCGCAGGGCAAAGATGCATCATACATTTCCAACAACACAGCTCCCTTAGAAATTTGAGCGCGGATCTGTGGAGATTGGCTGCTGAGTTCCTCCGGATTGAGAACTTTGGCGACAAATATTTGCGTCGCTATGTAATAGAGCTTTGCGGCGATCTCGGAGTTGCTGATGCTGACAGGAACAGTGGATTGGAGAGATGGGATGATGCCAGAAGCAATCATCGGATGGTCTTCCGCAAGACCCTCTAACTCGGTTGAACACTGCAAAGCGAGTCCATAGAGCTCACAGTGGGCGAAGGGAACCTGTCTGCTCAACCATGTAATCTGGTAAATCTGAAGGAACAGTGCCGGAGGTGTCCGGCCAAGGACCGGTAAGATCAATGGTCCAGTAAGTCCGTCTCTTTTTGCGCCTTCCAGCGCTTCGATATATTTAATGACGGTCTGGTAGGGAAATGCTCTGCAGGTAGCACCAATGTCTTTCTCGAATATAAGCCTCGTAGAGAAATGATATAGGACAGAGTCGAGTAGAGTTAGATGCAAGATCGAAAGCTGACCAATATCAAGACGGGGGATCTCGGCAACTTGGCCTTCCAGGATCTTGGCTATGGCGCGATAATGCGTCAGGCTCGCACTGCACGACGATGAATAGAAGTCCTGATTAATGTCAGTATCGGACAACTAGCAGAGACTCGGGTGGCAACCTCCCTCAAAAACGCCGAGGAATAGTGAAGCTGCAAGAAATGCGTCTCTGGGAAAGGATCGACGTGTTGTTGGTTGGAGTGCCTGCTGGAAGCCTTGGAGAGCACTTTGAGTGTATAGCATCGCGTCTTCTTTGGGAATCAAAGCAGCAAACGAAGCATGAAGTGCCGCCGGAGCGAGCGCAGAATGCATCACCCATGGCTCATCAAACCCGATTGCGAAAACAAAGGAGACATCTCGAAATTCAGAGGTAGCTTCAGGCGAAGTCAGCAGCCTGATGTACCGCGTTGAACAATAATTGAACACGTTCCAGTCCCGCTCCGTCCTCAGTCCGCTAGGCTTCTGGCTTAGAGACCTGTGAAGCATCGGAACTATTGATGAAACATCCACCGGGTGTTCGGCCATCGTACTGCTTCGAGCGCTCGGAGATGGAATAGGAGGAGTCCGCGACGCCGTTGTAGGACTTGTGAATTCTCCGTATGTGCATTGAATCTCGAGTCTCCTGCAAGCCCCGCAAATTGGGCGCGCTTCGTCGCATTTTTTCCTTCTCGCCCTACACGTATAGCAGCCAGTTTTGGTCCTTAGTCGAGGGGGTGGTCTTGCCGGCCTCTTCAACCTCCCAGTGTCCATGATGGGGTCTCGTTGTTGGGATGAGTGAGGTCGAAGCATTTCGACGGAGACGATGATGACAATCGGATGGTCCAAGTTTTTAAAGCATTTTTGTCTGACGGAATTTTAAAAGCCGCAAGCTTGCTGAAAGCAACCGCAAGGGCCATATCTGACCGTCAGACCAAATATATATACTGGGTACAGCACGCCCGACCCAACCCCCCTCGACCCCCCCCTCCTCGGCCAGCACAGCAACTTCTCGGAGCGTAGAAAAAGGACTGCACTTTGGGTGGTTGCTATGTTTATACTGAATTCATCGTTCGACAGAGACCCGGCCACGGCAAGTTGTCGTCCAGCATCGGGATCTTTTGTCTATCGTCACCCTAGTCTATGGCGCAGATCCCTTCGCCCCAAGTCTTTGCTGAATGCGTGCCTCCTATCCTCCAAGACTGTACTCCTTCCATATGTTGTTGTATCGTCTAGCTCGTTCCCATGAAAATGTACCAGCCTCCGGCCCAAACTTGTCAATGTCGACCACATGCATTTCTCATCAAGAGATACCCGAATCCGATCGAACCGAAACGCCAGCGCTGCCCTTTATCGTGGCTCAAGCTTGAATTGATCCTCGAGCTTGAATTGCTGCTCGTTCTGCGGGTCGATATAGTCCATTTGCAATACATGTTGCATAGGTTGCATACTATTCAGCCCTGTGCCTGCACCGCCCTCGTCCATAACGTGATCGTGTCCCAGTATTGGTGGGTTGGGGTCACGAATGAAATGATGCTCAGCCGCTGGGTGGCTGAAGTCGCGTGGATCGTGGGTCGATTGCAAATGCGAAGGATCCGTGAAAGCGGGCATTCCTGGCGAGACATATGCGTTGCTGTTCGGATTATAGTCGGCATCAAGTTGAGCTTGTATCTGTTCCATGATCTGCGGGTCGATGGCCATCTCGTCGTAGGCGTGAAGATGAGCATCCGGATCGTTAACTAGCGGATCATGGTCGTTAGACAAATCCATGGGTTGCTGTATTGACGTGAAATCGTGATCAGATATATGATCGGAGATGTGATTCGTCGTAATGTCCTGATCCCGCTGTGGCATGGCTCGCACCTCGGCTGCTGTTTGTGCGGAATTTGGTGGCTGTGGTGTTTGTGCAGGTGGCGCCGTTATGACTGATGTTGGTGTAGGCTGCCCTGGCTGTGGTTGCAATAGAGCTGGTGGAACCTCATCAATCGTCCTACTTCGGCCAGGTCGATTCTCCGAGCGCAGTATCATCGACTTATTGAGATCTTTGCATTCAAGACAATTCTTGATGACGTGGCTCACAGTTTCTTTGATCCGGATCCAATGATACTGGGTTGCTATGATGGCGGTGGTCTTGTTGATGCCCGCATGAGCCTGGAGATGGATCCTTTTGGCGATATCGTACTGTGCTTGAGGGTCTGAGATGACCTCTTTGTCCTTCAAAAACAACCTCTCCGGGCCTCCATCCGCATCCGCGACTAGTTTATAGTGAGTAGCAGCACTCCTTAGTCGACTTTTCTCCGATCTATCGGCACCTTGCGGGTAGAGCTGATGTCTCAGGTAGTACCTTATCTTGTCGAAGCGCTCTTCAGAGAGGTCATTTTCCCCCTCTGCTCTGAGATCCCTGCCGTAGATGATTGCATCGACAGGTTCCTCCGATGATTTTAAATGCCCGCAACCGGGGACTCTTCCGATCCTCTTGAAACCAAGCGAATCCCATATCCTCGTAGAAGCAGTATTTGTCTCGTAAACCAAGTTGAATACCGAATAGGTATACCCCTAGCAAATATCAGCTTTGTGTGCCCTCACCTGGGCTCGTACCGCCGAACCTACCAGCTGAGGTGCCCAATCTAGATAGCATTGTCCCATCGATTTCCCGACGCCCTTGTTACGAGCCGCAGGAGTGACTAGAAACCCACCATTGCAGACATGACTGCTTCGACCAGGATAATTGGGCTTGATATAAAAACTGCCCAGGCACTTTTTGTTCCAGTCAACGCCGTCGTGATCCATGTCGGACACGGCCTCAATGCCTCCAATGTCACCGAGAACCATGACAGCACCAAAATTGCCAAACCAGTAGGGCCCAAAAGTTTCCAGCTGCAAAGGATTGATCATGGGGTACGTGTCCCCACCCTCAATTTCCTTGTTGAGCTGCTCCGAAAGGTATGCAAGAAGTCTCTTTGGCACGGCATCCGGAGAGAAGAATGGTATCAGGGTTGCAACAGTGACACGGTCTCGAAGCGTGACAGGTCTGGGGAATATTGACGAAGGTATTTGCGGATTGTCTGGGGTCGGGTACGGACTCTGGCCCGAAGCCCGATAGACTACCGGGGATTCTGGATCCTCCAATAATGCCGGCATCGTCAACCGTCCGCCGCAAATCAGCCAGCTAAGTTGTAAAGATCTGTCAAATCTGATTCTAGGGGTCAGCGACGATTGAGGAGCGGTGGTCTCTCGATACGTAAGTACTCGGAGGGATAGTGAAAAGGTAAAAAGTTGAATATTGGGGAACGTGATCGTCCAATTTTGTCGCTAGCTCACGACACGTGATATTTCCTTGGCAAGCTAATCCTTTTCTGGCAGCAAGCTGATGCGAAGAAAACATCAGGCAAGCTTCTGATCAGGCTGAGATAAAGGAGATGACTCGGATTATATATTAAACACTAGTCATAATGGAACGCCTGGCAGCCATCGCTGTATGCTTTCTCTGAGTGTCTGCTTTCAACTCGCGACATCGCCTCCCCCGTGGGGCCCTCGCTCGCCCTGACGTACTGTGGTCCGTTTCCGTACATATCGTACAGGTTAAAAAATAGCTACTTTACCCGAATGTCAAGCAAAAGGGATGAGTTTCCGTGGAGTATGTGACATTAAAAAATCGTGCAAATGGTTGAATTTGAACGGCCGAGTGCCCCGGGACCAGGCTGGAAGTCTCTCCGGAGTACTCCGGGACTGTCGCGTAGCGATAAAGGTTGCTGACCATGTCTTCTGGCGGAGTGATTTGCAATGTCTTGGGAGAGATTTTGGCCAGTCTCGGTACTATGTAGAAAATAGCGGTGCCAGCTGCAGGATTGAGGTGTGACGTGATGGAAATATCTCACGTCGGCCACCAGCGCCGCTGCCTTGTTGATCGATATCAAATTCCGTCCGAGGCTTCAAACGTATCTGGGCTGCCATCCGTGGCAAGGTTTTCCGGAATGAGACGTCCTCCAACAGTTTCCGTTCGGCATTGTGGCGCTGCCGCAGAGCTGGCATCTGAGTGGATACGCATGTTTGTTGTCGAACGAGAACTTCTCGTTCGACGTTGCAGTCATTCCGAGCTCGAAGTTCTGTCGTTAATGGGGCAGATTGCCCTCCGAAGTAAGATCTCGTCGGGTCGCCGCGACATCGGGGAGCTTTCATAGACAATATAGATTGATGAACAAACAGCGAATGAGGTAATGCATCATTTCATATATTCTTTCATACTCCAACGTTTCGAACCCGACATGTGCGAGGGAACACCGACATACATGGGCTGGTCTTCATTTTCGATTGGAGGCAAAGCCGATAGTTCCGGGTTGTTCACACGATTGTTTGAAGAGTCTGAAAGCGGCATGTCGTAGGACCTGCCGCTCACAGATTCCGAACCACTACCTATTGCCGTAGTGTTCATGGAAGACGCTGGCCCCTTGGTAGCAGACAGTCCCAGAGAATGGTGCTTGGACCCGGTGGACTCATAAGGGCGACCAGCTTGGAATATGTCCTTTTCATCGGCGCCGGTTAGATCGGTATTGGCCTTCGCTAGCCCGTTGAGACGGCGTGAATATCGCTGACCAAGCAAAAACGACAGAATTACTAGCAAGATGACTCCTATAGCAACACCAATGCCGATCCCAGCCTTGGCACCCGCGGTGAGTCCTTTGGATGAAGATGAAGAGTGTGACGCTTGTGACGGAGCACTGGTTCCGGTGACTGCTGCTGATGAACTGGGTTGGTTTGCTGTGAATGCTAACGCTGTAGACGTGTCACTCGAGGTCGTTGAGGCGCTGGTTGCTTGGACAGAGGCAGTAGTCGGCAACGTTTCCGATGCAGATGTAATGGTCAATGAAGGTGTGTCTGACGTAGATGCTGCCGTTGCAGGAGATACACTAGAAGCAGTTGTCTGATTGCATTCTCGTCAGTTATCTGACACGAGAAAATGGACATAGGCATGTCGATGACAAGAAGACTGTCTTGTGGCTCATAAATCTTCCAGGGCAGAAAGCGCAATGCAGCTTGCCGAGAATACAATGGCGAAAGGCTTACCGTGGCGATCGGATCTGGACCGAAAACTGTTGAATAGCCGATGATACTGACGACCACTTGATTTGTAGTCAAAGAGACGGTCGAGACGATCGTACTAGTTATCGAACCAGCTACCACTGCAGTTGATGTTACTGTTGTTGGGAGGCCATCGATCGTGGTGGTAATTGTCGCCAGAGCATTCGGTGCCGCGTCGGTCGCGGGAACGACTGAGTAGACCGTCACCAAAGATGGTACAACTGTCGATACCGTTAGAGTTGAGAGGATGGGATCTGTTGCAACGGGCACTGAAGGCAATGCATTGCAGAAACAAAGGAAAATACTCAGAGCCAGAACATAGAGGAGTCCCTGCCGGCCCATTATTGTGCTCATGCACTGCAAAGATCAAACAAGCGTTTGTGCAGTTTCAAATGAGAGTTGTAAAGGCAGGCAGGGGGGGATAGGGCGAGATTTGAGCTAGAAAATGAGTTGCCTCGTGGTGCTGATGGAATTTCAGGGCCCAACCTTGTCAAGCTCGTCTGCCGTGGGGGATTTGCGAGAATTGCCGAGCGGCCTAGACACTGGAGAGCGAGCCGGCGTCGTCTTTCCGTTGTGGGATCTGTGGCTTCATGCTAAAATATCGCTGGCTTCAGGGCCGGGGATGATTCTCGAGAGAATGCGCAAGTGGGAATAGGGGCAAGTAGGGGTTAGCAGAAGGCTGAGCATGAAACGATATCATTGGCCAGATTGGAGGTTGACGTTTTCCCGTTTTCGGGCAGTGGAAATTAGCCTCATCCACGTCGCTCGGATGGTTCGCGCAGACTCCCACACAACTTCCCTGGGTTGGTGGGTGACCTTTCAACACGCGTTCCAGCGCGTTCTGGGAGGTCTCCACCGGCCTGACTCTAGATAAGGATGATCTCGATTAGTTCGTTCAGCGAATTCCGTTCCCTTCTTCACAGCCTCTCATGTTGCTCGATGACAAGGAATAGAAGGCCATTTGACCGTACCACAAGAAGAAGAACATGCGAGGACAGAAGCAGGGATGCAGACGAAGCAAGTTGAGAAAAGGCGCGTCGGTGGTGCGCGGATCTTGAGAGTAGGACCGACAAAGGTAGGTGCCCGGGTTGAACACGGAGTCCTGAGGAGGTTCATTGAAGTTTGGCGCTACATGCAGCCTTGCCTCAAGGCTAAAAAATCATGTCCTTCATGCCCGGCAAACCAACCGGCTCATGACATCCTTGCGCATCTTGATCTTACTCGTACCGTGCACGAGTACTGGGTAATCCCGCCACCTCCCGGTCAGTGCAGCCCTGTTGATGTCTAGCGCCGGGGAGGGGGCATATGCCGTCTGTTCTCGATCAAGCCCGTGTATGTGGTTCCGCTTCTGTAAAGTGTACCTCGTACCTACCCTCTTTGTTCGGATTGACATGTCCCGAGCCGCGATGTCAGTCTGATAAAGAGGTCTCCATCTATGGAAACAGCAATGACCAAAGCCTGACTCCTTAACATCTCGTCTCGTCATTGTCCTGTGCGACGTCCGACTAGCCCAGGCGTTTCTTAGGATAGGAACCACGGCTTCCTTGCCAGCCTAAACGTGCCTTTTTGATCGCACAAAGACCGCAGTTTGTCCGTTCACGTATGAGCTGTTATCTCGGCGGCTGGTTCATGTTCCCAATTGGACTTGTTCGAGGGTCTTTTCGACAACGGGTAAGAAATCGGCCATTTGATTTGCATCTCGCAGCACTGCAGTCACGTCATCCCTCCTCCTCGCCAATTCATCACGAACCCTTTCATACGCTTCCTCCTTTGCGATGTATTCTCTGATTGCCTCCTTCTTGCCGAAGTCGATGTACAGCCTGGTATCGCGTAGCCTGACCACCACGTTGTCCAGTCTCATAAAGAATCGACAGAGGAGGAGTAATCGCGCAGGCATGACTCGGATCTTGCATGAAAGCATGGCAATGCCATTATCGGCAAGCTCATCCTCGTACAAAATCACATCATCGAAGAACAGAATGGGGTCTGGTCGCTTCAATAGCTCGAAAGGGATGGCGTCGCTTGCAGCGTGAAACGCAGGGCTGCCAGGTGCGAGATCACCTTTATAGTCAGTGGTATAGGACCAGTCGAACGGTTTGATGACTTCTTTGATGTCATGCGCGTCTTCTCTGCTCTGCTGCCATTCTTGGGAGTAGGCGACCTTCAGCCTCTTCTCCCCGGTCTTGTCAACTCGATCAAGCGCTCCGAAGGCGTCAAACTTGATCCCCCAATGGGAAGATGCGTGTTCAATTTCCACGAAGTTATCGCCAAAGATCATTTCAGGTGGAGCTATTCCAAGCTTATTTGTCATCTCTTCAATAGGCCCGGCCTTCAGGATGGGTAATTTCTGGGTAGTAATGCGAAAGCCTTCAATCGAGAACGACCGCGGAGGAGCGGCAGAGGGCGAGGGGAATGTGGTGTTGAAACCATCAGGCGGCCGATGGCCGTTGACCGCCATGGCGACTGCGTCAACTGCGACGTCACCTGGAGCCTTGCTCACGACCCCTTGTAGAGGTAGATGTCTGAATGGGAACAATGTTTTGGTGTTCGGCGTCGGGCGAAATCAGAAGTGAGCAAATCGCTGAAACCTCTTCGGCGCAGGCCAGCGCGGGGAAGCGAAAGGGAGGAGGTGCGAGGCTTAGTGAGGCGGTTGCCCCTGCCGACGATCTGTGTTTATGCCAAGACCCGGTCGACTTCATAGATGACCGAGTCGCCGAAAACCATCGATTGCGACTACAGTACCACAGTACCCAGCTGCGCCCCGATTGTATTCATCTTGGAGTCTGCGACATTTGTTTCTGTTTGATCACGCTTTCTCTTTCTCCCGTCCCTCACTGCAAACATTTCCGCAGAATGGCAACTAAAACTCTGGAATCCCGCTTCGAGCACCTCAGCGTCAACGACGAAAATGAAGCGCCACCAGCCACCACTCTCAAATCAAAGGTAGCTTGTTTTCTTAATGACCTCTCTTGTTTGCGGGCCATATCTAACTCTACCGTAACAGAGCGGCGGTCCAGGAGTATTGCCAGCCGTGTCCTCAACTCAATCCCGGACAAATCTTGTCAAGTATCCCCTCCAAGTCACCACGGAATCCAAACAGAACACAGTCTCAATCGCAACGATAACAACCACAACCACTGTGCCCACCCACCCACCTTCGCCCGTGCGGGTAGCGCTCCAAGCAGCCCGCGAGTCTGACGAGAGCGATGATTCCCTGCGAAGTAGACCCACTCCAAAATACTTTTTCGACCACCCACAAGCACCCAAACAATTCCACCTTGGTATGTTTGAGATTGGAAAGCCGCTGGGGAAGGGAAAATTCGGTCGAGTTTATCTTGCCCGCGAAAGGTCATCGGGGTTCGTTTGCGCCTTGAAGGTCCTTCACAAATCCGAGCTGCAACAAGGCAAGGTGGAGAAGCAAGTCCGACGAGAAATCGAAATTCAGTCCAACCTAAGACATCCCAACATTCTTAGGCTCTTTGGCCATTTCCACGACAGTAAGCGAGTGTTCTTGATTCTCGAATTCGCTGGCAAGGGTGAGCTGTATAAGCATCTTCGCAAGGAAGGTCGTTTCCCTGAATGGAAAGCCGCGCAATATATTGCCCAGATGGCCGCGGCTCTCAAGTATTTGCATAAAAAGCACGTCATGCACAGAGACATCAAGCCCGAAAACATCCTCGTCGGCATACACGGGGAAATCAAGATTTCTGACTTCGGGTGGTCGGTTCACGCCCCGAACAACAGAAGACAAACAATGTGCGGCACATTGGATTACCTCCCACCTGAAATGCTTAAACCAGGAAGCTCCGACAACTTCTACAATGAAAAAGTCGATCTGTGGAGTTTGGGTGTTCTGACTTACGAGTTTCTGGTTGGTGAAGCGCCCTTTGAGGACACCACGATCATGACACAGCGAAGGATTGCACGATGCGACATGGCAGTTCCCAGTTTCGTCAGTCCCGAGGCAAAGGACCTAATTATGCGAGTGAGTTAATCCCAAATATCTCCCAGTGTCTGTGGAGAATTGCTAACAGGAGCTTACCACAGCTTCTGGTCCTTGACCCCGAGAAGCGGATTCCACTTGATGATGTCCTCCGTCATCCCTGGGTTGTGAAGCACTGTGTCACAAAAGGTGGCGACCGGGGCTTCCAGAGAGCGGCCGGAAGTAGCAAGGACAGAGACTCGAGCTCAGATTCATGACCCCTTATCGATAAGCTTTGAGATGCTTGGGATATGACAGGGACGAATTGACCAGTCTTTCGCAGAGAGGACGGCCTAGGGACGGAAACGAGCGACCTTTTTTTTTATGAAGATCAATGTGGCAATTCAAAGGGAATGGGGACTGGCATGCGTCTTCTGATTTGGAGAGTGTTTGTTTGGGATACATGGCTGGCGAATGGTGTATGTTCATGGGAAATGGCTGATGGATGAAAGTTATTTCCATGCCTTGTACTGTTTCAACAGATGGTTTGTCTCTTTTTGCATAACCTGCTCAACCTGCTTCACCTAACGAAGATCTTTTTGGTTTCCGCAGTTTGCGCTCATACAATCCACCGTACATGAGCTATGGTGGAATGTAAACGAGCCAAGCGCAGAAGTGACAAAATGCAATGACGAAACCGCAAATCATGCCATAGCCTTTCATTCTTGTACGATACACGGATTGCGATATCTCGATTGCATAAATTCGACTATAGAGGTGTATACCTTCTCCAGACTCTGCATTCGATGAAACATTGAAACCGGATTCTTCTAAGTTCTCGGGCAAGTGCCCGATGTAAACTGATACGGACTTCTCCTATGAAGAAACATCTGATTCTCTAACGTGACTCTTCAAACTTGTTCTGGCATCCAGCACAGGACATTTGTTTCACTGTTTCTCAAACGGTCTCTGTGTTCACTGTGAGACTTACACACGATGGGGGATGCTGGGGGCGCAGAAAGAGGCATTCGCATTGCCATCGACGTGAGTTAGATGGTTTACTAATTCGTTTGCAAAGTATCTAATAGGATACAGCGAGGAGGCACGTTCACGGACTGTGTTGGGAACCCGGGAACAGGTCGTATGGATGATGACATTATCATCAAACTCCTGTCCGAAGACCCCTCAAATTACGACGACGCCCCGCTGGAAGGGATTCGAAGGCTCATGTCAAAATTCACGGGCCGGGAGATTCCCAGAGGGGAGCCACTTGACACAAGCAAGATAGAAAGCATTCGCATGGGCACGACTGTTGCAACCAACGCATTATTGGAGCGGAAAGGAGAGAAAATGGCCATGGTCGTCACGAAGGGGTTTAAAGACTGTTTGGAGATAGGGAACCAGTCCCGCCCGAAGATCTTTGATCTGGCGATCCGACGGCCTGATGTGCTCTACCAGAAGGTCGTTGAGATTGATGAACGAGTGACGTTGGAAGACTATGCCGAAGATCCTGAACGGCATAAGACAAAAACCGAAACCAGTCATGCGGACTACAAACACAGCGACCTCGTTCAAGGCCTGTCAGGAGAGGCAGTCAGAATACTAAGGAGGCCCGAGGAGGACAAGATCAAGCAACAACTCAAGGAGCTCTACGATGAAGGCTTCCGAAGTATTGCCGTATGCTTGATGCATGGCTACACGTTTCCCGCTCACGAAGCATTGGTCGGCAAGCTTGCGCGCGATACTGGCTTTCAGCACGTAAGTCTAAGTCATGAACTTATGCCGATGATTAAATTGGTGCCTCGAGCGACATCAGCCTGTGCAGATGCCTACCTCACACCAGCCATCAGGAAATACATTTCTGGCTTCCAAGCCGGCTTTGAAGGTGGTTTGGGCACGGAGAGTGTCAAGAAAGAGGAAGGCGATAGAGGCGCAAGGTGCGAGTTCATGCAGTCCGATGGAGGTCTTGTAGACGTGGATCAGTTCTCGGGCTTGCGGGCCATTCTGTCCGGACCCGCCGGTGGTGTTGTTGGTTATGCATTGACTTCTTACGATCCAGAGACCAAAACCCCGGTCATAGGGTTTGATATGGGCGGGACGAGTACAGATGTCAGCCGATACGGCGCAGGACGATATGAGCACGTATTCGAGACCACCACGGCAGGAGTTACTATCCAGTCTCCTCAGCTCGACATCAACACCGTTGCTGCAGGAGGCGGATCCCGGCTATTCTTTAGAAATGGCTTATTCGTCGTAGGACCCGAGTCTGCTGGTGCACATCCTGGACCAGCATGCTACAGAAAAGGCGGCCCACTCACCGTGACCGACGCAAATCTCTTCCTCGGTCGACTGCTCCCGGACTTCTTTCCCAAGATTTTCGGCAAACATGAAGACGAAGGGCTCGATCCAGAGGCCAGCAAGAAACTCTTTGAAGAGCTCACAAAGGACATCAACAGCAAGACAAACAAGAACATGTCAGCGGACGAGGTGGCGTATGGTTTCATCAAGATTGCCAATGAGACTATGACAAGACCTATCCGATCACTCACCGAGGCGAGGGGACACGACACTTCACAGCATCGACTCGCGACGTTCGGCGGCGCAGGAGGCCAACATGCTGTTGCCATTGCCGAATCCTTGGGCATCAGACAGATCCTCGTCCATCGATACTCTTCCGTCCTGTCCGCCTATGGGATGGCTCTCGCCGACGTCGTGGACGAAAATCAAGTTCCCGAATCTCACGTTTGGGATATGAAAAGCGGCTCCTCCCGCGATGATTTGAAGGCGAAAATGAACGAACTCAAAGAACGTTCCCGCAAGCGCTTAAAGGATCAGGGCTTTGGAGACGACTCGATCGAGTACGAAGAATATCTCAACATGCGATACCGCGGCACCGAGTCGGCATTGATGGTAATCAAGCCCAACCCGGACGAAGCAAAGGGACTTTATAACGGCGACGACTGGGCCTTCGGTGACGCCTTTGTCCGCCAGCACGAGCAGGAATTCGGCTTCACCCTACCGGACCGAGACATCATCGTGGACGACGTGCGCGTGCGTGGGATTGGGAAATCCTTTCGGGGCCTGTCCAAAACGGCAGACCAGCAACTCAAGGAAATCACGCCAAAAGACGTGGCGGAGGACAAGGCTTACACGACATCGCAGGTCTACTTTGAAGGCGGCCGTCTCCCCACAAAGATCTACAGACTCGAGGATCTGGAAGTGGGTACACGGATCCCTGGCCCCGCCATCATTGCCGACGGGACGCAGACAATCATCATCGACCCCAAGGCATCGGCACTGATAATCGAGACACACGTGGTGATCAACATTGGCGAAGAAGGGACGGCGAAAAGGGCCAACACCAAGGAAGTCGATCCCATCTTGCTCTCGATCTTCGCGCATCGTTTCATGGCCATCGCCGAACAGATGGGGCGAGCGCTGCAAAAGACCTCTGTGAGCACAAACGTGAAGGAACGGCTGGATTACTCCTGTGCCCTATTCGACGCCGAAGGCGGCCTCGTTGCCAACGCCCCTCATCTGCCCGTCCACCTGGGGAGCATGTCGACCTGTGTGCGCACACAGGCGGAGATCTGGAAGGGCCAGCTGAAAAGGGGGGACGTGATCGTCTCCAACCATCCGGAATACGGGGGCACGCATCTTCCCGACATCACGGTCGTCACGCCCGCCTTTTCCGGCGACAAAATCATCTTCTACGTCGCCTCGCGCGCCCACCACGCCGACATAGGCGGCATCTTGCCCGGCAGCATGCCCCCTCACTCGCGCGAACTGTACCAAGAAGGCGCCGCGATCAAGTCCGAGAAACTCGTGTCGCAGGGCAAATTCGACGAGAAGCGCATCACCGAGCTTCTGTATGATGAACCGGCGCGGTACCCCGAGTGCAGCGGCACACGGTGCCTGGCAGACAACATCAACGACCTCAAGGCGCAGGTCGCCGCGAATCAAAAGGGGATCAACCTGATCAGTGCGCTCATCGAGGATTACGGCGAGGAGGTGGTGCAGTTCTACATGCAGAACATCCAGGACAATGCCGAGCGATCGGTGCGAGAGTTGTTGAAGGAAGTGCACAAGAGGTTTGAAGGCCAGCATCTTCAGGCGATGGATTTCATGGATGACGGCAGTCCCATCTGCTTGAAAATAAAGATCGATGCGGAAAAGGGGGAGGCCCTGTTCGATTTTGAGGGTACGGGACCAGAAGTATATGGAAACATCAACGCACCTGAAGCGGTGACTTACTCGGCCATCATTTACTGCTTGAGATGCCTGATCGATCAGGATATTCCCCTTAACCAAGGGTGTTTGAAGCCTGTGGACGTACGCATCCCGCCGGGCTGTTTTCTCTCTCCCAGTGAGAAGGCCGCCGTGGTGGGCGGTAACGTCTTGACCAGCCAACGTGTCACGGATGTAGTGTTCAAGTGCTTCGAAGCATGTGCGGCGAGTCAAGGAGATTGTAACAACTTGACTTTTGGCTTTGGCGGGAATGTGAACGGGAGCGCGGAGCAGAAAGGGTTTGGATATTATGAAACTATTGCGGGCGGGAGTGGTGCGGGTAAGAATTGGGAGGGCACAAGTGGTGTGCACACACACATGACGAATACTAGGATCACAGATGCTGAGGTCTTTGAGAGGAGATATCCAGTGATTCTCAGGGAGTTCAGTCTGAGGGCTGGCAGTGGTGGCGTGGGACAGCACAAAGGCGGAGACGGCGTCATTCGAGACATCGAGTTCCGCATCCCTGTGCAGGTCAGTATCTTGAGTGAGAGGAGAGTGTACAGGCCCTACGGTTTGCATGGTGGAGGTGATGCTCAATGTGGTAAGAACATCTGGGTTAGAAAGATCAAGAAGGGGGAGGTCAAAGGCTTGGGGGGCGAACTTGAAGGGAAGCGAAGAGAAGCTGGGAACGAGGATGAGTATGTGGAAAGGTGTATCAACCTCGGAGCGAAGAACACTGCCAGGATGCAGCCTGGCGAGAGGATCATTGTGGTAGGTCATATCTGTTCTGTTTCGACGCCGCGTGCAAGAGTGCAGTGCTGACTGATTCCTCTTTATAGATGACACCCGGCGGAGGTGGGTATGGCAAGGCGGGCGAGAAGTCTCAAGTCCAGATGAGAGAGGACTATGAGAAGCATTGGAAGAAGGGAAGTCTGGCTTCCCGACTGGCAGAATGGGAGTCCAGCTCTTGAGAGCCTCCGTTGCCAAAGCCTAGAAAGCGTCATTCGATCCCTTGTCGTGTCAGCGAGACGCTTGCGAAGACCCATCGATACATACCATAAAGCCCTGTTCATATAGAAGCGTCGGCGAGCATGACCATTCGGTGGTCTCTTAGGTTGAAACTCTCAACGGAGTCCGTCCAGGACCACTCGACGCTCTTCTCATTGAAGCTATTCATTCCCTCGCAGACGTGAATTCAGGTGATCTCATTCATCTTCGTCGCTCGTCGCTTCAATATTTTGCTTCTTTCTCGTCTCCTCATCTTCCCCCTCCCCTTCAATATTTTCCTCGTCTGTCGGAGGCACACTTCCGTCGTAGTTTGGTCGGGGCACTTTTTCGCCTTGTCCCTTGAGCACAGCTTCAATCTGAGGCATAATTTGGATGAGAGCCGAATACTGTTCAATGCTCATTGAGATGCCCTGGGAATGATGTATCAGCACTTTCACTCACATGTGACACAAGCACGGCACGCATACCTTCTTTCCTGGCAGCCACTCCTTGTCCTTCTCGTAATATTCTCTGATGTTGACCAATCTCTTCCCCTTGAACTCAGAAAGGGTCACCCGCCGCGCCTTTGAAATCTCCCAATACGTATTTCCGTCTGAGTCAACCTGCGGTTTGGAGGAAGGTATGAAAGCATTCCCCGCGGTGCCTTTTCCACGTTTGGTGGTGGATACATCAACGTCACTATCGTCGTCGGCTGCGGACTTTCTCTTCTTGGAGGCGAAGGGCATGTTTCTGCCGTGTGACAGAGAGGTGATGTACGCGTTGTGAAGGTATTCGAAGGTGTATGGATGGGAGGGATTCTTGAAGTGGTCTTTCTTGTCTTTCTTAGGTGTGTTTGGATTGTTCTTCCGTGTGGCCTCCATCTTGTCAAAGGCCAACGCGATCTCCGATCCAGGCGCGTCGTCACTATCGCTCGCGATTACTCGATTCGATTTCCTTGCGCCAGTCGTAATTCGGAAAGCACGACCGAGCTAAAGCGACGTCATCCCTATAATAGGATTAGCGGGTGTATCACGTGCAGCACAGCCAATGAGAGACCATCACCCCGCCCCTCCTTTTGCCATCGAAGCGTCGACATCTTTCGTCAATTACTTTTTGACGCAACAACCTCTCAATTATTTCAGACTCAGTTCAACAACCTACACACTCTTTCTACCAAGTCTAACCCTACAGTTCTCTTCACCGCACCCCCAACCACATCATACCTACACAGCTACCAACAGTCACGATGTCACGACGGGCTCTCCTTTCCGTCCCACGCGCCATGCGCACCTCGGTCCAAACCTCCGCTGTCCGACCGAGTCTCGCCTCCCCGTCATTGCTCAGACCCGCCGCCGCCGTCTCGCAGCAGCGACGAAGCTACCACGAGAAGGTCCTTGACCATTACTCAAACCCGAGAAATGTCGGCTCCATGGACAAATCTGCATTGGATGTTGGAACAGGTAAGTAGATTTGGAAAAGTTCACACAAACACGCCCTCCGAGCTCGGCCTTTCCGCGGAGGAAGAGAGCGAGCTTCGGTCGAAAGCCTATATTGTCCACAATCGCTGACATATCCATCACTACGCAGGCCTCGTTGGCGCCCCCGCTTGCGGCGATGTTATGAAACTGCAAATTAAGGTCGATCCCGACACCCAAACGATCAGCGATGTGAAATTTAAGACCTTTGGGTGCGGCTCCGCAATTGCCTCCTCATCGTACCTCACCGAGCTCGTGCGCGGCATGACATTAGAACAAGCAGGGAAGATCCGCAACACGGAGATTGCAAAGGAACTGTGCCTGCCGCCGGTCAAGTTACACTGCTCTATGCTCGCTGAGGATGCTATCAAGAGCGCCATCGGCGACTATTACAAGAAAAGTTAGGCCCAACATCTCTAGAGAGACATTGTGGATGGAAATAGCTGACTCAAATTGTTTTAGATCCCAAGGCTAGGGCGACAGATTTGGGTTCCGCATCGGCATCGATGCCCAAGATTGAAATTGAAAGGGTCACTGCAACAACCGATACGGGTGCCAGTGCGACGGCTTGAGGAAGATGCGAGATTGGAGAGTTGAACAGATCCTGCGAGTCAAGCAGCCAGTGGCAGGATAAAATTGTGTCAATAGGCGGATACCCTTCTTTCTTCACAAACAGCAGGAGTATAGGTCGATTTGCAAAATTGAACGGTTGATTCAATTAAACAACTGCAAGAATAGTTGCAAGCTTGCTGCTCGGTGTGTCGCTTCACCCCTTGAGCGGATTGGGTACCTGGACCTGTTGCAGAGCTTACTTGATGTTTGGAGGGGAAGAAGATTGCGATTGTGAACAGGTCTAGCTGAGCGTGTGGGCGTACGTGTGGGCGAATTCTGCAACGTGCCCCAATGCTACAGGTCAAGCTCTACATGCAGGTTATCCCAGGTGATATATGAGTGAGAATGGCAACATGACGATTGTTAATTTGTCGCTGCCTAGTCCTTTTCTCAGGTTTCAGCTGGATCTTGATCTCTCGGCCTACCGAGATGCTGGTGCTTATACCACTATTCGTAGCGCTCAGCATTTCTAGGTATGTATATACTCCGTATATACTAAGGCGACAGTTCAAATGTGGGGTTCATAGGGAGTAAGCTATCGCTCAGCGGACAAGTAGGTATTTGTATTGACCACGAGGGATATACTAATGATATACGAGATATGGGCAACTCTCTCTCTCTCTATATATGCATGTCTATACTGACCCAGGAAGTTATCGGACTCAGCCGCTCGTTGTGTTGATTGATCGCTCTACCATGGCACTTCTTCACCTGTATACGTGTAGAACTTGCCGGTATCCGAGTCCTTGAGCTCATGCAAAACGTTTAGCATTCCCTGGGTTCGCCATTAACATCAATAATCTGTCTGTGTCCGGAAAAAAAAAAAAAAAAAAAAAAAAGAAGAGAGCCCGACATGGGGCGAGGTTGAGAAGTACTTACTCCGATGCTGACTTCGGGTTCTAGGATCGCGCCCTCTCCGCCCATTCGAGTCTTGACCCAACCTGGCGTAGAATGTAGCTGATCAGCTTTTCCTCCCTTTTTGCCTCTCTCTGGAACAGAAAGGGGCGAACTTCAAGCCTGTGGAGGAAACTTACCGGGATCCATGCATATAACCTTGATACCTCGATCTTTCAACTGTTCGCTTTGATGCACAGTTAACATGTTCACCGCGGCCTTGGAGATGGAGTACGTCGTGCACTTTGGTCTGCAGCACAAGCCCCATTAGACAATTTTCTTCTCTTCTCGTGCAGAAGAGACTGGGGACAAGGGGAAAGGAAAAACGAGACACAAGGCCGTACATTTTCTTCCCACAGCTCCCCAGTCCACTGGTCATGTTCATCACCACACTGCCCTTGCCTAGATACGGCAGCAGAACTTTCACCGTCTCAGCCGGACCCATGACGTTGATGTCGATGTGGTTCCTCAGACTGTCGGCCGTCATATCCAGGCTGGTTTGCTCCGAGGTGGCATTGATGCCGGCATTGTTCAGGAGACAGTCAATTTGCTTCCCCGCCAGGGGTTCTTTGACAGCGTCGCCGAAGGCGTGGATCGACTTCAGGTCGCCGGTGTTGCATTCCAGAATATGGACCTTGCCCGCGGCCTTGGAAGCGAGTTGCTTGAGTTCATCGAGTTCCCCTTGAAGGCTTCGTACAGCGGCAATGACGGTGTTGGAACTATCTGAAGATAGTTGACGGACGAATTCAAGACCCAGGCCTCTATTTGCGCCCGTCAAGACGTACGTTGGCATGTTGAAAATAAGCTTGTTGGAAGGAATTGAGCGCCAGAAGGACAGGGACAGGATCGGCAACGACGCGAGGCAGTATTGATATATCTATATCCTATTTAGCCTATTACTGGAGCCAACCTCGACCTCACCAGAATCCACCCCTGGCGACCTCGCTCTATTCAGCCGCCATTTAACCCCAAAGATGTTCAAGACATGCTTGAGAGGCGGCTCGCTGTTGCAATCTCAGCCTCAGATTGACCAGGCTCGAGCAGATTGAGCATAACAGATGAACCCTGCAAAAGGATCCACAAGCTGGCCCCCAGGTTTCGCCTCCGGCCTCGCTTGCGCCTGTGTTGGAGTGAGGCCGACGCCTGGCGAACACTCAGGGTTTATCACTCGTTGCGGCGGCGCGGAAGATTCCTAGTACGAGTACCAGCCATCGACTTCGCATCTCAGATATTCCAAGAACTTCCTACACGAGCGCGGAGTGTCTGTTGTAGTCGTGTCAGCTCTGAGTGTTGCCTCCAAGCTCGATGGCTTCATCGATATTCAGCTACAATGTTTCTCGTCCATACCCTTTTAAGTGGTTCACTTCCGTGACGATTGTCGGAGGCGCTGGTGCGCTGGTGCTATTCTCTTTCTTAAACCTGTTATCGACAGGATACTACCAGAGGTAATACACCAAGCTCAAGCTGTTTGAGCATTACCAGTCCCTCGGCTGACACGTCGCAGCGTTGAGTATGTCACGGATCCGAACTCCACCATGTCCGACGCAGAATGGAAATGGTTGCACCACTGGCCTTCCTACTTCACAAGCCAAATAAAGCCGTCCTGCCAGGCAGAGGATATTCAAGTCAACACCAGTATGCGCGCGGAAGGAGAGAGTATCACGATAGGATCATGAGCGGGCTAACAGGGGTTTAGGATTCTTCACCAACCAGACCGGCCTCACATACACCATCACAGGTGTATGGACGACATCACCAAATCGGACCAACACGCTCGTTTCACCGGCGCTGACCTATCTCAACAACCCGATCCAGGATTGCCAAGTGAACAACATACAGATCGAGATAGAATCAGAAGACCGCACTGTGACCCAGTACGGCTGGAACGCATGGGGCGAGTCTCTTCAGGTAATTGCTTTTCTTTCTTTTCTTTTCTTTTTTTGATTTTGAAGAATCGAAAAACCATTGACACCGGAGAAAGGCGTTCATTACCTGCAGCATCCAAGGCAATGATGGGATAATCTTCTTCAATCTTTCCACCGACTACGACTTTGTACCCGACACAGCTCAGTTTCCGACCGGCAACTACAGCACGCAGGTGGGTCTGTTCAGTATGGTAACCAGAAATGCGACGACCAAGGCGAGTCTGTGGTGGGGTGAATCACTGTTGTAAGAACCGTTTTCTGTTCCTCGATTTCAGTTTCGGCTTGGGACTAAAGAGTGGGTGTAGATCACAGTACTGGTCATTCGTCTCGTCCAAGATGCAGACAATCCGTGGCGATACCCTCAACAACCTTAGAAAAGGCACTATACGTAAGTATGACACTCTGAATGCCCAAAGGATGCAGCGGTGTTCAAAATGCAAGATCTAGCTAACGTCGCCGCATCTAATCCTTTAACAAGACTTCTCACCACCGGACGCCAGCCGCCCACTTCGGGATATCACCAGCCTCGACTTCTTCGACATCAACTACCGGTACATATCAAATACCGTTGTGGACGCCGAGTCCGAGACGTGGGCCGGATCCGGAGTCGACGTGTACTTCCGCGCGGACGGCGAAACCGTGTCCAGCCTGGCGTCGAGCGGGACGTCCCCAAACATCTGGATCGCCGCCGACAGTCTGGCCAAGAGCTTCTACTCGACCATCATGACCGACCTAGGCCAGACCGCCACCACCACCACCACCGCCACCACCACCAGCAGCGGTGTGCCCCCTAATATCCTCACCAACGCGACCGCGCTGCAATACTTTAGCAAGAACATCACGTACATGCAGGGTTTCATCGTGAACGCGATCCCGGGCCCCGCCAACGACAGCTACAAGGCATTGAAGGACCAGACGGGGCCGCTGGGGACGTCTCCCGCGGTAATCTCGACAAAGTACCTGTGCCAGGTCCCGAAGCGGAAATCCCTGGGCACGCTCGTCGTGTCGATCCTCGTGGCCGACCTGGTCTTCCTGCAGGCGCTCTGGAAGGTCTTCACCCTAGGCACGGAGGCGTGGCTGACGCACAAAGATCCTCGAGGTATGTATGGAGGTTCCTATTGACATTCTCCTGCTCCCCTCCCTGCCTGTCTCTCCCGATGCTCGGGAGGGGTTTGAGCGAGCCAGCGAGTGACCCAGTAAATGAGCGAGTGAGAGCGCGTGAACTGACTCTTGCATTCTCACAGCGAAATACTGCGCCGGATGTGAGATGTACACCTCGACCACTGGGGAAATTCCCGGGGACGCGATATCGAACGGCAAGCGGCCCTCGACATCTGAACGAGAGCTCTCCACGCCACTGCTCTGACGATCACGAGGGGAACCCACAAATTGACAGGGACGACAAAAAAAAAAAGAAAAAAGAAAAAACATCCTAGCGAGAGCCAGCCGTTATCAGCGCTATTGACGATTAGAATCCGACCCCCATAGTCGGCTGCTGGGTGGACAGGCGTGGTGGGTGGGTTGGTGGTATGTCCTCCGTACTCACCAATGCAGTACCGGTTTCGCATCGACTGTTTCAGGACTATTAGATCGCTTTTCCCAGTCAAGTCCGAGTGCATGGGTTCAGTGTGACAGTACTATGTATGTCTCTCAGGCCGGTTGATGGGCCTGGATCGACTCATTCATTCGAGCCTTCATATTACAGCAGACCATAGTCATCTATACCAGAACGACGTAGACGGTTTATGAGAATCTGCATATTGACTTGTTCAGGAGTTGTTCTCATTCCTCCAGTTTTCCTCCTATATTTTTTTTTCCAAATTTCATTATTCGTCGATATTGACATCGGTGTCAGCGATGTCCCGCTGTACGTTTCCTTCTCCGAGATCGAGATTCTCCCAGTGTTTCTCGAGAAGGCGGTGAACAAGGGTTGGACTTGCGAAAGCGGCATAAAAGTATAGTCCCTCTATATACTGAGCGTTAATACTCGCCCCTCGTTCAACAAGCTCCTGGAAGATGTGTTTGTGGCTGGGTGATGCCGAAATTAGCAGAGGGTTTCCAAAGTATTGTAATCTAGGCAGGCCGTCAATAGCTGCTCCGTTGTCTAGCAAAGAGCGCATAGCATGACGGAAACCGTAGCGCGAGGCTGACTGAAGTGGAGTTGAAATGCGCCAGGGACTATAGTAGCCAATGACATCGCTGATTCCGACTGTCTCTTCCCAGGCAAGTTGAAGACGGACGAACGTATCCATGCTCGTGTGGACGGCGCTGGCTGTTTCGTAGAGCGCCGGGATAGAGGCAGGCGGGCCCCTACACTTGATCATGAGCGACCAACTGTCGAAGAAGGCATTCCCTTGGTCAGCGGTCAGCTGTGTGAACCATCCAACCGCTGCAGATTTTGCGTTTTAGCATATAAAAAGCCGAAAAACGATTGACATAGGCCATGAGCGGAAAGCGATCAACTGAAAGAGCCCCGTTGAACATAGCCTGGTGGATCTGAACCCCCATTTGGAAACTGTCGCTCAACAGAGATACAGCAATCGAATCTGCACACCTGGTTGAGTTCATGGCAAATCTGGCTAGCTTAAGCTCTTTCGAAGCCAGCCGTTCGGAGAACAGATACTCTTTGATGGAATGATGTGCAAGAGTAACAGTAACTTTTCCAACATCCATGTAGATCAAGCTTGGACAAACGTCAAAGGCGTCCACTGCAATCGTCAAGCGACCATCCGGATCAAACACACCATCTTTTAGATCAATTGCAATGGCTTCGGCGAGTTCGGCTAGGCTAAGTGGCTGCGCACAGCCCAGTAGCCAGTGGAGAGTACGTTGCACGTATGGGACATCTCTGTCATCTATTGATTCGAGGATCCTATCATAAGTCCTCTCGAGTCCGACGGGCAAGTCTTGGAGAGCCTAATTGAGTGGCCGCAGATTTCTGACTGCGCCTGGTGCGTCACGCTGACTCTGCACCCATCGAAACATACCGTGCGATCTGTTAGTAAGCTCTGAGATAACATGATCTTCGATGCTTTGGTCGAGCGCCGTGAACTTGGTTAATTTCTGAAATTCCGCACTGACGTGGATACCAATATCGGCTGTTTGTTACATGATCAATGTCGATCGCAAGAGTCGGCATAACTGATAACGCCGTTGATATGTCATGCTCAGGTCGGCTAATCACCAATAATCCAATGGATTTGTTGTTCATCAAGTCGTGTCCTCGACCCAAGCGACCATCATAGTAGTTCTGGACTCTTGGAAGAGTGCGAGGCGCGTTGGAAGAAATTTGGCGCACCAGTGACCCGAAAAGTCGGACAAGGTTAAGTGTTTCCTTATATGTAAAGCCGCAATAGTGATATATCACATAGTCATGAAAATGAGACGGGTGGCTAGGATCCTCTATCCAGTTTTATGATGGTCGAACTGAATGGTTAGTTAATCTCGTCTCAATGGCATGCAGTAAAGGTGCGTTGGACCTACGCGAGAATGGTCTTTGCGACACCGCCTGTAGCATTCAGCCACAGACTCCCACCAGTGTCTCTCCAATTTTGATAACAGGGTGCACGCAGCAGCCAGCAGCCGGTTCCTTGTTGTCGTGAAGCAAGTATCGCCTCGTGTTTGGGTCTGGAGAGCAAGCCGTCCACCTCTCTGAGGGTCGTTTCGCATTGCCTAAGAACGCCATGATTGGAGAGCGCGCAGAAGGCTGAAAGCTCCGGAAAGACCAGGTCTCGGGCGAAGCGGCATGGGCAACAAGCCGGGAGAGTATTGTGTTCAGAGCCGCGACAGTCTGGAGGAGTTTGGAGACATCTTTGCGAGAGGAGCGTGCCGAAGATAGATAGATACTTGTAGCCTGTGTCGAGGATGGCGCCAGCCAGGGCCTCGATGCCAGCGACCGAGGAAGCCACTCCAAGAGCTTCTACCATGCCCAATCAAGCAGGCACTAGCAGAGGACACCCTTGAATATAGATTTTAATGTGGCAGGACGACAAGAAACGAAGACGCCGCTTGGTCCAAGGAGCCCCTCGTGTTTACGAGATTCAGCTTTAAGCCAAAGGCCAGCTGCACAGCCTCGTTCAGTCTCAGCCTTACTCTGCGCATCGCGAACTGGAATGGAGGATCGCCAAAAGGAGGCGCTGTGTTGCATGGATTCATCTTTCATGAACCAGATGCCACTCAGAAGTAGCTGTGCATCTTTACCCGCCTGCTGAAATGCAGCAATCGCTTTCAAACTTGGCCTGAAGTTCCTGAAGACAATCTACTGGAGGAGAACAGTGAAGTGTGCGTGAACACAACCCTGAACAATGATATGGTATCCTGGGGCCAATGCTAGATTTCTTCCATCATGTCTTCATCAATGTCTTCATCAACGGCTGCCTTGCTACTACCCTTTCCGCCGCTCTTCTTTTCATCTCTGGCCTTCTTGAGCTTCTTGAGATAATCAATGTACTCTTTGGTGACTTCCATGCGATGTTCAGTGTCCTGGACATGTTTGAGAAGGGTTTGTAGCTCCTGTGTCTGCGAGGCCAGCGCCGCGCCCACTTGTGCTTCTGGCCGTGTGGATGCCGATGTGGGCAAGAACCGGAGAGTCTGAGCGCCGCTTTCTCCGTCTGTGATGACCGCACTTAGGTCTCCGCCCACAATCAACGTCTCAACATATGCTTTTGTCTCAGCAATGTCTGACGGATCTGGCGAAGTCCGCTTCGCAACTTCCGCTATTGAAAGGGCTGCGAATGTTCTGCTTAATTTCTGGACCGCAAATTTCCGGAAAGCCTGATAGACTTCGATCGCGAGACCATAGTTTCCGTCATCTTGCCAAATATGATTGCCTGCCTCAATTTCTGCACGCAATTGTCCGATGTTGGAGCCTTTAAAAGCCTCAGCGACACTTTCATATGGTTTAGCAAGCGCTCGAATATGTCTGATTGCATTCGAACCAACAGATTTCGGTATTGGCGGGGTGGTGCCGGTCAGCAATAGACCAACAAACAGCCACTTTTTGTAGGCCTCAACCATGATAGCGCTAGCGATATTTTGAAGAGTGGGTGCCGTAAGAACAACCTCGAGAAAAAACAGGGCATCTTTGTATCTCCTCAAAGCCATGTAGCACATGCCGCCCATCAGATAGTATTCGAGATATGTCCGACTTGTAATGGGTTGGCTGAGACCTGTACCTGGGCTCAGAAAGATCCATGTTTGATCCGAATCCGAACAAAGACATCTATTTGTGCGGGTGTCATGTCTGGAAGGAATGTGATAGATCGGCTGGTCTAGAATATGCACAGCTTCAGCGTATGCTTGTGACAGCAGACAAAGGCGGAGGAATGCGCGGTGTGTGGAAGTAAGGGTAGAAGAGGTGTTGTCGAGTCTCAGGATGACATGGTGAAGCAGTTGGATAGCAGGGACGTAATTAGCGGTCTGCTCTGCGCCTAAGGCAACGCAGTCGACAATTCGCATGAATTGAATGCCGCAATATCGTGTCTGAATGGGGTCGAATTCGAAGAGAAGCTGAGTGATGTAAGGCCACAGTGCACCTTCTGGTAGAGCGGTTGACGGTAGTTGCCTCGGGGGCGCTTTTCCGCTGGCTGCAGATGCTTCGATGCCTGCTACAAGGATGTAGGTGTAGAGAATGGTGTGAGAGAAGGGCGGAGTTGCCTGGCGTATGGTCAACTTCGTGTCAAGCATGCTTGGAATATGCATACATCAAGATCATCTTTCGCAGGTGCGAGTTCCAGAGGAGATAGCTTGCTCAATTTGGCCACCAGCGCCTTTGCAGCTTTGTCGTAGCGATCTTCTTCTTGAGGGAGCGGAATTGAGACGAGAGCAGCGCTCTCCGCTAGAAGCCTATCCATGGCTAGCAACGAAGGCGGTAGTTGGGCTGCGAAAGTTGGCTCACGGGTCTGCCATGGGCGAGGAAGCAAACCGAATTCAACGAGAGATTGTGACTCTATTTTTTGAAAGGCAGAACAGACGTGGTTTTGCGGTGCGGTGCGCCAGGTGGAAATCTGTTAGGGTGTTGTCTGGAAGTCACTGGTAGGCCGTTGAATAGACGGGGGTGTGTAAAGCGCAGGCTGAAGCAAGGCGTGTGGTGGGTTGGTTGATTTCCCCAGAAGTGCGGGACGCAGTGGCTGCAGCTCAGCCTTATGGGGCCTTGGCATCACAGCCTTGTCGACTAGTGCCAATTTTGATGCCTTTTCCAACCACCACCACAATAATACATCGGTAACTACCACCACTACAGAGTGCCAAGTGACATAATTAGCTAAAAATGGAACCACCATGAAAACACCGTTGGGGAGACCGTTGGGGAGTTTTCCAATGGCCAAGCACATATAATGAGTTCTGTACTCTCCCATGACCATTGTGCACGTTTTCTAAAATTCCGTTCGTTCCCTAATACCCACCGTCGATTGAAAGAGGTGCTTCTACTTAGTCAAACACTAGACTTCGCCCAGTTAAAGAAAGGCCGTATCAATATCAATGTAGCCCCTAGCATTATAGGGGCCTAGAATTGAAGCAAAAAAAAAAACTTCATCCAGAAAAATAAGAGCACACTCACCCCGGACGGCTTGAACTGCGGCATTTGGATCCTGACGAGGCATGGAAGCCAGGGAACTGTTGCGAACGTTACCTGGAAGAGGACTGTTGGCGTGATGAACGGACCATCTTCTTGAGAAAACGAGCGGCTGGACAGCGAAAATGCTAAATTTTGGCGTTGCAGCTGCGGATGATCTACAACAATGTCCTCCCCCCTCCCGAATCGGCTTGGGTTGGCACTTGTGTACTTGTAAGATCTTGACGGGGAGTGTAATCGTAGGATTGTGGAAGACTCTCGTAGATTGGGACCGATGAATACCACTCATTTGCTCATTTATCGTACCGTAATCGTTGGACCGCGTTATCCTGACCTCGGGTGAAGCGAAAGTGAAAAAGCCTTGCTCATCACCTAAGTATGGGTGAGCTACTTCCTGACCCAGTCATAACTTCAACGTCCTCAAAATCCAGATCCCAAGCATCTATCTCTGCCCACTTATCCTTACCAACAGGGGTTGGCTTGCTCTGTACTTTGCTGCCTACTTCCATGAATTCTTCTCCCGTGTCGGTTGGCAGGCTCACGCCCCCAGTTCCATCATGGCTAGAATGGTCAAGTTCTTCGTCTTGGTGAGGGTAATGATTTTCCTTGTCTTGCCCATGAGCCGTATCTCGGCCTTGGTGGAGGGAGCCACCATACTGCCTCGGGCGTCCTGCCTGGGATTTTGCTTGGGATTTTTTTGTAGGAAGCTGTGACGAAGACTTAGTTTCGCGGTTCGAAGTAGAGGGCCTCAATATGGGCGAGGTGCTAGTGATGAGGTGGTTCGTACTTGATTTTGACCTTGATTTTGACGCTGCAGCAATATTGCCCTGCTTTTCCGCTTTCTCAGATTTGGCTCTGGTACGCATGCTGCCTGCCTTAATCAAAGGTCCTTTCCGTGTTGTTTTCTTCCCCTTCTTTGAAGGAAGGAAATCCGATACATCTTGCTCGGAGACTTCGGGGTTTGAAAGGTCGATATCGGCCGGAATATTGAAGTTTTCGCGGGTTCGCTTTCGCTCCCGCTCTGTCCTTCGCCTTTTGGTTGGCATCATGAGAGTTTGGAGCTCCTTCGTGGTCATGACAGGTGGTGGCTTCGTAGGATGCTTTGTCGATTTTATGGATGGCGGAGGTTTTGCCTCTACAGGAGATAGTCCTGGCGAGGAACTGCTCTCTGGGAGAGCCATGATATCGTCTTCATCACGGGTACTTTCGCGGTGTCGTCGTCCCGACTGCCGTAGCGTAGATAACGGCACCAGTGGTGGAGAAGGCTCAGGGGTGGCTTTCGATGTATGCATACTTTTCGAGGGGGACTTTGCAGGTCTTTGAACGGATTCAATCTCAGCCGGCTTGAGAGGGTCGGAGGAGCCAAATTTTCGTTTGCGTGAAGACATGAGCGTGGGTGACGTTGTAGCCAGTGCTGTATTCTTGCTCAACGGGTTGGAGAGATTGAAAGGTGTGGATTCGTCATCTGGTAAGAATTCTTCCTCCTCCTCGAGGTCAAAACTGGACGAATCCTGATCTAGGTTTTGCAGAATACTAGGCTGCCTTCGTCTAGGCTTCAGAGTGCCGAGAATCGAATTTTCTCTTGCTGGCATTGGCTGTGTCGACCGTAGAACAGAGACAGGAGGTTTCACGGCTGGAGACCTGGCTATGGCAGATGTCGCAAACACCTGCTTCGTGCCCGGCACGTTTTGGAAGATTCCATTCGTGGTGGGAGATCTCGGCTTGAGCTGGTGCAGTTGCTTGTTGACCGGCATCGATCCCTCCTCTTTTCGCGCCTCCTGTTGATCACTCCCAAGTATCTCCTTCGTCGCCTTTGCCATGTTTTTCCTTCTTTGCGCTCTGGTGGGATAGTTGCCCGGTTTGTCGCCAGCAGCCACAGCGCCAGAAGCGTAAATCTCCTGCCTCGGGACATTTCTCCCTCTCCTCCCATTGCCTTTGACAACGAGCCTATCGCTGTCGTCGCTGTCGTTCGGTCTAGAGCCGATCGGTTTGTGCGCCAACTTCTTCTCTAGTTCCAGTTTAGCCGGGCTGCTGTTGATCTTTTTCGGCCCTCGTGGAATCGGGCCATTTCGGTTGAGCTGACGGCGGCGAAGGGGAGCGCGAGGCATGGTTTGACGGACTCCGCAGAGATAAGCTGCATGCGCAGCTTTATATTGTTGTTACGCCCGGATTTCACGCACCTTGAATCGACAAACTTCTTAGAGACGGCAAATGGCGCGTTACCCAGTACACGATAGGTGGATGGTGGACACATTTGTGCGACGCGCGAATCTGGCGGCTCCGGGACGTGTTGTTGATGAGGTCACTTGGCGGGCTTCAAAGCTCAGTCCCACCGGGCGAGCTGGAGCTGCAGCCATATCACGTGCGCATCCACTGTGCAGCGAGGTGGCTTTAAAGCAACAACTTCCTCCTTCACCTTCTTTTCTACTCGGCAGAGTCCAGCTCTCTTCATTTCCGCAAATTCAGCTACGTCTCGAACGAACGCCTCGTCCCGTTGAAAGCCGTTTCCCTCAAATTCAAACATTGCATCCCGCGGGCAAGTGACATGGCGAGACACGCCACTGAGTTTGCCGAAGTGACCCATGGGTTGAAGCCTGGGTCAAGAAAGACCGTTTTTGGATTGATTGCCGGTGTACAGTCGATCGTCGTGAACACAGCAGGAAGTTCTGACTTCTGATGCGTCACGATTGAGCAGCAAGCTTGGCTTAGTGTTTAAAAGGTAGGCACGGAAAACTGCTTACTCAGTGGCGGCGATCTCTGCTTGTTCTAACTGACAATCAACCTGCGTGGAATGATTACTATGGCTCTTGTCCTTGCTAGCTTACGCAACTTGTCAAGGAGGCTCATTGCTTCCAGTCTCTTCGATAACGATGTTCGCCGTCGCTACGATCCCCGAATCCCTGGTACGAAGTACGCGACGTTGAGAGGCCTGCCTCTTCAAATCATTGACTGGTTACCTATCAACGAAAAGAAAGGCTTTGACGATTTCTTGTCCCTCACAGTGCTTGAGCCTGCGAGTACGAACTGATTAATACTTGCAATTCATCCCCTGGTTGGTGTAGCCAATCATACAAAGAGGAACGGAAAGACTAAAGCCGGATCCAGTCACCAGGTACGAGGATCGGCTTGATTACAACTGCTTCCGTTTTCAGTCATAGACATCGTCGAGGAAGTTGTGATTGCGCACGTATCAGAACAGAGCAATGTAGACTTGAAGGACTTGAAGATATATGAAGCGAGTTAGTCCCCCCGGGCGACTAGCTGTGGCATGTGGTAGATCCAAACCTCCAGACATAGCGTTGGCCACAAATTCTTCTTCACAATGGAAAGCAGACCTCTTGCTCAGTTTCTCGAAAGTAATGCTAAGTTCGCCGCAAATTATGCGCAGCCTCTGTCCCTGATGAAGATGCGCGAGATGTGGGCACGGAAAGGCTCCAAAGGGACGGTCATCCGTATGTTGCTTCCAGATACGAACAAGAAAGATATCCTGACGAACTCAAGTATCTTGCAGCGATCCAAGAGTCATCCCTGAGCAATTCATGGCTCTGGGGCCTGAGAGACCGGCGGCCGTCATCCGAAACGCAGGTGGAAGAGCGATGGATGCGATGCGATCAGTACAAGTGCTGAACACCATCACTCCACTCGGACTGATCATAGTCGTCCATCACACTGGTGGGTCTGCTGGGCCTCTCGCGCTGCTCTCCAGCTCACCTGTCAATGGCAGATTGCGGTACGACTCATGTTCCAGACAGTGAAGTTCAGGCAAAAATAAAGCAGATGTCTTCGCTTCCTCCCGAGACTGTTGACACTTTGGAATTTGGGGAGATCAAGGAGTAAGTCCAATCTACCCGGCAGCAGTGTCGGACGGCTGCTGACACGTGTGCGGTACAGCTTAGAAGCTAGTATCCGGGAAGATGTGGCTCTGATCAAGAGCGATCCCCTATACGGGGGCCATGCACCGCAGGTGGTTGGATTGCTTTACGAAATTGAATCTGGCAAGCTGAGACAGGTGGAATGATGATCGTGAATGGTGCATCCGAGGTCAAACTTGTCGTGTTCATTATCAGCCGTTTGCAAGAAGAGGTCATGAAGCAATTTGATGACCAAACATCGTTCGCATGGTCCGATTCGCGCGAAGTCAAGCCTGTCCTATCCCCGTTACCTTCAGGTTTCAAACACTTAAGTCTGCTGAGGTGTATATACCGTACGCCACTAACGAAAGCCGTTTCGGACATGTCTTGCTCAATTCCGGCCTCTCCATTCGGTTTCTACTAATATCCTGGTATATGAAGACGTATATTGCAGCGCTGAGCTCTGGCCAAATCATCCCAGAGGAGAGTCGCGCGCTACGACAGTGTGTGCGAGGCTACGAGAGGTTAGGTATTTTCGTTCGCAACACACTGCACGAAAATCCTTCTGATCGAAAAGATTTGGTGATACTAAATAGCAATATTGTTGCAAACAAACGCGATATCCTGACAATATAGGATCAATAGGTCTTCTTGGCGCGGACGTCGACAGAGCCATGCAGAGACCTATACCATGGCTTCGTATTTTCCTTCAGACACAGCAAAATGTTCGAACGAAGCACCGCTCCTTCTGCAAAAGAAGCTCTATGCTATCATATTGGATCCAAAACAAGCCAGATTTCAGGTGAAGCCGCAGTTATGGTCGGTGTTTCTTCCAATTCGAATGTTCGTGGGCTGAGCGCAGATTCAGTGTGGTTCTCTTCGACCATGATCCTCGATGTGATAGCCAAGGAAAAGGCTATGACTATCAGATCGCAAGTGTTACAGAAATCTCTCCAATCTGAGGAGTTTGCCGTGGCATAGCATCAAGGCGAAACCGAAGCCTGTCAGTGCCCTGTCAGTGCTCCCTGTGAGAAGGTAAATGATGTGCCCAGAAAAGCACTTTTCAACCATTTCATCGTGTATGGAATTGTCAGTTGACTTTGCCTACTCCAAGGGCTTAGCTGTCTTCTGTGAAAAGGATTCTCAGAAGCCTTAATGCACAAGGGGCTCTTGCTATGCATCAGGTGGCGTAGCCTGTTTGAGGTTAGGAGTAACATTATCCGACTTCTTTTGTGCCTACAATCCGGTGCCGTGCGACGCAGGAAATCCCGACGAAGAGGGTTTGCAAGGCTGAAGATACTTCAAGACATACTCCCTACAAAGAGGTTTACAGGCAGCTCCTCGCTTGCTCTGGGCACCAGCAGTTCTCTTGGCCTGCCAAGTCTCTTCTTGGTGTGAGGCTGGAAACATCGTCCTCGACCAACAGCATTTTCTCTCTCCTTCTAGACACAGCATTCGTTCGCATATCACAAATAGCATGGACATCCTGCCACTGCCAGATGGCGTCGAGTCGCATTGGCTCGTCCCTGACCTCGGCGGCCCGGACTTCGATAATCAGGGATTCTTAGGCTACGACGAGCGTCAAGGCTGGAACGTTGACGCCTTGCTTCGAGGAAAGATCACTGCCGCTCGCAAAGATTGGGAGAACTATTATACCTCGGTGTCACAGGAAAATGACAGATTTGTTCACATGTCAAACACGCGGGAAGTGATTCTCCTTTGTGCGGGTTCGTTCCTTCAAACATGGATTTTCTTCGGGATTTGGCAGGAGGCATTGAGCAGACCAGTCTCTAGGCAAGAGGGCTCTGTTGAAGGGTCTGGCACCAATGCGGTGGGACATAATCTGAGCGCCTCGAATCGGTATGTCACTGCGGGAGCACTCTTCAGAGAATTCATGGCACGACGCAACGAGCTGAAGAACAACTCGAAATGGGCAGACCAGTTCGACCGCTGCTTACAAGAGGCGAAATGGATATTGCAAAAGCTGGATCGGAACTCTGACAAAGCTACCATGCAATTCTTGCCACTTTCGGTATGTCTGGCTCTATCTACCTTGGTCGAAACGCTCGACAGGTACCGCAGACTTTGGCTCGATGACACTGAGGATGTCCTTGCCAATTCGCAAATTTCGGTACCGTGTCAGCTGCTGGAGAGAAAACTGATATCTGAGGATGGCTGGTGTCCCAGCATCGTGCATCGGGTGGGCTCAAGGCTCGGGCTTGAAGGCTTATACTTCGCCAGCCTTCTCCCTTCCTTGAAGGATGGGTTTGACCATGAAAACTGTACTACACGGTTTGCTTGTCTCGCTTCCAATGTCGATGTCGGTAACTATCAGACCCGTCATGTGTCCGAACACTGCGACTGTAAAAGGCATGAGTGTGACCACATGCAGCCGGAATGCGCTTGTCAGCATCAGGCGATGCCGAACTCCGACTTGGTGGCGGCCTTCGAGAACGAACAGTTTCCTCTTGTGGGTTTCCAGGACGAGAAGATCAACATAGTTCCCTTCAAACCAGGCTTGCGATACGTTGCAATCTCTCACGTATGGTCTGATGGTAGGGGGAATCCAAGGCAGAATTCATTGCCCATGTGTCAACTTCGCTCAATCCAACACTATGTCGCCACCTTGACAACGAACCAAGGCTCACACTTCTGGATAGACACCTTGTGCGTGCCCGTGGAGGAACCTCTGAGGCATCTGGCAATTCTGCGCATGGCCAAGGTCTACTCGGCGGCAAGTCAAGTACTTGTCTTGTCAGAGGAGCTCCTTTCACACAACCTTCCGTCTTCACCAGACCAAGTGTTATTTTCTATCTTTTGCTGCAAGTGGATGTTACGACTCTGGACGATGCAGGAAGCGACTTTGGCGGAGGATCTGAGATTTCAGTTTGCCGACACCATAGTCCCATACACCCCACGGGAACACGTATTAACGGTCATGGCTTCGGATGCCGCTGCTGGCCTCGTTTCTCAACTTCTCGGACTATACGCCGCGATCTCCATTGACCAGGCTAAATTGTCGCTTCAGACCGTAAAGCATGAAAAATATCCATTTCTGACCTTTTTGACTACCCTCCAATTTCGATCCACATCGAGACCGATGGACGTTACGGTATGCGCCTCAATCCTGCTGGGTTCCGGTTTGAGCGCGGTTCTTGAGGCACAGGATGATGTCAAAATGCAGACACTCTGGGCGAACCAGGAAAAATTGCCTGCCAGTGTCCTATGGATGCTTGGGCCTCGTTTGAAGGTTGATGGATTTCGGTGGGCTCCTGGCGATCTGCTCCACCCGGGGACAAGGCTCCTCACGCCCTCCGAGGATTATCCACCAGCACAGCCAACACCAGATGGGCTTCTTGTCAGTGGCATCGACGCAATCTTGCTAAAAGATGTGCCGATCCCTACCGTCGAAAAGACCCATTTGCGTTTTCGATTACCCAATTCGTCGCAGAGATACGTCGTTTTCAAGGACCAGGATCACGACAAGTGGGCCGATATGATGAGCTTTTGGAATGGTAACTGTGTTTTATTCCTGGCTGAGCACCCTACAAGGCGATCAGAAACCTTTGCTGCGTTAACCATGCCCATGGTCGACCTCAGCAATAAAGAATGTTCGGAAGACGAGCGCCACCCGGTGTCAGCGCGTTACCTCGCAGGGCTTATTGTTTGCACGGAGGAATATTGGTATGAACGACTGATGCCCCAAGGGACGAACGACTTTTACCAAGCCAAATCTTTCTTGAACTCGAAGGGGATGGACTTTGTGGACATTCAAGAGTCAATGCTCGTCGAAACCTCGCGACGATGGTGCATTTTCTGAAAGACAAAGCCTTGTTTGGCTCAAGGGGGTCAGCCTTGTCGCCAGCTCCGGCCGCATAGGGCAGGTATCACTCCATTTCCTGATGAATATGGAGTAACAGCAATAGGCTGGGCGGGCGGGCACTTGGCCATAAGCCTTTCGCTCACTAGATCTCACCTTCACCATCCACCAGATGTCATTTTCCACGAGGCTGATGCATTTTCCTCCTGCTGGATGGAGCCACGAGGCATATCTGCATCTCGCCAAGATTAAGACGACATCCAAGTTTTAAGAACGGACGCGTGGACACCGTCTTGTTGTCGCCTGATTCATTAATCGCCGAGTATGGCCCCCGACATTCTTGGCCTTCAATATTACTGCAAGTGGACGATATACCCCTTTCGCAACCTTCATTCTGCAGATAAATCATTCAGGGCATTTTGAGAAGTCATATTATCCATGCTCTGACGATGGTTCATCTCAGTACTCGGATGGCTCAAAATGAATCTGATCTCTCCCGACCGTGGTCTTGGCTGTTCGTCATCTATCTAGCCTTGTCCCCTTCCGCGTGCGCTTGCTCACTCCTCAAACATTTCGTCTTCTTTGGGTTTATGGCGACTTGATGACATACGAGGTCCTCCCACCACCAGCAGTCTCGATCAATACGCCACCATAGCTACCCTGCCCAGTGAAGCACTGAGCCAACAGCTTCTGAAAATCGTTCACCACCTCTCCACAGCTCGGCGGAGTTGCCACCATGTTCAAGGTGTTTTGAAAGATGATTGTTCCCGACGGGTCATCCACCGAGACACCCTCTAATGGGTTAAGCGATATGGGTGCGCTCGGATTTGATTGGCAGATAAGGCGATCGAACTCGTTGACGAGGTCGTTGGCCTGTTGAGTGGTGACGAGTCCGCTTCCAGGCTCGAAGCAGGTGATTTGATCCGTGTCGTCCGAGGACTGGGGAGTAGCGGCTGGATTCGGGAAGGGAGACGCGAGACCCAACGATGGGAGAAGGAGAAGAGATGGGAGGAGACTCTTGAAGGTTGGCATGATGGCAGGATCTTCCAACAAAGCGAGGGGCTTTTTTGGCAATTTCGGAACGAGTGCTGAGAAGAGAAAGAACGGATTGCTGGCTTGCTACCATTGAAGGTGAGTCCTGTGCCTGTGTTTCGCCCTGTTTATATACGTGCCCGCCCATGAGTGCGTACCTGTGGTTTGGTTCACCCAATTCATCTATAAATCCCATATACCAAGTTCAAGCCTGCCCATTGGTCTCTTCCAGGGCATTGTGGACAAGGCAGACCTCACGTCAGCCACTCACGAGTCGTGGTGGTGCACCGCCATTTTCTACAGGCGGGGAGCCAGCGGTGTTGTCTGAGCTGTCGAATCTGGAGCCCGAACAAAATCCTGTGACATTGGCCTAGTCCTGAACATTCGTGCTTTTGTTATATTTATAGTCTTGGGCGATATTTGATGCACTGTATGTCGAGGGAGAAAGATGAAATGCCCATCTCCCACTTCCTTCTTGGAGCCCCATTGTGTTTGAGTTTGTTTCCACAACACCGCGGCTAAAGGCCGAGAAGGATGTTCTGATTTCCCCTTTCTTTTCCCATTCGCCAACTGCGCTTTCTTGTTAACTGCCGCGAGGTCCCTTTCCGGACGAGGTTTCACGCTGCCATCCATCTTTGGTTGTGGTGTATGTCTTCAGAAGCTGGCTGGGCAATGCATGGACGGTCGCCATCGTGACATGCCGCGGTGGCATTCATCGAGGACGAGCTTTGCGCATCGGGCTGCTTGCTGGCTTGTTCTTGCAACCCCAAACCCCTGGGCAGGGCACTGAGCTGTACATAGCTCGCCACCTTATTGGCAGATTGTTTGTCGCCGAGCCGCAAGGTTGGGTCGGTCGCTTCCCATCATAAGGATGTGTGTGTCATATGTACCGACCCAGGCACATATCTAGGTTACTGGCGAACGAAAGACCTGCTTGCCAAGGACGGCTTGTTATGTTACGGTATAGTTTTAGTGAATGATGAGAACCTTGAGGAGATATACCTGGCCGCCGAAATCTGGAAGGACTAATCCAATCCTCTCTTACCGAATTATGCAGGCTTGCAAATGCTTCAGCGTAGGCCATTGAGCATATACGTTCTGACTGGGGATTCTCCTCTTCTCTCGATTCAGGCGGGATCTGTTATATCTAAACAATGGTGCTAGGACGTAATGTAATATGGTATATATATTATATATTAAGGTAGCGCTGAATAGTAAATCGCATTAGACGTCTTGCAAAAAAGCCTGTTGTCTAGCCCGGCTCTCAAGCCCCGAAATGAACATACTGGGCCCATAGCAAAGGCTGCCCACTGTATCTTTCCTTCGCCTTGATCACAGCCGCCTGCAACGCCGCTGCTATACTTCCATCTCTGCTCAACATTTTGTCTTCCTGGGAAAGCTTCGCGTAAAAATCTCGCGCCACCTCTGCGCACACGCCGTCCGCCGATGGCCACATGGACCCAATCACATGTCCAAATCCGGCCACTTGAAAGCCGCTTACCAGGTGGATGACTTCGTCCAACAATCCCGTCGCGCTGTTCTCCGCTGTCGAGCAAGCAGAGAGATAGGCGAGATGGGCATGGGGCAAATACATATCTGAAATTTGTCCAACCGTAAGGCGATCCTGGATCGGCTTGCTGGGTGGCTGCGCTCGTTTCTGCAACACCAAGCACCCGTCCGAGGGGTCCTTAGGGTTGGATAGGCCGTGTCCAGCGTAATGGAAGATGTGACACTCTTGCAGCCGCTCCCGCACCTCGTCGGCATCGGGGCAGCTGCGCTCCTGTATACTGAAAGCAGATGCGGCTGATGTGTGGATGTTGCTCGCTTCGCCAGTGACGTACGGTAGATCGGCTTCTCCTGGAGTTTCCGGCATCAACACTATAGCGAGGGCTTTCTTGTTGACAGTAGCAGTAGCAACAGTCATGTCAGCCACACGGGTTGTCGCAATTCGTTCTCGGGCAAAATCGAGCGCCTTGATTGTTGGCGTGTAGGAAGAAATCGCATGGCTGAACGTATTTTGTGCAGAGCCGGGGGAATGATCTCCAGCGGCATGAAAAGGAATCGTGCAGGCGGCGCCTGTGCCAATCCACCACATGCGACGACAATGACTTTTGGACACCCCCGTCTGTGGCTCGTCCGCCAGCTTTTCCAGCACCACTTGGACACATGCCTTCCAGATCCACGCCAGGAATGCCCGATAAAGTTTGTTCTTCTTTCCATAGTCACTTCGAGTGAAGTTAGTAAGACCCAGGTCAATCCATCCTTGAATGCTCTGGAACGAAAAGTCTGGCAAAGGTACCAGGTTGATACCTGACTTGGAAACGAGTATAGCATCAGCACGAAGCTGCGTGACGTTGACTATCGCAACAGGCCCATTTTTGGCCTGCTGTTGCAATTCCTGTGCAGTAGCGCCTAGCAGGAACCTTTCGTGACCGGGAATAGCCCTAATGCGATGGATACACTTCTCCAGATTCACCACGGCATCCTGTCGAGATTTGGCTTTCTGCTGCTGTCCTCCAGCATCGAGTGGATCTCCCGCCGGCACATTGACCTCTGCCCGCAGACTTTCATAAAGTTTCGCTTCTTCTGGACATGACAGTAAAAGTTGCGAGATATCACGACGATCGTCGATCAAAAGTCCCAAGATCGCGCCACGTCCGAGCTCCAGGATTTCTAGCGCCTCACTCACATCTCGCCCTGCTTGCACAGATAAAGAACAGGCTGTCGCGGCAAGCCCGGCAAACATAGATAGTGCGTGCTGTTGATCGTCTCGAGCCAGAGACCGATTGTTGACAATGGGCAAAACCCTGATAGCATCATTCGCTATCTCACTAGCTCGGCTCCAATCTTGCTGGTCCTGAAGTAGATTGATTGCGGCTACTGCAGAGGGGAGCCGGTTTGAAGGGATACCATTGACACAACTCCAGGACCGGAGGAATGAGTCGAGCGCCCTTGTATGGTGCAATGGGTTCGGCGACTTGTATTGCTGGCGGCCTAGTATGTTCAGGTACATGGCCAGGTCTGGATGATCTGAAGGTGTTGCTTGCACTCCTCGTTCTGCTTTTTTGATAGCCTCGTCAAGGTATTCTGTTTGCTTAGTTCGATCAAACAGCATCTGAAACTTCGTACTCAGGTTGATGAGCCTGCCTGCAAGGCTGGCATGATCGGATGGGGTAAGAAGCACGGCGATTTGCTCGATGTCAATTGCTTCTATGAGATCTGACGTCTGCCCGATGCTCATATACCGTCGTTGAAGCACCAAGCCTAGGTTGCTCATCATCGGAGCCCGATCAGAATGACCAGGTGGAGTCAAGTGTACCGCTCCTCGTGCTTTCGCTACCGCATCTTCCAAGTCTTCCATATTGCCGATACGCTCGTACCGCCATCGAAGCTGCACGCCTAGGTTGCTAAGTGATGTTGCGAGGCCGTGCTCATCAATTCGAGGCAGTTGCACCGCTTCTCGGACATTAGAAATAGCTTCTTCTAGGTCTTCCAGTCGGTCGGTTCGCTCATATCGCATGGCGAATTTGTTGCTTAAGTTGCTGAGATACAAGGCCCGGAACGGATGGCCTTTCGGTAGCAGCTTTGACGCCATTTCTGCTTTGTTAATCGCGGCTTCCAAGTCTTGCAACTGGCCGGTGCGCTCGTATCTGCTTTCCAGCAGGTTGCCCAGGCCGTTTAAATATCGAGCTTGCTGTGCTTGCTGCGGATCCTTGTCAAGTGTGAGCTGCAGGGCCTGTTCTTCCCTGAATATTGCCTGGTCTATATCTTCCAGAGCTCCAGTCCGCTGGTATCGCAGGCCAAGGTTTCCGCTTAACTCGGATAAGCACTGAGGTAGATGCGCATGATCGCTGGGAAGAAGCTGCACCGCTTTCTCTGCGTGTCGGATGGCCATTTGCAGGTCTTCCAGCTCCCCTGTTCGTTCGTATCGAACATGAAGCACACGCCCCAGGTGATTTATAACCAAGGCTAACATTGGATCGTCGGCTGCCACGATCTGTACTGCTTCCTCTGCCCTACAGATTGCATTTTTCAAATCCTCCATTCGGCCGTAAGAAGTGTAACGTCTTCCATAGTTGTTGCTGAGATTATAAAGGCAGAACAGCCTGCTTGGATGTTCGGTGTGGCTGAGTCTCACAGCTTCCTCAGCCGCTCTGACCGCTTCCTCTAGATCTTCCTGTTGTCCTAAACGATCATACCGCCTTCCCAGGTTGACACTCAGATTGGTGAACCATATTGCTTGCTGGGAGTCTTCTGCCTGCCCTAGACCAATTGCTTCCTTGGAAGCCTTGATGGAGCCACTCAGGTCTTCCAATTGACCTGTGAGCTCAAATCGATTCGCAAGCTCGACACTTAGACTTGCCAAAACTTTTTGGCGGTCAAACGTATTAGGAAGCGCCAGCGCAAGGCTCACAGCCTCATCTGCTATACTATCCATGTGCTTGTACCTGGCAAGCTTCGTACAGGTCGCTTGAATTCTCGAAGTTTTCCGGCGCCGTCTCTGACTGAAGATTGCCGATCAAAGAACTTGAACTTCTACAGGTCTGGACTTTACTTGACATCGGGCCAGTTGGTAGAAGTTTCCACTTACGCGAGCTCGTGGACTTACCCAGACTTGTATGGACGGCGGCAGCCACCGGCAAAGTCGTGAGACGAACCCTGTGCGTGTTCGTGATAGAGTTTGAGCATCCTTGGCTTGAATCATCAAGAATCAGGTTGCCAATAATCATGTCGTTTGCCCTCCCTCCCGTCTCGGCGAGATCCCCCGCTTCTGCAAATAGCCAGCATCGAGCACAAATGCTGAATCTAGACCTTGCTCGAGTCCGGTCTTGGTTTTGTTGAGGGGTTCCTGGGCGCAGGAGCTGAGTCGCCATTGTTCTAGAGCTTCGAGCTGGGGCGTAACGACTCACACATGGATCTCGGCTCTTATCATCCTGCTCATCTCATACAATGATCGACATTCCAGGCTCAGACGAAGATATCCCTATCCAACAAACAGTTCTCTCTCACTCAACCCGACTACAATGCATCAGAGCGTTTTGATCCCACAAACTTTTCTCCCTGTTGAGGCTATCAAGCTTGGCAGGATTGTTTTAAATGTTGCTGATCCACAGTCGGACTTTCTTGACCCGATTTCGCCCTTGGATATCGAAGTGGTTGTCAAGTCACACTCTGATTTCATCGGTCATGATTCAAAGTTGCTGGAAAAGGGATTTAGTAGCACCTTGACACGTCTTGTTTCCATCTCCCGCTCGAAGCAGAAGAAGACATTGACGTCCATCACGGCGGACCGCGTTGTTACACATCAAATCAGCAATTCTGGGAAGTGGTTCAACCAGGCTCTTGAGAATGAAGCGACCCGCAAATGGATCGAACAAGCAAACAATCAAGGCGACGACGTCTATCTAGTGGTCGGGTACCACACCATGTTCGACGCACAAGTGGTTGAGGGCGGCAGTTTCGACGAGAAGATAGCAGCCCACATCAATCTACCCATAGCAGAAGCACTGGCCGCAGCAGGCATGGTGATACCGCTAGGCGACATGATTGACCCGTCAGTCGGAGGACATCACCAGGCGCAACAAGGACTGCAAAACCGATTTGTGGCTGCTGGGGAGCAGATCTGTGCAGTTCAGTACCGCAAGCTGCGCTTCAAGTGGTATTCGAGCAGTAAAATGGACGATCCAACACTCGGACCGAGCAGGTGGAAGAGTTACTTGACCTTTCGAGGTCAAACCGACGATGTTGTGGAAGTGGACCTTGAGGATGAGTTGGAGCTGGGGGACGAGGTTGAAACCTACGTTTTCGATGGGCAGGAGAGCTTCTTCTCTCTGCTTGCTGCTCTGTGAATAGTGATTGAAACCTTGGAATATCAGCGATGATTTCCGTGACGGACGGAGGACGGTGTACAAGTGCTCCGTCAGTCACGAGGGGAAGGTGGGGGGGAGGGGATGTATATCACGTGCCACATGTGATACTCTCTCGGGTATCTTTCCATCTTCGCACGTCCCCTCCTTCGCCTCCCAGCGAGCTTGGCTGTCTACCCAGTACGGAGCCGGGTAGCCTGATTACCCCAGGAGTATTATGTACCTTGATTCTGCTTGTCTGAAACAACACCACTACACCACAATACACTACACTACACTACACTGTACATGGCTCTCTAATGTCTTTGCGCCTTGCTACAACCGTACTCGTACATGCACACCCTGTACCTCTCATTGGCCGCACGCGGGTTTCTCTTCTAGGCAGACGCCATATTTGCAAGTCCGCAGTTTAGTATCTGGTATGTATGTAACCCTTTTGTTTTGCGCCAATGAGGCGGTCGAAACTCGCGCCTACTTCGCAGTATTAAAAGAGATGAATGGATTGCCGTCGAGGTATATAAGAAGATCTGGATCCGTGGATCTGTTTGCGCGTGAGGAGGAGGTCTTTTGAAAGGACTTCAAGAAAGAGTCATTCGCATCCTCACTACCATTACCACTACCATCATCGATATCTCGCATCGCTCTGGGGGAAAATGTTCCTTCCATCGACACACGCAAACCCCCTTGGAGCCTATCTCTCACCAGCGTCGGGAGCCCGCACCGCGCTCCTCCTAATTGACATCCAGCGCGGCCTGAACACCAGCAATGGCTACTTCGGGACCGAGCGCTCGACTCCCGATTTTGAGGAAAATATCACTTCTCTCCTGGCCGCGTGCAGAGGGTATAACAAGACGAGGATAGGCACCAGCGAAAGTCGAGAACCCAAGGCGTCTTCTCAAGACACCGCCGCCAATGGTGACACCCATGGCAACGAGGCCGACGAATCATCAAGAGGCCCCTTCCCGATAGAAATCGTGCATGTATACCACTCATCCACGAACCCACTGTCCCCACTGCACGCGTCCGGAACGACACAGAAGGACGGGATATTGTTCATGCCGTGCGCGGCACCATTGTCGTCGTCGTCGTCGTCCTCTGGTCAGATTGAGCACGTGCTCTCGAAATCCACAAACACGGCCTTTGGCAACGCGGCCCTGCAGCCGATCCTGGAACGCAGCCGCATCGCGCAGTTGGTCGTCGTGGGGATCGCGACGGACCACTGCGTGTCGACCAGCGTGCGCTGGGCCAAGGATCTGGGTATTGTCAAAGAACAAGGGCAACAGAAGGAAGGTAAACAAGGCAAGATCGTCATCGTAAGCGATGCTACTGCGTGTTTTAGCAAAGGTGGGTTCGATGCCGAGACGGTGCAGAAGGTCCATCTTGCCAGCCTCGAGGGCGAGTTCGCAAAGGTTATGAGCACAAGTGATGTGTTGGCCCAGCTATTTGGATGAGAACATCACTCCCCTGGAGACATGGAAGGGAGCCAATGCCCCCTCCATGAGCCATTGTTCATTGCCCAAAGCGACAGTATCCTCGCAAATACGATACAACATGTTTAATACAGCCACCAATTGGTAGATCATTTCAAATCATCCTCCGGGCCACTATATCCGGCCATTGGATCTGCAGTTGCCATGAGAATAGCTTCGGTAGTCATGCGAAATGGCCACCTTTCATATGCCAACCCGATCTCCACAAACATATCCAATGGCAAAACTCTCACTCTTAACGTAGTCAAATCATACCATCCTCCCTTGGTGGGATCATGAATCCCCGGGATGGTCTTGACGAAGTCATTCAACCCCTCATGGACCAGCGCCTTCAACGCTTCAGCCACGCTCTTGGAGAAATATAGCGAGAGACTCGTTACAACGAAGCGGAAGCATACCATCTTATCGTATGTGTCGATTCTGGAAATCAAATCAGCTCGTGGAATCACATCCAGAAGGCTCATATGCCGATTATGCCGACTGGGAGTATCAAATTCCTCATCGTGCACGATCAAAGGGTGAGTTTCCCGTCGATTCCAGGCCAGAATTGGCGGTGACATGTCCCAAGCTCGACAGTCGTCGATGGCCTTTTCTGCGAAGATTCTGTTTGTTCGATTCAAGGCCTTGAGATTGTCTTTAATAGCTTCGGCGCGATTTCGAAGTGATCGTTCAGTGTCGGGATTCAGGGAGCTATTCTTCGCCTGGCGTATCTCAAACTTCCATTCCGATATCAGTTGTCTTTCTTGCTTGACCAGTTCGACTGCTTTCATATGGGTCTTGTGTGTGGTGTTTGCCCGCCGTAACAGCTCTCCCCATTCTTTCTGAAGCGGTGTTTTGAGGCCAAGTTTGCGAATGGATTGCCCTGAAGCATAGCGCCGATACCAATGGGGATACTTCTTTTTTATATGGCTGTCTAACTGCAGGAGTCTCGGCACCCACTCTGCGTCTGAGGTAAAGTGTGCCTTTCGCAGATTTCGAGGTGTCGGCTCGATACTGAGCAACTCGCGCGGCGATGGGGTGTCGAGTCTCAATTTTGGCATCTCATATCCTGAAATCTTTTTGGCTCTAGCATCGATGATTGCAAATTCTTCCAATTCGAGGTCGGTCCACTTCCTATACCTTGTCGATTTGGTCTCCGCTGGCGCACCAGCGACCTCGGCAATGTCCGTAGTTGCCTCAAGCATGACGGTCTGCTTGTGACGTGCGTGAACGGTTCGCGGGATATAAGAGTTCTTCTCATGATCAGGAATCCATGCCAAAACATGGATCAGACCATAACGAAAGAAACCTGCGCCTGGACCTGACACAAGCGACAGATAGAGCTCGTCGAAGAATTTTCTGCTGAGGGATCCCATATATCCGCCGATGCTGATTTTCGCACCAGAGAGGTTGACCGTCATCAACAAGGATCCATTGTATTCAGGGAGCTTTCCCACAGTACCAGCTTTTTCCGCGTCATAATTGGTCAACAGTTGTTTCTCAGGATCAAATACATCTTGGAGGATGGTTGCGTGCCGATATGTCGAGCCGTGGCTCTTCAACAAGGGGTGGAGATGCTCCGCATATCTTTCCAGGTCAGATTCGACAAGGACATGTCGTCGAGGTTGGAGGAGACGATGGAGACTTTGGGACCAAAGTCCTCGCCCGGGGTTTATATCAATGATGTCGCAAGTGTTTGGAGCAGGGAGGCCGGTACGAAGTCGGACGAGGACATCGTCTGCTGGGCATCAGCAAAGATGAAGAGAGCACAGATCTCAATGGCTCAACAACTCACCACACAGTCGCTGGCTGGTTATCTCATAACGACCAGAGCCGCGACTCAAAGTCTTCTTGGCAACTGTTGAGGCGTGACGTGCAAATGAGCGTACGATCATACGCAGGGAAGAAGCGAGTGGGAGTCGGACCTCAGTGGTCAGAAATGAGGAAAAGGATGGAATGGAGGAGCAGAAATAGTATCATCTATGCGAGCATCGAAGATGGCAAGACACGCAGATGGATGAGATTGGGTTTCACAGAAGCGGAAATGGGGACCCCAAGAATGTTATTGGCGGCAGGGCTGCAACCTTTGGGCCTGCAAGCCCTAACAAACTCGGGTCCTGTAGCCTGGGGAAGCGCCCAATCGGTGCCCGACTCGGTGACTGCATCCACCTGGCACTTGCAACTTGGCTCCCATGGGTGTACCCCAGTTGCCCCTAGTCGCTCCCCTCCAAGCCCCCTCCTGCCCCCTTAGGTGCCCCTCGGCCCCCCAATCACGACGCCCCCACACCGATGAGTTCAAAGAGTTTCGTCATGACTCTGGTACCCAGTACAACACCACGCTATCTCGATCCCAGTCTGCCCAGTGCCTTGTCGTTTGCTTGCTTTTGCCCACGCGACAGGCTTATATTAAAGCCTATTTGGCAGACCGCCAGATCCTCAACTCAATCATACAGCACTGTTGATTCCCTTCCTCAATCTTTCTGGTGTTGACTTCAACTACCGCCATGGAGCCTCAGCGACAGGTTCATATGGTCGCCGAGCCCCTCGCCGAGCTCTCCCATCAACAACGTTTCTTCAACTACTTCCAGCATGAAATAACCGGTACACCGCGCCCTCTACGCTGCCAAAGAGACCGTGGCTGACGAAAGGAACTGTGCGACAGCTCTCCAAGATGAAATGGACCGTCTTGCAGAAACTGCCCTCATAGGCGGCGAACGCTCTGATGCCATGGACCATTGTCTTGCTGGCATCACGCGGCTATCCGGTGAAGTCAAGGACGCTTCAGCATACATCCCGCCCTACGATCAGAGAACATACGGTGAGGCCATCAAGGCCTTGCAAGAGAAGTTGGAAGAAACGCGCAGATCCCACGCTCCTAAACCCAAGTTCTCCTTCAAATCAAAATCTCCCTCTGCTCTATCCCTTAGCGATGCGGCAGAGTTGGCAGCAGAGAAACGTCGAGCTGTCCCAGGTTATCTGTCCCCTTCCCCCAATGCCTCGTTTGCCAATACCCCCAGCTACATCAACACCCCTGCCAACGAGCGAGCACAAGGTGAACAGGATTCAATCTCGGAGGAAAAAGAGGAACCTAGAAAAGAAGTCAAATCGACCGCAACGGCCAACACAGAAATGAAATCACAACCACCGCCCGCGGACCCTCTCCAAGACACCGACCGCCCATCCTTATGCACAACAGCAACCTCGACCTCCATCTCAAATCAATCCAACACACACATCATCCTGCCTTCTTCAGCACCAAACACGCGAACACCTTGCTCACTCTCAAGGCTCAGTGGGTGTGTCGTCGATTTATCCGTACCCACGACCGCTACAGCACCCTTTGCGAGTATAACCATCACTTCTGTTTCCTCCTCCCTTGTACTCTGTGGTTCAGTCTCCGGTCCTGCGCACATCACAGGCGTCAATAGCAGCGTACTTGTGATCAAATGCCGCCAATTTCGTATGCACGAGTGTCAGAACGTTGATGTCTATTTGCACTGTACAAGCCGACCGATCATCGAGGATTGCAAGGGGATAAGGTTCGCTGTATTGCCTAAGTTCCACGTATGTTGCTCGGTCATCCAAACCTCGATTTGAACCCTCCTCCTTTCCTTTCAGCGTTTGATGCTAACCGAGTGGAAACAGAGTGACCTTATTTCCTCCTCGCAAGAAGATCCCTCTGCTGTGCCCAACCAATGGAACCAGATTGACGACTTCAAGTGGCTCTCCCCCGACAAACCCAGTCCGAATTGGTCTCTGTTACCAGCCGAGGACCATGTACCGGACGAGACGTGGCGAGAGATCGTCCCGGGCGGACCTGGTTGGAGTGTGGGCGATATCTTGAAGGCCGTGGGCGTGAGCAACACTTCCGCCAGCGGTGTAGCTGGCGTCAGTTAAGACGGGACAATTGAGGGGAGCCCAGACAGGAAGGGAAAGGAAGCGAGGAGTTACTAGAGCGGGGATTAGATTGTATCATGACGAAACGAGACCACACAGCAAGTTACCACGAGTAAGTCGAAAACGACAATAGGCTGGAAACGAAAGCAGCTTTGAAGGAACAACGCGCAACGAACCAATGACCCGTCGGACCACCTGACCAACTATTATATGTGATTGAGAGAACGCGGAGCTTTTCAAGCAGGGCACTCGATTCTTCACGAGACCCGTGTGCGAGAGAACAGTCAGCCAGTAGCCGCAAGGGAGAATGGAAAGATGGAAGAGAGCGATGAGATCACACCAGACCTTGCTGGAACACAGGGCGAGAAAGAAGGGAAAGAAACTGGACACATACTCGGTATATAAATGCCAAGCCTGCTGCTGCTACATATTCGGTGACAGAAGATCAGAGGCGCGAGCAAGGACTACAAGGGTAGATTGTAACAAAGGATGCGTGTTGAGACGAAATATGCTCGGGGGCAGGGCGAAAGATGCAGCAGTATCTTATACTCTGTAGTTATTCATGGTGGATGGGGTTCCTAGGTAGGTAATAGGAAATGAACAGGTTGTGATGGTGGTGGTACAAAACAGGCAGGAAAAATCTCTATCTACACTTACACACAGCCCGCTCCAGGCCATGCCATGACTTCGTGACACGATGCGATCAGCTTCCATTTGTTTGTTGGTTGGACCCATCCCATCCTCCCCGTTCATTCCCACGAGACATCCCGAGTCGCGATATCTCATCGTCCACTACCCCCGATGCTTGCTTCCTATCAGACATTACCCTCGCGATATGATTTTTTTGAGACAAGAATTCTGTGCGTACTTCGTCCTTGCTCGTGCCAATATTAGTATGTGGGTTTTCTTTGGTACCCCATTTCTTCTCGCGTGACGGTGTCTAAAATCACTGCTTCACAACACCCTCAATAGTAATGCAAGCATGGGTATGCAAGTCTTGAGAAGCCATCTTCTCGGTCCTAAATCTCGCCCTCCTCCTCCAGCCTTGTCAACCATCCCCAGGAGAAGGAAAATCCCGTGGTACACTCGAACAAACCACCGACGCCGAAGCTATGCCATCGACCACCTGAAACTGGGTCTAAAATCTAAAACAAACAGCAAATGAGAGTAAGGGACTGGAAGGTGCTGTTGAATAAGGATCGTTCATCATTTCAATTGTGTTGCTGAAATGCGGAAAGCGGGGGTGAGGTCGAGAGGGTTGTGTCTGGATCGTAGTGTTCATTCATCAGTGTGCGAGTGGTCGAGTGATGTGGATAGTGTTGGATTTTCAGCAATCTCAAGGTAAGGGAAAGGGACTCATAGTAGACTGTGCCGTCTCCAGGAGTGTGTTGTCGTCTCCATGCTGTGGTGTACAGTCCACACAGCCTCGTATCAGCAGCGGAGTAAAGTTGATGGTCACTTGTCACTACGCCATAGTAGATTGCTTTGACTCTCGATCCGGATTTCGCACCTAGGGGTTTGTTAGTGAATTTGATACGCCGTCGTCAGGGTCAAGTCAACATACCTGCAATATCCTCCTGGAGAAGTCTCGCTCATCTGCGATGCTGCCAATGCTCTGTCGGCGGTGTGAGTAGATTGAGGGATCAAGCCGCTGGTCTGTTGATGACTTGTCTGATTTTGCGGATCCGACAAATGAATTCACTGCCGCGTTACGACGGTGTTCTTCTTCAATCTCACGATTCCTCTTGTGTCTCAAGAACAAGAGGACGCCTCCAATGATGCCAGAGAGGCCGACCACTCCAACGACAACCCCGACAGCAATGCCAACCTTGCTGGTCCCGCCGGATGATTTTTCAGAAGGGGAAGCGGAAGCAGTCACCACCACTGTCTCGCCAGGTTTGGTAATGACTGCAGGTTGGGTTGTGCTCGAGCCGTTAGACTGTGTAGGAGAGGAGCTGCTCGAACTGCTCGTACTGTTCGGGGCAGTTTGAACGTCTCCATTCAACCCAGTAAGATATACTTGCCAGAAGCCGATGCCACCACAAGTCTGTTGATCGAAGCCATTGCATGGCGTGTTGCAACTGTCTGGGTTTACTTCAGTGTCCAAAGCTGGTAGTTCGTCACCGCAATAACAAGTTGATCCTCCAGTTATAGCCATGACAGGTTTGTTCAACTGCACGCATACTCCTTGGCAGTATCCTGAAGTTTGGAAAGTGTAGTCTCCCTGCGAGGTCAAGGGGTCTGGTTGGTCGTAGCAGCCTAGTGTTGTGATCGCTTTAGGGGCATTCGTGGAAGTAGCGGTTGAGGATCCTGACTGAGCCGATACTGGTGTCGTGAAGAGAGCAAGAGCCGAGGTCAGAGCAACGGCATGGAGAAGTGATCGCGCCATTATTCACGCGATCTTCTGCCTCAACACGATGGACAAAGTTGGTGAGGCCGAATCTGAACAAAGACGCGGCTTGAGGTCGGTCTCTGTGTCGAAAGAATCAGGATATTGTAGCTGTTCGACTCGACTGGCACGCCTAGAACGAGAGATTCGCGGTTGTCGGCGGTGAGGTCGAAGTTGTTCAAATATCGGTCAGGTGGTGACTCGTCGTGTAACCATTCAAAAGCAGGTGAAGGAGCCAGTCAGTTGAAAAGGCGCAGTTGACACAAATTTCTTTGTTCTCCTTCACAGCAGTGACCCGCACTGCTATTTTTCCTGCCTTGCTCTTTTGTTAACCTTCAGCACCTAGGGTCCCCGACTATACATCAAAGGATGGAGCGGTATCGAGGTGTTTACGATTCTGTAGGGAGGTCCGTATTTTGGTCGGTTCGAGGAGGCAAAGGGGATGTTGGCTGGGAATGCAAGCTGCGTTTCAGACTTGATACACAGAGGCCCCTGAGAATCGATCCAAGTAGTAATTGAAGCTGAGCGAGTGTAAGGAGTCTCAGACGAGACTTGGCTGGTGTCTAGACGGGTGTAGAATATGCTGCTGCACTCTGCCTCGATGGCGATGTGGTGAGGTTGTTGTGATGGTCGAAAGGAATGTGGTGGTTTGGTTTCTGCGGTGGTGCAGGTGCAGGTACAGAGAGAGGAAGAGTCACAAGACTTGGGAGGAAGGGAAACGAGGTCGACGGAGCACTGGCCGGCGACTGGCAATTGCGGGTGCCTTACAGAAACCACCACGACTGCAGGACCAGGGCCAGAGAATGAATGGCACTAGGTCATGACTAGGGGAACAGACTTGATGTTTCAATTGGTTCACTAGGCAATATTGAGCAAGATGGCAAAAGGGACCTGCAGTAACATGCAAGGGCATTGGCAGGAGTGGATTGGGACCGGCTTGGAAAGGCACAAGTGCTTGCTGAAGAGAAGAAACAGCGGCAGCAAAAAATGGCTCCCCTCGGAAATTGGCTGTCAAACGCCTAGCCACGATTTAGGTATGGCTTAGGCTTGGTTTAGGCATGGTGACGCCCCCGAACCCGTCACTAGCCCCTTTAGACGGGGGTGTGGCACCCCCGGCTTCTTCTTAGCCAGCTTAGCCAGGTACCATCGGCCTCCCTGTCCAATCCACTGCGAGCCACTTGACAGCCACTTTCGCCCACGTTATCTGACTTTCTTAGCATTGAGCAACTTTGAATCTTCATATCGGTTCTCTATCAAGTGGACTGGAGTCCTGATGCTTAATTCCATCTTGATCCAGGCCAATTAATCGGACGCAAGGAATCATGAAGAGTTGTTCCAGCAGTATTGCTCTCTCTTGCTACCCCTACTCGACGCGGCAAGCCCCTTCAAGAGAAACCCGCACAGTATTTGTTCTCTTCTCGACTGGCTTCAGTCTCCTGCCGAGGCAGCAGGGAAACATTCTCGCAAGCCCCTGCGTTGGTGTGCGTGGCCTTGCTAGCAACGTCCGCTGTGATTTGCTCACCCACAACTGGGGCTGACGGAGGCCCCAGTTTGAAATCGCTGAGGGGCGTTCGGGATGGCGCTTTTGATGGCTTTGGCCTAGGTACCTCGTAGGTAGGGGCACGACGAGACGCCGCGACTGCGTCACACTTCTTTGCAGCTGGAAGCCGCGTCGTATCGCGGTCCTGTTGTTTATCCGATTGGAGGAAGCCAGATGGGCACCAGGACCAACGGTGTTCTGAGGTGGTGGTACGCGTGCCACTGCTGGCATGATCAGAGCAGTGGCGCTCGGGCGTTTTGTGGCTTGTCCAGGGCTTGATTTCGCTTGATAAGTGCATTCACATACGTACCCTTGCTCGAAGCTTGCGCAACGGCTCTTTGCAAAGGGGAAAAAAAAATAAGGACATGTGCAAGGCAGAATCTGCCTTGGCTGGGTGTAGTCTCCGGTGATACCCTGTCAAGCCATACGCCATGGCTGGAAATCGAGTTGATATTTCTGGAATATATATGGAGTTAGGTACCGAGTCGAACTAAGTAATATTTAGTACCGAGACACAACTACATAGCTAGGACCCGTTGGTGAGTCCCTCGCACGCACGCAAGCACGTCGACCGCGTACTTAACGCTGCCATACCACATTAATCATTAACTCGTCTCTGTAAATATGTATACATACAACGCGCAAGAATGACCAAGACCAGGCCGAAAAATATAAGCAACTCGGTCTCAGCACCATACTCATGCAGTTGTTGATCGCGACCCCTGGTCAGTGTCTGAGTCCAAAAGCTCATGGCAAATATATTGACCTATTCTGGGACAATGTCGTGAGCCTGCTTCCCACAATCAGGCCTCAAGGCGTCATCACTTATCTCGAAGATCCACCACCTCAAACTCCATCCCTTTAGCCTCCACGACGTGTCCCGGTCGGAGCGCGTCAGTGTAGATATTTTCGACACTGTGCGGATGGAAGATTCCGGGCTGCTCACAGCTGAGGATGGCCTTCTTCCCAGGAGGGTCCGTCAACCGATATACGCCCCAGTCGCCACCGCGGGTCGTGTCTCCCTTGCTAGGAGCACACACTATTGCCACGCTCTCCGCCAGCATCATCTGGTATCCCGCATGGGTATGCAGGTCTCGGCTACTCATAAAACACGTCTGCGTCGGATGGGTATGTATCCAACCAAGAATCATGAGGTCCTCCGAATCCACATAGTCGAAGAGCTGTGATTCATTTGTCATCTCACACGTATCCGAGGTTGCCGTTTGCGAGGGAATAATGAGTCTGCTGATGAAGAATGCGTTGGCGATGAGCGTGCCGCCTAGGAAGCCGCAGGTTTCCAGATTGGCTAACGTGTTTTTGTGCGCGAGTCGCAGAAAGGTTGTCCGCAATGTTGGTGGTAGGAATATAGTTCGTAATGGCGTGCCGTTTTCCAGATATGCCGCAGGAGCAAAAATATGCGTTGGTTCAGGTGTCTGTGACCTCACCGCAGGTTGCTCCGTCACTTTCTCTGGGCGCGGCGGGAGCGCAGCCACACTGCTACTGGGTTTTGGAGGTAAAGCTGGAGGTGGAACTGGAATATCTCTCCGGACGTCGGGAGATAATACATGAGGTATTGGAGAACTCAGCATCGGCTGAATATGATGCGCAGGGATGGTCGGATACTGATATGTCACGTTGCTGCCCATGGGTGCCGGCGGCCGGGTGATTGAGCCCTGAGGGAAGGAACTGGACCTCCCTTCTACTCGGGCTCGAATCTCCTGCAACCTCCGTGACAAATCATCTGCCTCGTTCCCGGACGGCAGCGCAGCCTGTCGACTCGCAGCTCTCCTAGAGATTTCCTTCTGCAAAAGTCTGACAGCCAGCTCCTTATTTTCGTGTGCTTGGAGTTGCTGGGCTCTTTGAGCCTGGGCCGGCCGCGGACTTGGAGGGTCACTAGCGTAATGATTCTGCGCTTGTGCACTCCGCCTTGCCTCCCTCTCTTTGATCACCTTGACGTAACGCTCATATCGCTCGTTGATTCGGGGCTTTAGCAAATCCAAGACCTTGAAATTCTCGTTGACTTCTTTCTCCGCCTCCTTTAACAGCAGTTTATTTGCTTTATCCCTAGCTTGCGGGTGGGCCGGCAACTGAGAAAGGATAAGGTGGGCATGTCGGAAGAGGAGAAGATACGTTGTCTCTTCATCACCTTCCCGGACATATACCTCTGCCTGCGGGAAAAGGTCAGCGCTGCCCTCTCAGTTGTGCTACAGGAGCCCCCAACCTCTTTCAGCATGGCTTGAGCAGACCGGAGCCAGTATCGCAGAGGAATTTGGGCGTCATATTCGTAGTCTTGAGCGGCTTTGGTAATTTGCTGGACATTTCGAGGGGGGTGCAGTGAGCCCATGCTCACCCTGAGAGCCGACATGTGTGCCAACTTCAATAACCACCTGTCTCGGAGGGGCGACGGTCCATGTGGGGTATGTTGAGAATCACCTAACCGGGCTTAATGGTCTTCGAATGCTGGACTGATCCTCCAGCGAAGTAATCCCGCTCGCTCAGAGTCACCGGGCATAGACGCAAGATTGCGCGATGCAGGAAAGTGGTGGTAGCTCTCATCGTGTTGAGAGTTGGGCAACTGCGAGTTGGTGCAAATTGAAGCCTAGTGAGCCGCAGTCAGGCGTCACTCATTTAGCAGGCCCTCCACCTTGGGGAAAGTCTTCCGAGCGGACATACACTAAGAGCATATCAAGTAGGTTAGACACCTACATATATACCCAGTACTGGGTACCGTCCCCAGTGCCCTCCATCGCCGCTTTACTCACCGCTCAACTCGCAGCCACGGTGACAGCCTCAATGACGATCTAAATCTCCACTAATTCGGCTAAGCTATGTGGAATCAGCGTAAGTCCTCGCGGGCCACGCCAATGTGCTCACCGCCAAGACCATGAGACACCAGGTTGATTGATCACCCAGCGAGCCGGCTCGCGTCACCCTTCGTCCCAAAGAGGAGCGAGTGATGTCGAATTATCCTGTGAGCGCCTGCTCGCCTGTTGAGCCAAGCGAGTTTTAGGGGCAAACCTTGCCTTCTCTGGCCGACCTGCGCCGCTTTTAAACATCCTTCACCTGGCAAACCCACCTTGAAGAATCAATTCACCTCTCACCTTTAACTCATCCACGGCCCTCCTCTTCTCTGCTCGACCATGACTTGTGCTCCGACGCCAGACTAGGATTGTCCGTGAGTGCATACTTAAAAAGGTTGTCATATTTCTTAGGCCTTGAGGGCGGGTTCACCGTCCCTGTTCCCCCCCCCCCCGACCTTCTTTCCCACTCTTTCCAATACCCCGTCTTATCTACAACATGGGTCTTCCTCCCTGTAATACAAAGGCCGAAGATCTCCCCCTGATACAGGGCCGGCCCATCCTAGCTCGACTTTTGCTCAATCTCCTATTGCGCCACAACTCACCCCCTCCTCGTGAGCAGGGTCTGGTATGGTGGCAGTGGAAGGAGGTTATTGGTGCCAATGAAGAAGGATGCCGAAGTAACTTTCACTAGTGTGCAGATACTGTCACTTGAAACTGCGCTCATACGAATTCCTGTGCGCAGTCTTCTTTGAATAGAGAGCGGAAACCCCTGCACGCCTCTGACAATACTTGCTTTCTTCACATTCTTCTGTCCTCCTTTCTCTCTGTTATATCTCTGGATGAAAAGGTCATATCAGTTCTATATTATAGCCATTCTGCGGTGCGAACTCTATCTCTCAATGCTTTGCCATGGCTTTCCTCGGAGCTGTTCTCCCGAGGAACCCCGTTAAATATCTCCTTGCCGCCTTCATCTTTCAGACCCTCTACATCCTATTCTTTCACCATTATACCAGGGAACAGGCTCGGGTACAACGCACGACACTAACGAAACACTACTCTCTGGGGGAAACCTTCGCGCACAATATAAGCATCGAGGATCATGGCCTCATGAGTATCAAAATAGCCGCCCTGTCCGACCTGGCGGAGCACTATCTCCAGCATCCCTCCCTGAATGTCCACGAAATCAGCGACGTCGTTTCGGAGCTGTTCCCTTGGTGGGACCCATCAACATTGGAATACTATCCTTGGAAGAAGTCACAATCATGGAAGTCAAACATATTTGCCAGTATGAAGTCATCCAAATCAAGCACGGGGATTGTCATGAGCGTCATGGATTCATTTGCTAAGGAAGCCGCACATCTGATCGGCTTTCTTCGGAATGTCCACAGGTGCCAGCTACCAATAGCTATTGCCTACGTTGGAGATGCGGATCTCAAGCCCCAGACTCGAGAGTTCTTGATGAAACAGGGTGATGATATCATTTTTATCGACCTTGCAAACATCTTCGATCAGCATCTCGTTCACCTGGAAGGATACGCAATCAAACCGTTTGCGCTGCTAGCTAGTCCCTATCCACGAACGATTCTAATGGACGCCGACGCTGTCTTCTTCTCAAACCCGGATAAGTTGTTCGATGAGTACCCGGGCCTACGGGATACAGGAGCATTATTCTTCCACGATAGAAATATCAATTCGGAAACCGACCGACATGACTGGCTCGGACGCCAGCTGGAAGCGGCCGGTCGATACCCTTCCGCCTACTTGAATGAGAGCTCCCTCTTCTATCGACGTTACTCCAGCGAAGAAGTCGATGCCGCCGTCGTTTGTATCGATAAGTCTAGAATTGGACTATATATGGCTGTGTTATTCACGTGCTGGATGAACACCAAGGAAGTGCGAGACGCGTCAACATTCAAGATCTGGCACGGTGACAAAGAGTCGTACTGGCTGTCCACCGAGTTAATAGGTGTACCTTATTCCTTTGAGCCTTGGTACGCGGCACGGATGTCTCAGTCGCAGGAAACTGGAATTCAATTATTTCTCGATGACGACGATGAATGGAAGAAGCAGCACCCCGGACCGCTGAAAGAACCGCAGAACGCGTTTAACCACACGGGAAGCCCTCCCCCGGAGCGCAGCTCTTGCACATTACATATGGCTCACTCGGATGCCTGGGGTGTCGAGCCCCTGTGGGCCAACGGTGCACTGTGGTACGACAAAGGAAACAAGCAACATGGTATCAGTAATTGGACACACTGGTATCTTGGCGAACCAGTCCATGCTGTTCTGGGTGCATATTCCGATCACAACTCGGACGGGTCTGGAGATGACAAGGATGACACGGCAAAGGAACAACAGGAACTGGAACGGAAAATACTGGCCACCCAGCCCGAGTGGTTATTCATGGATTGGCCCCTCGATTACAAGACATGTTTCAAGCGCGATTTGCCTCGATGGAGGCAATTGTCTGTTGATTTCCGGAATAGGCTGGAGAGAATGATGTACGAAGTTAGGAGGGTTGAGATGGAGTATGAGACAGAACTCCAAGTATAGCGAAGACCCAGCACCAATGATTGCTCAATTGTTTGGCTTATTGGAGGGTTACTATCCCGTATAGAAGGGGCTTTGGATTATCACCGAGCTTTGGTGCTATTCAGAGGGAAATGCTTTGTAGCCTTGACTGTATAAAAGAACGAAAAACGAAACACGACGACAAACATGAACTTGTTAAAATTGCCAAATCCTGAGCAATGCGACGTTGACAACGGGGCTTGTTTCGAATTTAGAATCCCGGTCCCCTGAATATGCGTCGCCACAGGTGCAAACGATATTATTCGACTGCCTTCCGCGACTACACATTCTAGGTTATGAGATGCCAATTGTCGTGGAAGGCTCTCTTGTAGAGAGGAGAGTTCTGTCATGGTGGAGATCTACCTATCTTGGCTGTGCGGTGGATAATGTTGAGAGCAAGGTGGCGTACAGTAGATATCTACTGTAGGAGAGGCGGGTGTAGCCGATCGCTAAGGGGGGGCCAGATTAGGCTGGTGGGCCAACAGTGTGATTGCTCAGGGAGTGCGCAGGGGGCGCTCAGCCATGTTCAGCCACTGGCTTAGTTAAAGCTCAGGTTTCGCTCACTCCCTAGGAGCAAACCGAATATGGCAATTGGGTTTTTCGTTTCGCGAGTACCATAGGTATTCAACAGTGCATTGATTCGAGCATTCATCTGTCCTTGTCTCGCTGTCTATCGTCCCTTGACAATTCTGGCGTCTCCCAGGTGTATCGACACACAATGAAGGCCGGGGTTCCGAGTCAAGGCCTGCCCCGACGGACACCTGAGGAGCCTCCGTGTTCAAAGTGTGAATGATCTTCGGTTCTCGACAAGGCTGAGAGGGATTTGCGCCTCGCCGTGGCGGACCTGCCGCATAGCATGTGATCCCACACACCCTCCAACAAGCAGCTGTGTCAGAGTATGTGATGTAGCAGTCCGTTGACTTCTCGCAGCTCCTAGATTGTGTTTTAATACGACGAAACCCCCTGGCCAATCGTGTATGAGGGACAAGGTTACACCGGTTTCGCTGCGCTCCGACTCCCCGCCGAGCCGCATGGGACCCTATATAAGTTATGTGCCCAATTTCTCACCTCGCAATGTGAACATCATGGGAACAGCGGGAGCTGAGGAAAAATTACCCGGTAGGTTTGAGCGGTAATGCTTCAGAGTTGTAGCAGGCTGGAACTATGAGAAGCTTACACCTGATTTTGATGCTGAGGTCGGTTCACCTCCACTTCTCGCAAAAGTCTGGCCCCGATCATTCTTCCTCGCTGCTAACGACATAGAGTCTAGGGCATACCGCTTCGTGAAAGCGATATTCAAATACCTCGCTGCAGTGAATCTTACCCCGGTACCGGTGTCAGGTCACCCAATTTATACTAGCTCCCAGGATGTATCTGTGATTGTACCGACGATTGACCCCGATCCGTCGACGTTTCAAGATGCCCTGTTGACGTGGTATGATAATGGCCCACGAGAAATCATCATTGTCACGACCCAAGCCTACCTTAGCCAGGTCAGAGATCTTGTCGATGATGCTTTAAAAAATGTTTCGGGGAAGTCCGTGAAGCAAAGCGGAGAAGTTGTCAAGGCCGTTGCCATTCCTCGGGTTAATATTTTCAGTATTACGCGCGCCAGTAAAAGGAAGCAACTCGCTCACGGCATTTCCCAAGCTGGTGGCAGGATAGTGGTACTCTGCGATGACGACGTCTTTTGGCCGACCAGCGATGTCAACGATCATGGCTTCTTAAGCCGTGTGCTGGCGTGCTTTGAGGATGCCCGTGTGGGCGGCGTGGGCACATTACAGCGTGCCCGACCCCCAACAGTTGACGCCCAGGAACACAGCATATTTGAACCTGAACCTAGTTATGGTCAGGCCACTTCTGCTCCCAACTCGGTCACCAGAACCATCGCCGAGGAGCTGGCGGCCTGGCGCCTGTGCCAGCGAAACTTCAGCATAGCCGGCACCCAATTCCTCGACGGTAGTATAACCTGCCTCTCTGGCCGCACCGCCGCCTATCGTGCTTCGGTTCTCAAGGACGAAGCATTCATTCGACAGTTCACTCATGACCTTTGGAGGGGAAAACAACTCTTGGATTCTGGCGACGACACATTCATTACGCGGTGGCTCTATTCCCACGGCTGGCGTGTGAGGATTCAAATGGACTCCGAGGCAAGGATCGAGACGACGGTCGCCAAAGATTGGCGCAAGTTCGGCAAGCAAATGCTAAGATGGACGAGGAATTCCAGGCGGAGTTACCTCAGGTGCTTATTCGGTATACCGGGCATTTGGAGGTAAGCTGCAGTTACGCAGGGGTGCTTGTGCCGACTCTGGCTCACACATGTGTTGATGTCCTACGGCTTCTTGAGATGTTGTTCGGAATCGTGCCAGTGCTGATTTTGGGTTCCGCCGAATCGCAGGCGCTATCCGTACCTCACATTCATTATGTTGGAAGCTCTGTTTCAGCCTGTGGTTGCGTGCTGGACGTGGTACCTCTGCCTGCGGGCATTTTACTCAGAAACTGCAACGACAAGGTATGGCCTTTCGCTCGAACCCCTCACAGCTTCCGCGTCAGGCAAACATCTTTCCGTAGAGTTCTGGTTTTTGATATTCCTGCACAGGTTGTGTCTCGCGCTAGCCGAGATAGCCTATCATTTTGGCAGGACATATACTTTGCAGTACTTTGGTGGAAGGTCATTCACTCCAGGGAAGTTATGGATATCTTGCCTCGCAGATTTGGCGAGAACACCAATCAACCTTTACACGTTTTGGACTCTGGACAAAGTGAGTGTATCTGACGGCTTGCTCCTCAACCATTGAGTCAGGACTCGTCCATGATGGGTGTTCTTGACTGACATAGAAAGCAGGAAGAATGGGGCTCTCGTGAACTTTCAGAAGGGAACACAGTGGAATAGTCTCCAGTCTGCTCGATATCGAGAGGCTTGAAAGCTGACTCTACTGAAGGTCCACTGGCGAAGGTCGATCATGCGTGATCATCTGATATCACGTAGCCTTTCTGGCCGATTGTCGAAAATCGTCCCACTTATATCTCTTTCGATATTGCTGGAAACGAACCCTAGAATCTTTTTCGAGAGGATGTCATGCACGCAATCTTGGTCGGTAATATCGGAGAGGACCTGGTCTAGCTCTTCTGAGAGATGGGACCTTTTGGATGCGTTGTCGGCGCTCTCGTCTTCCCTGTATAGTGTCAAAAGGTTGTTCATGACTATTGCCTTGTCAAGGTTGCGAGTAGAACACGTAGTTCTCTCGATAAGGTGGCTCGATGTCGCGTCCTTGTGTTGATTATTAGCTTCTTCCAGCAGAAGTAAAGGCTGCTCTGCTTGCTTGTCTGTTTGGGATTGAAGATCAGGGTCGCAAAGTCCATTTGTATCAGGCTGTGACAAGTACCATCCGTTTACATAAGCCAAGTTGAACTTTGACCGGAGAGTAAGGATGTTGTTCGGGCCCAGAGCCCCGGATCTTCCCGTCCAAGCTGTCCTAAATTTTCCTGCTGCCGCTGCCCATTCTCCCAGCCCTGCATAAGCAATTCCAGCGTTGTGTTGTATCGACAAGGCGGACAGGTGATTTGCATCAAAGACTTGCACCCAGGCTTCATAAACCAAGTTGAGAAGTTCAAGAGCTTCTGCATAATGACCCTGATAGATCTCGAGGCAGGCAATTGCATTCTGCGTCACCATGATTGACGGATGACTTCCTGGTAGCGACCTTTGCTTGGTGTCCAGAGCGCCATCAAATAGGTTGCGAGCGAGGTCAAATTTGCCAAATCGCATGTAGACAGAACCGAGACTGTTCTGGGCTCGTCCGATATCTGAATGAGGGCTTTTTAATACTTTGGTTCGGTGTTCCAATACGTCCTTGCACATTTTTTCTGCTTCTTCCAGGCGCTCCTGCTGTTCCAGAACGAGAGCAAGATTGTGCATGGTAGTGAGTGTCTGCGGCTTGGTTGGACCTATAAGTCTAGATCTTCCCTCCCACGCTTTTCGGTAAACCGTTTCTGCTTCTTCGAATCGACATTGGTACTCATAGACCGATCCGAGGTTATGCAAAGTTCGTAGGCATTCTGGGTGGGAAGGGTCTAGTATCTTGCCGTATGCTTCAAGCACTTGGATGTAAGATTTCTCGGCTTCGTGCAACCGTCCCTGCATGTCGTGGACGGCTGCGAGTCCGTCAACAGCCCGGAGCGTATTAGTACTTTCGCCGCCATAGAGTGATGCCCAAGCGTTGTAGACCGTCTTGTAAGTTGACTCGGACTCTGACAAGGCTCCGAGGCTCCTCTGCAGCAACGCCAGATTTTCGTAGATTCGAATCTCCTCCTTGTTATGAAGTTTTGGAGCGGGAGATCGATGTTTCAGGTCACTGTATAAGTCAAGGGCTTCCTGTAGTTGGTCTTGGATTCGGTAGATGCGTATGAGAGAGGCTGTGACTTCCCACAACTGAAGTTGAACTTCCTCATTGCTTGGCTCGAGCTGCTCGAGGATCATCCTGCACCGGTGGAACAGCTTCGACGCTTCGTTGTTTCGACCTTGCAACGCAAGCACTGCAGCAAGTAAGTGAGTGGCATTGGAGTATTGCGAGCTCAGTTCTCCATGGTCCAAATTCGCATTCTCGGCCATCTTTTGTAAGAGATTGACTAGATATTCTCGGAGCCAGCCATGCTGGCTTGAACTTCCACCATTTTCGGTCATGCTTGCAGCGATGTTTTCCGACCAGCCGTTTAAATATGACTGCAACAGAAGTATATTGCCACTGGTGGTCTCATTCTGTGATCTCACAGCTCTTGCGTGGTTCAGCCAAATCAGAGCTTGTGGTGAATCCCTGAAGGCCTGCAGCTTGGCCAGCAGAGGGATTCCGAGCTGCCCGGAAGAAACAAAATGAGAGATCCATTTCAAAGTGCTGTATTCATAGAATCCAAAGCGATTTGGATTCCACCCCTCGATTGTGCGTGTCTTCAACTTCAGACCGCGGCCCTGAGATAACAAATAGTCGAGACAGCGTTCTGCAGCCCAACAGTGCGCAGCTTTCTCCTCGGCGAAGAAGGCCTCGCAATCGGTAGGAACTTCTGCTGTGCTATCACGAAATGTTCCTTGAGTGAGAAAAAACTCCTTGACACTCAGATGAACGAATTGCACGCATAGAGAGTCGGGGTCACCGTTGGACTTGAGAGGTGCTAACTCAACGAATGGACCACATATTTCAGGCACAAGCTTCTCAAATAGGCGTGGGTTGCTTTGCGCGTCAGTGGAGTCAAGGGCTACAGCCTCTTCTATACCATTAATGCCCAATGGCCTCAAACTGCAAGATAACCAGGTGAATATTTTCCGAGACAGCTCAAGTTTCCGGCGCTGCTTCTTGAGCTTCCCAGCGATATTGGAAAGTATGTTGAGGTACAGCTCCGTTAATCCATCAGGGTTGCTATCGAGTGCTGAGCTGACATCAGAAAGGCTGGGTAGTTGCAACAGGAATTCGGTCATCATGCGAGTCCAGATAAACAGCCCGTTATTAGCTTTAGTCAGCGATTTGGTGATGGCTACCTCAGTTGTTGTATTCGAAATGCCGTGGTGCTCGGTGATTTTTTTAACACAGGTCGGCACTATCTTTGCAATATCTGCATCGATGTTCTCGGAAGACATGACAATCTTTTGAACACCTAAAAGGAGCTTTGCAACCTCGATCTGAGGGCGACTGGCAACACATATTTTGAGGTAATCTGAGCCGGAGGGCCCGCTGAAAAGACGATTAACTTGTTGTAATATTTCCCGCCATTCAGGTGATTCGTCGAGTGCATCCACGAATAGATAGACATAGGCTGAGGTGGTTGTCCAGTGCAATATCAGGCCGCTCAGGAGCTCTTCAAGCTCTTCCAATGTTGCCAGTCGAGCAAAACGGCGGTTGAATGCTCCCATGACAATATCTAGGACTCTCTGATTTTGGATTTGCCCGTGTATCAGCTGTTGGATCAATGCGCGGTGGAGGGCAAGAGCGGTAGAGCTGGATTCTGCAGAAGCTTTATTGTCGCAGAAGAAATATGCGATTCTGTCTTTGTAATTATGTTGTTGTATGGACGCTTGAATCTTGCCCACGAGATATGCCATCATTACTGTCTTCCCACTTCCCAATTTACCGGTGACCCAGACCGATCTTGACTTCTGACGTCCAAGAAAGGATCCAATAGCAGGATTAGCATCAATCCAGCTGCATGTGCCTTCATGTCGAAGGTCGCGAGCACGGCTTAAGCGTAGCCGATAATCCGCGTCATCAGCACTCAGCCATTCAAATAAGTTGTGCCAGTCTCTCGAGACATTGGCCTGGTGAGTTAAGTCCAATTCGTGCAGCGCATAGTTGCGAAAGGTGGCGCTCTTAAGCTCGTGATTCGATCGCGCCTCAAGCTCAAGATTTGACATCTCGTAGACAATACTGTTGATGATACGATTCAAACTGGATCGTAGCTCGGCATTGAACGCGACATTGACACTCTTGGACGTGTGAGAAGCAGACCTAGAAAACTTCTCCTTCAGTTTGCCCAAGGCTGAGGACTGGGAGACTTTCGGATTAGAATCTTGCAAGTAATATGCAACAGTGATAAAGAATTCCAGCATTGCGGCGTAGACATTAGCGAGTGCATCTTGCAGCGTCTTGGATTCGGGATGTAGCTCCGCATATGTCCTCATACGTGGCAAGGCGTCAGTGATGCGCTTGATCATGTCAGCAATTTCGTCGTAGAAGTCGGCGAATTTGCGGAGCAACTAAGGAGTCAGTTTTTGGTAGGGGAAGGGAGCAGGCGAGCACTCAACAATGCACATCATTCGCACCGAACCCCATATTGGCGACAGGATGGTGGTATTCATTTGAGCAAGGGCGTCGACTGCCGGAAAGTACTCGCCGAGGTATGAAATGAATGGCTTCAAGGCGGTTGTCGCCCGTCTCGAATGGCTTCGGTTGGCATGACAAACATCGAGGTCGGTGACCACTGCAAGTGCAACCTCTAGTGAAGTCGTTTCAAACATTGATTTCATTTTGGCATCAAGCTGTTTCCATTGTGGGAGAGCTTGGACACGTGTCCTTGCTCGATTCATAGGAGATCTTGTAAAGGGAGTTAAAAGATCTTCTCCGTTCACTTGCAGGGCAACCTCGCGGCAGACTTACAGTTGCTGTGCTGGCGGCTTCGTAAAGTCGGTTGGGGAAGTCAAGCTTTCTGAAATCACGGGTAACACCTGGCTGGACATCTTTGATCGCACACGGGTTTTCTAAAGAAAAAAGGAAGCACGAGGATTAGGCTGAGTGGGAAAGCATGGCTTGCGCTTTAGCGGTTGTCTTAAAAGGCGGACGACAACAACTCAAACCACGTTCTCATGTTGTAGAGAGCAGGGCTTTTGAGCTCGACCTCATGAGCAACCCTAATCTAGGCCAGCGGTGAGAAATAAGCTGAGGCCGTGGCAGAGGCATTGGGTTTCTCTAAGAGAACATCAGATATCTCGCCAGGCAACGAAGGACGAAATCATAAAACGAAGTTGGTTTCGGGTTGGTTGGGCTACGGCAGTTCATTCTGCATGCTATAGCTGTTCGTTTGATCCGCCCGAATTCTCCAGTAACAAAAGTAGCCGTCCTTCCACTTTTGTTATATGCGGAATTCAAGCCATCGAGAATGGACGAAGATGCATTTGTAAAGATATATGGAGTGGCGATCAAATACAGCACATGCCATGGTAGCATTCCGACAATTACCCAATTTCCAAACATTGTCCCTCCGTCCACTGGCGCCTACCGTCTAGCAGGCCCGCAGGCATGGACGTCTGGCTTCTTTGCTGGCCTCCTGTGGCAGTGGTATTCTTGGTCCCTTGACCATCCACAGCTGGTTCCATCCACAGAACTGGAAACTTTGGCACGAACTTGGACAATTCCGCTGGCAGTGTCTGCCCAGAAGAGTAGTCACGATGTTGGCTTCTTGATCAACAACACATTTGGTGCAGATTATGAGCTGACAGGGAATGAAGCAGCATTACCTACGTTGATTGCAGCGGCAGAGAACCTCCTGGGACGTTTTAGCGACCGAACAGGCTTCACCAGGAGCTGGGATCGCATGGGGCCATATCAAGATCCCAACAAAACTTTCTTGGTCATTATAGACAACATGATGAATCTCGAACTCTTGTTCCATGTCTCCAAAATAACGGGGAAACAAGAGTTTGCCGAAGCCGCTATTAATCATGCTCGAAACGTCGCTCAAAAGCAGATCCGACCGGATGGAAGCGTCTGGCATTTACTTGTTTGCGATCCTCACTCCGACCAGATCTTAGAGCGTACAACCTGGCAAGGCATCTCAGACGAAAGTACATGGAGTCGTGGCCAAGCATGGGGTATCTATGGTTTTGCTGCTGCCTATCGATGGACAGGAATTACGCTCTTCCAAGAGAAATCGATCGAGATGGCCGAGTATTTCTTGAGCCGTTTGCCGAAGGATGGGATCCCACCTTGGGATTTTGATGCGCCGGAGCCTGCTGTGAAAGATACTTCTGCCGCGACAATTGCTGCTAGTGGCATGCTTTATCTAATTTCGACAGCAAGGCCAGACCAGCCAGCTCTCAGGAAATACCTTCTTGGAGCTAAAGAACTGATACACAGTACGCTAGCATATGCACGGTCCAAACCGTCCTCGTTCACTGAGAAAAATGGACATCTCCAGATTCACGACCTAGGATTCGAGTCTATATTGATGCATGCCACGCCAAACTTGAGTCAAAGACCTCCTGAGCAGATCTTCGATGTCGGAGTGGTTTATGCCGACTACTATCTTATCGAGGCTCTTCAGAGACTCGAGAGATTTTGTGGCGGGGGCTAAGGCCGCGATGAAATATCGCAGTGCGAGAAAGAGCTGTGGTGACAGGTACAAGGGGTGATGACCATCCCATAGATGCCAACTCCAGCGTCGCAGCGGCTCGGCGTCTGGGACATGACGAGTAATACGAGTCTAGATTGCCCGATTTATCAGATCAGCAGCTTTTTGGACAAGTTTGCCGTGTATATATTGTTGAGCGAAGCGAAACAGGACAAACTGTATCTGCACAAGCAGAAGGGGAACACTCATGCCATACCCCACTCATGGTAGAATGCTCTATCTTTACGCCGACTTGGCGAGGGACTCCCCCATGGCGATCTTTATACGCGGTCAACCTATTGCTACTTCCAGCTGACAAAGCGTGATCGACAATCCATTCCACTTGGGTGCTCAGGATGCTCTCCTGGTGATGGATCATGGAGAACACAACTGGCTACAACGTCTGCCCGCAGGCAGGAAGCAATGCTACAGACGGCAGCCTTCCCGACATCTCTGACTAACCTGTGCGTATGCAGGAACCAAATACAAGCCTCTTGCATGGGATGAAGACATAGAAGGTAAGATATGATGAATTGAAGCCGTTGGCATGACGATCACAGGGCTCAGAGATGGCCAGATGATTCGTCTATAAAACCGTCAAAGCGACATCCATAATGTCGAATTCGCTGCAAGCCAAATCATCCCGATGCTACAGCAAGTCTAGTTAGCAAAACTACCTGGACAAGATGTCTTCTTGGATAAAGCCTTACCAGATCTCCATCTCCGACTCCTGCATCCAAGAGCTCAATTCCAAGCTTGACAACGCCAGATTTCCCAATGAACTGGGCTCTGCAGGATGGGACATGGGTATCCCTTTATCCGACATCCAGCGACTCACAAAATTCTGGTGGCATGAGTTCAACTGGCGAAAAGCTGAAGGAAAGCTCAACGAGCTGCCTCATTTCATCACTCCAATCCAGTGCGAAGGCTATGAGTCTCTGGAGATCCATTTCCTGCACAAGAAAAGCGTGGTCAAAGGGGCGATCCCACTGCTTTTTGTCCATGGCTGGCCCGGGAACTTTCTGGAGGTCACCAAAATCATTGATCTCCTATCCAGCCACACTCTGGGTCAAGTGTCATTCCATATCGTCGCGCCGTCGCTGCCGAATTTTGGATTCTCAGAAGGCACGGAGAAGCGTGGGTTCTCGGTCGAGCAGTATGCAGAGACGTTGCATAAGCTTATGCTGAGGCTTGGATATGATCAATATATTACTCAAGGCGGTAAGTTCAACTATATGGCACCTAAGTCTGCAATCCCGGTCGTTGAAAAATACAGACGAGACTGACTGTTGGGTACATAGGCGACTGGGGTTACTATATTGCTCGCGCCCTCTCGGCCCTCTATCCACAACACTGCAAAGCCACGCACTTCAATATGGACGTAGGCACGCGACCTTCTCTCCTCACGCACCCGTTTCTTTTTATCTCCTCCATCTTTCACCGACTCACCCGGCGAGAGAAACAAGGCATCACGCGCACCGCATGGTTCGACAGAGAAGGCTTCGGCTATAACCTCCTTCAATCCACGAAGCCACAGACAATAGGCTACGCGTTGGCCGACAGCCCTGTGGCCCTGTTGGCGTGGATCTATGAGAAACTCCACGACTGGACGGATGGGTACCCTTGGAGTGAGCATTCCCCCACCCCATGACGAACAGACCCCTGAACACCGCACCGGGACCGCCACGAGACCTCCCGTTGTCTGGCTCAATGATCATAATAGGATGGGCTAATGACAAGCTTGCTACTCTTAGCCGACGACGAAATCTGCACCTGGCTAAGCATCTACTACTTCAGCACCGCCGGCCCCGCATCCTCCTGTCGCATTTACTACGAAATGGGCCGCTCGGGCCCCTGGGGAACCCGTCTGACCCGAGAACAACTCAGAGCATATCAGGGCAATGGGGTGAAGGTCGGGATCAGCCATTTTCTGCGCGATATTCATGTCTTGCGGAGCTCGTGGACGCGGACGGTCGGCGACGTCGTGTTCGAGAGGGATCATGAGAGGGGAGGACATTTCGCGGCGTGGGAACGTCCCGAAGATGTTGTGGGTGATGTTCGGGAGATGTTTGGACGGGGTGGCGGTGCGTACGGGGTTGTGGAAGGGAGGAATGGATATTAATCGAGTTAATAGGACTTTTCCAATATTTCGGCATACAGGGAAGTCTTCTACTTCAGCTCTTCAATCCTCGACATCCCGCCTGTCATGCCACGCATTCCGCTCGGCCCAGCCTGATCATCATCGTCGTCCTCATCTAGCTCATCCTTGGGCATCCGCAATCCCATCATGCCCATCAGATTGCCACCTGGCCCGGCCTTGCCAGCCTGGGCCTTGAGACTCTCCAATAGATTCCTGGCCAAGTTGACGTCGATTTCGTTGTCGATGTCGTCGTCCGAGGACAACTCGTAGGGCTCGTCTTCGTCAGCATTCTGCTTCTCAGCCTCTGGCGTGTAATCTTTGATCGCTTTCTGTTTGCCGGCGGACGAGGACGATCCGAGGTCCAAGGCGCCATGACCTCGAAGCTCTGCCTCCATCTGTTTCATGAATGTCTGCATGTCGGCGTCACCTTCCGCCTCTTCATCATCGTCCATTGTGTCCAAATCTCGAACTTCGGGCGGTCTCAACGCAGATCGATTGGCCGGGTCCTGGGCACCCGGGCCAAGTTTCCCCGTCATGATCTCCTTCATCACCTCTGGCGGCATGCCCATCATTTCCTGCATCATCTTGCTAAACTCGTCTTCACCGAAACTAGCTTCTTTGTCCTCGCCTTCGTCGTCCTCATCTTCATCATCTTCATCAAGCCCGTCATCATCGAAATCATTATCACTGTCTTCGTCGAACAATCCCGCGCCGTCTGGACCGGCTTTATCGTCGTTCAAAAACTCCTCAAATTGCTTCACGATTCTCTGTAGATTCTCTTGCGCCGCCTTATCGCCGAAGCCAGTTTTCTTGCCTTTGCCTCCGGTTTGTCCTTGGCGGCCACCGAGCTCATTCTCGAGATCGTCAAAACCGATATCAAGCCACTTCTCATCATCTTCCCGCTGATCCCATGTTGCTATTTCAGTTTCAGACGGTAGGACCTCATCTCCAGAATCTAGGTCATCGAGGAGCATCTTCATTTCGCGCACCGCAGGCCGATCTTGATGTTGAGGATCCGAGACTAGCATTTCAAATCCACAAGTGACTTTCATCCCCGTTTCGGCGCGAACATAGGCTTTTGGATCTGTTCCTGATGGCATCGCGTCCACGAATACAGCTGGTGCCGGGAATTCCTGTGACTTGATTTGCGCATATGCCACGCGAGGGAATTTGACGCTGACTGTCACGAAATCTTCAGGGGCGAAAACCAGCTTGTCCTTGTTTTCCTTGTTTTGTAGTGGTTTTAGTGCGATTGGGTCTCTAAGATAGAATGCCTCTACCGCGGGCGCAATGTAGGCTGGCTTGTGATGAAGCAGATATGCAAGTTTCCGAGGTATTGCGATCAACGCATGATGCATGTTCTCTGAAATCTGGGCAGGATAGTTTCGCAGTCGAAAGAATGCTTCTTCCTCCATGCTTATCGAGTGCATCAACCTCTTTGGCTCATTCACGATGATTTCCCTGGCTTGCGAGAGAGACAATTTCTCCTCTGTTCGCTTTGAGCTTCTCGAAGCGTTCGCAGGCTTGATGATTTTCAACTGCCCATCGTGGATCCAGACACGGTTCTCGGCGACATCGGGCTCTAGCCAAGATGGTAATGTACCAGAGGCTTCGATGAGGAGGAACTCGCCATCGCTGTCTGTGACTTTGACCCATAGGTCATTGAACTTGTTCGTCAGCTCCCGTAGGAGCCAGACTATGGCCCATTCATCTTCCACGGAGTCGCCATATTCGGTCTGCCCGCGCAAAAAACTCAAACCTAACTCCTTGTTAGTCTATTCTCAGCTGCCCCTGTCAAATTCATACAGACCTCACCATCCTCTTTATTCAGCTCTAGGGAAAACCCTTGGCGCTGCCATATATAGTCTTTCAAATAATGCCGATGGAGGTCTGTTGCATATTTCTGTACCTCCCGCAGTCGCAGTCGCAACTCAGAGTCATGGCTTGGATCGAGTGAGGGCGAAATTATGTAGAGGGAGTATTCGATACAGTCGTCTGGCAAAGCAGGTTTCGGGATGGGATGAAAAGTAGAGCGGAACCACGCGATGTCTTCTTCTGTCGTAGGCATACTGGGACGGTCTTTGTTGGTAAAAAAGAAATCTCAGGAGGCTTGCAAATGACCGCGTATGTACGACGTACTCTGCAAATGGCTCGATGGCGACACTTGGACTTTGGTGGATTAAAAGTCGAGAATCATTTGCCCTGCGAGATCCATGAGATCATTCTGCAGACGCCAAGCCCCGCAGCACGGACTATTCCCTTTTCGGCTAAACAACAACAAGCAACAACCGCGAGATTCTGTGAGTTTGGAAAGTAACACACACTGCTTCGAAAACAAGAGAGTATGGTTAGTTGTTCGGCTTCAGATTAATCCTCCTTAAACTCAAGGTGATCAGCTTAGTCACCGGGCGTTGAGCCAAGTCCCCCCACCATGTCCAACTATATCAATACGCCACAAGCGACTGATGCTTCGTACATCACCAATGGCCTGGATCGCCTTGGGGAGATTTCGCCAGAGAAGTCTTTTGCAGCGCCCCCGGGGAATCGTGATTTGATCAGTCAGATGAGAAACGCCAAAAGCCAGGGCGTCAACCTCCGTACCCCTCGAGCTGGCCTACGGGATCCATTGCGCCTGCTTCCAAATGGCAATCAGGTTCGCTCCGAGTTCACGCCGCTCATGCAAAGTGCCGCAAAGAAGAACATCGCGCGTCGCCTTTCGAGCAAAAAGGCCGGTGCTCTAACCACTCCTTCCTACCTGAAAGACGGGAACACTCCTGGAGTCCCAAGACTCAGCGATATATCGCAGTTTGCGAGCGAACACACCACCAGTTCGGCCGGAAATGCAATTGACAATACTCCAATGCCTCAGCAGATTAGCAGCAGCGCGCAAAGCACACCTCTCGCCCAACTACCTGGACGAGACGCAGCTGGACTCGTTAACGATGGGAATATGATGACGTTGCGCGAGCAAGAAAGCATTATCGACAAGATTGAGAAAGAGAACTTTGGCTTGAAGATGAAGATACATTTCTTGGAAGAGGCTTTGTCAAAGCGAGGCAACGAATTCAATCAAGCGGCACTCAAAGAGAATACCGACTTAAAGGTCAATAAGATCAGTATGCAGCGCGAATTACACAAGTTCAAGAAGAACATTGCCCAAGCTGAGAAGGATGCGGAGGTCTACCGGCTGCAGCTTGAAGAGTTCAAAGAACGAATCAGACGAAAACAGGTGGATGAAAGTGTCCGGGCCGAGCTTGAGACTCTCCGAACGGAGGTGAAAGCAAGGGACAAGCAAATCAAGGCATTAGAAGACGAGAGAGACTCCGCAAAAGAGCAAGGGAAGACGATTGTCGAGAAGCTGCAAGATGAGATTGATGATCTCCGGGTCGAACTACGGGAGAAGGATCGGAAACTTGATGAGAGAGATGACCAAATTGATGTGCTAAAAGCGCAGGCAAGCAAGGAATCCAATGATGTTGCTGAAATCGAGGATGGACTGGAGTCTGCGCGGCAAGAAATTGAAGATCTCAAGCAGAATCTCGAGCGAGCAAAGGCAGTAGCACAAGAAGCAAAGGAAAGCCAGGAAGAGGCTCTGGATGAAAAGCGCAAAGCAGAAGAAGACCTAGATGAGCTGCGCGACGAAATGGCCAATAAGTCCTTTACCACTAAAGGACTGAGCAGACAGCTTGAAGAGAAGGCAAATAAGCTTGAAGATGATTTACAAGACTTGCAAGAACGGCACAATGCCTTGCAAGTCGAGCTTGCACAGAAGTCGGATTCAGAGCGGCAGTTGCGTGAGAAAGTCCGAGAAGTGGAACGGGAAGGAGGATCAGGCCTTCGAAAGCTGCAGCAAGATCTCGATCAGTCTCAGCAACAACGTGATACTTTCGAACGCAAACTGAACAACATGACCAAACAACTCGAGACTATCGAGAAAGAATTGCAAGTCAAAGTCGAAGAGAAAGATCTCCTGCAAACACGTCATGACGCTTTGACCAAGGAATCTGCGGAACTGCAGAAAGACCTCTCTAAAGCACAGAAATCAATTCGAGACCTCGAACACGCTCTCGATGAAGAGAGGCAACACTCAGCGCAGAATGAAATCGCCTTGAGATCGCAGCATAAGCAAGAGATCGATCTTTTGAACGAACAGATCGACGGACTGCACCGTGAAGTGCATTCCAAAGAACGGGACCATGCAGCTGATCTGGAGGAGTGGGAAGCACAGAGACGGACGCTTGAAGCAGCTTCGCGGAAAGCGGAGGAGAAGGCAAATGGGCTTCAACGCACAGTGGACAAGCTCCAAGACGCGCAAGGAACAATCAATGGCAGTGAAATGAAGCTGCAAGCGGCGCTCGAAAGCGAGAAGCAACGACATTATCAGGAAGAGCAGGTCCTTTCCAAGCAAATTGAGGAGCTTCAACATGACCTCGCCAACAAACGGACTGCGTCGGACGAAAGTCGGTTGGAGCTCAACAACGCCAAGGAAGAGCTGCGTATCTCGATCCGGGAACAAGCTGCACTGAAAGAAAAAGTGGCTGAACTGGAAGAGGAAATCGAGGTGCTGCAGGCAGATATCGAGCAAGAGCACGAGTTCGCAGAGAAACAGCAACAGAAATACTCCACCCACGCGGATGCCCAGGTTCAGCAGATGCGGCAAGAAAGGCAGTCTCTGCAGGCAGAACTTGCGAGCCTCAGGAGTGAACTTCAGGATGCACGCTTGGCTCAGGAAAGTGCCGAGCTCGAACGCGATGCCCTCGAGACCAAACTTCAAAATGCTTCGAAATCCAACGACGACACCTTCAGCATCGACCAAGAGAAGCGAGAGCTGAAGCGCATCAAAGTTAAGTTGGAGAAAGACGTTGCGCGCTTGACAACGGAGCGCGACAATCTGCACGAAGCTAACCAAGCTTTGGAAGACGAGATCAATGCCGAACTTGAGCGATCAAGCGAGGAAGAGAATCGCTTGAACGCGGAGATAGATTCGCTCCGCAACCAGAAAGCCCTTAATGCAGAGAACAGAGACCGCGAATTGGCCTCCGCAAAGAATAAGGTTGCTCGTTTGGAGACTCGAATCAAAGATTTGGAGACCATGCTAGACAATCAGTCGAAGATTGTGGCTTCACCAGCTGGAGATGTGTCTAGTCTCAGACAGGATTTGGTTGAAGCAAGGAAAAATGAAACAGCGGCCACAAAAAGAGAAACAGACCTGAAAGCAGCCAACCGAGACTTGAAGATGCAGGTCAATGAACTCGAACGTGAGCTACATGAAGCCAAACTTGCCCAATACAAAGCCAAATCACCGTCACTCTCACCCCCTCCATCACACTCGAAAGAACTGGCGAAGCTTCGACAAGAACTCGTCGACACTCGAGCCGAAATCCAAGTTCTCAGCTCGGAAAATCGCGACTTGAAGCGCGCTGCCCGTCGAGCTTCTATCGACCAGGATCAGCTGGTCACCCTGCAGACTCAGATCAAATCTCGAACTGCAGAAGTGGAATCATTAGGTGTGAAGGTTGCAGAGCAGAATGACCTTGTTGATGATCTGCGCGAGCAGCTAAATCGTCTCCGCGAAAAAGATGGGGAGACACAACACCTCTCATCGAGCATCCGCAAACGTGATAGGCAGATTAGTGATCTCAAAGCACAACTCAAACGGTTGCGGGGGGAGCAGGAAGAAGCCAATGACTTTTCCATGCGACTCTCAGTTCGTGACGATGAAGCTCGTGAGATGAAACACCAGCTTCGACGTCTCCGGGAAGAGCGCAGCCTTGCCAACAAAAAGGCTAAAGCTGTGGAAAACGAGCTCGAGGCGCTGCAGAGCAAGTATGAAGATATGCTAGAGCGGCTGACATCTGGCAAGTCAAGCAAAGATGAGATTCGAGCAAAGGAGATGAAGGGCCTGGTCAAAGAGATTATGTGGTTGAAGGCCAAATGCAAACGGGAAGAACGCCTGCGCAAGGATCTTGCTTGGAGCAAAGCATTCCTGGAGCAGGGCGAGGCGGTGAGAGTCGAGTGGTATGCTCTTGCCTACCTGTGTTCTTCTGTGCCGTACACTGACCAATTTGATAGCAACCAGGTTGATCTGCATATATTGGGAGAAATGGGCGTGGCCCTTGATAGACGCAAGTACGAGGTCAAGCTGAAACCAGTCCAGAAATTGCGTGCCGGTGTGCTTGCCGTAATCGCTGCCATTCGCATGAGCAAGATGGAAGAACAGTGGAGAGAAGCCAAACTGCTCGGTGAAGAGCTGAATTGGATACGAATCAGACAATCGAGGCAGCGTTCAACGAGACGTGTTTTGGAGATTTGAGATGGATGCATTGGCTTCTCAGGACGTTTATTGGAATTGCATGGCAGCCTTTGCATGTCGTTGGCGTCGGTCATGGGCGGGCTTTGCATTGTTCGGCGTCTTCTTCAGGCTCACGATGGTATGACCTCTCTTCGGTTGCTTGGGTTTTAACAGAGATGCTTTCTATCCTCATCATGAACCAGCCTTGGTCAACTTCATCGTTCCAACGGCCTTTAAAAGCGGAGAAGAGCGTCGATCCCGCCGCTGACTTCGTCGTGTTGCATCATCGCATTCTTCTTATGCCATATCTCTCAATCGTGCCAGACCCCACACATGCCCGTGTGAACCTGAGGAGATTTTGATCATCACGGAATATCAGCGAGGGATTTGATCGTCTGGTTGATCCGGAGTCTGGAACTTATTTCATCCTTGAATATCTCTTCCGGGACACGAACTATACGGATATCCAATCCAAGACAGCGCGGCAAAACCCCAGGCCTCCTTTAACTGCACAGCAGTCATGAACGGGCAAAACTACGACGCCACCGGCGTCGAGTTCTACACGATCGAAAACTTCTCCTTCTCAAGCGGCACGACGCTGCACGACGTACGCGTCGCATATCGAAGCTACAACCCTTCGTCCACCGCGGGCGTTGTGCTGATCCCGACATGCTACTCTGGGCTCATCAACACGACATTGACATTCACCTCTGCTCCCAATGACGCCCTGGCGAAATACCACGTTGTGGTGGTGGCGATGCTGGGCAACGGCGAGAGCGCCAGCCCGTCGAACAAGCCCTTCTTCCCGGAGCCGGGCGAGTTACGGTACGAGGACGTGGTCCGCGCGCAGTACGCTCTGGTGACGGAGCACCTCACAGTCCCCGCGCTGGAAGCGGTCGTGGGCTTCTCCATGGGCGGCCAGCAGGCGTACCACTGGGCGGTCATGTACCCTGGGTTCGTGAAGCGGATCGTGGTCATCTGCTCCGCGGCGCGGACGAGCCTGCACAACTACGCGTTCCTCGAGGGTCCCGTTGCCGCGCTGACCAGCTCGATCGACTACGTCGCGTGGAAGGCCATGAAGGAGAAGGTGGCGCGCGGGGAGAACGTCGGCGTCAACCTCAAGGAGGTCGTTCCCAAACGGGGGCTCAGGGCCTTTGCCCGCGCGTACGGCGCCTGGTTGACCAGCACGGCGTGGTTCCGCGAGCGCAGGTTCACGACGCTCGAGGGCAGGCCGGGCAGCGTGGAGGAGTGGATGAAGATGCGCGAGGAAGGGTATTTGGGCTGGGACGCCGAGGACCTGCTCGCGCTGGCGCGCATGTGGCAGATGGGGGATGTCGGGACCGTTATGCCCTGTTCCTCTTCCTCTTCCTCTTCCTCCCCCGACGCTGCCGGGACAGTGCGCTGCGAACTAGGCGGCAAGGTCCCCGACGACAACCTCTACCGTGCGGCCCTGGGATCCATCCAGGCCAAGGCGCTGCTCATGCCGTGTCGGACGGACCAGTACTTCCCGCCCGAGGACTCGGAGATCGAGATGCGGCACCTCAAGCATGGGAGATTGGCGGTGATTGAGAGCATTTGGGGCCACACGGCGGGCGGCGGCTTGAATCCCCAGGACACAGAGTTTATGAATGCGCAGATTGCGGACTTGATGAAGGAATGATGTAGGTCATGTATGTGCTTGTTCGGCTCCCTGTTTCTGTTTTCCTGGGTGTTGGTGGGCAGACACGGAAGAAGAATGGTGGAAGTGCGGCATACCTACTATATATATATATATATATATGGTATGTATATATAGTATGTTGATATGACTACGGATAGGAATGTCTCAATGGAAAGGGGAATCCTTGTAGAGCAGCGAGCGCTCAACAAAACCCACTCACGAGTGTCCGCAAGCAAGCATTCTTGACGACGGTAACGATGCGTTGCTTTTGGATGCTTTCCCTCTCTGGTTGTGGAACTTCATATTCCAAACCCAGGGAAGGAAGAAGAAGGATTCCCTGGGAAAGTGGCCAATGCGCCATGTACGGTGTTTTTTATATCGTAACGCTCAATCAGACTCCCCCATGTATTTGCATCGAAACATGCCCAGTTTCCCATATGCCCAAATCCCACATCAAATCACATCGCGTCAAAATCACATTACATGCGCATTAAATAGGGGGAATGGGCTTCTTCAAGACACAAGAAAAAAAGGATATCGCTGTTCCTTTGTCCCCCCCCCCCATCCCTCGCCGTACTCCTCCCTCAGTCATAATTCTGCACCTGCCAACTCAGTATCATCATCCACAGAAACAGCACGGCCAGTATTATGCTCCACGCAAAACTGGCCTTCCAACACGCGCAGATGTTGCTCTGCGTGAGCCAGGCCAGTGTCTCTATCGACACGCCGTGGTATTCTTGGTTCTGCACAAAGTTGCTGCAGTTGCTGTTGACGTTGCCGTCGCCGTACAGTTGGATGGCGGTCTCTATCAGGGTCGTCACCCACAGCACGAAGAGGACAAAGCTGCCCAGGAGGATGATGCCCGGGATGAGTAACCGGCGGGCGGCGAGGATGAGGATGACGATGAGGAAGATGATGGTGAGCGAGCCGCAGATGACGGCGAAGGGGAATAGCCTGGTTTTGTTGGCAAAAGTTCCAACATGTTAATCCTTGAAAGTTCTCTTTGTATGTGTTTGCGGGGGCGCCGTGTAAGAAGTAAACATACCACGGAACTCCGATCCTCAGCTGGTCCTGCACGGCGATGAACCACGCATTGATGCCCAGCACAGTCGACGACCCGGCCAACACAATAAATATCCATAGATTCAGCTGTACTTCGGGCCAGATATACCGCCGGCGCGATTCGCGCACGATGACTTCTGTCGCCATCTTTTTGCAGGCGACGTGGGGGAGCGGGCGTGCAAGGGCACTGAGCGCGGGCCGCGCAGCGCTCAGGACAAGGCGCCTGTAGGGATGTTAATTGATCGATGGGTGCTGTATCGGAAGTCTGGCGGTCGAGGAATTCGCGCAAGGTCTGTGCTCGTATTGCTGCTGGCGGTTTCAAAGGCGTAGGTTTCTTCACTCGTCCATGGGGCCGTGACTGCTCTCTTAAAAATATTCCAGTATACCGTGCTTGTAGGCATATATTCCGGTGCGTCAGATGGCGCAGTTGGGCTGCAAGAAGCTGCAGGTGTACAAACAAAAAGAAGACGTGGCGGTGGTGTGTGGTTTGCGTGGTTCATCAAGCGTCGTTTCAAGCTTGGTCAATGGGAGCCGGCCACGACGCGGCGAGGCGGCATCAGGTTGTTGGTGTTTGATTGTTGGTGGGTGATGCATGTGGTGTGGTCAGTGTACCGAGTAGTGGTAGTGGAGTAAAAACGGCGCCGGGTGGCGGTTGTGGGTGATGCTAGGGCAACCGGACCATGGCGGGACATATCACCACTCGGTCAACAAACATCTCCTATGTACCTCGTCCCAGTGCAGGGTACATAACAAGTAGGTATGTACTGGTATGTAGCTCGGGAGGTGTCATCCTCCTCCCCAGATAATAAATATTACTCAATCTGTATATTCGTGTTCTCGGGATCAAGTACGTCAGGCATAAATATATAGTCATGTGGTCATACAGCCCAGTCGATGCGTCCCCCCTTGCATGGTATGTAGTCGTGGCCAGCGCTCCAGCACGTTTCTGCCCGTCTCGCTCACTCGGGTAAGCCCCCATCGCCGACGTTGATCTCGGAGGCGAGTAGCCTGCACATGCACTGTACATCCAGTACATTGAGGGAAGCTGATGATGTGGTGGCCTGCTTCGTCCATGTGCTCTGTCTAGCACTTTCGCTTTGAAGCGGTTCTCGTGAGAACAGGCACTTTTGCAATGCTCAAATGGTTGGCTCAAAGATCCTGCATCATGAGGAAGCACACTGCAGATCCCTGAGTGTGAGCTTGTCTCATCGCCTCAGGCACATCTGGGTCTCTCTGTCAAGTATGGTGCTGGTCCGCTGGTCATGGTCGTAGCATAATCCTCCCGAAAGAAAATCGCCATCCTCTGTACGTGGAAGAAAGACCTTCGTCAAGATAGAAGCAAGAACAAACTGCTGCTGGTCAATCTGGAATTGTTTCCTACTTGGCCGTTAGTTAGCATCTTCAAAGGGGGGTGTTGTATCGAAAGCATACCTCCGCTGCCTCCCGCACCGACGATGCTCCTCGTCGTCGTACTGAGCTTCTCCTATCCACCTCTATGGTTTCCTCCACAACCGTGGTCCCTCGCCTGCTGCTACGTGGCCTGTGCCGACGGATGACTTCCTCCTCAACGACGCCTCTCCTATTACCGAACACGTTCCCGTAATTCACTGCCGCCCAGATGAGGTATATGATCAGCAAAAACCCGCCGACAGACCCAAGCACGATGGCAGCAATAGTTCCCGGTTTGGGTCCAGAGTTAAGGCCTTGATAGGTGGTTGGTATGGCGAGGATTGCCTGGCGTTTTGTCAGAGCCGAGGCGCCCAAGTCGCCGCCCGGCTCATAGACCTGAAAACTGTCCATGGCACTGATGGGTGGAAGACGAAAGCCGAAGAGGGGCGCCAGGGTGAGCCAACACTTTGTTCCGGCTTTGTATTGGGAATCTCACGGTTTGCGACACAGGACAAGTGCATGCGACGGCCAGATCTCTCACGGCACGGAAAGGATTGTTTGTTGTTTTCAGACGGTGGTGATGGGGGGGCCATCGAGTACAAGTACATTTACCGAAGTGCCAGTGGTGCCAGTGGTGCCAGTGGTCAGCTCTTAACTAAACATCCATCCAGCCAACTACTCTAGCATGTGCTTCCCAGCGGGAACGCGGACGAATCTCCACACCGACGCAACCAGAATAGGTAGGTAAACACCTGGCATGGAATGATATGCCCCTCGTCCCAGGCTACTCTGTTCTGTCAAGTTGAATGTTGGGCAGTTCTTTTTGTTCGCAACAGTTGGTCGAGCTTTCGAGCCGTGAAAGATACAGTTAATCCTTGGACGCTTCACCGCATCTGTCGAGACTGAGCTTTGCACAAGGCGCGGAAGTATGTCCGATATTTGCGACTCAATTATACCATCCAGTAATGAGCCACGGGCACGGAGTGTCGGGGATTTATCCTGGGTATTTACACTTTCCAGGCGTGAAACACCAATTTGAACCGGAGCCAGGCGAAATGGTGGTTTCACAAAGAAAGCAAAATCTCCACCAGCCTACAAGGACGCCTAGGTACAGTACTAGGTATTCCGTACTTGTAGGATCGCAAGCTGGTAAGGTTCACTTGCCCTGTACCCTGTCGCTCTGGGTAAGCCGCCGAGCCCACATGAGTTGGGGTGCTACATAACCGAGAAACACGCAACAGGCGACCCCAATCGCACTGTGTAATAGTACTCATTGCCGCTTCGGCTATTTGGAAGAATTGCCTGTTCCTGTACCGGGTACATGCAGGGGAAGTCGAACTCTCTCATGCAGGAGCTGGAACATATTGGTAGAGACAATGAGGCGGCAGCAATTACCTGGGAAAAGAAGTTCCATCATGGCCCTCAATTAACTACCAAGGCCAAATGGAACTTTCATGAAGGCGAGGCCCTTCGGGTGTCTTTTCAACACTTTCCTGCTGGGCGCTTTCATCCCTCGTCCGCGCTGATATGCCTTGGTGAGGCTAACTTTCTGTCGTCAGATATGGCGCAGTGATTGTGGAGGCCTTGGTCGTCGCGGGCACATATTCATCTGGCAGAAGGACTTATCTTCACGGCCGCATGATATTTCTTGAATCGCCATATGCAATTGATTATTATGTATGTACGAGGCACCTCGCATGTACCTCGTATAGCTCGATGGATTGATGGAATGGTGGATCCGGCAAGGCTGGGGAGGCTGAAGTGTGTTGCCCCCGGCAACCACCCACCAGGTAGTTACTCCGCTCTACAATCCAGCTGCGTACCATACATGACCTTTGATATCCGCAACCTAGGTAAGTTACATAGGAACTCAGCGTTAAGTACCAATACAGCACAAGCTCAAGATGAGCGTCCGAGTCGTCGCCCGCATCCGGCCCCTTCTCAAGTCGGAGATCGAAAAGGACCAGATCGTGACGAGCCATAACGGTGCTGATGGGAAGCCGACCATTGTCAAGATCCCCAACCCCAAGAACTTTGCCGAAGAGTACAGTTTTCAGTTCAACAGCGTCTACGAGCAAGATGCCACGCAGCAAGAGATCTTTGATGCCGAGGGTGAGCCGTCTTCTCTGATCGCAAAAACGCTGTGATCCTCAAACTGACATCTGGCCCCCCGCAGTCGCACCCACGGTCAAACATCTCTTCCTCGGATACGATGTCACCATCTTCGCCTATGGCTCTACAGGCACGGGGAAGACCCATACAATGCGCGGGGGGAAGTCACTAGCCGACCGAGGGATGATCCCGAGACTGCTGAGCAGTATCTACAGAAAGAGTCGAGCGATTGAAAAGAGCAACAATGGAGAAACAACCGTCCAAGTGTGTATGAGCTACTATGAGATCTACAACGATCGCGTGTTCGATCTTTTCGAGGCCCCCGAGAAGCGCACCGCCACGGGATTGCCCATAAGAGAAGCTGAAGGCGGGAAAACCGTTGTCGTTGGCCTGACCGAAATGCCTTGCGCCTCGTTGAAGGACTTCGAGGGGTTGTATGACAAAGCCAACGCCAATCGAAGCACCGGCGCCACGAAGCTCAACGCTCATTCATCACGATCGCATGCCATTCTCTGCGTGAAAGTGACCATAACCACGCCGACGGAAACGAGAATTAGCACAGCTTCGGCCATTGATTTGGCGGGTTCGGAGGACAACCGGAGGACGGGCAATGGAAAGGACAGAATGGTCGAGTCTGCCAGCATCAACAAGTCGTTGTTTGTCCTGGCGCAGTGCGTCGAGGCCATCAGCAAGAAACAGCACCGCATCCCGTACCGAGAGTCGAAGATGACGAGAATCCTTTCGCTCGGACAAAACAATGGCTTCACTGTTATGATTCTCAACCTTGCGCCTGTCAAAGCGTATCATCTCGACACGCTCAGCTCTCTGAACTTTGCCAACCGGACCAAGAAGATTGAAGTCCGTGAGGTGGAGAACGAACCCATCTTCAAGGGTCCTCCGCGACAGGTGCCTGGGGCACCCGTGGGCGGCCCGACGATACAGCGACAACCACTGCGACCTCTGACCAGTGTAGTCAATGTGAATCTCACTGCCAATCGTGATACAGCCACAAAGAATGACAAACCACCGAAAGCCTTTGCTGTCTACTCGGACCGCAACAAGACGTCCATCAGTGCAAAAATCGCTCCACAGAAGTCGTCTCCGCTGAAGCGCACGGCTGATGTATCATTCCTTCCGTCTAGTCGTCCTCCCAAAATCTCGCGCCCAACTCCGAGCTTCATCCGGCGTGCCCCAGAATGCCAACCTTTGGGTATGGATAAATCCTCAATCGAAACCTTGGTTGAGAAAAAGGTCTCCGAGATTCTCGCGGCCCGTGCTCTCAACGCTCCCGACCCAGCGCCACAAAAGTCCATATCTGAAGAAGTCCAACGGCGGCTGGACAGCATTGAGAAGAGACTGGAAGGGCAGGATGGCGAGAGGGCAGAAGGGCTGAGTTACCTGTTCATGGGCAAGCAGCATCAAGCGCGCGGGGAGTTTGGGAGCGCGCTGAAGATGTATGAGCTTGCAAGACCGTATTTCCCGGACAACGAGAAGTTGAAGGGCAAGATTGAGCGGCTGCGAGAGAAATTGGCAGCGAAAATGAGGGAGCCGAGCGAGATAGTGGTGGATCCTGAGGAGAGAATGACTGTGGCGAGCGGATCTGACAAGACGAAGATGTCCCGCACCAATGATGACGGTGACGAAAGTTACCAGGACGAGGATAACGAGGGATCAGCTTACCACGAAAGTGATCAAGACGAAGCCTCTCATCGGCCACGTCAGAAGAAACAGCCCAAGCAGCAGAAACGCAGAGCAAGAGCATCGTCGCTGGACCCCCTCACACAACAAATCTCATCGGAATTGCAGGACGCAGTGACGCCTCGAACACGATACCTCCTCAGCGTTATCAACACGCGCGATATCACGAAGATCAAGACCCTAAATGGACTCGGCGCCAAGCGTGCGGAGGGAATCGTGGAATATCTCAATGAGCAAGAGGAAGACGGGGCCGGAGAGGTGCTCGTACGAAGTTGGAATGACCTGGCCAAGTTGAAGGGGATTGGAAAGAAGACACTGGAGACGATGAGGGAAGGCGTGCAGATGGCCCTGTGAACTGTCTGGCTCGCTTCTTGATGGGGAGTTAAAGCAAGCTTTACTGGGGCATGTGCTTGTACAACGCTTGGCTTGCCTTATGTTGGTGTTCCTGGTAATCTTTGAGGCCTTTTGCCTAGCGAGCCTCGCAATTCAACATCAGATTGGAACGGTGGTCACCTGACATTCTTCACGCGCCTCGGTCGGTGACGCGTCTTTCTTGGCGAGCCCGTCACTCCATGGCCCTGATTGGCTTCTCGAACCTCCGACTATGGCGTCGGCTTTGTAACGAAGTAAAGAAGTTTCTACCTCCCCACGTCACCTACAAATCCATCCCTTTGGACATGTAGACGAAATGGTCTATATCACTTCTCCTGCTTTGGCTGCTGCCTGGGAGACTGACCTAATAGCCGCGTTGCCCTCACTATGTCGAGCAATTCAGAGCAAAGCACTTCTTAACTGACGGCCAACCCAGACGCAGAAGCTATGATCCCTCCTGTTTGTTGCTGTCTCTCAGAGCAATATGGCGCCAAGCCGCGATAACAGGTTCCTGCGACCAGGGAGAAGTTTTCACTCTCCCCTCGCCAGTTTTTGGCGAACCAAAAGTGAAGACGGAAGGGCCGACGTCGAGCTGGGCGCATTCCTGCCAAAGCGTCCTCCGCCCTGGACTTACGAAAACGACGATGACCACCTGGCAGCAAGTGAATCAGACGCAAAGGGAATGAGCAGAAGATACCATTCACGCCGCCTGGCGGATCTGTCGAGCACAGCAACTTCCTCAGCGTTGGCCAAATCCCGTTCGTCAGCTGCGGGGCCAACCACTTCAAGCAGACACAAATATCAACGATCTCGATCTCGACCTTTTTTTAGGTTGTGGTTTCTGACCAAGACTACCTTGATGACCATGTAAGCCAGGCTGCTCTTGACCTTTCACCCTGCCGAGGCAGACGTTGATGGATAAATAGAGGACTTCTGCAGTGCATAGTCTTCATATGCAGTATTTTGGAGGCTCTCTTCCCTGACGACCTCGACCTTGTTTCCGGCCCGCTCAAAGCCAGCTTTTGGTCCCCGAATACACCGGATGCATCATGGAATAGCGATCTTGATGTTCTTACGGCAGATGTGCAGCCTTTCATGTGCCACTCTCACAACGACTACTGGCGGCGGGAACCTTTGTACAGCGCGATTCATGTGGGGTGCACGGGCGTCGAAGCAGACGTGTGGCTTTTCGGCAACGAGCTATACGTGGCACACAGAACGTCAAGCATACGACCAAACAGAACGCTGGACACTCTGTATTTGAGTCCCCTGAAAGAGATCCTCGATCACAAAAATATGATTCCTGATCTCCTGGGTCCGGGCGACGTGATCAACACCCCGCGCTATGGCATCTTTGACACCAAACCCAGGCAGTCTCTTGTTCTTCTGGTGGATTTTAAGAATAAGCCGGACGAGATCTGGAACCGTGTTGATGCCCTGCTCGCACCCTTCCGCGACAGGAGGTACCTCACTTATTTTAACGGATCCGATGTGGTCAGCGGACCGTTGACTGTTGTGGTCTCGGGCGATGCACCCTTCAACCGTGTCATCGAGAATTCAACATATAGAGACATTTTTTATGACGCTCCCCTGCACGACTTGGATTCCTTGCCAGGTATTCCTTCTCTCTCTCCGCCACCTGCGGCGGTATCAAATATCCATGTCGACGACATGCCACCATCGACTGAGCCACTTTCTCAACCACCCGCCGATCCGTTGAGCAGCTACTCCCTCTATAACTCATATTATGCTTCTACTTCTTTTCGGCGCTCAATCGGCTACCCCTTCCACTCCTCGCTCACCCAGCCTCAACTCGACAAGATTCGACGGCAGATCCGTGCCGCCCACGCTAGGGGTCTCAAAGTTCGCTATTGGAGTATTCCCCCTTGGCCCATTGGATTGAGAGACTACCTCTGGAGAGTGCTGGTGAGAGAGGGTGTAGATTATTTGAGTGTCGACGATATTGAGGACGTCAGGCGCAAGGACTGGGGCCCGAGGAAAGGGGGGTGGGGGAAGAAATGGTGGAGGTGATTTCGGTCGATTTGGCGGTCATAGATGCCATCTGACGTGTATGTTATATATCGAAGCATTCTGGACAGCGTTGGCCTATCCCGCCCTGCGCGTCTTCCCAAGTGAAATGCGCCTTGCCCAAACGAGGCTCCCATTCTTGCTCATTTCACAGCAGACAGGCTCGTCCCTTCTCGCTACTGGTCACGGCTACCCCCGAGAGGCCCCTGTCTCCAAGATTCCCTGCCTAAGTGTCTGTCTTGCACCGCCCACCAGCCTAGTGGTGGCTTGGACCTGGACTTGCAGTAACAAGTAGTTTGCCAGCCTCGCCCCGCCAGGTTCAACACGTCAACTGGCGACAGTCGCTCTTTCCACCAGCCTGGTTTCATCAAAACTTGCACTTGATATTATGCCCAGTGTACAGAGGACAGCTCTCTCCGCCACAGGGGATCCTTCCCGTTGCTGTTGGCTCCAATTGTCAAGATGGTCGACCCTCTTACAGCCTTCGCGGCGGCGGGCAACGCCCTTCAATTCGTCCAGCTGGGAATCGACATAATCCGTAAAACGATCGAATACTCGCACGGCGGTGGCAACAGTAACTTCCAATCATTGCAAGATTGTGTGCAGCGACTATCGGCCTCAAGTGCCCATCTCCAGAAGTCGATGGAGTCCAGCGCCTCCCAGCGGCTGCATCCAGGGCCCGCGCGCGCTTTGCATTGTGCAAACTTGGAATACCTGAGAGTGTCCCAGGAATTTATTGCGATTCTGGACAAATTGGGCTTCAATAGGCCTCATACCTTGTGGAGCAGTGGTGAGTCGCCCCCACGCATAATCCCCTTCAAGCGAAGATATGCATCGAAACGGCCTCGATCACTTGGCCGCCAATGAAGAAGCCATTGCTGACCATCTCGACATGGCAGTCAAACTTGCATTGAAAAACCTACATTGACAAACCTAAAATCGACTCCCTGGCACAAAAGCTGGATCATGGCGGGGCAAACTTGATGCTCTCCCTCATGGTTTATCTCCACGGCCAGTCAGCTGTCGATCGCAAGAATATGAGCGAGGGAATGCTTGCCATTGCAGAACAAGCCCTAAAGACCACCGCAGAGTCTGGAGGTATCAGAGACGACATTGTTAAACTCAGCTCCAGTCTTTCGTCGCTGCAAATTGATGATACCACGATATCTCTTGCCGTTGAAGAGACATTAAAACGCTCCGAGATCAACCTGACAGACAAGATCAAGGGGCTCTCTAAACACCTAGAACGGCTGGATGATGAGCTCAAAGCTATATCGGACGATGTGCACCAGCTTTTGCCCACACTGAAACGCGAAATCGCCGCTCGACGCTCGATCGTAGAAAGTCTATGGTATTCAAAAATCAACCACAGACGCAACATCATAGGCCGAGCCCACGATAGCACATATGAACGGATATTCAGGCGTAAAGAGGATGAAGTGGCTGTGTGGGATGATTTCATCGAGTGGCTCCATGCCAGCAGACGCCCTATACACTGGGTATCTGGAAAACCGGGTTCGGGCAAGAGCACTTTGATCCGCGAACTTGGACGAACGTCCCCGTATACTTGTGTGGGAAGAAGTGGAAATGATTGAAGTCCTGTCCAGGGTCGTACGACATCTCGGGACCAGCAAACGGGTTTTGCTGTTTATCGATGGTCTTGATGAACATGATGGTTCAGATGACCAGCGCCAGGAAGTTCTGGAGCTGTTGCACACCCTCACCAAAGTCGAGAACGTCAAAGCCTGTGTGGCAAGCCGACCCTACAACATCTTTCGTGATGAGTTCCATGATTGCCCCCAACTCCGGCTTGAGGATCTTACGAAAGACGACATACGCCTCTATGCCCAGAGCAAGCTGAGCGAGAATCCACACTTTTGGCGCCAACAAAAACGAGAACCGCAGCTGCTTCAAAAAATAACCGAAGAGATTACGAGGCGGGCCAGAGGGGTATTTCTATGGGTGCGCTTAGTCGTCCGTGACCTTTTGAGAGTTCAGGAACGGAGGTCGCACAAAGCACTTGTTCAGGGAACTTGAAAACATTCCCCTCGATCTGGATGAATATTTCAGACGCATTTTCGAGTCGATTGAAAGGCCATACAGAAAAGAAGCGTCCATCATCCTCCAGACAGCGTTGTATTCTATAGGCTCGGAGATTGCTAGGACTTGCCTCCCTGGTAACAGTCTTGGCTTTGAATTTCTCCTGATCCATCTCCATTTTCTGGAACGGAGTGAAGATTTGTACTTTGCTGCAAACCAAGGCTTGTATGATGTCGATTTCGAATGTCCACAAGAGAGCAGAGAATTCCTCGAATCCCTTGAACGAATGCTGGCGAGCAGGAGCATGGGGCTGTTAGAGACCGATTCGGGCACCGATTATCATCCTCATCCATTTTATGGAACAAAACTGCGCCCGGGGATGCGGATCGAGTTTCTGCACAGAACCGTACGGGATTACTTTGCTGGTCGTGCTGCAAGAGATCTCCTTCACCAACATACAGGAGGGCCATTCGACGCTCACATGTTCCAATGCAACCTTATGGTTACTAATATGAGGACGTTCGCACTTCCATATCAATTACTCTCCTATGATCTTACATCTATGACGCCTTTTCTTCACCAAATTCTGGTTCGGCCAGAGTTACCAGGTGGCGAGGAGGCGGCATTTATCCTGTTTGAAACGATGGTGGAACTATTGAACGAACCTGGTTGCACACTGCGTCACGGGGTGCAGTATGACACGGCACTGTGGTTATCCTTACCGGTTGCTAAGACAGCGTTAGAGAATTGGGCCGACGACTATAGCAATGCTCTCTCACTAGGCATACAGATTGGCTGGAGGTCGTATGTCAAGGCGCGATTAACAGCGACAATCCAAGAGAAAGAGGGTAGGCCATTGCTTGATTATGCTCTCAGATCCTGCCATAATATGATATGGATACCACCGCATCACGACATCTTGCACAGCCTTCTAATACTCGGCCCCGGTCCAGACGCCTTTATTCATGGAGATTACAACGTTCCCATATGGGCGTACTTCCTTGAGTCGCCACAGTTTATGACGAGTCTTGACTATGCAGCATGTCCAGAGGTCGTCAGAACGCTCATGATGCACGGCATTCGAACGATGGTCACTGTGGCTGGAGAGAGCCATGTCCCCGAGACTTTGTACTCGTTTCTAGATGTATTGCCGAGTCTCTGGTTTTATGACGAAACCCCGCCCTACGACGTGTTCAAACGTCACCCCCGTTGTCTTTGCTGAGGCTGACATCAAGACCCTGAAGGAACTAGAACTCTCCCTGCGCCAGGAAGATCGTCGCTGCCACCCATCTCCCGAGGCACCCGTCTTGGGCCAAAGGCGAGCAAGGCAGTTCCCCTCATCCTTGAAGTATGAAGGTGAGCGGCTCGAATCAAATGAGCCTGGATCTGGTCGCGATGGAGAGGAGCCACCTCACAAGAAGACCCGGACGTCTAAGACTAGCTGGCTGGAGACAGTGATGGGTTATGAATAAAGTCTCCCGATAACGCGGCAGCACACCAGATAGAGTTGATCCTCAGTCTCGAAGATTATGATCCCTGTAGGTTCAGTGGCCAAGGTCCAACACCTGCGGTTGGGTTGGGAGTTGGCAATTTTGACGCACACTCTGATGATTTTACGATTCCCATTGGACTTGATTTGCAATCCCCCGGGACGGAACGTGCCTTGGTCATGATGAACATACCTATATTCCTCCCACGTCGAATATATAGAAATACACATCATAATTCCCAAACTGTCGCTTTCCCTCTGTCAGGTACCAGACAGAATCGATTCATCACATTAACAATCCACCAGACAATCTCCACTCAAATGACTTATTAAGTCTAGCTAGGCCCGGACTCGTGAATCAACATATTGAAAAATTATGATCTCTTTTTTTTTTTTGACTGGCTTAGCCAGTAAGCCTCTCAAGTGACTCAGACTCGGCTTCATGCGACCCCCGGAAAGGTTCTGGGTGGTCATTAGACGAGCGCTCCACCATAGGCGTGTAGGAGACCTGGCTCCGGCTACTGCTATAGTTACTTAGGGACCTCGTGGGGGCAAGTCCCGGCTTCTTGAGAGTTTCGCGTTTTCTCATTGTTGAACGGCTCAAGGGCCCTCCACCGTTGGCAATGCCGGGGCCGCTGGAGGAGGTGATAGAAATGGAGGAAGTGTTGTGCTTCTCCCGTCTCCCCCCTGGCGACGGCGGCACGGGCAAGACAATATACCTGGCCTGTTTAGCCCACTGTTTCGTGCTGGCGAAGGCGCTGATCTCGTCGGGGCCGCCGTGCAGCATGGTCTGCGTGACGGCGCGGCCCATGCTGGTCTGGTTGGTGTAATGATTCAGCGCGGACCAGACGCGCGACTGGAAGCAGCACATCACCAGCGAGGCGAGCAATGTGAGCAGAAACACGGCGCCGGCGACGAAGGCCGGGATCGCGTACCGGATGTCGCCGTACTCGATGGACCGGTCGTGTCTGTGCGCGCGGCGCAAGCCCAGGTTGTTGGATTGGTGGTTTGTGACGGACGACATCGACCCCATCATGCCCTCAAAGCCCGTCCGCGTGCCCACGATCGCGAAGCTGATGAGGTCCGTCCAGATCAGGTTCATCAGCGTCTCGGCGCCCCCGGCATCGGCCGACCGCTGCGACATGAGTTGCCGCCATTTGAGCGTAAGCCCGTAGTTGGACTTGCCACTGTAGCTGTCGCGCAGAAATTGACGGGTAAGGAACTGAGTTTTTGCTTTCTGAAAAGGGGCCACAAAAGGAGGAAAAGAAAAGAAAAGAAACGAAGAGTATGAAGTTGATCATAGGGAACATCACTTACTTTGGTATGGCGTCCTCGTTCACATCGCTCAGCGCCGCCGCGTACGAGTAGATGCTGTTCCAGGCTGCGGTGAAGACGCCGCCCGCGGCGAACGAATCGTACATGTGGTTTCCCAGCGTCGTGCCCCGGACGGCGGCGGGCAGGTATATCTTGGAGGCCCTGTGGACGTCGACGTCAGGGTGGTCCTGGTTGGCCGGGTCAACGAGGCCCCAGAACTTGTACACATCCCAGATCTTGTACGTCTCCGAGTCGACCTTTTCGATGCCCCAGATCGGGAGGTCAGCATCTGTGTAGTTTTTCTCCTGCACATCGAGCACCTGAAACGCTTCGAAGGACGTGCTGCCGTTCGTGCTGAATGTCACCTGTTTGATCGTCGCGGCCACGGAGCTGGCGCACGTATACAGGTTCTGCTGCCAGGGGGAACCCGGATCAGGCCTCCACGATTGCCCGCGATCGACATTCTCTGGCTGTGGAATGCTGTAAAGGTATCCGCACTGCACGAAAGGCTTTCCAGCGACGCTTGGGTCATCGTCGTAATAGCCGCTGCATCGAACGCCTGGAGGTAGATTTAAAAAAAATTCCGTTTCAGCAAAATATACTCCCCTTATCAATGCATATATGTGTTGGGTGGTTGCGTACCGTAATTTTCAAACTTCGACTCCAATGTTGCCTGCTTCTTGTAGTATATGTCATCCAGGAACATGCCGTCCACGCTGCTAATCTTGATTGCTCCAGGTTGGCTGAGATAGCCAAAGGTGTTGAATTGGCCTGTGTATACGGCGCCTTTCTGCGACGACGTGAGGTTGAGGACCTGGGCCACGAACTGGTTGTTCCACCAGGCCAGGATGTCGGCACTTCGCTTGAGTTGCGGCGTGGAGCCGACGTCCTTCCACTGGTCTCCATCATTCCATTGCGGAAGGGGGATCTCGGCACTGATGTCAGAGAAGCCGCCGTCGTCACGAAGGTATCCGTCGTCTCCCGACATGGAATTCGAAGCGTTGCCGTTGACGGAGAAGTGGAGGCTCAGGTTCGTGTTGGTACATCTGGTCTCCGGGAGGACCCAAAGAATGTCCTCTGTCCATGTCGCTCCCAGTTCGAGACCCCCGGGTACGGTATGATTTCGTATTCCGATGCCTCCTTTAAATGCATCAATGATCAAACCGTTCACCAGGTAGTATCCTTTATTGAGGATCATAGAAGGGAGGACTTCGAGACGGCCGACAGCCCTGCTAGCGTTGTTATCCACGTATATGTTGTTCACCAGGTTGTAGGCTCTGAATTGGATGTCTAGAAGATTGGCAACGGTGCCGGTTCTCGTCCCGCTAGTGAAGAGATTTCGGGTAACATCTGGAATTGTTGAGTTGATCACCGTGTGGTTGACGTACTGATTTCTTATGGAAGGGTCGTCGTAGATGGAATGCGGACAGTCCATATACAATTGCCAGCCACACCGTCTGTCGATAGTTTGTCGCTCTAGTGTTGCTCTCCCATAGTAGGATGGATCTGTATCTCGTATGAGCTTCAACACGCGGGGAGACTTTGCGGAGCTCCTCACCTGGGACATAAAAGAATTCCACATCATGAAGACCACGGGAGGGAACGATCTTCTCCAAGAGCGGCTTTGGCGTGAGGAAATTTGCGACTACTAGGCATACTGTCGCCAGGGTCACGAGCAACGACACGCCAAACACACGCCAGCGGACCATTTTGCCCATGACGTTGCCGGCGGCGCCATCACTCTGAAGCAACAAAGGCCACCAGGAGCTCTGCAAGAGATGGCTGATCGAGGACCATGTAACCGCATCGAAGGAGCGGTCACGAATTACCCCTACCGGTACAAACGCAAACAGCAGCGGGATCACAATGTGGACTGTCTGTTGTCAGAAGAGGGCAATAGTGATGGTCATCAGGGGCAGGTAGCCTTACGTAGTGATATGCACCCAGAGATGAGTCCCGCAACTTCTCCGACTGTGAGATTAATGTCGAACATGCTTCAAAGATGAATATACAAGTGACGGAGCAGCGTGGAGAGAAATTATGGCCGCTTCGACGGCTCACAGCCTCATGTGTAGAGGAAGCGACCCGTGGGAAGCCCCAGTCGTACATGCAATGGAACCATAAAGCTGCGAGAAAGATACCAGTAACAGACATTCCATATCTCTCTGTGGCAATCCGTCAATATTCACCGGATGACTCGGGGACCATGTGCACACATACTAGTACTCTTCTTGTACTCGAGCCAAGTCGGGAGATGGAATTGTGGAAGGTTGTGTGCGGGAGGGTGGACCAGTTCTTCAGACAGCAACCAATGAGACTGATTGAAACGTGCTCGCTTAGGCAATACAAATTGACTAACCTGGTTCGGAAGTCAAAGAAATAACTGCTCCGCCACGCACAACGGATCTATCCCCTTTGGTCTCAGGGAGCGTTGCCTTTAACGGATCGCCTCTCTACGACTTACCCTCCTGCAGCTTCTAACTGCACGTCAAACGCCTTTTCGTGGCGCGATGTCTTCCCACATTGGGCGAGGCATTTATTTTCTCTGTGTGGAAACTAAAGTGTGGCCTGCATCGTTTCCAACCTGACGGTTCGCCCGCAGCTACGAGGTACTCTGTACAACATTGGTCTCAGCCCAGAACTGACGCCAACAGATCGGCTCACGATGCATTCTCCCCACCTGATAAAGCCTAATGGGATTCATTCATCTTCCGCTCTCAGCGCTGTCATTTTAACCAGGTCCAAGCACCCCCAGGTATACTCCTTCAAAGGTCAACATGGTCGAAATGCGCGGTGCACTCCTGTTACCTCTCTGGATCACTTCCCTTGCTGTACAGATTGGCAATGCCGCCGCGGTCGACTTCGACGAACATGGGCTGGACAATTTTTTTGCCAAACGACAAAATTACACCTGCAGCACCGAGGGCCTCCAGCACATCTGCCAAACAAATACGACGGAATGTATTGATGCAATGTGCGCATCATGCTCCGGTTACGTGTTGATTGCAAACTGCTGTGCATTGGCCAGCTGGGAGGCAATGATGCAGTGTCTTCTCGAACTGATGAGCGATCCTTCCGAGCTCACAATGACAGTAGCGCCCACGTCAACCAAGAGCTCGGATACAAGCACAATCACAGCCCTCTCGAGCGCGACCATAGAGACCGGCGGATTGGAAGCTTGTTCTAGTTTCCAAGGAATTGTGGGATCGTGCGAGTCCCTGATTCCCGGCTTCGCAACAGAGGCATTCGGACAACAGGCAAGCTGCGTATGCTACAGTAACGGCACCTATCAGCCTGATCGCTACGATGGAGCGTTCTTGGGCTGCCTCTCCTACCTTTCCACCGCGAGCCCTTCAGAATATGCCAGTATCGCGCCCGGATCTACCATTCTGGCACCGTGCAAAAACGTGGCGACCACAACCGAGCCGCAGTCGTCTCTCAGTACTCATTATATCGGGCGCTTGACCAGCAGCACCTCGGCAGTGTCTCCTCTCTCAACCATGCCAGCTCGATCAACAACCACAGGTCCCACCCAAACACCAATCGCGGATAGCAATGGCAGCGCCAGCCTAGAAATGGTAAGTTAGAGGAAACCCGTCTATGTGTCCAGAAGTCAGCTGAGTCCGTCAAACAGAGTCGTGAGATGTCGTTGGGCTGGCTGTGGTGGCTTTGGGCGACATGCATAGTGGCCGCACTATTGTAAAGTGGGAATCCAAACTAGCCAGATAGCTTGACTTTTACTCCAGCGTCTTTAACTCTTTAGCAATAGATATTGTGGAGATGGAAACTTGGAGGCTTTCCAACGTGGCGCACGATTCTGCGTCTGGACGGCACATGCTATTTTTGGCGGGATGGGAAAGGCGTCTGGTAGCCCAAGCTCTTTAAAAACACGATCTGGACTGGGCAGAGCAGACCCAAAAGGGGATCTCTGCTTTGGGCGGAAGCATGATGCTCGTGTTCGCCTACGTTCTGGTCTTAGCAGCGTCACTAGTTGAGTAGTTTCGAGTTAGCCTGTCCATTCTACTGGGCAGCTGGAAACGAATCTGCCAAGTGCTCTGTTAAGGCTGAGAATGATTGCCACCGAGATTGCTGTGTCGCGACAACATTTTGGCACAAGTTGCGCGGCTGAAGTCATGCAATCCACGCAGACCACCATCAGGGGGGCAAGACTCGTGAACTCGTCACCCAAGAATGAGGCTGAAAATGAAGTCACGCGGCATTTCGGTTGTACAGTATAAACGAGCCTCGTCTGGCCTAGTTAGCCCTGCCAAGCGGGAAGGGGGCCTCACTTGCAAGGTTTCGTTACCAAAAACCCTCTAGGCCCGTCTGAACGAGGTACTCTTGCATGGACACGGGAACCCAAGGCTGTGACCGCCGAACTATTGGTTGCACAGATGGTAGGCAACTTTCAAACGCGGGCTGAGACAAAGACACGAAAGCCGCATGATCCCGAGGATCGATGATTTTTGGCCCCCTCAACTCCAGTTTTTCCTCGGCGCAAAGAAATGGACTGGTCCCAAAACCCTTGCTGTTGACAGCCTGATCCATCACTCCATACGGGTTACTTGTGAAGGTGAGCCAAAACGCGATGTTATGCAGACAAATCCCAGTCTGAGATGAAGCCACGCACGCATGATTACCAATGTCTGCTAGAGATGCAGCCAGGCAACAGCGTTCTACTCATCCCTTCTTGGCCTCTTTGCCGCCAATTGTGGCCAGCTAAGGTTTTTCAATAGGGGGGCCGAAGATGTGTCTACGAGCAACTACCTAGTCACTTGCCTCGGTATGGGTATACAACACTTTGCTGAGGGGAAGAGTCAGTCCCGGGGCCCACTCGTCGTAGGTAGCAGCACCGCACCGTCCCGTTAAACTGTCCACGAGCTTGAGGCGAACAAGACCTGAAGCGGCCGATTCTATTCTATGGCCTTTTTTGCAGACAACAGTTTCCAAGAGCCTCCTTCCAAACTTGCACCTTCAGCCTATCAGCGGCCACGATATGACAGTGCCCCGGTGTACACGGGGGTATACTACGGTATACCCAAATCGCCTGCACCGCCCGCACACGCTAATGCAGCCTCATCCTGCAAAATGGGCCGTTTCGAGACTTCTGCCTTTCACAGCCGAATCGAAGCCAAGAGGGCCAACGAACCGGTCGAGCCGCAGTGTGCATTGCTGCAGACACCACGAGGCGCATTGCCACAGAGTCTTTGACCTGGGGCTGAGGTTGAAACCCATCGAGGCTCTCTCTATAACAATGATCCAACATCCTCAATGTTGGGCAATCCCGTGGGATTAGCCCAGGCTCAAGTTTTCTATCTTTCAGAATCCCTCTTTTTTTGTGACCACTCTTGAGATACCATGAGAACAGGAACGTGGTCGTTGGCTTTCGCAGCCCTCATATGCTCCCAATGTCTTGCAGCACCACTCTCTTCTACAGCAGCGAAACCTGAGCGTGCATCTCTTCGCTTGCCCGTCAGGAAGAGCCTTGTTACAGGAGGAGTCCAGCGTCGCCAAGTGTCATCCACCCTCGAAAACACCGGTTACCAATACCTCGTCGACCTTGAAATCGGCACTCCAGCACAGGCCATTGAACTCAGCATCGACACTGGCAGCAGCGATATCTGGGTCTATGGACCTGGCTCGTGCACAAGTTGCCTTGGGGGAGTTTGTAAGTCATCCATACGAATTGCCGGCGTCTTCAAGACCTACTCATTAACTTGATGCCTCCCAGTTGATCCCACCCAGTCGACTTCAAGTGTCGATGACAGCAATCTCGGAGAATTCTCAACATCCTACTTTGACGGCACGGCGGTGTCGGGATACTTTATCGACGACACCGTAGAGTTCGGCTCAGCGACAGTGACGGGCGTCACACTGGCCGTAGCTACCTCCGCGGCCACAACGAACCGCGGCATCATGGGAATCGGCTTGCAAGGCCTCGAGTCGAGCGAAGTCAAGTACCCTGAGTTTCTGGACGACCTGGCGAGTCAAGGCTTCATTGACACGCGATCTTACAGCATCTACCTCGACGACCTGGAGGCAGGCAGCGGGTTCATCCTCTTCGGCGAGATCGACTCAACGCGATACTCGGGCGACCTGGTCACACTGCCCATCATACCTTACACAGACGCAGCACCCCGCCTGCAGGTCGAATGGACATACATGTCCGTGACCGACAACACGAGCGAGACGCTGGCCCTCACGCAGTCGACATTCTCATACCCCGTGGCCATGGACACGGGCTACACGACGACAGTCCTTCCCGTGGAACTATTCAACGCGCTCGCGACCGCCTTCAACGTCTATACCGACAATAGCGGCAACTACCTTGTGGATTGCAACATGCCGTCGGGATATTTCACCTTCGGCTTCGGCAGCGATCCCTACGTGTCGATCGACGTGCCGTTCTCGGAGCTCGCCGTGCCTGTCCCCGGAGAATCGGGGACGTGTCTCTTCGGCTTCCTGCCCCAGGAGCAGAGCGTCATCAGCTTCGGCGACACCTTCATGCGCAGCGCCTATCTGTACTACGACTTTGACGACATGACCATCAGCCTAGCACAAGCGGCTTGAGACATAAAACATTTGGGGGGCGGAAATAAAAGTAATAATACTCATGCTGCATCGGTGGCTTGGTGGCGGTATCCGGCATAGATATGGCGATGGATGGAGTTTGGGGGTAGTAACGTATACATACGGGAGTAATACAAAAATGTGAATTGCTGATCTCTCCCCCCCCCCTCTCACGCACAACTACACCTCTTCCACTGATCCTTTTGATCGCTTCTACGTATCCTCTCCGTAGCGAGCAACGCCCTCTGCATATTTGGCCTTCGCTTAACGAGCCTGACCTCGAAGGGCAGATGGCCTCGTATTTTCTTGTTTTCGGCTGCGCGGCCCGCCAACATGTCCACCGAGCTACTTCAAGTGGTACCTAGCCCTGCCGTTCTCCTGCAGGAAGTGGAAAGCCTGTTTATACCTTGCTGCGAAACGGGCTTTCCACCGAGAAATCATCCAATGCTTATTTTGCACCCCATATATATATATATACATTGCTGGTAACAACGAACAGTGGTATCAGCGAAATCGTGGTCGTCTTAAAGAGAATTTTCCATCATGGATCAAACACCTAACTCTACACAATTGGAGTGAAGGCTTTGAGCTGGCCATGGAGACGGACTTGGAAGCGGTCACTTTACTGGTGGTGAGCGACCGTCGTTCGCGGTCTGTCTTTAGTTCGCAACGCCCTCCGCTGCGATATTCGGCAGACCCGCATCGTCGTCACCGACAAATGCCGGCTTCTCGTCTCCCGCAATAGGAGGGACCCCTTCCGGATTGACTGCCCTAGACTTCCCGAGTTCATTACGTTGTGAACCGATGCTCCTCGGGCCGTTGTAGTCGTGGTCATAGTCATGATCGTGACCGTGATCGAGTTGGTAGTGGATGTAGTCGTACTCATACAGTTGGTAGAATTAGAAATTCTTAGAGGTGGTATTTTTGAGTGGAGCTTAGGGTTTGGGTGCATTTATCATGCCATATCCACCACAGCCTATGTCGCAAGGAGCTGAAGAAGTTGATGTCGAGTCGGTTGCAATAAACACGCCCATCGTGTCGTACTGTATCGTATCGGGTCCTACCGGAATCGGAGTTGTTGTTGATGTTGATGACTTTGACGTCTTGGATCTATTCAAGGACAAGCCGAGCTGGGGAAGCTGCAGGGCGGTTCTGTTTGCTTGGTGCTGAAATTGCCCGGAAGGACAAAAGATGATCATAGGATGAGGAAGAAGCAGAGGAAGATGGATAGACGGATAGATATTTATAGCGAGGGTCCTTGAAGGAAGCCTTTGTCTGCGACCAACCTCGATGTCAAACAGGAGGAAACAACGGAGGTGTTCGTGTCTATTGACAACGTCGTGCTGTCCTGGCGCTGTCAGAACGGTGACAACAACACCGACGCATCACTTCCGTAACCAGAAGGGAAGAGTGACACAATTTCCTAGGTCCAACAGATCCTCTTTCCAGAATCTTGGTATCACTAGGGGCATTCGGAACAAGTCGAAGCTATATCACTTCCTGCGCACCGATATTCCTCATGGTTCGTTCGCGACGTTCTGCGCGCAGCTTGGACCGAGTTAGATCCGAGTTGCCATACTGCCAGCAACACGCATATCGAATTGGAGGTAGTGGTGGAAGCAAAGGTTGAGTCGGGTCGCGAACAGTATATGCTTCATTCCAGAAGCACCAAAAATGACGGATACTTGTTCAGAGAGCGATTGTAAGGAAGACTATCGCTGGTGCGTCGAAAAGGCTGCCGAGAATAGCCAAGGCTATCTCCTTGAGCCTATCAGCGTCGGTATCGTTAAGGTCGCAGAACAGCTTGAGATACCCGGTAATCGTGAAGACGGGCGAGGAAGTGACTCAGATGGCGACTGGTTCTTTGCACTTGTGTCCGTTTGCAGGTCGATAGTTTTCGAACAACGGTGGGAAGATGAGAACCAGGAAAGGCTGTCTAAAGTAGGCATCATCAAGTCCCAGTGACGAGTGATAAGGACTGAGGCAATCGATCTGGTGCCCTGCCGGTCATGGCGATCGCGCCGCAAACTAGTCACGGCCATCGAAAACTCGTTCGCCGTGCCTGGATGCGGATTTCAGATGCCTTCCGCTCAACTCTCTCCCACCTCGATTTTCACCCCTTCCACTGCCGTCTGATCCAAGACAACAACCCCATAAGGATCTCTATCCCTCTCACTGACCACCACTTCCACGCTCTCATCATTTAGCATCCCTTTGATTTGCTCAGTCCACCCACTCTTTCCACCCTCCTCGCCCCTCACCTTGGCCCACTCCTCTTTGATTTCCATCTCCAATTTTTCTCTCATCACGTTCCAAAGATACCCTCTCTCGGAGTTCGAGTGGAACAGGGCAATGACACAACCACCTCGTTCGATGACCGACAGGGCCTCATGATGACTCAGCTCGCCCGTGAATATCAGGTCCGCCTTACAGCCACGGACAATGCTTCCTCCGCTACCCGGACATGTAGCAACGCTGGAAATTGCCATGTCCTCGAGGTTTCTCCCTTGGGGAATGGCTACCGCAAACCCTTTGGGGAGGCCGATGGCATGAGCAATGCGGGCGATCAGAAGCGGTAGGGGTTGTGGGGAAGCAAACTCAATCAACCGACCAGCTCCGGTATTCGAAGTATTGTAGGCATCAGAGGAGGTATACTGATTCGCTGTGTCAAGTGATGCGTGCGGAGACGGGCTGATGACGCTCCGAGTGTGAGAGATGACGCCGGCGTGGAAATCAGATGTCGGGAGCGGCAAGCTTGGTTTGGAGTAGGTTCTGTGCGCATGGCTGGGGCGAGAGAGCTTCATCTTTGCTTTGGGAGTGGTAAACGGGTCAGTCATTGCGTCCTGATCGTGATCCGCGGAAGGAGACGTGGGCTTTGTAGAAGGACTGGAATCGACTTCTGAACTGCTTTCAGATGTTGTGACTTCTGTGTCCGAAGGAAGAGAGTTTGCGGGATATGCTTCTGGCTCTGGATCCTCCAACTTCCCTGTCACGATATCACAGAGCCAATCCGCCATGCCGTCGGGAACAATATCCACCGCAGTGTGCGGACAGTATACGCTGATGCCATGCGCGAGTAACAGTGTCATGGACAATTGCTGGGTGTCGTCCGTGGTTATGGACTTGAGGCCGCGGAAGATGATAGGATGGTAGGCTACTATGACCGAGTGGTTGTTCTCAATGGCCTCGTCTGCGACCGCACGGGTAAGGTCGACGGTCAACAGTACCGAGTTGCGGTTTCGAGGCCGCGAGGGGATGAATGGAGCTTCGACTAGCAGACCGGTGTTGTCGAAGGATTTGTCTGCCAGGGACTCGGGATAGAGGCGGCGCATCGAGGACACCACGGCGGTGGTGAAGGGGGAGACATGGTAGCCTTGGCTTTGAAAGGTGCTCATCCTACGACGACGGATTGAGATGAGAGGCGCCTTGAATTTTGGGACAGGAACAACTTGAGGCAGAAGATATCGATGCATCAGCAAGCTATTTCAGAGCAGCACATTGTTGGCCCCGTGATTGAGCGAGCGAGTTACATTGTGGTCGAAGCATGCATTCATAGTTCACGGGTTGTTGGGTTGGGCAGTTGGAGAAAAGCTCCCTGCGCGAGGCTATGCGAGGCTGCGCGAGGCTGATGAAAAGACTCCAATGACGCAGTGCGAAGAGATCTCTTGGTTCTCTCGCTCTTTGCACTTCCGAGGATTCTCCTGCAGGCTTGATTTCCAATTTCCAGCACATAAGTAATCGAGTCTCAATTGGGACAGAACTCCCCAACCGCATCGCAAGACACATACAACGTCCGTTATCCGCCACCTTTTCCCCCTTGTCAGCGTTAGCCGTGTCCATGCAAGTCTGTACTGCTCCGGCATTGCAAGCTGCCCGCCGAGCAACAACTGCGAGCGTCCGCGCAACTAGCATTATCACCAGACCAATACCCTATCAGCGCCTAATAGTCAGACCACAATCGCTTCTCTCGCGCCCCTTTTCCGTCACAACTTCGCGACCATTCGCAAACTCCTCCTCGAGCAGTTCCTCACCCATGGCTGCCCCTACCGACACCGAAGCCGCAGAAGTCGCGGCTTCCTCCTCTCCACCCATCACACCGGAGTTCCTCACCAAGAAACTCAAACAATCCATAAACATAACCCACATCAGTATGGAAGATATGTCGGGCGGCTGCGGACAAGCCTTCAATGCCATCATTGTTTCCCCGGAGTTTGAAAAGAAAACGCTGTTGGCGAGGAGCAGGTTAGTCAACGGGGTATTGAAGGACGAGATCAAGGCAATCCATGCCTGGACGCCCAGATGTTTGACGCCAGAACAGTGGGAGAAGGAAAGGGAGAGGATAGGCTGAATGAAATGGAGGCGAGGGGAGAGCAAGAGGTCGCGCCAGGGTTGAAGTTTACGTTGTGATTAATGACATTTGTTGATGGACGTGGCCCCCAGATTGGCCATAGCTTCATCAGCTGGAATGGCTACGGCTCTTCCAGAGAGCTGGGGTCAGGAGTCTGCGACTGTGGGCGCCCGCGCAGGATTACCTGATGGAATAGGCAAGCCACTCGAATTCGCAGCGTTGGTGTTGGCCCCCCCAAAAAGAGAATATTATGTCGGTGATGCTGGGCTGAATATTTTTGCACACCACATCTTCTTATAGTGCACTAGATTTTAGATTCTTCTGTACACCAAAACACCTGCTGTACTACATTTGGTCCACAGAATTTGTTTCCAAATCTCCCCGAGAGCGTGAGGTTGGTTGGCCAGAGCAACCATCACACATACCATCAGGCGCACCGTACCATCCGTACAGATCGCGAGAAAATCAAAGCATATTAGCTTCCCTCGCAGACAAAACTTGGCACCGAAGTGTCGGCGGCCTTCCCAGAATCCAATAATCAATCGTGAAGAGGTATCGTCAAACAAAAACTCGCCAATGGCTTTTTCCACCCCCTATGTCTCTCGTCAAGTCATGATATGGGTCGCTGTGTACCCCTGTAGAAAGCTGATGGACCCTTCTTCACTCGGCTGACACTCTCCGATGCCGCTCAATGTTGTACCAACTTCGTGCGGTGCTGTCGAGGCTCTAAAGTCAGAGAGATGAGGTCGCACAGTCAGGTGAATGGCATGTCCGTAACTGAAGATGGTCCCTCAGCTGAGAGCTCTTCTTCTATAAACATTGCCGTTTGCGCAAGAGCTTATCCATGTCTCTTGCTATGATCCGCCTCTTAAAATATTGTGCTATAGTCATTGTCGCATAGGGGCGGCCATTGATTGTTGTTGAGGTGGGTATATACGTTGGCGTTTATTCGTGTTTCCCATATCCACTCCTCCAGCCATCTCCGATTGACCCCTCCTGTGCTGCTGCTGCTGCTGCTGCTGCTGCTGCTGCTGTTGTTGTTGGTGGGCTATCATGCCGGGACCTCTCATCCCCACGGGGGTCTGCGGTGCGGCTTGAAAGGACGTTGGATTTCCATTCGCATCCACGTAGTGTTGTTGTTGTTGCGGAATCCCGGCGTAATGCATATTGGGATTTACTGGTGACACTCCCGAGTACTGGCTGGGAGAATTCCACGTGCCAGTTGATCCCGCCGGAGAAGCTCCTGCTGACATATCGTCACGAACCGAGTGCGCCGTTGAAGACGCCGCCGCTGACGCCGCAGTCGTCGCCGACATCGGCTGGGCCTCCATACCCTGCGGCATCATCTTTAGATGGGCCAAGTGTTTCTCTAACATATCAAGCAGTGATTTCCGCGTGAACGGCTTAGGCAAAACATCATCCATGCCGTGGTGGAAGTACATCTGAATGTCATCCGATCGAATGTTGGACGTCATCGCGATGATTGGGGTTCGGTCGAATTGTCGGATGATATGACAGGCGGAGACACCATCCAAGGAGGGCATGATAATGTCCATCAAGATCATATCGTATTTGTTTCCTTCCTGCATCCTGTTGACGGCCTGCAGTCCGTCGAGTGCCGAATCCACAACGCACGAAAATGAATGCAAGAACTTGCCGCCAATCTGTCGACAAGTCGGGTCGTCTTCGACCAGGAGAATCCGCGGCGGTCGACTCCAGCCAGGATCGGATAATCCGCTCTTCTTCCGCGTGTCGGCAAACTGTGTCCGGGGATCCGGACCGTCTTTTGATGGCAAAGGACAAGGAATTTGATGAAAGTACTCGCTGGACATGGGGTCGATGCCGTTGGTCGACCCCATCGGATATACCGCCGTCTCTAACTCGGCTGGATTGATCTTTGAGTATCCCATGCTACCGCTTGAGGCGGCCGAGTTGGGTCCACCGAACTGGCCAGTTCGAGGGTCCTGTCCTATAGGCGGGGTATGGATGTTTGAGTTCATTTGTTCAAGCCCTGCCACGTTGAATTGCCCATCGGCATTAATATCATTCAACAGCTTCACAGCATGTTGCAAGGGGGACGCTGGGGTGTCTTCATCCTGCGGCGGCATATTTTGGCTGGTAGGAGTCAACGTTGTGCCAGTTTGTGCCGAGTCCGACGGTGGAGCAAACAATTGCTTGCTGTCCCTTCGCTGCTTCGCATCAACGGCTTGGAGGTATGTCATGACCTCTTGCATGACTTTTTCATGATTGACAACCGTTTTTTGGAGCCGTAGAATTTCATGCGTCACCATCTGATACTGGGACTGCAGCTGGTTGTTGCAGGATACCAAAGTCTCTATCTGCTGTGCTTGTGCGACAATCTGTTGGTTCATCAGGTCGAATTGTTGGATGGGAATCTGGTCGTCGTTGAGACTCGACGGCTTTCGAGGTGCTGGGGCCTTTCGTCTGATATTGTCCAGGCTGTCCTTGTTGTGCTGCTGGAACTCTGGATGTTTAAATTCCCAGGCGTTGGCGCCATACATTGACGCTCCACCGTCCTCATTATTCTGTCGCACCTTATGAAAATCGTATTTGTTCAGTTGACGGACGAAACTGGCGAAATTAGAGTGTTTGAAGTGTTTTGGTAGAATTGATTTGGTGAACTTTTCATTCTCCAAGACCACGAAACTATCACCATCATCACCCCAGCGCACTACTGAGGAGTATGAAGGGTCTTCGAGCATTCTGCACATTGATTAGCCGCGAAAGCAAACACGGATGCTTTGTCGCAAGGGCGATGTACTTATACAGCTTGCGCACGAAGTCGCTCGAGTTGTTTGCCGACCCACCCTGGCCCTCCATCTTTGATTGACTTGCAGTTCGATTGTCCTCTTTTGTGCGATATGTCCTCCGACAGCTAGATGTGCGACGACGGTCACAGGAACGTCGTCGTCCTTCAACCGTGGATGATGCAATTGACTGCACGATGCCGAATCACCGCAGCATCGCTAGAGATGCGCCTCCAGGGTCGAACAGTGCTCGAATGCGGAAGAGGCACAATATGGGGATGAAAGGTATGCGTGTGCCGTCGTCAGATAATGGCTGTTGGAATGGAATGTGCTGGCGGCAGAATGCTGGTCAAGTGGCACAGACAAAGTTGGGTGGAGGCTGCTCGAGGTTGGAGGGCACCGAATGCTGGCTTTCGGCTATTCGGCCGCAACAAACTCCAGAAATCGCAGATCTCGGGGGGGGTGGCAGGAGAAGAGAAAGGAGATGGCGCCGAAATTTTCGAGTTCCCCAGGAACAGAGCGAGGATAGAAATGAATTGCCGCGATCAAGTGGAATGTGAGCGTCGACGAGTGCACGGTGGCGGTGGAAGATGTGTGTATCTGTCTCTGTGTGTGTGTGTGTGTTGTGTGTGGTGTCGGGGAAGGGAATGAGAGTGACGGACAATAGGTTGGTCAGTGCTCTTTTTGGGGAGGGGGTGAAGAGAAAGTTGGTTACAGGTTGCAGGTCGCAGGGTTGTTAGCTAGGATCTTGGATACGGAAGAGGGCCTTTGCGCCTGGCAAGGAAAGAGCAAAAGAGCAACAGAGCAAGAATTCCCTGCGACTTCTGGGAGGCGACTTTTGGCGTTGGCTCATCTATCAGGACGCAGAGGAGGATCACCCACACTCCGCTGCTACCATCCAGTCAGCGTCATCGAAATGACCACTCGACTGGTTTAGGCGAGCATGGGATCGCATCTCCTTGTGTCCTGTCCGGGGCGGCCAAGGGAGCGATATTGTGCGGCTAAAGGCCCGTGCGAGGAGAAACAGAGGGGAAATTCGGTTAATTAGGACCCATTGATAACCCTCCCAGGCTAGTTGTTCATGGGAAACTCGATCAAGGGGACCCGTGATAGGGCGCTTCCGGGATCAGAGCAGGAGGAAAAGAGAGGATCTGATCGGGAGACGCCCAGCTGTTGATGGGATAATGGGCCATGGCTCATGGGACTCCCCGACGGCCCACTAAGGTACTTACTTAGGCTCCTCGTCGTCCCTCCATCAGCCCAGCCCAGCAGCCAAAAGTTTCAGCGAGTCCCCCGCCGGGCTGCATTCACCAGAACCCACCTCCAGGGAGACGACTGGTCGACATGACGCGTGCGGCGGTGGTTCTGACACCGATTTGGCCATCCCCGAGACTCTCCTTTCGCTCACTCGTCCTTCCCAAAACAAGCGGCGCAACGATCGACCGTCGACTTGGAAAGAGGCGGAATTCAGTTAAAGCACTCCAGGCTGAGCATCCCATTCGGCCGCAGCTGCAATCTGGTCCAGGGAGCACTCTTTCAGGCCGATCATTGACTTTCCTGGGACGCCCATGCCTGTCATGGCCTGCAAGAGTCTTAACCGAGAAACGCAATGTTTCGGCTGATCAGAATCCACAAAGAGCGCAAAACTGCCAGGGCAAGGGAAGAAAGAGATGGCTTCCGGTCCAAGAAAAGCAACCATGAGGCTTGTGTTAATTGCCTCAATAATACCTAGCTTCCCAGCACCCCAGTAGACGAAAAGGGAGCTTGACTTTTGTCACATTCCGCCAATCCTTTACGGGAAACGTCGCGAAATCGCCACCAGCATCCCGCGGAGTTTGTTCCTAAGTACTGGAACATCGACAAGCCGTCTTTGTTTTGATCGCCCGTATCTCTTACCCTTGGCGACCCAACTAGAGTCTGCCCATGGGCGCGCGCATCAGACCATTCGTTGATCCGCTTTGAAAGAAAAGCCCAACGGGGACGACGAATGGAGTTTATCACCAGTATTGGCGGTATAAGGCTCTGCTGGTGAGAGGTTGATCAGGACCTCCCCGCAAATGCTCACCGCATGACGATCAGAACAAGCTTGTGGGCGTAGCGGAAATGGCTAAATCCGCAAGTGTCACGCTGTTCGCTGAACTCTGTGTTTGAAAGTCTCTGTCACGCGTGAGCTTTGTCGAGTGGTAAATTCGCCCCCGTCTTGCGCAGGAACAAAGAGAGGCCAAGTCCAGCCACCAGTGGGTCCCATCGACCGAATCGTTCTTTGCCCAGAGTGCCTGGTGCGTGTACCGAGTACTGGCGAGTACATCGAGCGTTAAGCATTGAACCGAGCCCCTGGTATTCGTCCTGGCGAGAAAGCATGTTAGCGGTCGCGTTCTCCATTCAGGCTTCCATGTGCTCGCTTCTTTGTTACGGCGATCGCAGATCGCCGCTTCCTCTCCTTCGTCCGATCCAGGGAAGGCGTCTCTACCCAAGCCACAGGAATCTGTGGCGGTGCAATATGTTCTTTCAAACGATGAATATATAGGGCAGAGAGCAGATCCATCAGCTAACGAGTAACTGCTAGGGTACAGTATGAACGCTCTTCCCGCCTGATCGCTCTCCTTCGCATGCTGCAGACAAGGTAGAATTCCTCACGACAGAATTAGATGACAGATTTCTCCATTCTCGGGGAGGCCGAAGCCCGTGCGCAATACGAGGTACCGAGCAAAGACTAGAGAACCGCAGCTTGTTCGACCTAGACTTCCAGTGACAGCCTGGGTGACAGCCTGGGCTGGGTGACAGCAGGACGCCAAATCAATGTTTCGTGGACAAGCAATCAGAAGGGGAATAATCCGAGCTCTTCTGTTGGTCTAACCATGGACGAGTCTAGACCTTTGCCAACACGAACCGAAATCTTGGGTCAGGGAACGGCTTCGGGAAGCAACCATGCGACTCGACAGAGCCTGATGGCGAAAAAGCAGGGGCTAATTCTGGCGCAAGGGGTGCAAATTTGGCAGGTGCCAAATTGTTTGACTGATGATCAAACTTGGAGGGGTGGAATCGCTGGATAAATACCCAATGCTGTCGTGACTGCCCTGTTAGAATGTGTCTCTTGAACGTGACGGCGTTTCTTCAAGGAACGGTGCAAGGAGAGCTACAAGCCATATGATTGCAGCGCCATGCTGGCGGGACGAGTGGTATGAGGTCTTCTGGAAAGGCCATCCTAGCTGCCTGGTGTGAGTTGCTGTACTCCGAGATTCGAGACCTTCGTACTCGGTAGACGCCTGCTGTTCAGATTGAGTCAGTGGTGTAGCCAAATTGTGCTCAGCCTCGAGTACGGCCATAGGCGCCACAGGTACCGGTGTAGGTCGACTTCCCAAGTCTCAGGACTGCGCGACACCATCATCTGGCGGTGTCGGAGAAGAGCCGGATTTAATCCTTGCTGTAACCTTCGTCTCCTCTGCGATTTACATGCACGTACCTCGTTCGGAGAGGGTCGCTGACATTATTTCAAATACTTGATGCAGTCCTGCGTGTTGAAAGATCGGGGTGGAGCAAGAGAGCTTGGAAGGATCTTGAGGACACTGAGGAGAGAGTAATCATTGGCTTGGGGAGGCACCCACAGGCGCTCAGAGGGGCTCCTGGTTGGCTTTGGAGGGGGCCCCTAGGCCTCGCTAGCCTCACCAGGCTCAGAGGCCCCGACAGCTAAGAACCCCCCCGCAATGATGTAGTTCGCACCTGCGATCCAGAGCTACTGTACATAATTGGCCTGAAGCTCCGCTCAATGCTAAACGCGAGGAGGGCAACAGCGAACAACAGGTGAAGTTGAAGTGAATTTGCAGTGAATCGCTCCCGCACTGTATTTCAAATTCTTTTCTATCCAAATCACTCTCATTCTCTCATTCAGTCACATAAATGTTCTCTCGGTCCATCTTCCGTTCTTCCACTTCTCTTCGTCCCATCTCTCTCACTCCGTTCTTCAGACAGTTCTCATCAACACCAGCAATCATGGTATGCGTCTCTTTCCTTTTGTTTCTGACTCACTGACCGTTTCGCAGGTGAAACAAGGCGACTCCATTCCCAACATTGATCTCTACGAGGATTCCCCCGGCAACAAAGTCAACCTCGCCCAAGAACTCAGCTCTGGCAAAGGCCTGATCATCGGTGTCCCTGCTGCCTTCTCCCCCTCATGCTCCGACACTCACATCCCAGGCTACATTGCCAATGACAAGCTGAAGAGTGCTGGAAAGGTCTTTGTGGTCTCTGTGAACGACGCATTCGTGTAAGAGCCCAGAAGCTGTCATTCATTCCAGCTTGATTCTCACCTCTTCTACAGCATGAAGGCTTGGGCAAAGAGCTTGGACGAGTCAAAGAAGAGTGGCATTCGATTCCTCGCTGACCCTTCTGGAGAGTTCACTCGTGCCTGGGATGTAGAGTTCGACGCTGCTAAGATCTTGGGCAACAACCGGAGCAAGCGGTATGCCGTGATTACTGAGGATGGCAAAGTCGTCAAGGCTTCTGTCGAGCCCGACAACACTGGAGTCACAAGTGAGCTCTGCAAACCCCCCCATCCCTGAGATCATCGCTGACTCAGGACAGTCTCCGCCGCTGAGAAGATGTTGTAATTCAAGCAGGTCAACCGGTGAGATCACCACCAGAAGCGTGGAATTTGTAACTGCGTAGCGAGTACAGAACTCAAACTGGGCTTGAAAAATGGAGAAAAGGGAGATGGTACACAATTCCTGTGTCCATACGCCAACTTCAGCTCTCCGATTCACCTTGTCTAAAATATCAAAAGCAATTGCAATCTTGCTTCCATCGACTCTCTTCACAATGCTGTAGCATGGCAACATTCCAAGGCTTCTTTCACCGGGGGTTTTAGTCCGAAACGGATGAACAATGGTTCCAATAGCACTGAGAACTATGTACCTCGTCCTGTCCAGACATCGATCGATGTTTTCGTGCACTAACTCACTGGATCATCGAAGACAACAGACACGTCGCCTGGGTTCAGCTCAGAAGAGCTCGTACTTCCGCCCCAGTCCTCGGATACAATTCTCTCACTGACCCAATCAGATCAGTGACGCTCTTGTCCCCGTCGTCGTCGAACTTCTCATCATCCTCATCGTCGCCGCCATCACCTTCGTTAGCTGGTGGGGAAGTCTCAGCATCGATGGTCTCCAACATGCCCTCCAATTCATCGTATTCGGCGCAAAACCTCTCCACGGCTTCGGCCACCACATCCTGGGCCAATGTGCGGTCAAATAGATTCTTCATTGCTTCCTGCGCATCCATGAGAGCCGAAGAGAGGAACTCATCCAGTCGTTGCGCCGCCTGGTCTAGGTTTTGGACGAGCCACTCCTTCCTTGCCTTTAGACCTTGACTCCTGCGTGAATCAATCTCCTGCATGAGCTCTGCAACGCCGGAAAACTCTAAGAATGTCGTCGTGACGAATTCCACTAATTGATCTCTCACCAGCTGAATCTCCCTAGTTGCTTTCTCTAGTGGGATCTGCGCAGTTGGAACGTGCGCCGACACGTTTGCCAACGTCGCTTTCAGCGCGGTCAAGTAGTTGATCTTGTAGATGCTACCACTTCGCACGTCGGCAATGTTGGTTGCAGACTCAGCGCATGCAGCTAATATTTTGATCAACATGGACGAAAAAAGCCGCTCAAGTTCGAGCTCACTCATCTGTGGACCCCTCGCGCGACACACGTCGTAGAACTGTGTCAACGCCGTGGCCAGGAACACGGGCGGCGTTAGATCCTGCGGCGCCTCTGAATCCATGCTTCCAACGGCGGTCGTGGTCTCTTCTTCCATTGCCTTTTCAAACTGTGACAGCGTCGATGATTGGAGAGCCTGAACGAGCAGGGCAAGAGATGAGTTCGGGCCGAGTAGCTTTGAGAAGATTCCGCGGTAAAAGTCCAGAAGGTTGAATGTCTTGAACATGAGCACAGGATCGCCCGAAGTCCGCACGGCAACGTCAATCCGTGATTGCAGGGTTTGAGAGACGAGGGAGAGATTGCGCGAGATGAGTTCAGACAGCGCTTTGCGACCGTCAAAGACCGGCTGCGTGTCTTCGTCTTTCTCCACTTCTGTGCTGGACGTAGATGACACGCTCTCTCGTCGTCCACGGTTGATCCGCGCCCACGGCTCGGTCGCCTTCCCGGCACTTAAACTCCGCGAAATCTCATCCGCATCAGACACAAAGAGCCCCTCGAGAGCTTCTTTCTCCGAAACAGCAGCGGAATGCATCCACGCAAGCATATCGCCTATATATCGTAACGGTTCGTGTGTGGAAAATTCAATCGCTTTCGTCCCTGCCCGGCCAGAACCCGTCAGGGCTTCCTGGAACGCCTCCGCTAATGTAGTTCGTCTCGCTTCGGCAAAGAAATCGAGGCAGTTCTGGAATAAACTCGGCCTCTCGCTAAGCACTCTCAACGCGTGACGGATTGAGCCGCTGATATTGGGGTCTTCGAGATCAAGCGTCTTGAATTCTCGCTGGATCCAATTGTAGAGCTTTTTGAAGGCCGCATCCAGGTTGCGGGTCGTTTGTTCGAGCAATTCCAATCCCAGCCGTGACGATGATTCCTCGCCGTCTGGCGAGGAGTTGTATCCCAATAGAAATTCGCAGTCCTTGTGGATTTGTTTACACCTCGCCAGGATCGTGAAGAAGCGTTCATCAAGCGGTTCCGCGGAGCTGGTCAGGATATTTAGATCTTGATTGGAGATAAGGAAGTGGTTGGAGAATGCAGTCAGGAGTGAATCTTTCATTTCGACATCTCGTTTGCGCGTTAGGAGAGTGGAGAATTCTTCGAGTGTGGGTGCTGACTCTTGTTTCGCCGCGAGAATATGTGTGCGCATTGAGTCGCAGGTGGCATTGAGGGTTGCGAGCAAGGTCCCAACGCGTTTGAGTTGCTGAGAGTGTATTAGAGGAATGCTTCGAGCGGTTCAATTGTTGGAGACAGCTGATCAGAGCCACAGAGACACATACCTGCGCAACCACGCCAAAATCATCCACGATCTTCGCATTGCAATCAATCACCTCTTTCTGTGCGTTGGCCTTCAAGTTCCTCCTTGTCTCCTCATTATTTTGGACGCCTCGCTCGTCGAGGAGTCGCAACGCATCGCGGGTCTCATAGTCGGCGTAAGAGACCGAGAGAACGCTGGTGAGTTTCGCGGTCAGAGCAGTCGACCGCTTGGAGGAAGGAAGACCATCAGCACCGACACTGACCGGGGTGATAGGACTGTCGAGCCCACATAACGGTGAGGCCATCCAAGCTGGGGAGAAAGGGTGTGGCCATGAATCAGAAGTGAAGGAAATGTGCCCATTGCAGTTATCTAATTTCATTGCTGGGCCTTGCAGGACAAGGCTGAGTGAGAAAGGGCCAACGCCGCTTTTGCAGGATGAGGATGGTGGGGGTCCCTTTCCAATAAAAGCAGCGGCTTTAGGAGGGGCCAGCAGGGGCCTCGCGGGGCTCTGTGTTAACACTTCAAATCCCTTCAGAACGTCCCTCTTCGTCTTGAGGCTTGCGGAATATTGATTCCGCAATTATCTCAGCATCCGTTTGCTTCTCGTTCTATCTATGCTCCAAGGCGTTCCCGTGCGCTTGAGTGTGCGGGATTCCCTTGGTTCTTGAAACCGCCACCACTGCGATCCATACAAGTCCTTCTACCTCGTAAATCACTTCAGTCCATCTATTTACATCTGCGAAACAAGCCACTTCACACCCCCAATCAAGTTGCCCACAAACTGCTGCCCCTCGGGCACAGAAGGGAAGATCCAGAAATAGTGTGGCATTCCCTTATAGTGATCATGCTTCGTAGGAATACCAGCCTGCTTCAAAGACGCCTCCATCACATAGGCATCGTCTCTCAGGGGATCCTTTTCACAACTAACCAGGTATGTGGGTGGGAAATTCGCATGATTCTCCTTGGCCAGAGCAACGAAGATATCGCTGTCCTTAGGGTCGGCCCCTGCGTGTTCGTAGAAAATCTGCATTGACTTCTTGTCGATAATGGGGACGCCCTCCTTGTTCTCTTCATATGATTTGAAAATCTCCTTGTACTCTTCGGGAACATGATCCCAGTGCAGCACACAAGGCACAATTGCGGCGATACCCTTGATCCCGTCTCGCTTCGAGGGGTCTTTGACCAGACGATTAGCGATTTGCAGGGCCAGTGCACCACCAGCGGAGCCACCAATGGTGTAGAATTTGTTTGGGTCACCTCCGTAGGAGGCGGCGTTTTGTCGCGCCTGAACCGAGATTAGTAAACATAGCCGCTGTGTAACGGGTATCTAGCTAGGCTGCTCACCCATTTGTACACGGTCAAACAGTCCTGGAGCTGCGTGGGGATCTTGTGCTCGGGGGCAAGTCGATAATCCACACTAACGACAATGGAGGGAACAGCTTCGGCGACGATTCGACAGAGCAGATCATCTGAGTTGAGGTCGCCGGTCATCCATCCTCCTCCGTGTGTCCAGATGGCGACAGGCAGGGGGCCTGACTTGGCCGCTTCCTTGGGTGTGTATAGGCGATACTTGATTCCCTCAACTTCACCATCTTTGCTCTCGACGGCCTCTGATGGGGGAGGCAGCTGAGGAAGAAGCATCGCCACTAGTTGATCATATTGGGCTCGAATTTCTTCTGGGGTCCCGGTCATGACCATACGACCGCCTAGGTTCTTCTCTAGCTGTTGTTGCAGGTGAGCGGAGCGCAAACATGGAGCCATTGGGGCTACAGTAACCTACATCGAGCCATGATTGTGCGTACGCCATGATGTGACTGCGTGTGAGGTGAGCGATGTAGTAAATAACGGATCGAGGCTATGATGATCTGCGAAATGATGCGCTGAGCTGGGTTGCAACGTGAGACGTGTGAAAGAAAGTTCGGAGCACGTATATATACTCCGTACCATGGATCGATTCGACCTCGGTTACATAAACCGTGACTGAGACGGAGGGGCATGGGCGAGAACCATTGATCCGACAGCCAAGAGAGCGCAAAAATCAAAAGGTGTCGACATGGGCGAGTCAGAAGCCCAGAAATGTCGCTTGCAATGGTTGTGGATTTTGGAGGAGACAATTCCTTTGGGCGAGGCCCCGCCTTGTCACTGACGATGTCCACGCTTCGGTTGAATACCACAGTTGGGGGCGGGTGAGGCTGTGGCCATTGGTGGATATCCATGGGCACTCCACATGGCACTCATCGCGGAATTGATCCCATCATCATTCAATAATACAAAGGTATATCTCCTATCCAGGGGGGCCTGCTCATCGATGCAAGGTCTGCTTGCAGCATTGTGTCAGCCGCTCTGTCCGAATTCGACCAAAGCAGTCCTTGTGTACGCTCATATACCTCTATTTAAGTAGCACAGTCAGCAGGACGTTTCGCTAAGTGAGGGTCGTCCAGACAGACGATGGGTCCCCGACAAATAACGCGGCGTGGTCTATCAGGACCACATTACGAATATTGCAGGGTTGAGGGACGTACGAACCAAAACGTCGCTGATCTCACCCAGCTACTTCCCTGTCATCCCTTTTGCAGGGTTTGAAACAACCGATAGAGGGTTGATCACCGAGCGCTGGGGCGAAAAGAGGTATCCTCCAGGTAGATAAATCTTTCGACGTATGTCGACCACAACAGTTGGATCCTCTCACATTATCGTCTAAGAAGATTCTCCAAAGTTCATATGCCCTGTCTGTTCTGCGTGTTTCATAGCCCCAGCCTCTCCAATACATGTCGCTCCGCAATCGTTACATCTGAGCCTGAACCCAGCAGTGTCGGTGTAATAGTGTTTGGCCTGTAGTTTCCGACATAAGGCGATGGCATGTGGAAGGACTTCGTCAGAAAGTGGCTGGACGAACTGCTTGACATCTGCTTCCGGCGATTCGCCTTGTACGCTTAGAGCGATTGTATCATAATGGATGCCAGAATATACAATGAAGCAGCGGCTTTTGGCATCTTCGTTGTACCTATCCACACGCAAGGTCTGCACATCAATGCTGCAGATTTCGATATCGAATTGCTGGCTGAGGATGTCAAGCTCAATTTGGCCGCCCCAAGCATCCTCGGTCTGGATCCATCGGCAATATGCGTCTGGTTCTTTGTTGTCCAAGATAGCCTTTGTGTACTTTTCGCGATTGGCTTGAATGCTCTGGGCGATTATCGACCGTAATTCCGTGACCGCATCCATATCTGACAGGACAGCGCTGGCAACAGCTCGAAAAAGACATGAATTGTCGTCTGGCATGATGCGTAGGACCAAGGTGCCTTGGAGGTCCGGACACCAGATTTCGGGTGGATCTGCCATTTCGGAGTTTTCCTTTCGCGAGAGCGACAGCGGCGCTGCCGAGGCTACTTGGGGCTTCGGTCCTGGTTTCGACGTGCCAGGGAGGGCTGTGGGTGCAGCGCTGTGTTGTCTTGAAGAATCAGCTGCTCTCAGCGCGCCTTTGACTGGATCCGAGGACGTCGGCTGAGTGTCACTCTTCTCGGTTGGTGGTTTGACTTCATTAACGATCAGCTGTTCGCCATTCAGTTTGATGTCAAGCTCTGAAAGAAGGTTTGAAGATGGCAGTTGATCGAGCGACAGTGTTTTTGGTGGATAGCCATATTTGACCTCGAATGAAGATAACGATGTTTCGGCTATGATGGTCTTTCGGAGTGTCTCGACCGTGGCGAAATCATCCAGACTGACTGTGCTGGATTTGCCAGAAGGGCCCCTGATCCGAATCCTCATTCCGTACTTCTGTCGAGACTGATTTGAGCGGATATGATTTACGATATATACCGCGAGCAGATCAAATGGAAAAGAAAGTAGAAGGAGAAGATCGATCACGAGGCAAATCAGTGACCAGTTGCCAGTGACAAATGACAGCAACAAGCTTGCTGCAGGCTCTTGCCACCAGGGAAGGATGTGGTCTTGAATCGAAGGGGACAAACTCAAGAAGCGCCAAATCTCTGCCTGGTTTCTCGTTGATAGGCGGTTCGTTGTCTGCTAAAACCCTCCGGCACGATTTCTCAGGTCTCGACACGTTGCCTCTTATACTCACTAGGCGTTTTCCTCACGGGCCAGCGGTGACGATCAAGGGGGTCAAAGATCATAGGAACAAGTGTCTAATCAGCCCAGAGCGGTTTAACCCCAAGATTCGCCGGCCCGATATTCGACGCGACTCGTTTGAGATGCACAGGACGCGTTCGGAACCAGGAACTCGAAGAAGGATGCCATCTTCTAAAGCACCTTTGCACTGATGACAATTGTAGAAATGACCAACACAGGGATGTGGTGAAGGGGGAGGTGAAGCAGCGCAAGGTCCTCAGAGCAACTTCCGCCAAGACTTTGCCGCTGCGCCCCCAGATTTGCCCGCATTTCGCATGCCGCAGATGTCGCATGTCGCATTGCTTTGGTAGAGTCGCGACAACATCATCATCTAGTCCATCTCCCTGTAATAGCTCCTCGCACATAGATTGCTGCCACATGTCGTCGCACGAGGTGTCTTTCCAGCCCAAATTCCGCGTCTCCACCAAGTCACGATAGCTGCGCAACAAAAAGACATGGCCGAAGCCGAAACCCCAAGTGCGCCTGTGACTGAACCGGTTCAGTCTATCGAAGTCGAGCCTGCTGTCAAGGAAGAAGATGCCGCTGATGACAAATCTGACAATGAAGGCGACGGTGCTGAAGAAGCCGAGGATGTCGCCGGAGAAGAACAAGATGAGCCTGCGGTTTCTATCGAACAGTACAAGGCCTTGAAAAACATCACTGATGTCGTGACGAATTACAAGATCAAGGTCAAGGATGAGTCTGTGCAGTGCCCTGCTCCGCCCTTCCACGCTGACCTCTTCTTCAGGGACTACTATCCTTCCCAGCTCTTTAGGCGCAAGCCCAACAGACGGGTCCTACCAGATTACCACGAAATCATCAAGGACCCTGTGGCTATCAGTACTCTTAAGCAGAAGATACAGAGAAAGCTATACACAGGCATCCCTGAGTTTGTCCGCGACTTTGCCTTGATTGTCCACAACGCCCAGGTATATAACAGACCAAATTCGGCTCCAGTGCGCGATGTCCTCCTGTTGCAGTCCATCTTCAAGGAGGAACTCAAGAAGCTGGTGGATGAAGGCTTGATTCAGGAAGAGGAAACGATTTTCCCAGACCTCGGAGAAATCCCCGATGCAACCCCTGAACCGAGCCCGGTGTCCGACGACGACGACGACAATGAGGATGAGGAGGACGAGGAGGACGACGACGGAGCCGATGACGATTCTGAAGATGATCGGAGGAAGCGAAGACGGAAAAGCGGCCGGCCGAGCATTTCAGGACGCAAAGGCCGCGACGAGGGCGACGACGCAGATCTACGAAAGCGACGAGGACGACCTCCCAAGGTGGACACGCCAATGGAAGCTCGAATCAAAGCCATCCTCAAGGGGCTCCGCAAGCCAAAGGACGACTCAGGTAATCTGAAAGTCCGTCATTTTGAACGATTGCCGGACAAGATGGAGTATCCGGCTTATTTTGTTGAGATCAAGGATCCAATTGCCCTCGATACTATCAAGAAAAAGGCCAAGAGAAAGAAGTATCAGTCACTTGAACAATTCATGAAAGATATTGATCTTCTCTTCAACAATGCAAAGCAATTTAATGAGGATGGCAGTGAGATCTACCAGGATGCGGTAGATCTTCACGCCGAAGCACAGAAATTGGCCGAAATTGAAAAGGCCAAACCCGACGACGAATACCTCATGGAAGACGGTCGAAGACCCTTGCCAGCTGGGATTTTCTACAAAAACGAAATCTGGAAGGTCGGTGACTGGGTTCACATTCAAAACCAGAACGATGTGACCAAGCCGATTGTTGCTCAAATATATCGGACCTGGGAGGATTCTGAAGGTCAGAAATGGATCAATGCTTGTTGGTACTATCGACCGGAACAAACTGTGCATCAGTACGAAAAGCATTTTTGGCCGAATGAAGTTGTCAAGACCGGCCAGTATCGAGACCATCAGATCGAGGAAGTGATCGATCGTTGTTTTGTCATGTTCTTTACCAGATACACTCGTGGCAGACCTCGAAACGTCGATCCCACAAAGGAGGTCTATGTCTGTGAAGCCCGGTACAATGAGGAGAAGCACAGCTTCAACAAGATCAAGACATGGGCCAGCTGTTTGCCTGACGAGGTCCGAGACAAGGATTATGAGATGGACTTGTTTGATGTGCCTCGAAAGATCAAGAAAGTGTCCAGCCCCCTCAAGCATCTCTTGAAGGACAACATGAAAGAGACGGATGAGATTCCTTCTCCTCAATGGGGCCATCCCAATGCACCACCAATTGTGGGCGGAATCCATAAACATGCCCGCGGCGAAAATGTAAGTTTTCTTGTTTATGTGTGCGATGGACACTACTTGCACTAGCTTGATGGGACTTTCTTGCAGCATTTTTCACTGACTTCTCTATCTCGCAGCAATCGCCGCCACCGGTACCGACACCTCCTCCCCCTACACCTCCGCCTGTCGCGAGACAACCTTCGTTGACCACTGCTGCACCGCGTCCTATGATTAACGGCGCAGGAAATCACGTTCCGGCGAGTCTGCAGTCTCAGCTGACGCGCCCCTCGCCGTCCTTGACTCCCAATCCATTCCAACACCAGTCGATCTCGCCTGCTCCTCAGTATAGCCGACAGACCTCCTATCAGCAGTCACAGCCTCATCTCCATGCAACCATTGCTCCGCAGACGCCAGCCTCCCAACAATCACATCATCCTTATAACCCGCAACCCCAGATCCACCCTCAGCCGGCGTTGACTCCCGCCCACGCCGCAAACTATCCGTCTTCTACCACTCCCTCCCAGGGGATGTATAATCGCCCTCCTCAAGGACAACCGGCAACCGCCACCACCGCCACCTCTGGTCAACCATACGTACCTTTCCCTTCGTCGGCTGCCGCTGGTTTCCCCGACCAACGCGTCGCCGAAGTCTTTGTCCTCTCAGACACGGCCAACGAATCGATCCCAAAACACATTCGCGACCGATTCCCACAGGACGATCAAGGACGCGTGCTGTTCTTCACGAAACCGCCCGTCCTGCATGACATGACGGTCAGAGGGAGAGATGGGCAGGCTTTGAGACATACGGAAAAATATCTGGCCGCCAGAGAGGAGAAGGAACGGTTGAGGGAGGAGAGGAAACGCGCGAGAGCAGAGGCCGAGAAGGTGGGGAAAAAAGACGCCATGAAACGTGCGAGAATTGCTGTTTGAATTCGGAGACTATTTTTCAGATGGATTGAGTGAGCGTGGAAGTTTCCCTGTGTGCGAGGAGGATGAAGTGGAATTCCATGATGGAGATGATCAGAGAGAAAGATATAATGTACTATTTTCTAGGCCCAGCGTCGGCGCTGGTGGATGGATACCTGAGATCCCGACACATCAAACAAGCCTTAGCTCATAATCATTGCGTCCGATTTCGGTCTTGAGTTATTCCTAAAGCCGCCCCTTCAGTATTAGACGTTGGTTAGCATGTGAATCGGGACGGAGATGGTAAAATAGAGACAAATCTGTGATTTCATGATATCGTCCCAGACATTCACGCGCCTTTGTTGAACATGGCATGCATACAACGCCCAGGGCGTGATTGCAGCTCATTCTAGCTGTGTATCGCCTATTGTGCATTATGTGCAGACCATGGATTGACTCTGGATCGCTGGCGGTATATAGTTCTGTTGGCACCATCGTCATCACTATTACCACTGCTGCAGCTGCAAAACGCATCCTTCTTCCTCGGTGCTCTGCGATCCCAGTTTCAAGGGTTTAGACTCGGTTTGGACTCGACAAGAGAGGCGAGGCGGCTCGAAGCGAAGGGCAGTGAGGCGAGGCGAAGTGGCCAGAAGGGAGGCTACACAGCTACATGGCCTCAAACAACTCGTCTCTCCGTCTCCTCAGACGGTCCAGCTCTGCCTGTGCCCTCTGCACCTCGGCGCGCGACGCGTCAATGTCCGGGGGCAAACCGTAGAAGTGCCTGATGCGGCTTTCCAGCGCCTCGATCTGCTTCTTCTTGCGGCCCAGGGAGCTCTGCTTTGCGGCGAGGGCTGTGAGGCTGGGCTCGTCCTCCGGCGCGGATGATGCGAGCTGCTGCTGCCGCTCCAGTGCGGCGATCCGCGATCTGTATTCGGCGGATTTGAGTGTCAGTTGTTTTGTCTCGCGTTGGTGTTGGAGCGTGAGGCCGCGGAGATGCGAGTAATCCGTGGTGCTAGGAGTAGTCGTTGTCGTCGCCGTCATCGTCGTCAGCGGCGGCGGAGTAGAGGAAGGCGTCGTCGGCGGAAATGACGGCGGGGTTGTATCGTCCTCTGGGCGAGCTGACGGCGAGGTCCTCTCGACGAAGGTAGCGAGAGCTTGTTGGGTCTGGGTAATTTGGCTCTGGAGATTGGCCGTGAGCGTTTCAATGGATGAGAACTGGGATTCTTGGGCGAAGGTTTGGCGAGGGATGTTGACGATTTGAGATGCGAGAATTTGAAGGACACCAGGGGTGGTGGATGATGAGGACGAGGAAGACGGCGGCGGCGGCGGCGGCGGCGGCGGAGAGAGGCAGCCTAAGAGGACGACAGAGCCGGTGAGTGAATCAAGAGCTGCTTGTGCAGGCGACGCGAGCGAGGTCTCGAGCAATGAAAGAATTGAACTCGCACTGTTCTCATCATCACCGGTCTCTCGTTGCAGTCGTTGTTGTTGTTGTTGTTGTTGTTGTAGTAGACATGCCGCCTCCTCCTCAGCCGCCAGTTCTTCAGCTTTTGCATCAAACAGTAGCTCACGCTCTCGGTCTGCGGCGATATTTTCCGCCATGAGGCTCTGCAAGGCTTTGAGCGTCGAGGCATTGCGTTCGAAAGCCGGTACAGGTGATGGATGATAGAGCCTCGCGAGCCATGCCTGGACGACTGACCAGGAGTGCGAGGTAATGGCTTGAGCGCGGGCTTTGGATGGCGATGCTTGCATGATATGTGTTGTCTCTCAAAGCTAAAAAGATATCAATCTGCTGTGTAATACGAGAGTTTGAGGGAAAGTTATGTCTTTTCAATGTTAGATGCCTGTACTGTACAATCCTTGAATTTGCGGAGGACTGAAAGCCTAAAGGTGAGGAGGTCTAGGATTCCTTTCACAGTTCCAGAAACGTGGCCACGATTTGACTCTAGTTCTCCCACCCTCGATCAAGATAAAGACTACATGGAATTACTACGGGTTGAGAGTAGAAATCGCCGAATTCGGTTTGACGTTGAATTGAATTTGCAGACCTCCGAGATAACATAATATGTAGTTGGGAAGCTCGTGACTTCTTGACGAGGCTACCACATCGGGCAATTACAGCGCCCCTGGGATCTCTTGAGCTAGCGATGGGGTGACAGAGTACGAAGTATGCCTCCAATGCCACATCCTGCATCCACCTGTGACTGTTGCCTTGCATCCCACGCATCGGGTGGACCAAGGCCACCAAACTCAACAGATGCTAGCAAAAGTTTCATGACATCCTCAGATTGGAGGCAAAGCCATTCGTCGCGACTGCATCAAGATCACCTGCGTCGCTGGCCGGAATCTTCTTAGCAGGAGACTTCTCATCGGTCCCTTGCAAATATAGGTATTTCCCCTTTGATTGTGACGAATTCTGTTCGGCGCGGAGCTCCGGACCATAAAATCCCCGGTTTTCTCTCACAAGAAGTAGCTTCAGCCATCCTTGGACGTCACGCTGTTTGGGACAGGCATGCAGCTGGAGGGCCTCGATAAAGGCAAACTGGTGGCCATCTAATTGATGGTCTTCCTGAAAATGGAAACCCTGCCATTGCAGCATTGTCAGCTTTCTTCCACCGGCTGTCCCTCGGGAGATGCTGCATTTGATCTATCGTGGCAGCCTGTGGTCTCTGGCCGAAAGTCCTACAACGAAGATCTGCTGCGAGGCCCAGATGTGATCCATTTGCATTCTTGCAGGTAAAGATCCTGCTTTTGCAAAGCTTCCTCGTTGAGGTCCAAGCCGTTATCTTTGTAAACGGAAGCCTGAAACAGTGCCTGAGAGCCTGGAAACAGAAGAGACGAAGGGAACCTTTGGTGTAAGCCTCAATGACATCCATTTTTGCACCGTCCATGACCGCCATTCAGAGCTTGTTGCTTTCAGTGGTGGTCCAATGTGCTCAAGAATTGCCCAACAGCTTTTCTGGGCGATATCGGAGAGCATTGGGCGTCGACAGAAGGGGAATTTAATTTGGCGAAGCGTTTTTTTCCCCCGCCGGCTTTTTTTGACCATGCATGTTACCTTTAGATTTCCCGCTTTGGTAGAGGAATATTTTCAGCAAAGTCTGATGAGGGTGCAGAGTATATTTTCCAGGAAAGGAAACAAAAAATCCGTATCTTTCTACACCCTCTTTCACATCCTCATGCCCCAAGACCTGGCCAAATTTACGCTGTTGCCCGCCCAGAAGCCAAGGTATTGCGAAAATCCTCCGACAGTGCCGCCGAGGAGTTGCACATCTCTCAACCTGCGGTCAAGAAACTCTTCTGTTGCTGAAAAATCATTTGATGTATCCGTCGTCATGAACATTTCTGAGCTTGCATAGACGGCTGCGAGAGAGGCTCGTTTTGTGTACCAAGAGAAGTCGACCGCGGTGTCTCCGGCGAGATACCAAATCTCATCCGACAGGGCGTTGAGTTCTTTCACCGAGGCAGGGATGTTCTCGAGGAGGGACATTTGGCCGAGGGCCTGTGGAGACAATCATCAGATCAGTGCTCGGTAGAGAAATGGTGTGAACGTACCCCTTGCCAATGGTGGATAACGTCTGCATTTGCCCTTAACCGTGCCATGATCAACGTCCTCAGTTTTGCGCCCAAGCCCAACGTTGACCCCTCTGGAAATTGTACAATGTCTTTCAATGCAAGTCTCTGCGTGACCAGATGATAGTTGATAAGATCAAACACCCCCCGGGGGAAGAGCTGGATGGTAACATCTAAGTATCCTGCATCTTTAGCCCCCAGCGCCACCGCCGTTTCTGTAAAACCGTGCTGGGGTACTCGACTAATGGCAGCCGAAAGGATTCGATCTTGAGTTTCGGGGAAAGGTGGTGGATCTGGGTGGTGGATTGAGAAGTAGGTCCGTCGGAGAGTAGGCCTCTGTGTCAGAGCACGGCATGGCTGCGTAGCGGTCGAGCTCAGTCGCAGCGGTCGAAAGAAGGCCACGGTTCTCCCGTGAGCAATGGACATGATTGCTGCTGCGGGTGTGATGGGGTTGCAAGAAACAAAGAAAGACCTTCGGAGGAGTAGGAGTAAGCGGTCAAGTCGAACAGGTGGAGACTCAATGGACAATCCACGATGATCCACGCGTTCGAGATCAAAGGCAGAGCGAGCTGCACAACATCTGCAACCATCCGGCGAACGATGAAGCTAGCTTCAAGAGGTGGCCAGACAAAATTGTTGCTCTGGCCGGAAATGTCTTCCTCGCAACTTCCAACCGGTGCAAGGTTCCCTCAGCCTTACCGTGCTTGGCACATGGTGACTCGTGTGTCTCATTGGTTCGGAACAATCGGCCGGTTCAGGGTCCTTCCAGTGCTATGATGGTTTTGCAAGTACTTCTTGTTGCACTGTACCCAGTACTTGTTAGATACTTTTTACAGAGTACCTAGTCCATATCAAAACTCCTGTACAGAGTAGCCACCTACATTGGTCCTTATCTGAACCGGCCCAGCACAACTCCGAGAGGGCGTAATTGGCAAACAAGATACCTCCCTAGGCACTTACCGAGTGCAATAGGTTCTGGACTCCGTTCAAAAAGGTGGTTTTGCGAATAGCCGCAGGTCTCTAAGATGCTCCTACTAACACTGGGTAATCCAACCCTTCATCGGACGGTCTGTTTTTGGGAAGAGCTCCGTCCTCGAGTTAAAACGATGATTGCAACCCCATCTGTACGATTTAACCGGGAACGCGATAGGCTGTTCTAGCGTTGTTATAGTCTGCTCCGTACGCACTCGGTACTCCGTAAATATTGCGCAATGCCCTGGATCAAGCGTGGTCGGGCGATAATGAGCCAGGAAAGATCAACACACCACTGGTTGAAGCTCGGCGTTGCGAGGATGCCTTGATCGACCAACAAAGCACCGCCAGTTTGTCGAGTCAGGCAAGTTCATATGCAGTAGATCGTCCTGGGGTATTACGAGGTTGCATTTGCACAATGCGGGTCAGCTTGAGATCGGCTACTTCATGCCGGTGGTGGGTTGCTTTAGAGCCCTTTTCGGTAAATGTTCGAGGGCGAGAATTTGAAATTTCTCTGGTGTGCCGTTTCCCCGCTCGCCATGTGTGCGAGCAAGGGAATACCTAGGCAGTCTAGGATTGCTTCAAGCAGGGTTAGCTGTGCGGAGAAGACCAAAGATAAGGTACCTTGCGCCGACGCCTTTCAAGCCCAACAGAGGGAGGTTGAAAGATGGTTGTTCACGGTTGACGCGGAACCTGAGTCCCGGTGGATCGTCCAAGCGCCGCCAGGCCTGTGCACCCGTATTTCCGCGCTTCTGCTTTGCGCCCATTTGGCTGGGCATGGCTGAATTCAACCACTGATCTTTGCTGCCGTCATTGTGGCTTGCTGGCTCCTCACCTGAAAATGCAGTCTAGGCTTTGCGAGGTGCATGCAGAAAGTGCTTCCGGCCCTCCATCTCACCCACTATTGAAGAGGCTTCTCCAGCGACGGCGAAGTGTCAAGCTCAGCGGCTCCATAATGTCGTAATCCTCAAGCGGATGGATTCCTGTCCTCCCTTGACACCAGATTCTTGACTCTTGATCACTAGAATCGGCGAACGGCGGCCAGTAGTGCTGGAGCTGGCGAGCTTGTCACAGCGCCACTGGCATGCCGATCCTATCGGTGCCAATCGATCGCACCACAAGGTCGGCAAGCCCATGTTCGTTGAATGTGAGTTGGGTGCGTCAGTCCCCCTGCATGGGGAACTAGATGAAAGTGAAACAAAATTGCGTGCTCTAAGGGCGTGCTTTCCGAGTCAGGCATAAAATGGCTATCACGGTTGAAGCTTTGTCTTGCTGTCGAGCCCCACGGCGGCCCATTTTGGGCAAGAAGACAAAAGGTCTGCGGCTTGAGATTGGCATTGCTCCTCGCGTCTTTTGGCAGTGGCATGGAATCCTGGCCTTTGCTATGATCGTGCCGCTGGCCCGTAGACAAGCAAAAGCTAAAGCGGGAAGAATTCTCCGCACAGTTGCATCCGGTAACATTCTTCAACAAGAAGAAGTGCTTCCTTGTACCTTCAATTCTCTATGTATGGCGTGACACATAAGCGGTCCTGCTTCCTGTTTGCGGTCCCCCGTCGGGCGTGTTGCTGGGGCTCCCCTCGAACGCCACAAGGGAGTTTGTGCCGGTGGAGGGAACAAAGAACCCCGTTAGCTTGTTGGCTTTGCATATGTGCAGTACCGTACTTTTCCGTAGAAATAACGCGTCCGCAGGAACAGAAAGGAGGAGGGGCCACATCCAATGCTGGAGAAGGTTTTTTCCTGTTGGATGGCCTGGCGGGATCTGGGATCTAGGAGTTCCTTTCGTTGACACCCCCCGTTGAACGCAGGCTGCTTTCTGCCGAGCGTGCATCATACCCCAAGCAAAGCCATGAACAAATGAAAAGGAATCCCTGTCACAGTGGCAGGCATCACGGGCTGCAATGAGTCGAGGGCTCGAGGGGCAAGTTGACAGGGCTCGCAGGGAAGGGAAGTGCAAGGGTAGCCACCAGTACGAGTCGCAAGGGACCTTGAAGGGACCAAGGAGGGATTGAAAGGTGAAAGCGGATCGCTAGCGCCAAGGCCGCTGGGCCACTCAGACCTCGTGCCTTCGCCTTCTTTCTCCCGTCACCAGTCACACTCACCCACTTGCACCCATCGCAGCCATCGCATCCAATTCGACCTACTTTTTTGCCCATCAACACCTGCATCCATCTTGCTCCCTCCGGTGCCTCCTGCGTCGTAGCTGCATTAACCACATCCGAGCCTTTCCCATAACTGACCCTCCTTTACCCTCCCCGTCGCCCGAGTCCGCAACCCAAGCCCGGACCTGTCCCTCTGCCAGTGCCATTAGGCCCCAGAACGCTGCCTTGCCGGCTTACTCGATCGACTCAGGACTGCCATTCTTCCTCTTGGTTGTCCCCATCGGGCACTCTTCCGAACGGGCCCTGTCTCGACGCCTCTGACACAGACCAATTGGGTCCGTTTGTGTCCGTTTTTCTGGTTGGTCCACCATCCCTGCACCTCAACGGGGAACAGAAGGAGGAGGGACGAGTTGAGTGCTACCCCCAGCCGTCCCGGACGCTGGTGGCCACCATGGATGGGAAAGAAGTCCTTGGGAGTCCATAACCTGAAGGGAGAGGAAGGAAGCGCATGAAAGAATCAAAGCATGGTGAAAAGAGGTTGCTGACTGAACCGGTGGTGATGGCGCAGGTTTCCAATTACAGCATCACCTTGCAAGCAAGGCAACAATCCGACCACACTGCCCCCCTTCTCCTCGCCCATATTATCGCCCAATAACATCCACCTCCTGAACACAGCGTCAAGCACGGCAAGAAAGTTGCAGACTCCACTCCCAGGTTGTCCTCGTTGGCCCCGCCGCACCCGACTGGGTCCTCGCTGCCTTGATCCAGGTTTGTTCTGTCAAGAGAAAATTTTATCCGGCCAGACGAGCAACCCTCGAACACGAACCGCAAAAGAGTCGGTCCAAGAACGCGCCGCTTGAGGCTCTGTCAGATTTGCTCTGCATTGTGTTGCGCCCGTGTCAGAAAAATCCTATCTCTTGTCCCCCCTCCGACGAGACTGAGGCCCTGAGAAGCCGCTCCACCCACTACGAATCGAGCTGCCCGCGTTTTGCGTACAGCTCCAGACAGCCCTTGTACTACTCGGGAAACCTCGTTAGCTGGTCTCTCTCCTCCCCCCTCCCTTCCTGCATTTTCGTGCATGCGATCCTGATCTCGTAGAAGTCAACAGTCAAAACCCGCCGCACGAGCTCTCGGCAATCGATTATCATGGGTCTGTCTCTCTCTCTCTCCCTCTTCTCATTTTTCTCTCGTTTTCGGCGGCCCAGGCTAGCCATTCCGGCATTGGTCTCCCCGATCATCACCTTGTCCTGCCCTACATGTGCCTGTCCCATCTTTGTTGCATCAACTCTGTCTCTGCCCAACCTCGTCTTCACCGTCTCTTCTCTTTTTCTTCTTCTCTCTAACCCCGAGCGTTCGTTGGCTAACGTGGTGAATATCTAGTAAGTGAAACGATTTCTTGTCCCCGCGCACAGATCGATGTTGCGATGACCAAGATTGGAGGTGAAGTTGTTTTCCGGCTTCACGACGACCATTCCCAATCGGCCTGGGTCCACTTCTGCCTTATGTCCTTTGCGACGGGCACACACGAATCAAACGGGACAGATTCACTGTCTCCTCTGTTCGACCCCAACAATAGCGTGACATGACCATTCACTTGCACGTGTGACTTGGTCTGGAACTGACCTGCGTGACGCTTTAAATTCGAGCTCTCTCCGCTCCCACTCCCACGCCATGATCGCTATTGCTCGCCAATATTCTGACCGTTTTCAGAGGGACCGATCAGATCGATCTCGTTCACCCCGTCGCCGATCGCGCAGTCCACGACGAAGCCGACGTTCCTACTCTCCCCGAAGCCGCTCTCGCAGTCGAGGCGACGACTACCGTCGAAGTGAACGTCGATCACGAAGTCCCATGACCGGTGCACCCAACCCAACTGGAGGATACTCAGGAGGGTCAGGCTACGCCGGCGGAGGTCGACCACCACCTAGAACCTACGAAGACCGTGCTGCGGCAAAAGAACAAATGATGCAATCAGTGCGCGAGTCTTCTCAACAAGACCGCCGTGTCTACGTGGGCAATTTGGCTTACGACGTCAAATGGCACCACCTCAAAGATTTTATGAGACAAGGTGGGTTTCAGGGGTTTCCTGTCAGATTCGCAACCGTTTGCTGATGCCGATAACTAGCTGGAGAAGTTCTCTTTGCTGATGTCTTAACTCTTCCGAATGGAATGTCGAAGGTGGGCGCCATTGTGTGATGCGGCTGGTTCTACTGGTCTTCCTTTTTGGTTACTTTTGTTGGACGTTGGATTGACGGGTTGGACCTGGTCCACGGGTTTCATGTAGGGATGCGGGTAAGTGCTACATTTCTTCTGTTTTGCGGATTCCGGACTGGTTTTCTGACTCGAATTAGGATT